AGTTCTCATCCTCCATCCTTTTCGTATCAATTTTCTAAATGTCACGCACCATGCAATGCAGGGATTCTCTTTCTCAGTTACCTCATATTAAATTTCTACGACCTCAGGAACATCGGAATGGTCATTTTTGTAAACAATCGCCTTCATGCGCCTTTGCATGCTCTCATCAGGGCTCCTATTCGATAATCGAATAGAATCCGAATGTACTGTAAAATTTTTTTTCACTCCTTTTTTTATATGCATTCGAATTTCATTCGATTATCGAATAGGAGCACTGACTCTCTTGATGATTTCTCATGACTAAATAGCACCTCAGTATTATAGCGGTCGCTTTTGTAATGCGGAACATTATTGATGACGCAATAGCTTGGAAATATGCTGGTTGGTGATACAATTTAAAACGGATAATGTGGAGTGCTTTAAAGGTCATCTCTTTCCTTAGTAAAACAATGAGCTTTTATTCATTATAAAAATGGTAAAAGTAATCATTTAGACTGAACATGATTCAATTGGCTCTTATAGAGCTATGGCGTCATTCAATGACACCAATGGAGGGATGCTAAAATGCAAGAGAACCTTCACCAGCAATGGCTTTTCAATGTAACGAGATGAGCATGGTAAATGAATGTCAAAAAGCGTGCAATCAGGGCTCCTATTCGAGACCCGAATGAAATTCGAATGCATAAAAGAAAGGGTGAAAAAAATATTTTACAGTGCATTCGAATTCTATTCGAGTCTCGAATAGGAGCCCTGCGTGCGATTGGTAGTCATTTTTGCGGTCTACTGTAATTTGCTTCTGATTAAAAAGTCATTTCCGATTTAATTTGAGTTGGTATGATTTAATTTACGTCCGATTCAATTTACTTCCATTTTAAATTTGTTTCGGATTTAAATTAGTTTCGGATTTAAATTAGTTTCGGATTTAATTTAATTCCATTTTAAATTAGTTTCGGATTTATTTTAATTCCATTTTAATTTATCTCCACTTTAATTTATCTCCATTTTAATTTATCTCCATTTTAATTTATTCCCACTTTAATTATTTTCCAGTTTAATTCAATCCCAAGTTAATTAAAATCCCATTATTTTAATTCCAGTTTAATTTTATTCCAATTTTAATTTTTCCCAAACTTGCTGTACATCTTAGCTTAAGGGCTAAAATATACACAAAAGAAGATAGGACAGAATGAAGAGTATCAAGAGAGAAAGGTTATAAACTGAGTTAAAAGATAAATGGCAAGATGAACTAACATACACTATTATGCAAAACTGATTCATTAATTCATTCCCATGTTCATTTCTTTTTTTCTTTCCTAGAAACCGTATATGCATACACCACTCATACTTTGGTTTAATGCGTTGTGACATTAGCTTGTCTCATTTGGAAAGCTAATGACTTTTTTGTTCATTCAGGTCATTGAATCAGTTTCACATGTGCTCATTCGGTGGCCAAAGATCTTTATATTTTGTGAGGCATAACCTTACATCAATAGATAGTATTCCAACCATGGGCATCACTGACAGCTTGGAGTCTCTTATGGATACCTATGATGAGTTTGCGGCAGAAGTCCACTGGGATCCTGTACCATTCAGCCGATATTCGCTCCCATAGTTCATCACAGCTCTTAGCTCGCTCCGGATACCTAGAGAGCCGCCTATCCAATTCTGCCCACATATGTTCAATAGGGTTGAGGTCAGAGGATTGTGCTGGCCACTCTAGAAGTGTACCTTCCTCTTCTGTCAGATGTACTGACTCCAAATACTTCCTAACAATCTTCGCCGTGTGCTTCGAGTCATTGTCGTGCTGAAAGACGATATCGCTTTTAGTTAGGCCCCAGTCATCAAGCGACATCTGTAGATCCTCCTGGAGTAGTTTGATGTAAAGTTGTGCGTCCATATTATTGTCAATCTTTGCAATGTATCCAGGTCCGTACCATGAGAATCATGACCACACTTTAACATTACCACCCCCAAACTTGAGAGTGCCTTGCACCGACCTGCGAGTGAGGCGTCCCGGATTGTCGTCCCAGATCCACTGCACGCCATCAGAGCAGATTCGGTTTATTTTCGATTCATCTGACCAAATAACCTTTTTCCAATCTTCCAGAGTCCATTCCTTATACTTATCGATAAAATGCAAACGAGCTTTAATATGTCGTCGACGTAAAGCTGGCTTACGTACACGCCTCTTTGCTGTCAATCCTAACTCCTTGAGCCGTCGTCTAACGGTGGTCTCAGAAACAGCCGCTGGTATGAGCTGGTTGGCTCTGACGGTGGCCTCAACTGCAGACTTGAGTGTACCTCGTTTCATGTTCACCTTAAGATACTGCATGATACCTCTAGGTACTTTCCTTGGTCGACCGCCTTTATTGACTGGCATGTGCTCCTTATTATGTGCATAGATCCTGGTGGCCGTCGCTATTGATATACCAACACTAGCAGCAGTTTCTCTAGTAGACATGCCTCCCATCATGAACCTCCTGGCTTCGTTGACTTTCCTTTGTGGAGTGGGTCTCATATTCTGTGAAGGTATAGTTAAGAGAGAGTTAAGCAAGTGTTCATAAAGGAAAGAGAGAAAAGACCTTTTATACTTGCATTAAATGACGTCCAAAAGTTGTCATGGGCAACATTTTAGACCACATGTGAAACTGATTCAATGACCTGCATGAACAAAAAAGTCATTAGCTATTCAAATGAGACAAGCTAATGTCACAACGCATCACTATGTCGTAGAAGAAGACGGGAGCTTTATCAAACCAAAGTATGAGTGGTGTATGCTGATACGGTTTCTAGGAATGAAAAAAAGAAATGCACATGGGAATGAATTATTGAATCAGTTTTGCATGATAGTGTATATCAGCAAGACAATGCTAGGATCCATACTGCAAAAATTGCAATGGACTATATCAAAAAGTCTAAGATAGCTCACATGGAATGGCCAGCAAACTCTCCTGACATCAACCCAATAGAAAAAGTATGGGCATATATGAAGATGAAGTTGGATCAATATCCAGACAAGCCAAAGATTATGGAGGACCTTTGGGATCGGGTTCAAGACGTATGGGCACAAATCCCTCCTGAATTCTTGGAACAGCTATATTGTGACATGCCAAAGAGGATGAGGGAGTTATATAAGGCAAAAGGAGGAAACATCATTAAGACAGAAGAGAAGTAACCGAAATAAAGAGAACAGGAAGTTAAAAATTAACTTAACAGATGCAATAAGGTACTGAAAGCAAATTGCGATTAAATGCTAATTGCGACATTGATGAGGATGGTGATGACAGTCCATGGAGGTGAGACAAATACGAATGAGAAACAGCGATGACATGGAAGATCATTAGAAAGAAAAAGGAGAATGAGGAATGAATGTCCAAAAGTGCAATTTATTGCATTAGTACTGAAATGCACCATAGATTCGTCAGCTAGTAAAGCAGTTAGAAGCTCGCGCGCTTCAGTGACATAATCAACAACCGTAGCGGTCATTGTCAATGAGGATAGACGGTACCGGATGAGCTGAGAGAAGTCGTTCGGGATAAACGCAGTGCGAAAACTGGCCTCAAAGGTTTCGAAGGTGGCATCATCAGCGATGCCTGAGCCATTGAACCATCTGGTGGCATCAGGGCCAAGGAAGGCAATGGCTACAATAGTCCGAGCTGCGTCAGGCACGGAGGCGCCCACAAAAAACCGGCGCATGGAGCGCAACCAGGTAGTGAAGACAAAAGGTGATTTTGTTATAATTATTAAAACAAGCCTTTTTATAGGCTTAAGGCTATATACTGTTACACTTGATTAGCACCCATTATTTAATGTCAAGAAACAAGCAAACGTAGATTTGTATATGTACAGTCACCTGAAACAAAGATTGGACAAAAAAATAAAATATTGAAATAGTTACGTAGGGAAGCGTTTCCTTCATTCTCTTTCCTTCCTGTTTTTCACATACAAACAGCTTGAGTAAACCACCATGGCGAGACACTTAGACATTGAGAATAAAGGTATCATCGTTGGAATGCATCTCGCGGGCATGAAGGCTGCGGAAATCGCATTGCAACGCGGTGTACCCCGAACCTCTGTTATTAATATTATCAGGGTGTACCAAGAAAGAGGCACCACTGCTTGCACTCCGATCCCAGGACGGCCCAAAGTACTAAGTGAACGGGACCTCAGGAGCATCGTTCGCCATACTAAGCAGAATAGAAGGTGTACTCTTAATGATATTACTAACCAATTGCCGAACAAAGTTTGCGAGAGGACAATTGCGAAGGCATTGCATTCACTGGGTATTTTCAGCCGGATTGCAGTAAAAAAAACCATTCTTAAAAGAAGGACATACATATAAAGAGGAGGCTGCAGATCGTCAAAAAATATATGAATTGGTCCATGGAAGACTGGAATCGGGTAGTTTGGACTGACGAATCATTATTTGAAGTTGGCGAGCATTTTCGTCAAAAAAGAGTTTGGCATAAAGCAGTGCTCCTATTCGAACTGACATTTTGTCAATTATGATGTTTCAGATTAAAAAAATAAATATCAATTGACAAAATTTCAGTTCGAATAGGAGCACTGGCATAAAGTAGAGGAAAAGTACGATCACGATTGCCTCGCACCCACTTTCAAAAGTGGTAGAACAACTCTGATGGTCTGGGGGGGGCGTTCACAGCAACCAGAAAGTCTCGGTTGGTTGTATTTGAAAGAGGTCGTAAAGATGGACGGTGTTTCGTGGAAGATGTATATCAAGGCGAGCTAGCCAGATTTATGGCTGAGGTAGAGGGTGGCATCCTTATGGAGGATAATGCTCCAGTTCATACTTGTAAGATTGCAAAAGAATGGCGCGAAAAAAACAGCATCCCGAGGATTCCAGACTGGCCTTCATGCTCCCCAGATTTGAACCCTATTGAACATGTATGGTCACTTCTTGCGGATGCACTCGATAGGCGCGCTAAAGGGCCAAGAGATCTTCCCAATTATCATGGTTCAGGTTACTAGCGTCATTACAATTAAACGCTTTTGAATGGAGACTTACCAGACAATGGTGGCTCAACAATGATGTGGATGGATCTTTTAGACAGTGTGTTAAAGACATCTGAGATAGCGCTCAATGAAAGTAGCTTCTTTGCATCGCTCTGGTTCTTTAATTCAATTGGTTTGTCCTCGTCTCCAATGGGGACACCCCGGAGTTGGAGATCCTTGGGCTTGATATCCAAGTCCATATTAATATTGGGATAGCTGGCTTTCTTGAGATCGTCCACAGTGGCATCCTCTGACACGACAACTGAGAAAGGCGTGGTTTCTCCATCAATGATGCAGAATAGTTTGACCATGGTTGGATAGTTCTAAAAAATAGTTGAAGCACTGTGTACCATGTCCAACGAGAATACGTACGTGTCGTGTGTCGAGTAAGTGAGCTGATAGGCTGGTCTGAAATCTTTAAGCCAATAATGATCTCTTCAAGGGGCACTTTACAACGCACTGAAGTAAAAAAAAAACTGGCATCTGTGGGCCTCGTCGTCAATAGCTACTGCATCTTGGGCGCTTTCATGATCATCAGATTCCATCTTATTGAGAAATAGTCTCTTTAATGATGTGGAGTGGCAAGATGCTCTTTCAATGTCTTCATTCGTCTCCCTATCTTTTCGAATGCCGATGTGCCATTGGGTTTATCTTTAGCAGTTTGATGATGAGAGTGGATGAAAACGAGTGATTTGGATGGGCGGAAGGGTAGCATTCAGTAGGGCTGCAGGCTGTTATGACAGATTAGAATGGTTTTTCATTATAGTGTTTTACAGATGAGTTTTTTTCTTTTTTTTTTTTTATTACGATTAACTGACTTCAAAAAAAGGGCTGTTTTCTAAATAATAAAAGGTGGAGGAATGGTGACACTTCTGCCATTGGTATGGACCCTTTCTTCATAGTTGTCAGCCCGATAACTGGATCGATGGTGATGAACTGTCTTGACTGTGTAGACAGGGTTGATCAACTGCAGATCCGGATACTGTCGTTTGATCTCATAAAGCAATCTGTTTTCAGATCCACTGATACCGAGCGTATAGTTCAAATTCGAGACAATCTCCTTCAACTTGGTCTTGTCTGAACAGATCGTCCTGGGGCTAAAGACAAAGGTGTCATAACTACCCCATTCTGGATACGGAAATGCTGTCATGCCCTTCTCAGTCAACCGCCATCTCGAAATCGCATAGAACGTATTCTCAAAGATCTTGTCCGATATCTTGGTGAAGAATTCCAATGACATGTCATAGGAGATATCCGAGTTTGCATACAACACCCTGTAGTCCATCAAATGATCACACGCATATTGAATAAAATCGCCCATTAGCGGTCGCTCTGTGATCAAATGCTCATGATACTTGCTGGAGCCCTTGACGAATTTGGGCAGTATGGGGGCATCTTTGGCCTCGATCATCACATGGATTTGATCCAACACATCAACAGCAAAGAGACTTGCGATACAAACATCCAACTCGGACTGACGTTCATCGTCCCGACCTTGAAAATACGAAGTAATGAAAGCTAGTTTGGCTTCGGGTCTGTAGACGAAGCAATCATCATCCGCTGCTCCACATGTCGGTTCGATCGGGGTATTGTTGACAACAGCTTGGTTCCGGAGGGTGATTCTGTCATTATGAGGCGTTTTATTCGGAGATGGGATGTAATTACTCTGGGATTCATCGTTGTAATGGAACGATGGGCGCTCGACATAGCGAGAACCGATGACAAAGAAACTGAGGATAACAGCCACCGCCAAGATAGTTATCCCTCTTTTGTTTAGTGTTAATGCCATTGGGGAGGATATGGCTTGATCAAAGTATATGGTGATGAGGTATCGAGCTGGTCCTGTCCTTCGTCTTTATTGTTTACTACTTGACATAGAGCTGATTATTCCTAGTATTAGCGGTTGTTATCTGGTACTGAATGTTGTTTATAGCGGACAGAGTGAGTGAGTGGAGGAATAAAAGAAAGAGAGGTGAAAAAAAAAATAAAAAAAAAGCGAGACAGTAAAAAAGATTTGAGTGGACTATGGAAACCCATTTTCGCTTCCCGAGAACGGGACAAAGTCTTCTTATAAACATTCAACATGTGTAACAAGACTCACAACAAGAGAACCAATTGGGCTACCAGTAGCGACCAAATGAAAGGGGCTACATATATTATTATATATAATAAGTACTATTGTTATTTAGTGAAGCTAGTCAGATCTACCGGGATTGGATCTTCAAGGATGACTCTGTCTGTATTCCTTCCTAACGTACTTCTGTACTTCTTTCAATTATGGTGCAGCTGACAATACAGTAGAGCCTTTGTCACTCGATTTGTGTTTGGATTTACATTGTATCGGTGAGTATACAATAGTCGTCAGAGTGTTGCGTGCGGATCCACCTTTCGCTACGATTCAGCGACGGCTGCCGCTGTTGTCCCATCAGTCTTTGTCTTTGTGTATGTGCAAGGAAATATGTGCAGTGAATTGTATAGTGAATTGTGTGCAGTGAAAATGTGCTCAAGAATGACATCGAACAATTCCTTCCTTCATTGCAACATAAACTATTTACCAGACGACATTGCTTGATGGGTTGCTCTTAGGTATTTTGTATCTCGACCTTTTTTTTTTTTTTTTTTTTTTTTCTTTTCTTTCTTTTCTTTTCTTTTTTCAAACAAACTTCACTTGGTCCAAGATCCTACACTCTAAAGATTTCATGGACAAATGACAATTCTTACAAAACTTTGTAAAATCCACTTTGACTTCTTCCTTCCATTTGTAATAAGGCGCCCGATCCACAGTCTTCAAAAAGTGAACCAACTCGTCCGTGGTTTTGAAATCCAATGCCGAAATATAACTTCCTGCAGGCACAAAATCCCCAATGTCGGACGCACCCATATACACCGGGATCGCTCCACTTGCAAACGCATCATATATCTTTTCGGTCACATATCCAACACAATTCGAATTCTCAGCCGCAAGCGTGAATGCGTAGTTGGACAATACATTTTGCTTATGCTTCTCCCATGCCTCTCCAGGAACTTGCTCTGGCATATCTCTGTTATGGTGACAAGATCCATATGAATGAGCTCCGATCTTCTCAATCAACTCCAACATCAATTCGTTTCTGTTGTTCCTTGGTTCACAATTCGAGATCACCCATGCCATCAAGTGGGTACTAGCTGTTATCTCTAACGAGAACTGTTCAGTCACAGGTACTTTGGGCTGAACATTCGCAAGATTTTCGATTGTCTCCTTTGAAATCGGCATCAAAGGATATGGCACATCGAACAGGGCATAAGGCGCTCCCATGGTTAGATCGAACTGCTGTAAGAATGAAGGAAGTGCCACATGTGCATAACTACCAATAGACTCACGACCGAATTCCAACACCCATCGTTGATGGGCTACACGAGGTGGCATTCGTCGTACGTCCCAAAAAGGAGGCCTCTGGATATAGTTGTAAAATGGATAGTCGATATAGATGATATCCGCTTCCCGAAACTCAGTATAATTGCTGTTGGAGATATATTTGAGTCGCTGAGAGGGTGTATCACACGTCTGGACCTTATCTCGACTCCAATCGGGTACATTCCTGTACCAGAACCAGCATGGAGCATACCCTTGCTCCCACTTCAACTCTTCTTTCTATCAGGCGTAGACGAGAATGTATAAAAAGAAAATGTCAAGATCAAACCTCGTAAAATATCATCAAAAGAGGTATTTTAAAAAAAAAATAAAAAAAACTTTTTTTGGTACCTTGATATGCCAAGACCAGAGATAATCAAAAAATGACTGCAGTTCTGGAGGGAAAGGACAAAGAATCGCTGACTCCTTTTCCCAGTCAACAACTCCATCAACATACGTAAACTGCCGCCAATAAAAAATCTTGAGAGGTTCATCTGAGGTCTTGTCGGTGATCAATAAACCTCGAGGGTGCTTCCTTGTCTCTGGCAAATGATTACAGAGATCTTTTAGCTGATATGGATCTGTGTACAGATCTGGGTCGGGTTGGGGCGAAAAATACGTCACATTGAGTCTGGATGATGTTCTGTGAAAGATACGGTCACCAAGTCCCGTAGAGTACAGCTGCGAGAACATGACTAAGAACAAAATGGTTGCTCCTATAAACAGGTTTCTTGTCGTCCGCCTCGTGAGCGTCGCTATGGGACATTGTCGCCTATCCATCATCGTATATTTTCTGTATATCTAGTGGTGGTGCCTCTCCTTTCCCTTGCTGATAGTCGCTGAATGCCTGAATGGTATAAAAATGAAATTGACGAATGTAATCAAGATGAAGCTTGGAATCATGTCAAAATGGAAGAGAAAAATGTCCAAAAATATTTTGACCCAATGTTTGATAACTAAATTTTTTTTTTTTTTTTTTTTTTTTTGTTTATTACAGTGATGGAAATGGATATTCATTGGGTTACAGTCAATTTCTTTTTCGTATCATATATTTTTCCTTCTCTTTATTTTAATCCGATTTGTTTTCTTCTATTTTATTATATATGAGAGAGAAAAGTAAGTCTACTTCAACTCAGGCGAACCGTGTGTGGTCCAAGATTGTACATTCCAATGCCTGGACAGGCTTAAAGCAACGCTTGCAGAACTGACTCGCATCCTTCTTGACTTTTTCCTTCCATGCAAAGAACGGTGCACGATTTGTCGTCCTCAAGAAATGGATCAGATCATCCGTGCTCTTAAACCAGGAAACATCAATATAGCTTTTTTCGGGCACAAAGTCTGCGATATCAGATGCACCAATGTACACTGGGATCGCCCCACTCTCAAATGCATCATAAATCTTCTCCGTCACGTATCCAACACAGTTCGAGTTCTCGCCCACGAACGCAAACGGATATTTACTTAGCACAGTCCTCTTGGCTTCCATGAGCGTGTCCCACCCATCGTCCGGAAGCAACTCCTTAGGAATCTGATGCATATTCATACATTTGCCATAGGAGTGCCCACCAGCTTTCGTTATCAGTTCCTGAATCACCTCATTGCGACGGTTCGTAGGATTGCAGTTGGAGATTACCCAGGCAATCAGATTCTTGGGATCCTTGTCGTCAAATGGGTATTTCGGCGTCACTTCTGCCATTTTCATGGCATATTCCTCACTGATATGCTGCAGTGGAAGCGATACATCAAATAATTGTCCGGGCGCACCCATTGTCAAATCAAATTGCTGTAAGAACGAACCCAGTGCCACATGAGAGTAATAGGCGATTGATTCCAGTCCATAGTCTAGAACCCACTTCTGATGAGCCAGCCTTGGTGGCATCCGACGCATCTCCCAGTAAGGCGGTTGCTCAATGTAGTTATAAAAAGGGTAGTCAATCAAGATGATGTCTGCATCCCGGAACTCTGTATAGTTGCTGGTGGTAATGTATTTGTAGTTTTGCTTTGTACTCTTGTCGCATGTTTGCTCTTTACCCCGGAGCCAATCTGGTACATTTCTATACCAGAACCAGCAAGGAGCGAACCCATCCTTCCAGACAATCAACTCATCCTATGTAGCCACAAATAAAAGCAATGGTGATCGGGTCGGGAACAGGTTAATCAATAGATTAAAAAAAAAAAAAAAAGAAGAAAAAGTTGCTCTCTTCACATTATTGTACCTCTATTCTGTTTCTGAAAGAACTTTTTTCCTCCTCTTGCCACTATTATCATCATTTACCTTGACATGATATGCTTTGTTAAAATTGAAGAAAGGCTGAAGCTCTGGTGGAAAGGGGCACATCGTCTGGGACTCCTTCTTCCAGTCCGTTGGGGGATTATCCATGAACGTCTGTTGTCTCCACCTGAAGATCTTGATAGGCCCGCTCTCTGCAGTTCTCTCTGTGAAAACGACTTCATGAGGTCGACGGGGATTCTTGGGCAGGTTGTTACAAATATTCTCAATCTTGGTTGGGTTGGTCATGATTTGAGGATCAGGATGTTGCATTAAATAAGTAACTGCATCATTGCCTTCTTCGACATGCTGAGGTTGTGTTTCTGTCTCTTTGGTCGGAAGATTGAGGGTATTGGTTTGAAGTGTACCTGCATATAGCTGGAGTGAAATGAACGTCAAAAACCCAACAATGAGCAGGCCCAGAATGAGCAACTTTCTCCTGTTGCGAGGAGCAAGCATGACATCTAAAAACGACTGTCTATGTTTATCCATATAAAGGGATATCTCGAAACTCCTTTGAGAACAAAAAGCAGAAGGCGAAAGAGTGCGAGAGAGTGATGACAGGGGAGTGAAAGAAAAGAAGAGAAAGGTTGAAAATTGAATGAATGGTCTTTCCAGATGATGAATGCTGTGTAGCGCCCCTCAAATCATTTTAATTGGACACCTCGCTTTCTATTGATTTAGATTTATCCCGCAGGGAAGAAATTTTTTTTACCATCTTACCAAAATTCTACTTGATCCTCTATCCATGTCGAACTTTGTCAGGGGTTAAGCACTCAGCTTTGCAAAACTTAGTCGGATCTTCCCTGACTTCCTCCTTCCATCAAAAGAATTGTGAACGATCCATAATTCTTCATATATTAGACCAACTTTGAGATACTCTTGAACCGTCCTCCATCCATAAAGCTCGGACACAGTCTGCAATATCTTACACACTCATCTACACAGAAGTACTCTTAATCGCCAGTGTATCATAAATCTTCTCTGTCATATACCATATACCCTAGGCAATTGGCGTTCTCAGCTGCAAGTGCAAATAGATACTCCACCAAGACTTGTTGCTTGATTTCTTCCCATGATTTTCTACCATCCTTTTGACCTTGTGCAAACTCTGCAGGCAATTCCTTGTTATGCCAATATCGACCATATGAGTGTGTTCCAATCTCATCAATCTCTTTCAAACTCGATTCCGTTGGCTCTTGGCATCACAGTTCGAGACAAAGAACGCATATACGTCGGTATAGTCACAAACGGATAATAGATCAGAGAAACTGGATGGAAATATGAACCTGTCTCTGATGAACGACCTTTGATGGCAAGAGTAAATTATCAAGATAAGGTATTTCCTAGACTTTAAGTCCATAGAGATTGTCCAAATGTATAATGTCGGTGCCTCAAAAGTCAGTATAATTGGAGCTGATGACATGTTCCAACGTCCCATTCGCCTTTGTGTTGCTAGTCCCTCCTTTACCTTCGGCACTACCATATAGGTTAGTCCAGAAGATATAAGGTGCATAGCCTCTATCCCAATGAAGTAATTCATCCTTGATCTGTGTCTCCTTGCATCGCTCGAAAAAACGGCTGCAGCTCCAATGGGATCCGACAGAGTGTTTGTGATTTTCTCTTTTTCCAATCGACAACGGTTCCATAGTTGAGCCGCCTCCAATGAAAGATCTCTAAAGGCTGATCCCTGCTTTTCCGTGAGATCAAATGTTCACCCCTTTTGTTCAGACGGACTTGAGGGGTCCTGTTATAGTAGTTTTCCGTATGTCATCTTTCTCATTCCTTTGATGCCACCATGAAGACAGTTTCCTTCTCCTGAAGATGAATGTATAAAACCAATAGAGCCTATAGGACCATATCTGTCAAGTACAGGAGCGTCAACAAGGATCGTAGTGGACTCTTGACTCGGATGATAGGCATTTGTTTTGAGAACAGGATGTAGGAGCCTTTTTTTCTATTTTTTTTTTTCCTTTTCTTGCGATCAAGAAAAGACCATATTCGGATGTTTTTTTTCCTGATGTGAATGAGTGAGAAAAGATGAACAAGGCTAGGTGGAATGAGATTCAAAAAGTCAGCGCGTCTAGGACAAATGGCTATCCTGAAACGCAGCAGTCTGTACGTGAAGCATCGATAAGACTATTTTTTGGTTTTTTTTCAGCCCTTTTCTGTGGACTAAAAAAAATGCTCGAATGAGAAAGATGTGTGCTTATTGGGACGCGCTGATTGGTTGGCAAGGGAAACCCTGGGCAATAGTTCAAGGTGGCTTGATCAGACAGATCAAATCTATTTCATGCGCTTAATTGAAAAGGGACCCACGCTTTTTTTAGTGTCCATCTCTCTTCTCTTTCAACTCATCAACCTTCCTTTCCCCCACTTACTCTTTGACCCTTTCTCTGCAAGCAACCATGTCCACCCCTATCGAGGTCGTTAACATGTCCCCCGAGGACTACCGCAAGCGCAAGGTCGCTCTCATCACTGGTACTAATTGATTCTGAACACATTCTTCAAGATGATGCCTCTCGTGTCGCTTTGTGGCCTGTGCCACCGAGATCATCTAAAATCGCGACCATCATCATCTTTCATCAGATGAGCTATACACCTTACTAACTTCTTTTTTTCCTTTATTCTGTATCCTTGCAGGTATTACCGGTCAGGATGGTTCTTACCTTGCTGAGCTTTTGATCGAGAAGGGTTACCAGGTCCACGGTATCATCCGTCGTTCCTCCTCCTTTAACACTGGCAGAATTGAGCACCTTTACAAGGATGCCCACGAGAGTATGTGCCTATAACCTGTTTCTTTTTTACAATTGATTCTGCGTACTATTGTCGCTATAACTCTTCAAGTGGCCGTTATAGCCATAATCAAGAGAGAAAAAAAAGAAAATAGGGTCTTTTTATTATTCGTTCAATTGTTCTAACTGTGGGAAACGGAAAAAAAAAATCTTCTGTTTTAGACCCCAAGATGCGTCTTCACCACGGTGACTTGACTGACTCGACCTGCTTGGTCCACATCATCTCCAAGGTTCTCCCCACTGAGATCTACAACTTGGGAGCTCAGTCTCACGTCAAGGTCTCCTTCGACATGTCCGAGTACACTGCCGATGTCGACGCCGTAGGAACTCTTCGTCTCCTCGACGCCATCCGCACCTGCGGCCTTGCCCATCTCATCCGCTTCTACCAGGTATATTCAAAAAAAAAAAAAAAAAAAAAAAAAGTCTCTTTGTATTTCCTTTGATTCCCTCGATCAACGAACCAAACAGATCGATTTTCCTTGGATCAAAGTTTCTAACATGCACTTCCTCTTGCTTCAATTGACTTGATAACCCAATAACGCATAGGCTTCTACCTCTGAGTTGTACGGTCAAGTTCAGGAGATTCCCCAGAGCGAAACCACTCCTTTCTATCCTCGCTCACCCTATGGTGTTGCCAAGTTGTACGCCTACTGGATCACTGTCAACTACCGCGAGGCCTACAACATGTATGCTTGCAACGGTATCCTCTTCAACCACGAGTCACCCCGCCGTGGCCGTACCTTCGTCACCCGCAAGATCACCTGCGCTGTCGCTTCAATCAAGTTGGGCAAGCAAGAGTGCCTTTACCTCGGAAACTTGGATGCCAAGCGTGATTGGGGTCATGCCCGCGATTATGTTGAGGGTATGTGGAGAATGCTCCAGCAGGAGAGTCCTGAGGACTTTGTCCTGGCCACAGGAGAGATGCACACTGTCCGCGAGTTTGTTGAGAAGTCCTTCAAGGCCATTGGCAAGTCTATCCGCTGGGAGGGTGCTGCTGAAGAGGAGGTCGGTATTGATGAAGAGGGCAAGATCCGGGTCCGTGTCGACCCTGCTTACTACCGTCCCACAGAGGTCGAGTTGCTTCTCGGTAACCCTGCCAAGGCTAACGAGAAGCTCGGCTGGAAGCGCCAAGTTGAATTCGATGCCCTGGTTGAGGAGATGGTCAAGGCTGATTTGGTCGGTATTGCTGCCGGCGATGTCTTCAACTAAAACAGTAGATGTGAGATTAGATAGAAAGAGAATCAAGCCTGTACTAATATTATAACAAAGTCAATTTATTTACTCAAAATAAGAGCAACATGTGTATAAAATATTCTTTTTTTTCTGTGTTCTGTTGTACAACATTTAAAAAAAAAAGCTAAAAAAAACTTAGAAAAAAAAAAGTCTATTATTATTGTTGTTTCATTGGTTACTCAATCTTCCATCCTATTTGAAGCTCCGCCTCTGTCAAACCCTGCAGCAAGGTCTTTATCTCTGCTCTGGGCTGTCCCCACAAGGTGATGTTGTCGATTGAATGCTTGCCAAAGGCACTTCTGCCATCCATCACATTCCGCTTTAGAATGTACCCACAGCTCTCAAATCCACAGGCTTGCCCCTTTTTCACATAGCTCACATACATCGCACTTGACACATCTGTCGAGCTCATATTAGGTCGTTTCTCTCTCATTGCTGCCTCCATCCTCCTCTCCTCCTCCAAATCCTGCTGCAACCCTTCGATGAACTTCAGCACCCGAGGAACATCTACATAACGAGGGATAGCCTTCCAAAAGTTACCCAAGAAGCGCCAAGTATCATCTCCACCATATTTGTTGATCAAGTCCTGAGGTACTTCAGGTCCAATGAGGACATCCAGCTCTTGTTCTGCCAGCTTTTGAGCTTCTGGATGGGTGGCCACATATTCTCGATGCTGATTCCGAAGCTGTTCAAGTTCTTCACCCTCCATAGCCCTCTTCTCTTCATCAGACTTGAGTATTGATTCAGGAAGTCCCAAGACAAGATGACCGACAAAGTGTTTTGCGCCCTGGACATCCTTATAGAACGGACATCGCTCTTTGGTCGCTTCATCCGGATAGTTGTGAGGTCCACAGACAGCATTGACGAATCGTTGGCCCAATGCTGTGGCTGAATGCTTGAACCAAGGCTCCCAATACCGTGAGGTATCAATGCTGATCAAAGTAGGGATTGGTCCATAACTGGGCATGAACACGGATGTGCCTATTGCGTTTCCATGAGGCGAAATTAACACGTTGACATCTCGAAGCAAATACGCCGTCTCTGCCAGCCCACAACCATGATCAAAACTCATCCACTTGACTCGGAACCCTGCTTGGACAAGACTTTGGATTAAAGACTCATCATTGATGATCCGCCTCGACTTTTCGCGCTGGATAATACCAACGATCACTTTACGCTTGCTGCTCTTCCCAACATCAGCATATAGATTAATATAATCCTTCTCTGCATCGACTACATCTGGTTGTAGCTGTCCAACTCTTTTTGAGGATTCCTCCTTCTCAAGACCATGATTTGGTCCAGCGCCATTAAAGTTGTAATACCGTGCGAGATCCAGACATCTTAACTGTGAATTTGGCTTCTCTTTATCAGAAGCCTGTTGTCGCTTCGTGATTGATTGGGATAACGACATCTCCTTGGCATGACTGCTCTGCTCTTCATTCCTCTTGTTATTAGTTCTTTTCTGTGGTTGCGAATATGATCTACGCTCCTTTTGTTGAACTGATGATAACCTTTGGCGCTTGAGGATAGCCTTCTGTGTTGTCTCCAAATGGTTCTGCCAAACCTGAGGCGTTGACCAGTAATACTGTGCGATCTCGTCTCTGAAATGTTTATAGACCTCAGTAGGTATATTGTGTTCACAGTAATCGAGCGCACATTGAGATCCAAGACCTATGACAGCTCGTCGGAAACAGATGGGTGCATCTGCTGGGGGTAAACTCTGAAATGCAGTTGAGATCTCCTCCTTGTTGAGGACTAGCTCCTTGCCAGATTGGAAGAAGTGCTCCATCTCCCACGATCCTTGCCTTTCGATTGGATCATATTTGAAGCGACCTGCTCGTAATGACCATGAATCTTTTGTGCCTCCAAAACGCTTCATTGTGCTTTTTTTTTTTTTTTTTTTATAAATGTCAAAATAAATCATTATCAAGACAAGGTTTTTTCTTTTTTTAATCAATCATAAGCAATTAATTAGAGTTTTTTTTTTCTTTTTTTTACCTGTAAAGAGGCATCATGCCATTATACAACCAATGTGAAAAGTGATAAGGTGAATACAATCCATGGACAAACAAAGTCTCGTTTACGTAATGTGCCCGGATTGTCTTTCTCCATGAACGTTCCAAACGGGGTTGCCAGTAGACATCGGACTCTTCATCTGAGGACATCAGATTGACCTCGGGTAAATTTTTGCGGAAGATGCCATTTTTACGAATAAATGCACCTATTCATTATAAAAAAATAAGAAAGAAAGAGAAAAGGTTTTTCGTTCAATCAACTGCAGAGTGCAATAGGTCTTTACCTTTTTTTCTTTTTTTTTTTTTTGCTCTTAGACCATTCTCTTTAAAAAAAAAAAAAAAAAAAAATGCATGGAGAGTGTAGGACTGGGATGAAAACAGGAGAAGAATCTTGCCTTTTCGATCCACACACAGGTTCTGTACAACACACTGTCGAGAACGACGATTGTTTTTGGTTATCCTTTCATTGATAGGGAGTTGATCGTCTGTACAGGTCCAAGTGGCTTCTGGAAGAATGATCTCTTGAACGACTGTTTTGCCTCTCCAATATGAATCAGGCTCAGTTGTTGGCTTCTTTATCGGGCCACTCTGGTTATTGTCCAAACCGAGATAACCACCATAGTCGAGCACATCCCGAGAGCGATTGCTGAATGTCAAAGTCAAGAATACGACAGCAAGAATGACGAGGATGAGAATGTATCGTTTACTCCGGCGGGCAGTCATGATGTTGTGAGAGATGGTGACGAAGGAAGACAGGAAATTGCCAGGGTCTCCCATAATTATGTCAAGGTCCAGATGAGAAAGATGAACTGCATGAATGTGTGCAGCTGTTCCAAAAAAAAAAAAAAAAAAAAAAAAAATCTGAACGTTCTTGTCGTCTATTTAATTAACATTAGAAAGTAATGGTGCAACTAAGTCCTTAACACTATACCTTAACCACCATCAATATCGACAATCTTTCTATCGCTCTCCGCAATCAAGTTCATATCGCACCAACCTCGTTGCCACTTTAAACATGCCATTGGCGATTAAATTCCTCGGCAGTAATAGATACCTGACATTGGTTCGTTGGTACCTGAGTAAACCATCTCCAGGTCAAGGATAGCTATCGAGATTTTTTTTTTTTTTTTATCGCATTTTAGATTCAAGTTTCATCAAGACAAAATACATAGCATAAATGTGTTTTTGTTGCTTATGGATTTTAATATATGCGCAAGAATCCATTTCATTATGGTTTTGTCTTTACAAAAGAAAAAGAAAGAAAAGAAACAAAAACATGATCAACATGTTTAAGCAATACTAAATAACAATGATAGTAATAATAAAACGATATCTATGAACAAAAAAAAAGGGAGGAAATAACTAACTACATTGAGATTTTTTAGAGCTGCTCGCCATAAAAATTGGATCCACTATGGTAACAATGATCCAATACTGCAGCATTCGGGTCCGGATCTCTCCAGTTTGGATTTCCCCACCAAAATGGCATATTAATCTCCCACATCTGAAGTGCAAAAAAGATCAACAAGGCTGAAATCGCCATGCCAGTATCCAAGGCTGCAGCCGTTAAATAATTGTATCTTGCCCACCATCCATATTGGTACCTTCTCAAGACAAAGGAAAAGATGAAACCCCAGAATAGGCCGTTCGAGTACATGTAGGGAAGGCCTGGAGGCATATTTGAGGTCGAGGCCAACAACACGGGCCAATGCACATACTTTAGCCACGAAACATTGGGGAACTTTTGAGACAAGAACCAAAAGATCAGGGGCAATGCAGCTCCCACAACGAATCCCCATTGAACAGGGGCATAGATCGCACCATCAACATCTCCAAAAACACGGGCTGGACCAATTGCGCCCCAAATGATCGAAGCAGCGTAGAAGGTACGAGATGTACGGCAAGTAAAAGGATAGCCTTCATCCGTGCAGATATTCTCACGGGTGTTGATGAGCCAAGTAGCGGTGGCCAAATTGATGATACAGGAGATCATGGCTGAGACCAGCTGAGCCATAAACATAGCTCGAGGAGGGATCTTCATGTAATGCCCAAGTTTCAAATCCCCCACAAAGCTGAGTGCCTGAACATTAACAATAAAACCATAAGTCTTGAAGGTCACGTTCGCAATCGCATGGCCAGGAAGCAAGAATCCAATCACGTACTCCGTAATGATGTTGAGTGATGGTTGTTGGTTTGTGATTGCTGCCACAATACCGACTGGAAGAACAAAGATCAAGGCCATGACCAAAGCAAGCAGCAGGGCCCACCAGGGCATGTAATCCCAGACAACACAGGTGATCATACTCAAGACAAACATGACGCCAAACAAGAGACCATACCACCAGTCGGGCACCTCAGGATAGACACTCATCAAGCGAGCATGAATATCCTCGCTATCAAGGCGAGAGTATCTCCAGCGCTCCATAATCTCACGACCATTGTACAGAATGACATGGACGATTGTCGCTGTCAAGCCAGCGAAGCCGATGCCATAACTGATAGCAAAGAACGAATCCATACGAAGAGGACCATATTCTTTGTACTTGTTCTCATCCAAAAATCCTCTCTGATCCATCACAGCCGAAATGTTATAAGAGCTGCCATTATCTTGATAAAGCTGAGCAATGACAATAGGGAAATTCTTGGACTTCCAAAGGTCGGTATAGTAGGCCCAAGGGCAGATAACGTAGGTGACAATGATGAAACCAATTAAAATATTGACTTGAGCAAACCAAGGCGTGGCCATGGGAGAAACATAGGCCGAAATAGCACCCCAATCCAAGGAAATGGTGCCGATACCCAGGCCATAGGATCCCGTCAACTGAGCCAGCACCACGTTGTCAGGATTAATCCAACAGAGAACTGAAAGCACACCTAGGGTTGGAAAGATGTAACCAGGGAGCCAGTAATAGAAGAACATACCCATGCTGACTAAAAGAAAGTATTTCATTCTAGACATATGGCCATCGTCTACGGAACTGGCATGCAAGGAACGGAAAAGGGAAGCAGAGACCAGCGTTTGAGGCCAAATCATGTGTGCAGGTCGAACCAAGAATCGACGAAGAGCTCCCGCGATCGCAAAACCCGTAACTTGAGTTGTCAAAACCAACAACATCCCCGCAACAAAGGGCTTCTCAGAATTGTACCACACCTTTTGTAAGACCACAATGTCGACTGCATAGGCTGTACCACCATTGCAAGCCACCATAGTACCAATGAGAACATGTTCTTTAATGGAAAAAGGGCCAGGATTTAATGTGAATTTGAACCCAAAGATGTTGAAATAGCGTGTAGGGAGGACACGAGCCATGAAACGACCCATGGGTAATGAGAGAAGGGCCACAACAGAGTAGCCGACAGTCACAGCCGTATAACGGAGATAGAAGAATTGGTTGATAAATGAGATGATGCAGGTCCAGCCGAGACCGAGGAACCACATGCGGAAGGTATTGTATGGGAGGGTTGGATCATCAGTATCTAGCAAAGGAAGAAAAAAAAAAAAAAAAAAAAAGAGCCTTGTTAAACCCCTAGAAAAAAAAAAAAAAAAAGTATAATAGTAGAATAAAGCAAAGAGGAGAGGAAAAGTGAGGGCTTACTAGAGATGGTAACGCGAACTTCTTCGATGGGAGAATCATCTTCCTCATCTATTTGCATATTCTTGTTCTCAAGATCGATATCATCATGGAGATGGGAATCATCGATATCATATTTTTCATTAAGGTATGCTTGTTTGTCCATGGTTAAATAGGTAAACCCTCAGCGAGAGTTGAATGGAATGGCTGCTGATGAGTTTTGTTATTAATATTTGTTGTTACAGAAAAGGGAAAAGGAATTGTCGTTAAATGAAATAGAGTGTATTGGGCATCACCAAGGAAAAGCACTTGTAGGAGAGTAAGATTAAAAGGTTTAATGGGTTGATGGGATTAATGAATTAGATGGTTAATTGCCTTGTGCTCAATTAGGTAGTAGAGACATAAAGAATAAAAAACAATTGAGATGAAAGAAAGACGTATTTGTGTCTGTGCAGATGGAGGATAATAAAAGATTAGAAGAAACGCTATGAAATGTAGTGGGCAATGAAGCGGTATTTATACGGGTGGAAGATGAAGATAGGGGTGAATTGTATGTGTGTTGGACAAGATGTCAACAATCTGAAACGCGAAGATCATTCCTCGGGCGTTGTGTGTGCATGCCTTGTTACTGCAACACAAATAAAGTACTGCAGCTGTTGTTGATGTTACAAGACTGCATGCACAGGGCTCGGAGTTGTCTCTCTTTTTTCTTTTCCTCTATTGAATCCACATTCAAAAAGGACCATCAGGTAAGCAAACCATGTTTCCGTAAACAGTAAACATGGCTCACTTTTTTTTTTTTTTTTTTTTTTTTTTTTCTTTGTGATGCCCGCCACTCCCTTATTCACTAATTTCATGTTGAACGTTGAATAAACACAATTTATCGTATTATAAATATATTAAACTAAACATCAAGCATGCTTAAGAAAATTCACATTGTATCCACACGCTTGCCATGTTTATTCATAACTTGGGTGGAAAATATACAGAAAATCTCGGAGGGGAAACCAGCCGGATAGGGGTATAAAGTGCAGTTCAGAACAACAGAGAACAGTAGCGAAGGTAATGGTGCAGGGATGAATGAATATACAATGAATGAGATAAACTTATTTTTCGGCTGTTGAATATTGAGAGCAGTGCTAAGGCCAATCATCAGCTTAGTGTTGAGTTAAAGCGAGGGAGAGGGAAATAGCCCCGCATGCTTAGAAGCAAAAAAAAAAAAAAAAAAAAAAAAAAAAGTAGAGAAGCGTATAAAGATGTTTGTTACTCCTGGATGGCATGCTGAGTTACTAATGAATGATGCCTATAAAGAACATAAAAAAAAAAGAATGAAGGCTACGAAGAGCTTGTTGAGTAAAGTTTGAGATTTAGAGAACAACCTTTATTGGAATGCTTGCATAAATCACAGATGTAACAACCAAAACGTGCATGTCATTAAAGGAGAAGTTTCTTTTTTGGGCGCATCACTTCGCGTCTATTAAACTTTGGATACAAAGTGGATTCTCTCTCATCTTCCCCGTTACTTCCAGGGGTCGAGTCGGGCGTTAGAATGAAGGAAATACCTTGAAAGTTGAGCTCTTGCCGCGTCATGAGTAGTGCTTGTCTATGAGCTCTGAACTCTGTTTTTTTTTTTTTTTTTTTTTTTTTTTTTTTTTAATGTGACCAGGCTTGTTTCGCCTCTCTGTCAAAAGAATAATTGCGGCGCCATTCTCACTACACGCCTATATCTGGACGATTCATCTGTCATAGTCTAGATCTCCGAATGGCTTTTATTGTACCAGTCCATAAGAGATCATCTCCCTAAAAGCAAAGCTTAAAGTGATGAGAAACTGAATAGAGACAGGAGTATAGCAACTGAATGATGTTTTCTCTCCCACATACACCATGTTTCTCGTAATATCATAAAAAAAAAAGATCGAGAATCATGAAAGACAATAAAGATGCTTCAACTGATGACTTTTGTGCATTGAAGGTGCAGCAAGGACAAAGAACACATTTAAAGTTTGAATAATTTTGTGTACTCCCTGAAAAATTCGAAATTTAATTCACCCTTATTCTCCTCACTGTTTCATGACTGACATCAGTGTCCATGATGCCTAGATGCTCATTAGATATTCAATTGATTAAAAAAAACAAATTCCTGGGATATGATGCACCCTGTACCCGAAGAAGTTTAATCTCCATCATTAGTCTTTCCACTTCCCTGGCTCTCGCGTGGTTAGTCATTCTTTCTGTCTCGCCACTCCTTGTTTTATTACAAATATTAATAAATCAATTAACCTTTTTTTTTTCTCAAATGCACGGCGCAGCCTGGAAGAATGTTGGACGCCAATTTGGTTATTCTTTTTTTAGAAATCAACATTGACGCTGAAAAGCACCATGATCCATTCGCGCCTTTTTTTTTAAGATTAGAAGCGGCGCTGCAACTGTATACTACAGTGGATTCCAAAGGCATCCTAACCCGCACCTTATATTACTCTTACAGCCGCATACACCAAGCATTGATAGTTGAAGAAAATGTCAATACAATCACCATCTCTAGCGCCCCATGTAATGTATGAATGTCCTATTAAGTACACATCATGAAGGAGAAGCATAATGATAAGACATGTAATACACACAAAAAAAAGTGAGGACCTGTTTACCTGACGCTCCGCAGGCGGCAGTCTTCGTTTAGTTTTTTTTTCTCCCAGATATTCCATGAATAAGATGGACTGCGAACTGGGATTTTGTCCCTTCTTTCTTGTTCACCCATTGTCAAAGGCCAATAATATGGCCAGTGCGCTATTTCCTAAAAAAAAAAAAAAAAAAAAAAAAAAAAGGTGTAAAACATACAAACCGTGCAGGTGCCCTGTTTAAAAAGTCTCTTTGGACGTCTTTTTTCCTTGCATGGACTGTCGACTCTTTCAAGTTTCATGCAGGCCTTTTTTTTTTTTTTTTTTTTGTCAAGCCTATCAAAATCCTGCCATTACTTCTTAAACTATGGCCGTGTCTCATCGGATGCCCATGGACCTTGGACCAAAGCCCTCAGTACGTTGTGTTTTACCTGCGCACTGATTTTTTGTGCTTGTGCTTTGCCATACGAAGGGAGGAGGGTTATTTTTTTTAATCATGCATCATTGCATGTGCCTGTGTTTGTTTGTTCTTGTACAACGCTCGGATAATTATTATTTTTTTTCTACGTGTTTCAAAAAAGTGAGCCCTTGCGCATCTTTTGAGTCACGCCAAAAAAGACTTTTTTGTTTTTCAAAGGGCACTCGTTTTCAGGTTTATTACGCCAGGTGTACACTGTTAAAAGAGTGAGTGGAAGGTGGAATACGGACAGACACGTATGCCTTTAAGGATTTTGTAAATTTCACTATAGTAGTTCGCGCCTCTCAACAGATAATGATCATAATTGCCATCCTTTGGGCTTCCCCGTCAACAAGACATTTCTCCTTCCCAAGATTAGATTGCAAAAAAGGTGGTCAATCCACAAATAGCCAATTTAGCTGAGATCAAGTGGTTACAACTTAATCACCAGCTGTAACGATACCGTCTTAATAGACTTGCAGAAATGTAAACAAGAAACAAACCATTGGTATAGGAAAAAGGCAATGCTGAGGCATGCTCGAGATCGCAACCAAGGAGCACAAGTTAATGAATATCTTTAAGCCAGGTCACATTAGAAAATTTACGAGGCAAAAACCAGGACAGAAATTGCAGCATAATGCCAACCAAGAATCCCTAATGGACTTGGGACTTGGAGATATAGAGCACTATCTTTATTCCCAAAGACTTTAGCTCATGAGCACAGATATTAGAACAAGTTTAGCTAGCCACAATGCAGCCGTCAAGTTGATCAATCTTGAGATGACAGTTGAGAGAAGTCGAGCCATAAATACCATACCAGGCGGGACTATCTGATTTGACCCAGTTTCAAATCTGAAGAGAAGGTCAAGGATTGCACATCAACGACAAACCCACATATCTTGAGGGCCACATTTGCAATTGCACGTCTGGGAAATATACTCTCGATCACATATTTTGTTACAGTGTTTTGGCCTGGCTACTGATTTGTTACCGCTTGAACGACATCCATATCAGAGAGCCAAAGAAGATAGAGATCTCTAGAGCCGAGAGGATAGCCTACCAGGGGATATCATCCCAAACGATACAGGTAACAAGCAAGAGAGCCACTATAGCAATAAATAGGGTCAGATATCACCCATCTGGGATCACAGGATACGCTTGCATCAAACGAGAGTGAATATTCTCATCCTCTGCATGAGCTGATTCCATCAGGTCACCGTCCCACTGCCATGATATAACAGCACTTGCACAGCCGTTGCAGCCAGACCAGCAAGACCAGCTCCACAAGTCAATACAAAGAATGAATGCGATAGAATATACTAGAATTTACAGCTTCGCCCAAAATCTAGAGCCTTCCATTGATAAATAATTTAAATAGAGCTTTAACACTTTTTAATAAATCATCAACTATACCTATCCTCTCGACCCCTGACCAAGACTTTTGCAATGAACCAATGCGGACTGGACCGTAGGCCCAGTTGATATCATCTAAAACGCTGTCAGTCAAAACTTTGCCTTTGTTATATGGGTGGCTGACTATACCCACGGAATAGTTGAGGAGACATTATTGGATAGGTTTTGGGTGTCCAAAGATTGGTATAAAGTGAGGCGATTCAGAAGATCTATGAAAGCATCCCAATTGTAGGGAATATGAATTCTAGGAACAAACGAGCACATTTCCTTTTCAGAAGAGTGACACTGTGACTAATTTTGGGGGTTAGGCCACGTGGGCAGGCCAAGCTATTTAACTATATATTTAGACATTACTCTGTCTAGGAGTAAGAAGATGCAACGTGGGTCTTGTGTAGTCTTTTATCAGTGTTTTGTACTGATGTACCTCCATACCTGAATTCGGTAAAATAAACCGATTGTGACATACAAAATTTACGGTATTTGCAAAAGTAAAAAATCGGTAAGTTTCTTGCCGGTTTCTTACCTCTGTATAGGCTCGTTCCCATCCCTCTTCACTTTATAAAGGTGACAGGAAATTTCATTTCCTTTTTCAGTCACCTATAGTGAAGGGGCCGAACTGTAGAAACTAGTGGCAATAACGCGTCACACTAAGACGCGACAAATCTTTGACATGAGAATCCATGTTGTCCTATAGATAGATATGTAGCTATCTGGTACAAGCCCCTCTACCAGAAATGAATAAAATAATCCATGGGTGTGGTGTGTTGACCCACATCTTATTCTCACTTACTTTTCGACTGTCTACTATCTATCTGAAAATATTTTTCACACCTCAAATTTCTCCTCGATGATCTCAAAAAAACCATTGTCTACTTCCAGTGCAAGCGCGAAATCAAATATTGGTATGAGCATTTGGCTAAATCAGCAAAGGACAAGATCGCTGAATATTATGCCGACTTCTCCGAACCTTACAAGCGACGGACCATGGAACGGTTTAAGCGTGGCAATTTCCTCATTTTGTTGTCTACGGAAGCAGCCGGGATGGGATGTGACATTAGCGATGTTCTCCGTGTTGTGCAGTACAAGTGTCCAGAATCTATCTTAGCTCTTGTGCAGCGTCTTGGGCGTGCGGCTCGCAATCCGAAGCTTCGAGGTGAGGGTATTTTATTGGTACCCCCACCGTCCACTGATACTAGGTTCCCAGATAACGATCTCGCCAATTACATTACGACTAAAGGATGTCGGCGGGAAGTCCTTAATAGTATCTTCGGCAATAACCCCTCACCTAATGAAGACTGTTGCGATAACTGCCATAGAATCCCTGAGCAGCTGCAACTTTGTTGCAATGAAATCCGCGTTGATGTCACACCGAGAGTTCGTCGAACGGCAGAACAGAAGGAAGCTGCCAAGCGAGCCATAAAGGATTGGAGATCGGCAGTGTTCCGAAGGGATTTTGAGCCAGTTAAGCCCTGGCTAAGGGAAACTTGTGTGATAACGGTTGTGGCGATCAATAAGTTGGGCGAAAAGTTTGGCAATGTTACGACGGCCAAATCAATAATGAATCTCAGCGGCTGGACTTTTTGTTTTCCCAAACATTTAAAGGAGCTCACCGACATGCTTGTTCAATTAAACGAGGATATTGATAATGAAGGTCGCTCAAACCTGCCGCCGCAGCTCCAAATTAGGGACTCTCATGTTAATCAGGCTGGTCCTGTTCGGAGAGTTCGGCAGACCGCAAGGCCAACGTTTTCATTTAAAAATATGACTTCTTTAGACTTTGCCACACCTAGGTGAGATGTTTCTGATTGTCCGGTCAAGGAGATCAAAAATTGTTTTTATTATCGTTCCCAGGCGGGAGTCTTTATTAAGGACCCGCCATGACCGTCACAAAAATCCTGATCTTATGAATAAAAATGGAAGTGCACCTCACTTCCAAGCCTCGGAACGTAACACTAGGAAGCCCAATGGCAACTGAGATGGAATGATGCTGTGGTGTTTACACCACATAACTTACCTAGCTAGCTACATACCTATTTAAATCTAGTCTGTGGAAAATTAAAGGATTGATTGTTCTTCACTGGCCATTGACACGTACAGATTTGACGGACACCCTACTGTGGATTTTTTTCTTATGGGAGAATCTTGTGATGTCTAATCGAAATGGGCAGCCCCTCAACGGCACAGGAAGACCTGTCCTGTTGCCAATGTTGTACTGTAGATTTTAGAATAAAGCGATTCAATTGGCCTGAAAAAATAAACTGTTCTTTTCTCATCAATCTTCTCATCAGTAGCGCTATTCCGTTACAATGTTCGTAGACCATAATAAAAAAACCCCCTTTTTTTGTCATGTAAAATGTTCTAAGTTTATTTAAACATTCCAGACCGATTCCCAGATGTCTGTTTATCTCATATAATTCCCAGAGTGCGAACACGAATCTAACTATAGTTTTCATACACGTCCACCCTTTTTTAATTTTTTTTTTTGTTTTTTCATCAGTGTGTTTCAATCGTAAAAGAAAAACACAAACCTATATAAACATGTTAAAGATGAACATCTCCCCTCTCCTCTCTCTATTTTTATGCTTCCACTCTACTTTTATCCAGCTTTACACTTTTATGCTTTTACTTATTGAAAACCTTCTTCATCTTATTCTCAGAAATACCGTGCTTCAGCTTCAGCCAGCTCAATATTCAACTCGAACTACTCCAATATTCTACAAGTACACAGTTTGGTCAAGGTAATGGTAGCATCCAATGTATTTTCCCTCAGCCTGAAGGGGGAGGTGTGTACTCCACTTTAGGGGGATTTGTCCTGAAGGGGGAGGTGTGTACTTCACTTTAGGGTGTAATGGAAGGTGTGTACTTCATTACTACATTGGGTTGCTAACCATTACTTTTTTCATGTAGGGGATGGCCAATCATCTTGATATAAGCATCGAAGAGCTCTTCAAGAGCCACGGTGTTTCCACACATCCTGGTGTACTATACTTCCAAACCCGTAATGCTGGCGATTCGGCGAAATTTAATATTCAAGCTATATTAAATTTCATAATTGTTCGAGCAACAGCAGCATCAAGCGCCATATCACAGACTGGAACACATGGATCAAGCTTTTCCAACAGAATCCTATTCCCGGCCTTGAATACATTAATGAATTCAAAGACATCTACCTGCGCGACATTCAATTCCCAAAAATTGGTATGGTAAAATAACCTATTTTAAATGCGTATTTGCAATAACAAACGAACTCAATTTTAACAAAAAAAAAAGACTTGACCACCGTTACAGAGGATGATCCTTTTAGAAATGGCTATAACAAATACAAAGGGGCCGCATGGGTCATGGAGCACATTGACGAAGTATTTGACGTAGACTCTGCTCTCTTCGCGTATACGGTCGCACAAGAAAAGGAATCAGTACTTCACTCTTTTATAATTGATTTAAAGCCCGAAGACATTCATTCTGAGCTTGCCTATATACCCGAAATCTACAGAGACAAGCTGATTTCATCAATCAATAGCGCCGACCAGAGATTCTTGACCAATATTAACATAAAGTGCGACACTTGGATAGAACATATATTGGACCACTATTCATCCTTACCTTCATCAGATCCTGACACGGGTCTCGACGCCTATGATCAGCTTCTTTCATCAGGATGGAGGACCATGGAGGAGCTTTATCCAGCTCATACCAAAGATGATTCCAACTTTATGAAATGCCTATATGGATTATTACTACAGCTTCATTCCTTGTACGCTGCTAACAAAAATCTACTTCCTGACAATGAAAAAGAGACATGGTATCTTAGCAACATATGGTACCCCTTCTTTCGTCTAATTTGCAACCCCGCCAGCAATCTTCAATTTGAATGCGCTGAAACAACTTCATATTCATCATTTGGAAGGCAAAACACCAAAAGGAGTTTGGGCACCAAACAAGTAACTGGACGCAAGTGCGATATTATATTTAAGTCAACATTGTCCGGAGTAGAAATAGCGGTAGTGGAGGCCAGCAATGACAACCGTGGACCTAATACAACTAAATCGTTAATGGATGAACGAAAAATAGCCAAAATATTAAAGGACATGTTCGATAGCAATTGTATGAAAGCTGCAGAGCCGACAATAACCAGAGGCAAGGCTTCTACCTTTGGCATACTAATTAATGGAGCTAGTGCAACACTTTGTTCTTTATCCTACATTGATGGCCGATATTACCGGTTTTCCAAGGTTGAGCCGCTCGAAATCCCACCTACTTGGAATATCAGTGCGATCATTCATGTTATAAGGGGAATGCTATCCTTTCAAGCATGCCTCAAAAAACATGCCAGTCTGATTTATGATGGATCGAATGAAAAAAAGTCATTCCGAAATGAAAACCACGCCTCCTCCTTTTTTCCTCCAACCTTTCTGACTCCTTGTAGCTCCAGATCTGGCTCACCAAATTACTCAAAAAGATGTAAAAGTATCCGGACAAATAGTAGCGATAGCTTGGAAAATGATGATGAATAGAAAATGCATATGGCTATTACATTTTTCAAAGGGCTTCATGAGATGTTCGATGAGACTGATAGCCGACATTAAGTTTTTTTTTTTATATTCAATCATTACAAGACGCAATGAAGGGTAGATACTGAGATGATGCGGCAAAAACAGCGGAGACTATCGCAAGACATATACTGATGAAGCCGAGGGCTATGGGTAAGAGTGAGGATATGGCCAAATGTGACAGTATATAGCCTTAAGCCTATAAAAAGGCTTGTTTTAATAATTTTAATAAAATCATCTTTTGTCTTTCTTAACTATTACACCAAAATGGGAACACAATTGAAGCTGGAGATGGGGTATAGGACGAAGTATTAGCGCAAAAATGAGAGATAGCTACAATATAAAATATTCGGTGATCTTTTAGTCAAACCACGACGACATATGCAAACTGGGACTATATAGGTACGGCTCTTTGGATCGGCCCTAGCACCTGTACATTAGGATTTTATTCACTTTCATAAATATACCTCATCCTCCTCATCCTCCTCACCATTCTCACCATCCTCACCCCCACCATCCTCACCACCCTCACTATCCTCACCATCTTCACTACCCTTACCATCATCCCTATCGTCCTCATCATCCAGCATCATATCCATATCTGGGTTATTGTATACATCCGTCTGCTCGGCTCCAGGGAAACAGGACGTTATATAAGTTTCCGTCTGCTCATCTTCTGCCGAAAGACACGCGAGAGTGCCTTCCATATCATCAGCATTATTCTGTTTGGAGATTTGCTCCATAAAGTCTTGGAAGCATCCTCCTTCCAGTTTTTCAAAGCCTTCGCAATACAAATCTCTAACAATCGGAACATGGTCGCAGCCCAAGCAAGGACCTCGGCCGAGAATGTTGTAGGTCCGGAGATGAGCTACTATTCTCATGATGTCTATATTCGTAGAAACTGGCGAGTGTCGAGTGCTGGTGGGAACGATGTCGTACTCTCTCTCGAATATTGATTTGAGCCTTGAAAAAAGACGAACATTAGTTGATATTGAATTGGCCAATACATCCCAGGACATATTGCTTCCCTTCGCTACATGGATGACTTTAATCAGCAGATTATTATGCTCCTGATACAAATCCGTTGGGATCCATGCATTCTCCTTGCCCTTCGTATTTATCAGCAATGAAGCTAAAACGGCCTTCCTCCGTTGTTCAGACCAGCCGTGGTGAATCCCTTATGCCAACCGCAAGAGCTCCCTCGCATAATTCTTCATTCCTCCAGCTTGAAACATGACAGTTATTGTTTCCAACACATTTTTTATCCGCCCAACATCCCCGGCCTTGATGGCAGCACCCAACTCAATATAAGCAAGGGTGTCTCTGAGGAACAAGACCGCGTTCGCGTTCGCATTGCTGTATTCCATGGCGACTCGGTTTGCGTTGCGCAGGCACTTTTGGACTACGGCATTGACTCTCTCGAACATTTGGACTCGCCCGTTGCCCGATTTGCCATGGCTTTCCAACCCACATTCATAAGCTCTCATATCGCTGATTTCCAGCCTAAACTCGACCTCCCATAGTCGCCTGACCATTGCATCGAAAGTGTGCCTTATTAGCTCGTCTGCGGCGTGAAAATTTGATGTATCCATACCTAGACGCTTGCGTTCCAGCATAGATATAATAAAACCTAGTGACCCTGGAGACGAAAAGGATCCATAATGAGTACGAAGGATTGTACCGCAGAGAACCATCTGAAGGTGAAAGAGCTGTATTAGAGGAAGCGCCCATTGCATCCGACTGAAGCTTGTTGTATCGGCTGCACGTAATTCTTGCAAGGATATTATTCTGGATATCGTAAGCTGATCCCCCGCAACTATGATTTTCGTATAATCGTTGAACCACTCTTCAGGCAACTGAAGGACGTCTCTCATAGTTTTCTCAAGGACCTCAATGTTGCCCGATATAGTAGCCTGGTCAATTTCCAACGAACGCAACGGGCATGTCTTAGTTTCCTGGACTTCGAGGGGCTCCACTGAAGGAATGCTGATCGGGGTACCGTAGGTAACGAAATGTCGCTGAAGTACATCAATCAAATGGAATTGTATGACATCTCTACGGCATTATTAGAACTATTAGCAAAATAATTAAATGAACTGTTATGTGCTTCACCCATGTTTTTGTGCCTGTTCCTCACCTAGCATACAATTGCTCGAGAAGAAAGGTGGAAATGGTAGGGGGGACGGTTACATCTTGGTCTGGGTCAATATCTTCACCAAGTACGATGGTTGAGGTGGTCCCATTGTCGAAGGAGTCCAAGTTATTACTGCGCTGGTCATACTTCCGATTAGCAATATTGATATTATCATACACTAGGAAAAAATGGCGTTTCTTAACTTGGAAGCGGACTTCCTCGAGTGAATTCGCCGTTAATGATTTAAGGGCTGTGCAGATCGTCATGTGCGACACTGACATACCAGACGCAGCGAGCAAATTTATCACACGCTTCGGACATCCCGAGGCATGCAAATGAAGCCCCATCATCATTTGCAAATAGTTCGATTTCTGAGAACGGAGTTTCACCAGCATGCTAAAGATGGTGGCAGCAACTGCTGGTGCGTATTTAGTGGGCCTATGATTGACACGCGTTAAGTTGTAAATGATCTTAAAGAGGAGGGGTGCTGACGCCAATTTTTTTTCAATTAAAGTTAATGAAAATTTCTGAACCACCGTGGGGGACAGGTTGTTGGCTGGGAGCCTCAGATCGTCGGTCAAAGTGAGCTGCTCGAGCTCGTCTATTGCACCCTCAACGACAATATTTGCTACGGCCCTGGAGAAATCGCCATATTCATTGTAAGGCCTTTCGAATTTCAATCGCAAGCCCCAGACCTTTACTATGTAGGCAGGGCCTTTGTTTTTGTAAAAGCTCTGGACACTTCTTTTGATGTTCTGATCATCCGAATTGAATATATCTAATAGAAGCTGTACCAGTGATTTTTTGTTTGTTTTCATAACGTTAAATATCTCGAGTAGATAATCATCCTTTGGACGACACATAAAAGAAGTTTCGTCGATAATAGTCAACTCCTCCTGCTGCTTTGATGTAGCAGCTTTAGGAGTCACTGGCACCTCCGTTGCCGTGTGTTTTTTCCAGCGCTCGCCCTTTATGCTAAAGGTGAGATATGAAGAGATATATGAGGGACAGCCACGGGATAATTTTATATTTGGATTTGGCGTTGGTAATAAGGTCTTTTAATTATAAGTATATAGAATAGTATACGAACTGGTAGTAAACCCTATGGGGCGGCGGGTGTGCGTTACTGGGATTCATCGCGGGTTGCTTGTAGAGAGGCGCCGTGCAAGAAGTGAAGAAGGAGGTGACCAAGAGAGGCAGGCCAAGGAGCGAGAGAGAAGCGGAAGAGAAGCGACTAAGTAAGGCCAAGGAGTAAAGAAAGAAGCAATCAGAATATTATCACAGCAAATCTACGATATAGCACTTTTTTGTTCCAAGCCTCAGGAGCAAAACAAAAATACAAAGGATTTTTTTTTATTTTTTATTTTTACTACAAATCTATAGTATCCAAAACCAAGTGTGGAAGCATCCTCACCTTGAACTCAGGGAGAGTAGTGAAGTAATGAAGTGAAATGCGATGTAAAAAATAGGATACAAAAATATATATATATATATATATATATATATAAGAACCAAGCGCAAGTTATGCATATATGCAGAGGTAAGAAATCGGTATAAAGAGGTAAGAAACCGGTAAGTAACTTACGGATTTTTTACTTTTGCAAATATCGATGTTAGGTAAATTTTGTATCACAGGTTTATTTTACCGAATTTAAGTATGGACGAAACACTGCTTTTTATCTTTATTTTTATTTTTTATTTTTACTTTTTACTTTTATTTTTGATTTTTAGTTTTATTTTTATTATTATTTTTATTTATTACAGTCATCTTTTATTTTTTTTAATTATTATTATTACTGTTATTATTATTATTACTGTTATTACTATTATTACTATTACTATTACTATTACTATTACTATTACTATTATTATTATTATTATTATTATTATTATTATTATTATTTTTGGAAAAACAGTGACATTTACCAGCAAGGTATATCGTACATATGGTATTCAAAGTGATACTATCCGCTGGATACCTTTTTCTATTTTTTTTTTATTTTTTTTAATTTTTTAATTTTTTATTTTTTATTTTTTATTTTTTTAATAGTTAACAGAATAAAGAGTCTAAGAACCCTTGGAATAAAATAAAATGATAAAAAATTAAATTTCTTCACGCTTTTTTTTTTCTTCTTTTTTTTAATAAACTATTTACAAGACACGGTCGGCTGCTGCAGCATTAGCCTCTGCAACCGCTTGGTCGATCTCTGCTGGGGACGGGGGAATCAATGATGTGACGAACGTGACTAAGGCACGTTCCACTTTTTGAAGTGTTGACACTCTCTGCTGATCTACTTGTTCCTGTTGCTGTTGCTGTTGCTGTTGCTGTTGCTGTTGCTGTGGCTGTCGTTGTTGCTGTGCTTGTGGCTGCATATGCTCATGCTCATGCTCATGCTCATACTCATGCGAACCTCGAGAAGCCGGTCGTGTAGCAAAGGTAGCAGCAGCAGCAGCAGAAGTAGAAGAAGGAGATGTAGTCTGTTCACGGATGTTGTCACCCCGCTGGCTTGTTCTATCCTGTTTCTCAATAGATGCTTGCTTTGGTGCTACTACTTCATCTGGTCTGTCTTTCTCTTTTTCTTTTTCTTTTACTTGCTTCAGTGTCGGCTGCTCCGAGTCAGCTTCTATCAGATGTCTCCCTCCCTCTACCATATTTTTTTCAACAGTTTCCTTGCTTTCAACTTTGTTACTGCTACTGTTGCTTGATTCCCCTTCGACTGAAGGAGAAGACGCCAATGAATCTTCTACTGCTCCCGTCCTCAATGCTGTTTGAGAAACACCAGTGGGCCTCTCTGCTACATCTGCTGGCGCAGCTACAGGAGCCTCTGGCGGAGGCTCTTGGTGAGGGCGAGCAATCCTGCGAACAATCCGGAGGCGTCCTGTTTGTTGCCTAAACGAAAAAAGAAAAAAAAAAATGCCTCTTAGTTTTTCACCTTTATCTATGTCGCGTAAATAATAGCAAGAACGACAACAACAACAACAACAACAAAGTATAACGTGCTCGAGGCGGAGCTTTCTTACAAAAAGATGACAGCTGCTACAAGATACAACAGGATAAGTCGCTCGATGCTGCCGTTCTGTCCAAACATATACACACCAATTGTTAGTTTCAAAATAAGCCATAATGCAGCACCTCTACGTTGATCTCGGGGTGCATTATCTTGTGGTTGATGTTGATGTTGATGTTGATGTTGATGTTGATGTTGTTGCTGTTGCTGTTGCTGCGCACCATTGTTTACCACTCCTGTTGCTGCATCATGTGCCTGATTACCAATGTGCTGGTGCTGCATGCCTATAAAGCCACCATCCAGACTTGCTGTCCAAGGAGGTAAATAAGATCCATTGAAGATGGCCTGCTGTTGCTGAAAAGGAAGCTGATATGAAGGCACCAAATATGGCATCCCACTGAACGCATAAAAAATAAAAATAAAAATAAAAAAAAATAAAAAAAGAAAGTCCATGGTCAGTACAGCACAATCAACAAGCGAGCGAGCTATTTGCAAAACAATTATTTACGATTCGACTCGATATTAAAGAGTTACTCACTTTACAAAAGCGTATTGGTATTGGTACTGACCCAAATTTGCCATTAAATGTGGTGATAAGGTGTAGGGAGGGGACAACCCTATTCTTGGATCACCAACAGCACAATTCGCGGGCTTTTTGTCTTTTTCAATATCTTCATTCTTTTTTGAAGACACATTATAGGATGCTTTGGCCTGTTCGTCATAGCTGTTGTTATTGTTGTTGATGTTTATATACCGTAAAGGCGAAGGAGATACTGGTTCTGTTATCTGGCTAACCACCGCTGTTCTAGTTCCTGTTAATGTTCCAGTTCCTGTCCAGACTTGACGGTGTAGATATACTGTCAACTGAAGTGCCGCTGTGGTTGATGATGACGAAGGTAGGAAATTGTTACCCTCCTATAGAAAAATAAAAAAAATAAAATAAAATAAAATAAAATAAAAATAAAAATAAAAATAAAAAGACGGAGCATTAAGAGAAGAACGTCTCAATGTCCATGGGAAGATGTCTTCAAAAAAAGAACGATAGGATAGTAAGATCTTTTATCGACTCTACCAAGATACTGTCCAATGTATCTGTATCGTTCAAGGCAGAGGATGACTTTCCACAGAACAACTCCAAATCATTAAAAGTTGAGGTAGAGAGCGGCTTGTACAAACGCTGCCATATCAACTCCTTGAGTTGCCGCGCTGTTGACTGTCGCTCTATTGTCAACAAGAATTGATATGGAGGTAGAGTGGGCGAGTTGATTTCAACAGTGATACGCTCCATAATTTGGATGAAACTTGAAATAAATAAAAAAAAAAAAAGCGAAGGGACTGTTATGTTTCAAAGGTGGAGTTGGTTTGCTTGTGAAGTGTGAAGTGTGAAGTGTGAAGTACGGATTGTGAAGTGCGAATTGTGAAGTGTGAAGTGTGCAGGGATAAATGGAGTAAGGAAAGGCCGTGCTTGTCTGTGTGAGAAGTTATTTAAATTGTATAGATTAGTCGATTAGTAGATTAGCAGATGGGATGAAAAGATTAGCATGTGAAACAGGATTGATTCTCTTTGAAGAGTCGCCAACACACAAATACACACACATGTTTTCATCAGTGGTTATGCATTTTAGCGGACGTCCATTGTCTGGAATGTTGAATTGCACCAACAGAGACGTCTTGCACACAAGGCCTTTTTTTTAAGAAAAAATAAAAGTGGGAACAAGCACGCGCGTCAGCTTTGCGCAATGCTGGTGACTATGCAAAAACAGATTTTCTTTAAAAATGCGATAGAGTATCATTTTTTTACTATTGCCTTGAGAGCGATTAAAGCTTCAAATACGCCCGCGTTACATGTACAGCCGAGGTACGATAGAGAATTGATCCCTCGTCGGCAGGCGGAAGGCATTCGTAGCCTGAGCTTGAGCTGTTCACAAGATCGCCTTAAGCGCTCTGACACGGGCTCATGAAGATGCTCGCGCCTCAAACCTTTGCCCTGGAGACAAAAAGTAAATTGACAGTAGACATGACCGCTAGATTAGTCATGCATGTCCTGTAGGCAAGAGTTAAAGCTGTGGAGGGCTGAAACAAGATCATTCAAGTCCGGGGTTACTCAGGTAGAGCGCACTATTACCAGTTAGGCTTTCCCCTCAATAGTGGACAAATAATTAACGCGAGGCTGTTCTTGATAAGGGTCATAATGAAATGACCATAGTTGGGTCAGGTACACAGAGCCTGTACCTGTAACTCCCTGTTCTAATCCCATCATTGTATGAACACCGTAACCATGTGGTGCCAAGCCTCTGTATCCGTTCTCTACTTATTAAGGATCACACAGAAATGCACTCTTGTTCCGACAATGCGAGGCTATCCTCCACGAGAGGAACAGATGGCAGCAAACCAAGACAGTAAACAAGGCTATAATCAACGGGATTTTTCATCCACTTTCAATAGGCTATGTCTAGTAATAAGCTAGGAGCATATCGTAGGTCAACAACCAAACAGCATTATCATTCTCCCACCCGTTTGCAGCCGTGTGATTGTTAAGCTCAATTAGATTAGTTTACTGAATGTGAATCCTTTCCCAGTTTTCAGCTTTCTTGTAAACTCTTGTTTCAAACAAAACTGTGTATGTCGGTGAAATTCAGCGACGGTATTTTTGGGCACAGTCCCAATGTCTTTACTGGAAGTGGTGTCGATCATGCCTACATCTACATAAAGGTTCAGGTCAAACGAACTTTAAAAGGGTCTTCGCTTCGCCACAAACTTGCTTTTTTGCTTAGAACCAATGTCGTGTGTGCCGTACAACAAACAATGAAACTTTAATTGTAAAGCCAAGAAATGAGAAGTTTGAAGTGATTGTTATTAGTCTAAGGAAGGAGAGAGGCGAGAAATGTTGAAAAACATGGATGGCGAGGTAAAAAAAAAAAAAAAAAAAAAAAAAAAAGCCTGACCGAGTCATATCGCTGAAATACCAGAAGCCCTTATGCATCAACCTGAAGATCGATAAGGTATGAAGCGATACTTTTATCCTATCATCAAAGGCTTGCAATATCCAATGACAAGGTTTTTTTTTTTTTTTTTTTCCCATTGCCTTGCCCTCCTTTAACTCACATAGTTTTTATGATCAAAGCTCTACTAGGAAATTATATTGAGCTTATTGATCTACTTGGCCCAAACTCGATGTTGTGTTGTGGTGGCGTGTCCATCACGTGAGCATGATTGAAGTTCTGTTGCTCTGTCATTCTTCATGTGTTGATCATTCTTCATTTCTATTCACCAATCTACAAACTCCGTTCAATGGTAATTTAGTTTTTAATCAGGCACTGGTGATTAATGGAGAAGATATAAATGTTTTTTTTTTTTTTTTTTTTTTTTATCTTTCCTCATTCTTTTGCTTGGAATCACAAGGGTGCTACGATGATAAAAAGCTAGTCTGGATTTAACCAGCTGTTCGCCCGACAACAAAGATGTGGAGGCGACAGTATTTTGTGTTTGAATTGAAGATTGGTTACACTTGACCTGAGCACCTTATTCTCGTTACGGCAAATAAGAATGAGGATTAGAAATAAGAATGAGAATAAAAAGTGAAGAGCAGAGTAAGCCTACTGACTTTATGTTTTTGATATTTTCATCTGTGCACTTTCTTGATAGGGAGCCAAGAATAGGAGGATGGGCGGTTAGATTTTTTTTTTATTTATTTTTAATTTGCCGCCATTTCTTAATATCTTGATGCAAAGATGCATTGACTTTCGAAACACGGTATAGACTAGGAATTGGATATAGAGAGGTTTTATTCTTTATTAAAGAGATACTACGAGGGTGTATGGACTACGGATGAGATCTAGGATGAAGAAGAGTAGAAGCAGATTGGAACACGAGTCAAAGTGAAGAAACCAAACCTTAGAGCAACAGGGCTGTTGTTGGAGCAGAGCGATTTGCCCCTTTGTGTGTTGAATAGGATCTGTCGCAGGATCGAGTCCAGAGGGGTGTGAGTCGTTCTGTTTGAAGTGCAGAGCATAAGACCTGAAAGAGGAGCCGGCCAATGGGTGATGAATAAGAAACAAAAAAAAAAAAAAGAAAAGAGAAAAAAGAAAAAAGAAAAAAAAAAAAAAGAAAAAAAAGGTATTTGATAATGATGATGATGGATGATGATGGACGATGATGGATGATGGAGAAGAGAGAGGTAGAGAGAGTATGTGTGCTAGTTGCTAGTTTTGTAGTACGTGTAGTAAAGTGAGTAAAGGATAGGCATGTGGATGGAACAGGAACAGAAAAGGAACAGCGCAAAATAAATGGATGGAATAGAACAGAAAAAATGTTTCTCTTTTCCTTAATGCCCTTTCCCCCCTCCTGTACTCTGACCTGTCATTTGTCAATTACTCTCTTGATCCCCCTTCTCTTTACCCCTCCCTTTCCTCTATCTTTTTTTTTTTTTTTTTTCCCATTGCCCTTTTGCGCCTTTCTATCCCCCTGTTCATCTTTTTTCTTTCTGTTTCTTTCTCAATCTCCTTCTCTTTGTCATACATAACGCATATCTCAACCTTCGACAACATTCCACTTCTCTTCTTCTCTGTCCCTTTTTTTTTTTTTTTTTTTTTTTTTTTTAATACGTACGCATATACAAATATATACAAATATATACATATATATATATTTATATATACTTTTACATATTGCTTGCTGGACCAGACCACTTCACCAAAACATATTTCACTTATCCTGCTTTGATCACTAACTGCTTTTCATCCATCTGCTGGTAAGTCATTGATCATCTCCTTGACTTTAAATGATACATTAACAATTGTTTATACAACCCCCTTCCATCATGAATGCACTCGTGTTTCAATTCCTAGACTTTTTTTTTTTTCTTTTCCTTTATTTATTGTGGTGCTTCTTGTTGTAAAGTCCACTATCGTAACGGTTTGAGGTTATCGAAACGTTCACATGCATGATCTTTGTCTTCACTAGTCTGGAAAATTTAAGCAGCTTCATAATCGATGAAAGGGCTATGTTACTATGTGACAGGGCTAAATGATCTTCTCAGTTACCGTTGTTCCAAGTCACGTTCACCCATTCACACGAACATACATAAACCAAACCATATTGGATTATCACCAATAAGTTGTTTTTTTTTTAAAAGGGATAGAAAAAAGAATGAAAACATCTTTGAGAATGGGTGAAAAGTGATGCAGTATACAGGGACAACAGATGGATACGTTACTGCTATTCGACTCTCTTTTTTTTTTTTTTTTTTTTTTCTTGTTCGATCCCTGATTTCTTCTTTTCTGAATGCCGCATAATGTTTTTTTTTTTTTTTTTTTTTTTTTTTTGTTTGGGTGCTGGTGCCTGAAAATATACTTTCCATATTCAGTCCATGCGCGATAAGGGAGCAGGGTGTTTCTTAAACTTTGAATGGATCATGTTTGAATAGTATTATGTTATATCTGTATTTATATATATATATTTATATGTATATATGCATTTATATCCTTACACATGTGTGTATGCTTGACATGCTTTAGATATGCTTTGGATGTGCTTTGGATGTGCTTTGGATATGCGTTGAATATCTCCCCTTCCTCCTCCTCTTGGTCTAGTGAGGGTGTTGTTGTTCACAGCATCAAAAAGGCTGGACCAGACCATTCAAAACCCAAGAGCCACTAAGCTGTGTGTGTAAAGGTGTGCCTGATAGAGGCTATTATAGGCCATGTCCCGCGCTTGTTTTTTTTCTTTTGCTCCCTCTCTTTAATGTTTTCACCGACGTTTTTTTTTTCTTTCCTTTTCTTTTTCTTCACTGAACCAACAGAATAGAAGCAAACTTAGACAGCATAATATATTCCTGTTTAGTGCTTAGTCTTGCTATTCAGAATCTATTCAATCACAATCCAAATTTCTATCGCCTTCCTCCCCCCCTCTTACGACTCTCTTTCTCTTGACGTTATAAATCCCGCCCTTTGCCTTTCCCTCTCTTTTTCTCTTTTTCTCTTTTTCTTCTTCTTTGTTTCCTCTGTTTCTGTCTCTTCAACTCTGTATTCTACTCAAAACCCCAACTGACTCTTTCTTCTCTGTCTTTTCCTCTTTCTCTGCTTCTCGCTTCTCTTTCTGACTTTAATATCTATTCTTCTTTTTTCACTCTCTCCTCTCGATCCGGCTTCTTGGTAGTACAAAAGAGCTTTACCACAGAACACATACAACAATCATCCTCTCTGCTTGCTCCTTTTTTTTTTTTTTTTCTTTCAATTCAAATCCTTCATTCCAATCCCTCCCTCCTCTTTCCCCTTTCCTCTCTCTTGCCAACAGCCATCCCAATCAATGGATCTTCAATATCAATACGCTAGTTCGGCCCCTGGCCCATATTATTATCCACCACAACAGCAACAGCAACAACAACAGTTGACACATCCACTCGATTACGATTACAGTCATGATGACCAACTAGGCTATCCCAGCAGTAACACTGACCAACTATATCACCGTGATATGGACCCTTATCACACCAACACCAAACAATCAAGTTCAGACTCCTATACCAGCACTGGTTCCCACAGCACCAAAACCAATAGAAACAAGTCCAAGAACTCCAATCAATCAGACACAAACGATGTTCAACCCACAAAGACACACAAGGGAAAGGTCTTTCAATGCACCGGCTTTGGTGACTGTCGCATGGTCTTTACACGTAGCGAGCATTTGGCTCGTCATGCTCGGTAAGAATTTTTTTTTATTTTTATTTTTTTTGGTACTCAACTCAGGAACAAAAGAAAAAAAGAAAAAAAGAAAAAAAAAAAAACTGAGACTACTAGGTAAAAAGGGAAAAAAGCTGGGTCCCCTTTGGATATAGAGCTCGGTATATAGAAAGCTTATTGTTGTCTGTGTATTTGTGTATGCTGTGTATGCATCTGTGTGTCTGTGTCTGTGTGTGTTGTGTGTATACTGGTTTGTTGGCTTGGACCAGGTTGAATGATGAAAATGAAAAAAAAAAAAAAAAAGGATTATGTCATAAAATTCCGATACAAACATTCTCCGCTGCAGCCCCCAGCTTGGATGTCACAATGAAATATGCGCTCCAGCTAAAAAGAGATAACAACAACAAAATAAGCATTACCAGGGTTGGATGCATTAACTGTGCCGATTGCGTCGATCTCTCTGCACCTTGGGTAATAAACATTCAAGGAGAAAAGAGACTAGTAACGATGTATCATCATTATCATTATCATCATCATTATCGTCATCATCATCCTATTGGCTCTATCTATCATGACAATTGACTGCAAATGGCCACCTCAACTTAAAGTTCATTTGACAATAACGTCCACACCTGCTCTTTATTTATTTTATTTTTATTTTTATTTTTATTTTTTTAAAGCTCTGAACACAGCAATTACAACACGTTGCTATTAAGATTTTGGTCATCTTGGGGAACCCATACACATTCAAAAAAAAAAAAAAAAAAAAATTAGACAAAAGCGGATATTGTTTGACGTTGCCTTTACATACTTCATCCCTCAATCCTATTATCAACGTTTCAATCTGATTTGACACTGTTTAAAACGACATCATCCTTAGCGAAATGTGCTCTAGTCTTGACGCGTCGAAACTAACTAGCCTTCTTTTCTATCCCGTCATCCTATTCTCTTTTTTTTTTTTTTTTTTTTTTATTTTATTATTATTTTTTATAGAAAACATACTGGTGAAAAGCCCTTCCAATGTGTAGTAGATGGATGCACTCGAATGTTCAGTCGCTTTGACAACATGGTGCAGCACACTCAGACTCATACCAAGGGTGCTGATGGTGAAACGGCTGAAAGCATTGCAAATAAGATCGCTATCGAGAGTCGTCGAAAGAGTGAGGCCGGTCATCTTAATGGGTCCGTATTCCGTCGTGGAAGCATCAAGGGAACAAGGGCCAAGCGTGGCTCCATTTCCTCCGGATCGGGTTCAGAGGCCCCAAGGAAGAGCCGCCATGAACGTGTGCAATCCATGCCTTCGCTGACCATGACCCCTGATGTTCCCCAGAATGAGCGTTCTTCCACTCCAGTCTGGCAATCGTCCGTGACCCCTTTGTCATCATCCCCCTTGTCGGCAAGCAAGCTGCAACGGCAGCGGTCAAAGACCCTTGGAAAAGAAACTGGTAAAATCCGTAAGAGACAAGACTCGATTCGAGACCGTCGAGGATCTCTAGAGTCCTCAATCAATCTTGCCACTGCCGAAACATGGTATGCATCCAAGTTGCATCATCGAACAAGCCTTGACTTTGGACTCGATCAACATTCATTCCTGGCAAACACAGACAGGCACAATGACGTCCATCACATGGGCGCTCCACTCCCTCCTTTGGGTTATAATCCTCCAGATCAGGGGCATCCCTATGGTGGTTCATATACATTTGATCAGCAACAACAACAACAACAACAGCAGCAGCAGCAACAACTCCCTTCTTTCTCGCGTTTAAGACACCCTCTGTCACCTGCTCACTCGTCTCATTCTGATGACATGGATTCGGATGACGGTAGTGTCCATGACCGTAGCCATTTCCATCATCGCAAACAATCCTCCGAAGACTACTATCGTCCGAGCTTCCCTATAGAATCAAGTCCCAGGTCGAGTGTTGTTTCTTTGGAAGAATGTAAGCTTCCACCGCTCCGAACTTCATTGTTCCTACCAGAGATCAAGCCTCGGCTCCCTTCTATTTCTTATGGGAGATTCCGATCACAGAGCATCACCGATGGCTGTGCACCACATCTGGATCACCCGCCCACGAAGACACGCCGACTATCACTCGTTGATCTGAATGCTCCTATTCAAGAGGCCAAGAAAGCAGTACACTATTCATCCGATCTGTCCGAGAGGGACATGCATGGTGGATCACCTGCTCCAGCAAATGGCGTGGATGTGTCCGAGGACGAGATGAAGGCGCTTGAGGCCTTTGGAGAACTCTGGTCTCAGGGTAGGGACGTTGAGATGACAAAAACAAACACAGCTAGCCAGCGGTTTCGATCTATTTCACCATGTATCAAATCAGAATTCTCATCATACGACGCACCCGTACCTGGACCCGACTCTGGGCGTCGTGGAACGTTTGGGGAGGATGAAAATACATTCCAAAGTTACCGACCTTTGAGGAACATGGCCATGCATCTCGACTGAAACAAACACACGGTTATGATGTTTTAGGTATAGGGTGATGACGAACTTGTGTGTATATGTGTGGAAAAGCCATAAGCCACCTTATGCACTCATGCGATATGTTCTACACATTTTTTTTTTTTTTTTTTTACCACCAGTTTATTTTCATTGCATCATATTCTACCCTCTTTTTTTTTTTTTTTGTTTCTTTTTTTTCTGTGTAAATATTTTATTTCTTTTTTTTTTCTTCTCCTTTTTTTTTCCGTATTTCTACCTGTAGTTTTATGCCATATACATCATCCTGCTTTGTGTTTTGCCTCACTAGCATGAAAGAGAAAATGAGAAAAGAGGCCCTGCGCCCTCTTTTCAGGCACACGTTTTGTTCTTTTTGTATTACGATGTTTAGTTTATCAGTGTTGCAAATAAATAAATAAATAAATAAATTAAAATATACACATACATATATATAATGATATATAATAGAGTATAATATGTAACATATCCAATCCAATTCTTGAATTGACGCAATTAAAAACTGGGGCATATTTACAATTTTTTTGTCAGAGAAAACCAACAGAGGTTGGTCAATGACTAGTTTGTGATAAGGTAAACAATGCGGACTAAATATTAGCAACACTTGTTTGGATTCGAAAGGTGCGGACGAAAATCTCTTGTGGGTTCCACCGCCCTGAATTTTTTATTTCTTCTCTGCGGCCTTTTTTTTTTTTTTTTTTTTTTCCCTCCGTTTCTTCTGTACCAATAGTAATTAGTGAAGGGTAAACTCAAAGAATATGTAATTATCACCATCATCATCACCATCATAGTCATAACAGGAAAAAAAAAAAAAAAACACACAGGAGGCGTCATCAGGGATGATTTTTTCAAATATCATTGCCTAATATTTTGACTTTGGAAACTAAGAAAAAGCTAAAAGTTAAGCTAGAGCCACGTTAACGAAAAAGGAAATTAGGATGCATTTGTAAAAGGAAAATAAAAACATTGTTATCGTGATATCGTGATATCGTTACATATGTTATATACATACTAACTTTCATACTAGCTTTCATACTAGCTTTCATACTAGCTTTCATACTAGCTTTAGTGCGGTCATGATGATGGTTCCTGAACCGGGTGTTTTGTTATTTTATAATATTTTATATTATTTTATTTTTTCAAACTATTACAGAGTATCGAACATTTATGCAAAAAAAACCATTTTGGCCGAACAGCAGAATCTGGTAAAGCTTATCTTAGTCTACATCGAGGAAAAAAAAAAAAAACAATTATGCGTTCTAAAAAGTATTGTATATACGTATATATATTATATATATATGCACCTTTTAAAAGCAATGTCTTCAACTATACTTTCCCTCTCTCTTTTTTTTTTTTTTTTTAATTTTTTTTTTTTCTTCTTGAAAGAAAAGGGTTGTTTTCTAGTAAAAGTGATATCGCATCTTCGTCGATAATCGAAAAATAAACATTTTTCTTGCTTTTCTTTTGCTGGGTATAGGCATAATGACGCGATATGCTTGTCATCTTTCTCCCTCCCGTGAGTTTATGCAATGCAAGAGATATTATATATAACATTATACTATATATATTATATTGTATTGTATTATATATTTTATTACTCTATGTGTATATGTCATGTTATTTATCATTAGATCACCATTTTATACATTATACAGATACTCTTTAAAGACTGAATTGATCGGTCGGTGGCTGATTTCTGTGACGAGCTTTGTAACTGTTACTGAGCTGCACACTTTATGATATCCTCCGGAGGTCTTTTAGGCTCATAATCATGAAATCAAATCAAAGCAAATAAAATTTCACCTCGTTTTATTTCGTTATCATATAAATATATATATATACATACAGAGAGAGAAAGAGAGAATGAGAGAGAGAGAGAAAGAGAGAGAGAATGAGAGAGAGAAAGAGAGATTGAAAGAAAGAAAGAAGACTTTCATATGCAACACTGCCGTTGTTGTCTTTATTTTCTTTCTCTCTCGGTTCACAAATAGTGGTATACAATGTTGTGTTGTATTGTTGGTTTCCAAAAGGATGAAGGCACAAGAACTTTTTTTTTTTTTTTTTTTTTTGCTGCATACATCTTTTCATTCTACGCCAGTCTGTGTTTTCTGCAGAAGAGCCCATTTTGCGTTTTCGCGCAACAATATCACGTGCCTTCTTTTTCTTCACTTTACTCGACTTCACTTTACTTCACTCCCACTTCTTAGAGGTGGATGTCAAACTTTATCTTCAGAGCTTCCTAGTCATTTTGAATAATGCATCATGGAGCATTTAATGATTTACTTCTTTGGCTTGACAAATACAGTGAACCTAGTCTTTTGGATTATTCTCTCGCCCTGCCCCCCTTCCTGTCCCCCCCCTCCCCCTCCTGCCCTATGGATTAGACCAAAACACCAATTCATGCTTTTCTAAACGGATCAGAAGAGAGAAGATGCCACCAAGGTTACAGTTGGGATCCTATTGCGAGGAAAAACAACCTGTCTGGTTTAATTACAGCATATTTCCTGATACCTTTTCCCCCAAACTCTTTCCACAGACAGCGCAGTAATTGAAAAGGGTGAGCCAGGATCGCCATTATTGTATATTTAACAACGTTTTCCTATGATAATGCTGGCTTCTTTAGAAAGGTACCAAGGACAATAATGGTAATAAATAACAATGGTTGGAAAGGTTACGCGTCCAAACAACTTTTAGTCGAGATTAACAAAGTAACACAGGCGTTATTTCCCAGGAAGCAAAACCGTTATTTTTGTTATCATTATTATATTATTATTTACATTATTATCTTTGTTATTGTTTTGCTCTGCTGACTATTTCCCCCCTTACTGTTGTCTCACAGCGCGCATCATTTCCTTGTCTGACCATCTCAACCAAGAGGAACAATCTTCTACTCATTTTTTTTTTTTTTTTTTTTACATTCAATTAAAAAATAAACTTCACATCACCCTCCTCCTCATCAGAAGAACAGTTAGTAGAGAAACAGGAGTAACAGAGCGACAAGTGGACAGGCAGCCCAGCTCTCATCGACAAAGAAAAAAAAAAAAAAAAAAAAAAAAAAAAAGTTTAGAGCAAAAGTCACATTCAACTAAAAAAAAGCCAGGCACAAAAAGGGAACTTGTCAGGGACATGGAAAACCTCTTCGTTAGCGTCAGCAACAAGCCTTTAGGTAGTGATGGTAATAACGATACTGCTCAGCCGTATCAGGCGCCCTATTACGGAACCTCAAGGACAGACCTATCTAATCCAACCCCAAGAAGCGACACTTTGGTTACGTCACCCATAAGCTATCACGATCAACAACATCAGGAGAACGAGAACGAGAAAGAGCAGCAACAGCAAAGCATACCATCAATCGCAACAACATCACCAACAGCATCAACAGGAGCCCCACGCAGTGGTCATCTAAACTATAATAGTTTCCAATTTCATTACAATCCCTTTGGAACCCTAGGAGAAGGAGAGGCTACAGACACCTATCCACCTCCACGTGCACCATCACCATCCTCAGCTTCTCAGCCACCCACTAATGCTAGCGAAGATAACGATGGAGCTAATACGACTTATCATTCCCCGACCAAATCCGCAGTATCAATCTCTGCAGCAAGAGAGACACTTCGTTCGCAACAGAGATATCAAAAGCAAAGAGATGAGCAGTTCATGAGCCTGAGACCAAGCTATTCATCCAACTCAATAACCTCCGATGTCTGGACACAAACGGCAACCGCATCAACATCAACAACGCCAATATGCGATAGTACTATAGAGCCTTTGAAAGGTCCATACAATGAAACAGTCTCCACTTCTGCAGCCCCAGCATCTACACCAATTGGACCCACTGTTTTTATACAAGACTCGACCTTATTAGAAAAGGCCCTTCCATCGTTACCAACTACTCCTGGACTGACACCACCTCCTCTAGCTCCTAGACCCGCCACTTCACTATACACAACTCTGGATCGAAATTCATATTTAGTAGGACAAATTGACGCCGTCCCTCCTGCTTCACCCCATAATGGTCTCACCCGAGAGACTGAACCCTACAACCCGACCATGACCACCACCACCACACCAACAATAAACAGAGGCAGAGCAGCGAGCATCCAATTCGGTGAGAGTCCAAAGCGAGAAGGACACCAAACCCAGGGGACCCTCTCGCCTCCATCCTCACCATCTTATCAATCAGGCACCTCTTTAACCAGAGCAAGAACTGTCTCTTCTGCTAATACAGCCCTGAATGCTAATTTCTTCAGTCATCATGTTCCAAAGGCCCCACGTAAGAATGCGGCTTTAGCTGCCGCAATGGCCGCTGCAACTGGAGCTCCATTGCCACCACCTGAATCTAGCCATATTGCAGACGGACCAGGACCTGTTGTCTTGGTGGCCATTGGCAAGACTGGACAAGGTATTTATTTTATCTTATTTTATTTTATTTTTATTTTTATTTTTATTTTTATTTTTATTTTTATTTTTTTATTTTTTTATTTTTTTATTTTTTTATTTTTTTTTTAAAAAAAAAAAGAAAAAAAAGAAGAGTTTATTTATTTATTTATCTTTTTTTGACTTGGTTCTTGATAACTAATTTTTTTTTTTTTTTTTTTTTTTTTTTAAAAAAAAAAAAATACATATTTGTTTATTGACTAGGGAAATCATCCTTATTGAACCGAATCATGGGCACAAATGAACTAAAAGCGAGTGCATCTGTTCGAGCAGTAACCAAAGGAATTGCTGAGCGTTCAGGTTGGGCTCGTTTTGAGGACAATCGTCGATTCTTGGTGACTGTGGCGGATACACCAGGTCTAGCCGATACAGAAGGAGACGATGAGAAGAACATACCCATTTTGAAGGATTATATCCACTCAATCGGCTCCCGTCTTGGAGTCTCCGCATTCTTGTTGGTCTTTAAGATTAACTCGAGGTAAAGAAAAAAAAAAAAAAAAAAAAAAAAGAAATAGTGGTAAGGCTAAAGGATATTGACGCACAGACTGGTTCTTAATCTTTATCATCATCTTTTTTTTTTTTTTTTTTTTTTTTTTTTTTTTTAAAAAAAAAATCATTTAGTGTGGATATCATCATGACCATCCTCAAGACTTTTAACGATATCATGCAGGAGTTCCCCTATGTCTGGGAGAACGTGATTCTTGTCTTTACCGGTTGTGACTTTAAGCGAGATCGAGAGATTCTAGAGGCAAAGCAACTGATGACCACAGTTCTCCAGCAACAGATCCGAGAGCATATCCTTAAAAAGCTTCCTAACCGCCCAGCCGCGGTCAATGGGAGCTCTACTAATAAATCTACAGGAGGATCCACATCACGCTCCACCACTATGGCTTCCTTTAACTCTTCTTCTTCCACTTCTTCTTCTTCTTCTTCCCCATCTGTATCAACGTCCAATAGTTTCACAAAGCCACGTTCTGCAACCACTTATTCCCCCTCTCTCTCTCCCGTATCCGATTTTGATGATGATACAGTACCATCAATACCGATGGTCTTCTTAACAACGGCTGAAAACATCTGTTCCTTTGCGTTGGGGGCCGGAAAATGTGATTGCGATAAGCACTCGGATTATCTCAAAGTGACTATGAAGCGTCTTTGGAATGAGGTCCGAAAGACAAAACGGTGGGTGATCCATGGCGATAATGAAGACGATTTTATCAACCATTCTTAACAACCTTTGGAATAAGCACGATAGTAATAGTAGTAATATTAATAATAAATAAGTATAGATTTTTACTTTATTATCACTTATTATTCTTTATCTTTAAATTTCATTAATATTGTTACTTAGTTATTATCTATTTTATTTATATTTCTTAATATTACTTATTTTATTTTATTTCTATTGTCATTATTACTTATTCTATTTTTATTCTTATTTTTATTCTTTTTTTTATTCTTTTTTTTATTCCTATTTTTATTTTTATTTTTCTTTCTTATTTATTTTTCTATATTATTATTTTTATTTTTTATTTTTCTTGATTTTATTTTTATTTTTATTATTATTTTTACTTGTTTCTTATTTTATTTTACTTTATTTACTTTTATTATATTTAGTTTCTTTTCTTTCCTTTTATTTATTTATTTTCTTTAATTTTATCTTCTGTCTATTCTACCTCTACCTATTTCTATCTTTTTTTCTTATCTATTAATTTTTAAATTTTATTCCACATTTATTTTTCTTTCATTTATTTATTGTTTCTTTTATTATTATTATTATTACATTATTATATTAATTTTGTTACGAAAGAATCGTAAGCTTTGCCAGGCGAGTGACTTTACTCCGGATACTTCGGACAAGGACCATCATCTTTGGCGCTTTGGCACCCTTCTGCAATCCCTGTCGTTGTCGTGTTTCAGCCTCGATGACATGTGCCAGGCCAGTAGCAGAGCAACATGCAATACCGTAGCTCTTTCCCTCGCTATAGCAATATTGACCTGTTGTCACATAGCCCAGAAGTGTCTCTGGTGGCGGTATTGCCATTTCCTACCAAAAATAATAATAATAATAATAATAATAATAATAATAATAAAGAGTAATAAACATGCGGAGAAAATAAATATAAAGTTAAAATGTGTCCGAGGTCATAGAATAATCCACAAACTTTTTTCAAAAAAAAAAAAAAAAAAAAAAAGCTACAACGTTACCAGATCTGTCACATCTTTATCTTCCTCGTCGCCATCCTCGTCTTCTTCGCTATCAGAGTCCATCCATGAATTAATCTCCTTCTTTTCTTTACGAGGTCGGCCCTCGACAGTTCTCTTGCCTTTGAGTTGTACATAAGTGGCCCATTCTTGGTAATGCTTTTCAGGGATGGCATATATCATTCCATTCATACCAATGGTACCTCTGCCCAAGAAATCCACCCCCACTCGAACTAACGCGTCCTCGATTCGTGGAAGAGACCCTTTCATTCCTTGTAAGCAAGGGCTACTGAGGATGCCCTGAAGAGACTCAGTGATAACAGATTGATTTAATGTTTCGATCGTCAATTCCCTAGAGTTAGCCACATCTTCCCCATTTGAAGCTGATGCGCGAGATGTTTCTGTCAATGCTGTGATCAACTTTGGCGTTTGTAGTAACCAAATCTTTTGTTGTTGCTGGTTCTGTTTATCCTCAGTGCGATCATCAACCCCATCACCGCCGTCTTTGCTTCCCTGTAACATGGTAACACCAGCCTTCAATGCCTTGGGCCAAACTGCCCCAAATGGATCTTGCACACCTATTTTCGAATAATTGATCCTCTTGGCTATAGGCTTACGACTATATTTAGCCTCGGCCTCCTTTTTAAACTCTTCTGCATAGACCGAATATGCTGTTGTACTAGGGAAATCATATGGGAAACAAGACTGCCTGGTCTCAAAATGAAAGCTCCTTCGTTCTCGTGTCCCTCCAGGCCGAGCGCCCGCAAAGATAAAACTCTTCCAAAATGGCATACCCCACCCCTTTGGTAGGATTAATGTCCAGCCACATTCAAACTCACTGCTTCCACCCCCAGGAGCGCGCCGGGTATGTGGTTTCCCTTCCCGTTGCATTAGAAGAATAGGGATCCGTGGGTCGGATTCTGTAGCTGCGAGTTTAGTTCCAGGAACCAAAAGTTGAGCACGTCGTTCATTTAGTTTTGCTTCGGGCGTCAAGGAATTCAAGAGCCGGTCCCGTTCTTTATCTTCCCATAACATCGAATGTGCTACATTGGAAGGCCAGGTTGTAACAAGATTTTGAAGGTTTTTATATTTGGATATGGGTATAGGTGAAGTAGGTCTGGGTGCAGTTTTGTGCGGAAATCTATGAAATCAAAAATATGAAACACGATGAGTTCCCTCCAATTTTTTTTTTTTTTTTTTTTTTTTCAACCTGGTTGTCAACATTGAATTTTTTTTTTTTTTTTTTTTTTTTTTTCATTACGTTAACCGTGGATCATCTACCAATAATCCGAGTACAACTCCAGGAGGGAGGGAAGATGATGTCCTCAATGTCGATAAAACGTCCCAGGCTTTGTGCGCTTCCTCGTAATTATTAGTCGTAATAATCTGTGACTGCGGTAGAGTTGGCTTTAGAACCGCTTGTAACAGAGCTGTAGATCTAGGACCTGTAAAATCAAACATCACCAGTGAATTTTCTAAATCCTTCATCTGCACATGGTCTTTGGAAGACTTATTTCCGCTGTCATTGCTATTGACTTTCGAAATCGCTTCCTGAATCTTGGCTTTTGCGTCCTCAAATGCTGAAGGATGAATCCAGATCCAAAGCTGGCCCTGTTTTGAAAGCTCCCCCTCGTTGATATCAATATCCATATGACTGATACTATCATCAGTAGCTTGAGAGCCACTAGGACTCTGTCTCCAAAGAAATGTCGCGGGAGCAATCATCTTTTGTGGAAAGCTGTCAAATTCATAGAGGTAGGCCGTAAACTGTCTTTTCCCAGTCACATAACGAAGACTTCCTACAGAAGGTGTCGTTGGATCCAGCATATGGGCAAATACATCTGAAATCGCCTTCTTTATTCCTGTAATTTCCAGACATCCATAATACGATGAGTCTTGCAGGATACATTGGTGGTGACTAGACTTGTAGGCTGATCGGATTCCATGCTCATTCGAATGTTCAGCCTTGTATAATAATAAATATTTATAAAGTAAAAAGAAAGAAAGAAAGAAAGAAAGAAAGAAAGAAAGAAAGAAAGAAAGAAGAGAAGAGAAAAGCGATTAATGGCTAGCCTTGCTCCTTCTCTCATACACAAAATATAAATTTCAAACATTTTGATCATCTCTCCTTCGTTCTTGAGCTTACTAGTTTGTATCCCCAGATATCGACCATTTTCATTCTCTTTGCATGCCATATATGTGTTTCCAACCAGCGCTTAGTCCCCTGCCGTCTGAGATACTCCTGTGAAATGGTCCCAGGACGCCGCTTCTTATGCCTGTTATCGGGTTTCTTGCCCTTCTTGACAGGATCGAATTCTACCTAAAAAGTCAAGATAAAAAAAAAAAAAAAAAAAAAATCATTGGTTGAGCAAAAAAGAATACTCATAAAAAAAAATGTTTGATTCTTTGGTTGCTCAGTTGGTTTGATTTGCCTTTTGGTTTTCTAACCTCTCTCATTGCACGTTCCCGGAGACGGACAGGAAGCCGCTTGACATTATGGCTTGCAGCACGGCGCCGGAGATTGCGGGGTAAACTCTGGAATGCTCTTTGAACTGCTGAGTTCTTTGAACTTTCCATTGCTGTGTGCATCGCGTTGATTTCAAATGCGCGGGCCTATTATTCAAGGGCCAAAAAAAAAAAAAAAAAAAAAAAAAAAAAATTAGAATTGACTTTCGGAAAAGAGATAGTATAATTCATTTATACGTAAAAATTGATTTACCTCTGTAAAACTGACAACATCTATAGTTCTAATGGTCTTTACAGAGCCTATGAGTTTAATAATCATGAAGGACATAAACAGATGAATCAAATTTGGGACTGACAACCAGCCAAGCAACCAACCAGATCAATCTCACTTTTAGTTTTTATCTCATTTTAGAGGTGGGGGAGATCAATCACATACCTGGCGTAGATGATGATGCGCCTGATCCATGATATGAAGGAGAGAGTGGAGCAGAATTTTGAGTTTGTATAGAACGTGCCTGTTGCATTCGGGCTAAATATACATATATATATATATATAGAAGTAAACCCCAGTCAGCAGAATTTTTTTTTTCTTTCATTGCATTTGCATGGAACACATGTTCATGAATGAATCTTCATACCTCGCTTCTTGTCCTTTCCCGAATTATCAGGAGGTCCAGGCCGCTTGTTGTTACCCTTGTCCATTGATAAAAGGAGAGTGATATCAGAGGGGAATAAGGGAAAAGCTTGAAATAAATAATGCTTCGAGCTGTGGCTTTGAATCGTAGGAAGCAAAAGCAGTCGCGGTCTGTTAGGTTGGTGATGAGCCTAGGAATTTCTAGGTTGTAAGGGTTCAAAGTCGCCCCGGTTAATAGTTAATTCATGACTTTTTAAAAAGAGTACAATATTGTAATTTAATCAAGCCCTCCATTGTATTCATATAGCTCCATCATTGAAGAAACCTTCCCAATTCTTCCCCACTTTCCTCATGTATTATATATGATAGCTTGTGATTTCCTTATTTATTCCAACTATATGAACAACAAGAACCTCATTCAAGATAGAGTTGGCGAAGTTCTGTTGGTTCCTGAAGTTCCAGTTGCTATGAGATGAGTACGGGATTGGAAGTTGTATGAAAATATTCCGCATGTTCCACGATAGCGATTCCCATTGCTCATCCAGGCTTGATTTGAGAGCAGTGGATGTTCTACATTTGGAATTAAATGAAAGTCATAACCACAGGCAAAGAGGATATCTTTTGCATACTTTAACTTGGTATACTATGATTGGTATAGTCTATGCAGTATGGCGCCAGTGTTCCTCCTTTCTTGATCTTTCCCGAGGGGATACGAGTCGTTCTGCATTGCCATCTTCAACTCTGGGTCATCCTTCAAGACTCGCAGATTCTGAAAGACCTTCATCTCTTTTGGGTCACTATAAGTCTTTACCCATTCAGGCGTAAGGATAAATGGGTCCTCAATGTCATAGGCGTCCATAATCCCGAATTCCTGCACTGCAATGCTCCTCAGTAGAAAGGCCTGACTTTGTCTCCAATCGTAGTAATTCTTCGCAATCAATTACCTTGGCCTTTGGTAGCCCTGCGTACTTGGCCTGAAGTAGGGCGGCTGCCCTCTGTTTCAGGGATTCAGAAACCTTGGGATCCTTGGGCTGGTCAGGTAGTCTGACAACTCTGCAGCCAACCTGAACCATTTGAACAATGAAACGCTGAAGAAAACCATTCATTGATAAATGCTTCTTTATCAATGCATTGATGAATATTGTGTAGTAAATATCACCAACATCATGCTTCACTCCAGGATATTGCCCTACCCGCAGGTTAAACGGAAAGCCATTCGTATCCAGAGCGCATTCCTTGATTTGAACCTCTTACTTGCAAAAATACTTGACTATTTCGTCGTGTGCTGTTGGAAAGTTGTTTGTTGAATTGCTGATATAGACAAGGTATTCCTTTTGCTGGACGTACCGTACTCTTCTAAGCATAGCCTACATGTCTCTACACTGACTTTACTTTGTGACATGAAAGCCCCACAACGTAATCAAAGTGTTGCATATTGCAATCAAACCCAACTATGATGGTTAGAGTGTGGATAAAGTAGTCGAGAGTTGGCGCGATTTCGTCAATATTCTGTGCAAATGACCTCTCTAACTCCAGGGAATTCGCAGTGATACACATCCCAATGAATCCCATATCCTTCAATTCAGTATGTAAACTTTCGGTATCTTCAGCCTTCTGTGTGATACATATCCACACCTTCTTTCCAGACTTGACTAAGTTAATAACCTTTAACTTCAGATAGGCCTCATTCTCGTAAAAAGAGACGCGGTGTCCTTGCTGTGGCTTGAATATATTATAGATAACGTGAGCATCATCTTGAAGCTCCTTGATGACCTGAACATCTCGGTCTGTCAGTTCAGCATCCAAGGCAATCACCTTCTTGGATGCCTTAATGAAGTCTCGTAATATATCATTATTAGCGTTGTGAAAACCTCTCATGGCGGTAACACTTGTCATCTGACCAAAGATAGATGACACGTCATCCAGAATCAGAACCACATCCATGGTGTAGTATGCAAGATCCAGTTTATATATGCCTTTTTTTATTCAACGAGATTTTGGAATAATAATAAACGATCCCTTATACAGTAATAAAGAAGAGCTGTGATTGCGCACTTCTAACAAATATTGCAAATACAATATGCCCTAGCAGCATTACATTTTTAAAAAAAGCATTGAGGTAAAGCTGAAGTTTTTGTGCAAAGAATTATTTATCGATTCGTTACATACTCTTTTTATTTTGCGAATGAGTTTATTTAGCTAGACAACTGTTCATTTGTTTTCATATTTTCATAACTTTCTGAGGGCTGACTTGGTTTCCAGCATCTTCATCTTTCCACTTGCGTTTGATTGTATCCAGAAAATCAACATGCTCCGCTGGGAAAATCTTGCGAATATCTTTCTGATCGATCTTGATCAACACTTGTTTTAGGTCATGGTCCGCTTCAGGTATTTTAGATTTGCGCAACTTTGCAAGCATATTCTCCCTATCCTCAACCTTCTTAGGACTAAGCCCCTGTATGCGACTCACGCTGTCTAATAGTTTGGCAGGATATGCAACTACTATACTAACAAAAGTATTACAAGGACAGTAATTCTTGAGTTCCCCAACATGCGTCTTGATACTCTTTTCCGATACTGTATCCACGGCCTTATTAGCTTCAAAAGTCGTAAGAGCATGTCGAAGCTTGAGCTGCACAAACACAGGGAAGATTTTTTCCTGGATTCGAATGTAAAAGACTATATCCGGCCCTAAAGGCATATTTGACGGGAAGTAAAACGGGGGAACAGTCATATCTTCGTGTCTTGAGCTGTTGTTAACATGGGCAGACATGAAATCCTTCATTGAAATATGCTCATGCGTGACCCCCTGGTTGCCGTTATCGCGTAAACCGATTATTTCTGCATCTCCATCGAGCTCTTCGCACATAGAACGGATCGTTGGGCTGTGATCCCAGTTACAAAGATTCTTATTCTCTGATCCTGATTGAAATACGTCCATGAAAACGCCAATCATCATCGGCTCCCACCCACGTCCTTGGGCTTGAGGACTGTCTGTTTGTTCCATCCATGCTTTTAAACTATTTACAAATTCAGGGTCCTGCGCCTTGAAATAGTTTTCTACTGCGGCCAGCACAAATGGTTCGTCTACCACAGTAGTTGTTTTCTTCCCGACAATACTGAACCTACCTAGAGCGTGTTCCACTAACAAAGGCTCTGCCCTTGGAAGTACTATACTCGTATCTCCATACATATAGCGCTGAAAGAGTAGTAGCTTTAAAATTTCATGAGCTGAGCATCGGATTCTTAAAATCCTTGGCTAGCTTAATATTTTGAGTAAATTTTCTCTCCAACCGAATAAGTTCATAGCAGAGGTTGGCTTTCTCTCTACATAAATCGTATGAGACAAGATCCTTTTCTACAAGATCGACTGCTCGCTTCCATCCATCTTTCGTGTTGAATTCGATGGTCCTCTCAATCGCTTTGGTGATTGGACGAAAACGGCCAACAAGTTTTTTCACCATCAACTCAACAGCCTGTGGTGGTAGGAGTTCATCTAGGCGAGTTTTCGCGGCTTCGTCCTTAAGTAGGCCCTTAAGATTGGTGATATAAGTACTGACTGACTCATAACCAACCCATCCAGGGAACTCCATGCAGTCAAACTTCAGATATTCCAAGAATGATTCGAGCAATTCTGAAATGATTGGACTGCTGTATCCCTCCTGAATAGATCCACCCTTCTCTACCCATGTAAGAGTGTAAATACAAAGTCTTGTCCCAGCAGTGACGATCGTGAGTTTCTCCAAACCTGCGATGCCTCGAGTTGCATGCAAAATAGGATAAAGCAATGACCGAGCAGGCTCTCTCGCTATCGTTGGCTCAAATTCATTAGGGTAAGCTTCACCAGGGATCCGCGCCTCATCGTATACTACTAAAAATCTTGTGGATCCTGAAGCACCCGAAATAACACCAAGAAGTTTCTGGGTCGCCTCAAATTCAAGTGCTACCATGGCGCGTAAGGTTGCTCCTGTTGTTCACTCTAGTTGGGTAAAGGCTCGAAAAAGTGTATCAAATACATCCAAGTTGAACATGTAAGGACAAGCTTGGAGTATAGTTCATCTTGCACATGTAAACGTACTCTTATTATTCGGAACTTGCAAGCAGTATTGGAGGATCTTTAGTCGTGCAAGCAATAGTAGGAACGTTAATCGAATAGCTGGAAGTTGTTAGCGCTTCGATCTTCCGTAAGATGATTCGGAATCTCGTCATTTAGAACAGTCATGTCACCCGACCCCAAGTCATTTCCAGAAGCGTTGAAGTAAAATCCCCATTGACAAGATAATAGCTCAAGCACGCCACGGGTCTTGCCGCATCCACTCACTCCGAAAATGGGGACGATTCCTGAAGTATTATTCTTAATCAGATCATTAATTCCCTTTAAAATAGGTCACTCCGCCGATATGTTGACCTGAGAGGGGTCTGGTAAATCCAGAAATAGTAGGTTCGGCCGATTGTCGACAGGCTTATTCTGGTTCCGAAGCCAAACCCTCGGTAACCCAGCGATAATACCAGTCGTACGAGGCAATTCAAAGTCGGAATGACCTTTCACAAACTTGGTAAGATTGTTGGCTGCTTCCGATCCAGGCGCTAGGGAATTACCTACAATCCTTTTGATATTCTCGACTATGTTTCAAGTTTCCAAATACGAGACAAGATTATTAGACACCAAGACGTTTGCTGAATAAAAACAAAAGCTGCTCGATCGACACTCACCAGTTAACAACCCTGAAATGCACCATCAAAGAAGTACAGGGAAATTGATTAAAAAAATAGAAATAACAGATTAAAACAAACTCACGAGCAAGAGAATAAAAGTAAAAGCCAAAGATGATATACCTGATTCATAAATAAACAAGTCAAGCCAGATAATAACAAGTACAAAGAATAAAAAGTAGAATTAGAATAAGTTGTCAAGACCTCTTGGTATGTACACAATGAATATCATTTTAAAAGCCTAATCCATTCAATCTGTCAGCGGAGCCGTACCTGATGCAGCAGCGGAAGAGCCAGTATCACAATAAAGGAAAAAGCTGATATACATATGAGTGGGAAAGAAGAGTAGTGTTTATAAAAAGTTGAAAAGAGGCATTGATGAGATCAGTTGAAATAATACGAAAGTGGATTGTTGTGCTGCGCAGTTGTAATTGCCACCAATTTTAGTGCAGGAAATATTTTGGTGGCGCGCAACTGCGGATAACTTGTGACAATGCGAGGTGGAGGAAGGATGGCTTTGGGGGTATTACATGACCATGGTGAGACAGAAATAAGCTCCATCGGCTGAAAATATCCATCAAGAGCCAAATACATACCTCGCTGCGGTGGCTTGACAAGAATATGGATAGTTTCCTCTAGAAGTTCAGATTTAAATATGTTCCCAAGCTTCTTCGATGCGACTGTAAGAGCCATTTTTGACTTGATTTCTGACTCAAAGATGGCCTCGCTTCCGTCAGGGATGGAGACCTTGTAGAGGGTTAGCTTCTCTGGCGGGATATTACCAAACCTAGCAGGCGAATAGATGGCTTGCTTGAGTTCATCAACTGAACAATCGAAAAGAACCTTTACAGAAAAAGATGTTGATTCTCAATACAAAAAATCTTTAGCTCGGTTGGCTCGGGGATTTTAGGGTCATTGGTGCTTGAAGACACTTCATTCGCTTCTTCTTTCTTAAATAGTATGTCAATAATCCCAAATACTTCTGGAACTAAGAAGCGACAACGGCAGTGTTACTAGATTTTAAAAAAAGTAAACACAAAAAAAAATCATGAAATAACGCATCTAAATTTCACACTCAATCATTACTGACGTTATTAGAGTGATTATATCTACCTCTCTCGAGAAGACGGCGCCTTATCCATGCAATGTATGATAGAGGGTATGAATATGCACCAAATAAAAAAAGAATAAAAAAGGATCCGTTCAGTATTTATCGAGATAACACCAAAAGTTACGACAAAGTTGAGTAATATTAAGGATTATATAGACTTTAAGCGTGAATGGCTCCTACTAGAGTGCTGGAAATCAGGCACTCTCGGAACGGCCGAAAGAGGAGCTTATTATCTTTGGTTTAAAACAACTCCTAAGTCAATCCGTTCAGGATCAATGGAGTAACATCCGTATAAAGTATTTCAAGTACAGAAAAGAGTGAAAATATACCCAATGGGTTGTTGCGCCGGAATCTTGAGAGGCAGAGCCTAGCCAAAGCAGAGAATTACTCACCAAGGCTGTAGCTACGGTATGAGCCCTCGTTTTCAGTATTTCATGCAGTAGTTCTTTAGTAAATGAGCCTAGAATATCGAAAAACCACTATTTTCCTCGACCAAGCTGCTTTTCCTTAAGGAAAACTTTTTTTTTTCTGGCTATGAAACCAATAGTGATTTTGCCACCATTGGATTCGTAATTGAAAAGTACATATAACCTGAGGGCTCTGTGGATTTTAAGTATATCCCTGTTGCGCTTCATCGCTTTTACCAAGTTTTGCAAAAATGGTTTTCTAGATTGGTCACGTACCGTGTCCTAAATCACTCATCACATTACCAAAGATATCGACTTTCCTCAGAAAGTGTAAAACCCACTTTGAAAAGTTGCGCTTCGGTGCTCGCTACCGGTCCCAAGTGGAGCGAGCCCATTTGGCCCTAAAATGAGCGACTTTACTTATAAGGCTAAGGGTATCGACACGCCTTTTTGTCTTCACTTCATGATATACGCTCAAAAATACTTTATTATCATGTGATGTATATCGGAAATAAGAAAGTTTAAGTTCAGGATTGAATATTTATTTCCTTTCCTTTAAAATCTAAGGGGACTCATTTGCTCCTTATTTCTAGCTCAATCCTTTCGCCACAACGAACTCTTTCTCTATCCTTCCCCAACCTCCTTTTTTTTTCTTTTCTTTTAGCCCCCACATTTACTAAGGAAATTTTCCCACCATGTCTTCTGTTGAAGGTCAAACAGCCGTCAATCTTACTGCTCCGAAGGACCAGCAGCTCCACCATCATGAGGAAGATATGCTTGCACAGCTGGATGTTGCAGCTGGAGCCAAACCAATTGTCCCACCTCATCTTCTAGCCAGGCTTCAACAGCTTGGGTTGCCCGACAAGTAAAGCTATTCCTTATTCGAATCGTTGTGTTTCTTTGTTTCCTTTTTATTGCCAAATACTTTACATGGATGATGAATGATGGTAGACTAAAACTTTGCTGCTTTGCTATGGTAAATTACCCTTCTTTTCTTTCCTTTTTTTTTTTTTTTTTTTTTTTTTTTTTTGCGTGATAAAAAGAACTCAGCAGGACATTGAAAACAAGCTTGCCGAGGCTGAAGAGCGACGCAAGGTAAAAAAAAAAATGAAAAACAACCACGGAATAGCAGAAAAACACCCCCTAAATGCTTGATGGGCCATAATCAACTGCCTCTGTTACACCAAGAACTTCTTCGCGTTTTTTTTTTTTTTTTTTTTTTTTTTTTCAAATTGCTAAAATACATTGTACTTTTTGATACTGAATAAACTATTCTAAAGAAACTCGAGGAGGAGCGTGTTCAAAAGGCCCACGAGAATGTGAAGCATGCCAAAGAAGTCTCGGAAAAAATCAGGCAAGATGCTGACTTGAGTCGTGATGAATCTCTTGAGAAACTCCGAGAAAAGCAAGAGAACGCTGAACGTGTTCGACAAGAGCAGGTATGAACAAATGCTGTGTTTTTTTTAAGAAAAAAAAAAAAAAAAAAAAAAAAAAAGTTTAAGTATCTGGCCATGATCAATTGCGAAAATTCTCTGAGATGAAGTTTCAGGTAAAAGCCATTCACAAGCCTATAACTCCTATTTATTCCCTTTACATATGACAGGAACGTCAACGTATCGCTAAACGAGAAGAGCGTTCTGCAAAGGTAGCCTCGTTTCAGAAGGATGAGAGGCAAGTCTCTTTTTTTCTTTTTTTTTTTTTTTTTTTCTTTTTCTTCCCGACCATCTAATATGCACAGATCCCGATGTGATGCCAATGCATAAAGCTTACCTTTTTGTTTTTCACTCCTCCTTTTCACAACACAGCCAAACGCGCGATAATGAGATCCGTGAAATCACCGAAAAGCTTGAACAGGCAGAGGCTAGGCGCAAGGCATTAGAAGAGGAAAAACGCCAAAAGCTGGAGGAGCATCTCCAGAAGGTCAAGTCGATTCGAGATCGTGATGCTGAATCAGAAAAGACTCTATATGAACAACAAAGGACTGAACTGGATCAAAAGATGAAAGCTGTGGAACAGCGAAGGCTCGATCTTGAGAATGCACTCAAGGAAAAGATGCAAGCCAGACAAGCCATTGCAGAACAAGTTCGTCAGCGTATGTATAACAATGTGCATTGAATTTTTTTTTTTTTTTTTTTGATCCCCTGACCCCTTTTTCTGCTTTGCTTCCACTGTTCAATGTTTCTTTTCTCACGTTCTTAAAATATTCCAATTTTATTTTTGTACAGGCCAACAAGAACAGTCTGCTGCAGCAGCAGACAAGTAAAAAAAAAAAAAAAAAAAAAAAAAACTAAAAAGAAATTCTGCTGGAACATCTTGATACCTCCCTCGTACTCGCATTGAGATTGCTTTTAGCGACAGATGGCCAAAATAAAAATAAATGTTTTCAATGCAAATCTTCTTTATTAATGATTGATGTGTGTCAATAGGCTTCAATATCCTAAGTTTTCTTATGATCCGCGATAGGTGGTGTAAGAGTAAGGACTGAGAAGCAAGGGGATGTGATAGTGCTGCTTCTCTGCACCAGGCGCAATCTCAAAGATGATCTGAATAAAGACGAAAACAAAACAAAACAAAAAAAAAAAAAAAAAAAAAAAAAGATAATAATAATGAGTTTTGTGACAAGAGAGTTTGAGCATCAGACAACGCGACAATTTTTTTTTTTCCTCCCTTTACCTGAACATAAGGATGGAAGTAGCTGGAAACACCGACAGAAGGCCAGTACTCCGCAGTCTGGAAAGTCATCCTATAGATACCAGCGACGAGCTGGTGTGAAGGATTCAAAAGTGTGCTGACGCGTCCATCCGAATCAGTAACACTAAGAAAAAAAAATAATAGTGAAGACCATATTTCAATATTCAAAAGTCGAACTTGTTTGAATAGACTTTGCATGATAGATTGATAGGTTTTTTTTTTTTTTTTTACCCTTCAGCAAGACCTTGCCAGAGAGCACCTGTGTTAAGCATCTCGAGCTTGACAGGCACATTGCGACCAGGCTTGCCACAGGATGAGTCAAGCACATGACATGTAATGGGGCTACGAGCTGCCATGATGAACAAAAAAAAAAAAAAAAGTTGAAGAATGAAGTGCAGATGCTAAATAAAAAAAAAAAAAATAAAGATCTATCTATCCTTTTTATACTAGTCATTGTTCCATGTCCTTCGTTCGGAACTAACTGCCCGCTTTTTTTTATTTTTTTTTCCTGGGTCTCACCCGTTGAGACATGTCAACCCCGCAATTGTTGTTTCTTCACAATTTCATAAAAGAATCTAACACGGCTCTCACTGGGCGCCAGAACGCGCTAGTTTCCTCGCACAGCCACCAGTAGTTAAAATTAAATGTGTATGTATATATATATCTCTCTGGTCATTCGGCCAGGATCTTAAATAATATCAACAGAGAGGAATCGCTGCATCATTCAAAATAAAATTCTCAGAAACGTGATACAGAGTAATGCCTCAAGACACTTCAACAGATCACTCTTGTCTCTTTTTTGTCTGGCAGAGTTTGTTCCCCCGAGCTAAGCTTCTCGAAGTTACACAATAACAATAATACACAGATAATCCCATAGTAAAGGGAAAGTGCAGGAATATATTAAAAGTATCGCTTCGCTTAAGGAGCACAGGGTAGTCAATAGCATGTAGTAGTGTTCAAATGCTTATACGGTTCCATATATTACCAGACAGTCCCGATTAATTACAACAATTAACATTTACACGAATGTACATATTTTTTTTTCTCTTTCTTCCCTTAAAGTCGCGTAAAAAAACTGTAATTTTAATTGTAAAATGGAACATACAATCATCTTTACTTCTTAAGCTTGCGGATGTAGAAGGCCAACTCCTGACCCTCAAGAATGTATCCGTCGGCACGGCCACACTGACCAGGACGCGACGAGATGCAGGCGTAGAGACGACCGGCAGCGAATTGGTGGTCAAGAGCAGGGTCGACCTTGGACTCGGCCTTGCGGGACTCGATCTTGCGCTGGACGTGGTTTGAGCGAGCCTTGGAGACTTCCTCAGACTCGGCCTAATTTCAAACCATCAGAGATAAAAGTTAATATCCAATAATGATAATTATTATTTCCTTCCTCTGGATTGATCATTCAATTCCCTTCCCAGAGTCGTAAAAAATGGCAGCCCATCACTTTAGAACTATACTCGTTTGACCATCTTTGATTTCTCAGTTGATCCACGCCTGATCCTGTTGTTGCTGTTGATGCTGTTGATACTGTTGATACTGTTGATACTGTTGATAATGCTGTTACTGTTGTAAATCCATTTAATCCAAGCCTTCTCCTGAATATCTTTTATATTATCGGAAAGAGTAAAGAAAATACATATATATATATATATATATGTACATACCTTGACGACACCCTTGCCCTTGCGGGCACCAATGGGGACGGCATAGTGGGACTCGTACCACTGGCGGAAGGGAGTGGCGTCAACCTGGACAATGGCATTCTTGACCAAGGTACCTGTGCGGACCAACTCGTTGTTCGAGGAGTTATAGACAACAGCAACAATACGGGTCTTGCGGGAGATGGCTTCAGAACCCCAGGAGAAGTTGCCAGAGTCCAAGCGCATGGCACGGAACTTGCGGTTGCCTCCACGGGTGCGGACCTCGTGGATGCGCTTAGCACCGAGCTTAGTGTTGGCAGCCTGACGACCCAACTCGAACTTTCTCTTCTTGCGATATTGGGCACGCTTGGCTCCTGAAGCGGAGCGCTTGTGGCGGGAGTCTCTGCTGATACCTGCATAATAATTGACAATGGTTGGTTTTTATACACAAACGTAAAATAGAAAAATGAGTTTTCGTATTTTTCAGCACATGGGGAAAAAAAGGTAAAAAAAAAAAAAAAAAAAAAAGTGATCGTTGCTTCATGAATCTAAAAGTTGCTGACGACATGTTGCTACTATTTTTTTTTTTTGTTGCTAAATGCATCTTTTCTTAATGAAAAGATGTATGTTGTAATCCGTTTTTTTTTTTTTTTTTTTTTTGTTGCTCCACTGTCATATAGATATTATTGTATAACATTTGTTGATAGGTTCATAGCCTCTCGTGTTGTTGAATATTCATATGAACTGAATGCCTCATAGTTTCTGATCTGATCTTTCTAAATAAGCTGAGTCGTATTTTTTTTAAAAAAAAAAAAAAATAATAATCGAAATCCTGCTTCGTCGCAATGGTTTCAATCAGTTGAATAAGTATTCTCGGATTGACCATTAAATTTCACATTGATGAAGCTTTCTATAGTCATGCAACAGACTAATTGATTTGAGATGACAGATGGTGACGTCCATAAAGTTGTCTAAAGGTTCAGCAACAAGCAAAAAGACGATAACAACGCATAGATGGGCTCCTGTTTGTTCCTTGAGATGGATGGGTGTATCGGTATTGATGGATGATCTGTTTCCCCCCCCTTGCAAAAAAAATCCAGATATGATAATTCAATCAGTCTCACTGGTTCAATGAGACTCACCCATAGTGTAAAATCAAAAGGAAGGAGCAAACACTGTCCCAACACCCTGTGTAGTCATATCTCCAAAAATTAAAAATTAATTGGTTTTCTTGCACTTAAGGGCACCATATCTACCCTACCTGAATACACAAATGTTACTAGGCAAAACCTTCTAGTGCTTTTTCCCTTTTCCTCATTTGCTACGCGTGTTTGGATTCCATGAAGCTCGCCTTCACTAGTAGTGTGTTTCTGAACGCGACTTTAACTAATATCCGAGTGTCAATGGTTGCTCTATCCATTGCATTTGCCGTGGACCATCTATCAATCATTTCAAGACAACAATTATCAAGAGCAAAAACGACAAGCTCAGAGGAGGGAGAGAAGAATGAGAGCAAAGGCAAGGAGGTTAAGAATAGCGAGACTAAGCATATGATTCTGCGTCTAATTTTGATGCTTGGTATATGCATGTATTAGCAAACCTGTTAGTAGTAGCAACAGCACCGTTAACAGTAGAAATAAACACCGATACTATAACAAAAAGACCAGTAGGCTTATTAAGAGCGATTGTTAAGGGAGTGCTATTGAAGAGATTAGCAAGCTGGATGCCATCGTTAATGAATCTTTGATTGACATCAAGCAAAGAGAAACACGGCATAGGTATTCAGCTTAAGCTTTATTGCAATTAGATATTATATCATTCATATAAGACAAAGAAGGGAAAAGCAAGGTAGATTAACATTTTTTGTCATCCGGATATAAAAATTTATCCACTCTTGAACAGAAGAATGGCGATTTGATCCAGATAAAAGTAAATAAAGTGCTTGGTTTCTAAAGAAAGTTATAATAATAATAATAATAATGATGATGATGATGATGATGATGATGAGTAAGAGCCATTCATGCTTCTCCATTGATCAGGGATGTCGATTGGAAAGAACATACCATGAGTGACATAACTTCCAAAGTTACGACCTACGATACAGTGCCATGTAGCACCGTACTTCTTGTCAAATTCCTTTTTGATGTGAGCAGCAATATCCTTCTCGACCGTGTATTTTTCAAATGCCCTGATTGCACACTCTACTGCTTCCTGTTGCACATCCTCGGACATGTCGGCATTCTTGATTGTTGGGCGTGGGTCCACCATTGTTGTGTATGTGCGTGTGTATATACTATTATTATGAATCTATTTGTTTGTAGTTTTTTTTTTTTTTAAAAAAAAAAAAAGGAGAGAGAGAATATCAATTATTAAGATGTAGTCTATTTAGGTAAAGTTTTAACCAAAGGATACTACAATTGAGTTGGAAGTGAAAAATTAGCCTGGAATGTCACTTTGAAAGTTATTCAGTTTGTTTAGGCTCGATCGAAAGATGTTGTGCAAACGTTTTCAACTATTCCAGTATCGTACATTCATATTACACACATGTCCTGAGAGTATCAGACAAATACAAAGACAGAGAGACGGAGGTATCATGTGCAAATGCCAATAGAGAGGGGAGCTTCGATTTCAAATCGGAAATAAATATGAATAATAGAAAATAACAGCGAAAGAAAGACATATGAAGGAGAAACTACTCAAAACTCGCGACAAAATCCATTTTTACATCCTTGTGTAGTAAGCCGACGGCAACCTTTCCACAAATATCATCACTATTCCCATTGAGCGCCCTTTTTTTTTTTTTTTTTTTTTTTTTTTTTACTATCCATAGTTGTCTGTGTTATAATAAAGTTTTTCTTTTTTGTAGGCCCGAGTATTTTCCCCGTGAAAGGCTTTGTTTCTACAAATGTTAATTACATGAGGCCATTCGAGACTAGATGAATAAGAATTGTATATTTTACCTTGCAATGGAAGTTGGTTAGGAATATATATTGTTATACTTTTTCTTAAAAAAAAAAAAAAAAAAAAAAAGAAAAAAAGAAAAGTTAAAAAAAGAATGATGATTCAAATGCTCATTCATTCAATTCTTCAGACACTTTAAGTTTATGTCGAGGTCAAGGGGGTGCCAGAATTTACAACAGCAGATTTTGCAGCTCAAACTACGTGTTACCCTTGAGTAAGGCACATTTGAACAAATGGAAAGAGAAACGCTTTTCTTTTTTTTATTTTTGGTTTTTATTTTTATTTCATGGGTCGTAAAAAAAGCTAGTTGTTTCATTAAAGCAAGGAACCGCACAAAGAGGGATCAACTCCTGTTTGTTTTTTTTTTTCTTTTTTTTCTTTTTTTTTTTGTTATGTTATACTACTTTTCCATTATAATTCTTTACTTGTTGCCAACAATGACGCGAGCAGACTGAACAGCGCGGACAGCGGCGTCGCTGACAGAAGAGTTGACCTCCTGGACCTTGGACAATCCGCGGTGAACATTCTCCTGGATTGAAATCTGATACTGAAGCAAAGACTCCTTGACGTCCTGAGCAGCACTCTGCAAAATAGGCAAAGTCTCCTCCGTAGTAAGGTGCAAGATGTTACGGGCCTTCTGCATCGCAGACACATCAGGCTTGGCAATCTCCTCCTTCACTGTTTCATAGCGCTCGTTGACAAAGCCAACGAGAGGCTCCAGGCGAACCTGAACATACTCGGGCAGCTTGGGGCTGTGCTCCTTCAAGTAGAGCGACAATGAATCGATCTCCGACAAAAGGTTGGAGCTCAAGGTCTGGACACGTAGTGATGCCTCGCCGGGGACCTTTTGGACGTTCTCCTGGAGCTCCTTGGCATGGATGCGCAGGGATTCGAGCAGGGCGCTAAGACGAATATTCAAAGCGTGGATCGATTCCTTGGACTTGACCAAAGCCGCGTTGTTCTCAGCAGCCTTGCACAAACCCTGAGCAGACTGAGTGATAGGTGCAACACCGATGCTCACGCGGCGAGAGACGCGAAGAGAGACATTGCGGGTAAGATCAACGACACGGACAGCCTGGTTGCTTTGTCCAGCGGTCGACTGCTCAACTTCAGCATCCGCAGGCAAGTAGCGGTTGACGATCGTCTCGAGACCATCCACTAGAGGTGTGGCATGGTTATTGACGGTGGCAGCAATGTTGCTGGCAGTGGTTGTGGCAGCTGTTGTGAGCTGATCACGAGTCGTGGCAGCCGTTGAGGCAATGTTGGAGGTCACAGTCTTCACGGGAGCAGTAACATGAGCATCAATCGTGGACTGAATCTGGGTGTAGGGCTTCTTGACCTGGGTCACGATCTCAGCTGTAGGCTTGGTGACAATGGGGAAGGTAGTCTCCAAAAGGTCAAGCGATTTAGAGGCAATCTGATCGACCTTGGTAATATGAGGCTGGAGTGTCTTTTGATAGCCCTCAGTGTACTTTGAGACTGTCCCGACAGCAGAACCAGCAGTGTCGAGAGCATAACGGCTGTACTTGTTCTCCTTGGCCATCGAGTGCAGAGTGGTGACACTGTCGTGAATCAAGGGCAAAGAGCTGACACGAGCAATAAAGCCAGCCTGAGGGGCATCCTCTTTTTCAATATTTGAACTTGAAGAGCTCGTGGAGAGTGTGCGAGTGGTGGTGGTAGTGGTGGTCTTACGATAGGTTTTACCATCTGGGCCCTCAATGATTTCCTGCTCAACAGATGATTGGGAGGAGGGAGAGAGAGGACGGTCCACTTCAGAGTTATCGGAATCGTAGGGTGTAGTCATTATGGATATGGAAGGTGGACTAGATTCGAGAGAGGGAAAGAGGAAGAGAGAAAAAAAAAAAAAGAAACACAGAGTGGGTTAGATGTTGTACTACTATGCTAGTGACAAAAACAAGACGAAGTGCTAGATTGAGGATGTGGATATGTCAGGAAGAAACAAGCGAAGTGTGCAGTGTTTGTCATAACAACTGAAAGACAGGACAGATGGACAGGGGAGGTATAAAAAAGACACTTGTTTTTGAGCATAAATGATTGATGATGAATGGTGGCAAAAAAAAAAAAAAAAAAGTTGATTGTGATATGAATTGAATGAGGGGAAGGGAAAGAAAGGTGTGTTACAAGGGGAAATGACTGCAACACATTCCAAATGCAGTGTGAGAAAAATGAACTGAGGACACATGTTCAAGTCAGGACAAGGGCAAGAAACCGCAGTTAGGACCCAACAATGGATGACACAAAAAGAAAAAGCCAAGCCATGTGTATCCCCACAACATGCCCTGCCCTTTCCATGCGCTCCAAAGGAGTGCCTCTCAACAGTTTGCTTATCTGCATCAAATTTATGGGTAATGATCTGTTGGGGGAAAAAGTCGCGAGAATTTTTTTTTTTTTTCTATTGTTTCTTACCAAATAAGAAATTGTTATAAAAAACACAGAAAAAGGAGGGTATAAGGTGAATGCGAATGAGAGGAATGAAAGAGAATGGAATGAGGAATGAAGAGTCGCCGAAAGAGTCAAAGAGAGGAGTGATAGAAGGCGAAATATCGAACGATTTTATATTTAAAATGAGAGTGTGTTAAGGTATATGGATAATGAAATGAAAACAAAAAAAAAAAAGAAAAGAAAAGAATCAGAAGGCCTAGAGGAGACAGCGTCTATTTATTAACATCGGTTGTTGCGAAGGGAGGAAGAGCGTGATAATGTGTCAAGACACGTTCATGAGCATGAATATGAACATGAGACAACATTAATACAAAATAAGCAATAACAATTGATTGTATGAATGATAGCAAAGATCGGTGTAAATGGATTTGAAGCACCGACAAGAGGAACGGAACATCCGCTCGATTCAATCGTTAGTATTGAGTTATCGTGCTTTCTCATGTGCGATCGATATAAACTGTTTGGGCAGGGATGATCATGCTCATGAGGAATAGGATACAAGGACAACACATGCATGTACACACAGAGCAAGTGTTTACGTTTTGGCTCCAAACAAAGGCGCAATGCGATCAAATGAACAAACTGATAAACCACCCTTACTCCTCTTTTTTATTGTTTAAAGTTGCCGCCCATTTCCATAGTTCCGGAAAGGCTTGATCACAAAGCTTCATACATGAAAACCCTCTAGTAACCACAGGACTGTCGTTAGTTTGTCTGTCATTGCTGTCACAATGGTAGTAAAGAACAAGCAAAAGGTCTTCATCGTCAATCTATTTAACGACCATGGTGAAAACCGCTTGTCACTTGAGCTAGTTCTGCATCTCATGGCTTGGGCCCATTTTTCTTTGTGCATTTTCAAGTGACAAAAGTACAAAGTATAGAACGAATGGTTTTTTGCAACAAGTGGAAGCAGGGACAGTCATATATCCTTTTGTGTTGCATGGATCCAATATACTAAAGTCCTTGAGCTCGTGAAAAATAAGCGATTTGTGTGGTGCGTGGGTGATAGCATGAGTGTACACTTGTATAAGCAAACATGGGATGGGCAAATCCATCATATGAATTGGTCCTAGCTTTTTTTTTTTCTTACTTGCCCACATGTATACGTCCATTTTCCGAAGCTTAGCATATTGTATAGATTCAATAAGCTCAACATTCAAAAAAAAAAAAAAAAAAAGCAAAGGCCCCATCATGTTTGTTTTCTTTTCACGTTCACGCGGCAATGCGTTCACTAATAAAGAAAGGAGGTTTTACTGCGATTAGATCCATTAGACAAAAAGGGCTTGTTCTCTTCATTGGATCCTTTTTTTTTTTTTTTTTTCTGTCATGACAACATGTGGCACAGCACCAAAGAGGACCTTATATTTCCGGGATTGTTCGTAGAACCGTATTTTAGGTCGACAGAAATTCACCCTCAGATCATGAAAAAGCATTTTCACATGTGAGACCCGGAAGATCGATCACTTTACGTTACATAGACCTAAAAAAAATATAATTATTTTATGTCCGACCTCCCATGGCTCCTACTTTCCTAGTTCAAGTGCTTGCTTCTCATTGACCACGTTTCTGTACCACCTATTTGTCCAAGTAAAAAGAATAATTTCTCATGAAGAGCTTGGCACATGACATGATCCACTTCTCTGAACCCTGGACAGACGTATCACAGCAGAAGCTAAGCTTGCACCGTTGTCTCGGAGGAAGCCTACAAATGTCAAGAGTCCTTCAAAGCCACCAGCTGAGTGAATTCACGTCGGTAGCAGTTTTAGTAATGGAGTATTAAGACCACTGATGCCATCTATGACAAATGCACGGACATTTATTTACTCGCCTGTACACTCTCGTTGTCCTCATTTTTTTTTTTTTTTTTTTTTTGATACCATGGTCTATACGAGTGGAACTTTTCTAGGCATTTGATGGACCCCACACGACAGGCGATTTTTCTAGTCACTGGCATGTGCAATTCTTGCTGCTCTTTCTTACGCTATGCTCTCGTTCCTTTCTCTATCGAGTTATTTTTTAGCGCCGCCATTTATGCCTATTTTATTATTATTACGGGCTCCATTTATTCGTTGCTTGGAATGTTATTTCAAAGAATATGCAGGCATACTATTAAAGAAGAATGATTATGATATCCTTGCCATACTGGATCATCATTATCGAGGTCATGATTTGTACTCTAGACCTGAATTCACCACAAAGCTACGATGTAAAAGATGGACATGGATTATTCGTGGGGTTAGTTGTACCTGCATCTTGTTTATTGACAGCCAAGACTATCCGATGTCAGAAATTTCTTTTTTTTTTTCTTTTTTTTTTTTAAGGAAATAGACAGGTCATGGAAAAGTTTTAAACCCCACATAAAGATCGTGATGCTCGTGAGCCAAACCCTTTGTGAAATGAAATAGATTGGAAATAACATTTTTAGGGTTTGGTGTATAGTCTGTAACCGCTTTGCTCGTGTACTGTACAATGTTGAAGGCATTTTTCTTCTTTACATCACATGGGGCATAGAAATGAGGCATTTATCCTGAGAAGGTCTGGGATCTCTCGCGCCCTTCACAGCCTTCTCATCCCCAACTTGTGAAATCTTGAATTCTCTGTGTGGGGTTGAATCAAGAACTGATGCTCTTTTTGTTCACTTTGAAATGCTTAGGCATGTTTTTTTTTTTTTTTTTTTTTTTTTTTTGCTTTGCTAGATGACACTTGCTTACGCAGACTAACGCAACAGTTTCTGAAACTTGAAAATATTTGCATAGCAAACAAAAGTAAGGGTTGGCGCCTTGACCATGTTTATATCAGGCCAATCATTGCAGAAGTCTTGTGGACGCGCCCATCCTACAAGATCTCGTCATAGACTCATAGTTGATGACATTAAAAAAAAAAAAAATGGAGTATAAATTGACTCTTTGAAATCGATCTTTTTTCTCTCATTTTATTTTTCATTCTCATTGTCATTTTCATTCTTGTAGACGCTTGCATGAACTTTTTTTTTTTTTTTTTTTTTTTTTTTTTTTAGCTTCTTCAGTAGAGCTTATTAGTAGTGTTATAATAGCCGTAGTAGAGTTAGTGTTTCACGTTTATTATTATGGCAACATTGTGGTCTATAGGCTGGCGTGCTTTATACCTCTCACACTTGTCATCCCGATGTTATCACACAACAAATCTTGGTACCACATCTTTGGGAAGCATTCGTTCAACACGATTAGCAACTTTCATGAACTCTCAACACTTGAGAGGATACACACAATTACAGATACATTCACGATCTCTGTTCAGGTACGGACTTTCAGACTCTCTGGCAAGGAGGAAAAGATATCATGATGATTTTTTTTTTTTTTTTTTTTTTTTTTTGTATAAAACCTGATAAAACAATGACCTCAAATGTCTTTTGACATCATAACATGTCACGATTGATCACCTATGCCACATAAATGTGATTTAAGCCTCAGGTTTAACAAGATTGAGGACGGCAACAAGAGCGTTTTGCAATAGCTTCCATAATTTTGTACATGTATGTACAGTACATTGAACACGTTTCATTTGTGCTCTGTCCCCCCAACTAAAGTAAGACAGAGAAGTGGAAACAATCACCTTTTCCCCCCACGCTCAATTCAAGCTTCTTGGTTCAAGCTACATCACTTTTTCAGTTCTCTTTCCCCTCTTTTCTTTTCCTTCTTCTTCCCAATTCTTTCTAACTCTTTTGTTTGATCTTGCGCTTTTGTAAAACTGCTGTTTCGTCTTCAGTAGTAATCACTCGAATCAATCGTGTCCACGCCAATCCTTGGAGCATCAAGCAATTTTAGCCCGACTACAGCAGCAGCAACAACAACGACCTTATCAGCATCAACGACAGATAAAGGATTATATTCATATACTTCATACCGATCAATCAACACCACAGTACCAAAAGCAGAATATGACTGAAAAAGTAGCTCTCATCGGATCTGGCAACTGGTAAACCTTTTTTTTTTTTTTTTTTTTTTTTAATATTATTTATAGAGAGTATATCACTGGAATGGTTGACAATGAATGAAAATGAATGGCAATTAGAATGTAACGGATGGAATGACAATCGAAAACTCGAAAAGCTAATTCAAGCTTTTTTTATTTTTTTTTTAAGGGGGTCTGCCGTTGCAAAGATCGTTGGTGGGAACGTTCATAATTTTGAGCATTTCGACAAAGAGGTGAAGATGTGGGTTTACGAAGAGCAAATTGATGGAAAGAACCTCACAGAAATCATCAACACCAAGCACGAGAATGTGAAGTAAGTGATTTGTTCCGATACGTTGGGCCGTATATGTTATTATTCCCAATCTTTATATTACAAGCCCTGAAGATTGTGGGACTTTTTTGTTATATTTCCTTCATGGTACACATTTAAAGATGTTTGAGCTCTGTTTGTTTTGATGGGGTAAAAAAAAAAAAAAAAAAAATGTGGAGAAGTGATCATCATTTTTAAAGATTTGTTGATCTGTTGAGCAAACAGAACTTTTTTGTGATTTCCACATTAAGTGCATATCGTGGCTTATTATCGTTCAAAAGTTGAATTGTTGTGGGGTTGTTACCGAATGTTGCAAGCGTGTGAATAAATAGCCATTGGGATAAAAATGTAGATCACATCGGAAAAATTGATTTGTCAAAAATATTGATGCCCAGGTCTCCTTAAGAAAAAAATAAAATAAATAAATAAATAAAAAAAAAAAAAGAAAATGTTGATTGACTAATTTTTTTTCCATCCTTGTCCAACATGGATTTAACATCATGCTTTGAATAGATATCTTCCAGGCATTAAACTGCCAGAGAATGTTGTTGCATGTCCAGATTTGATCAAGACGTGTGAAGATGCCACCATGCTTGTATTTGTTGTCCCTCATCAGGTATGTTGCACGATTTATAAATAAATATTGTACACAAGGTTCGTTCAGTGGAATGCTAGTTCGCAGCCTGACTATGTAACCTCAAGTGTCGATTCTGCCTTGACGATTGGCGGTCATGGATTTCACATGAATGTTATGACGAATGACAAAGAGGTTGGATAGTCTTGAGACCAACGAAAAGTATAGAGATCCTGTCTATTTTAGACGCGTTGAGAGCATTCAAAGATGCATAGAAGTGTGTCAGAGGATTTACATTTTTCATGGTTTTAAAATGTTTGTGCAACGCTTCCTAACACATTTTCTTTTTCTTTTTCTTTTTTTTTTTTTTTTTTTTTTTTTTTTAAAAAAAAAAAAGTTTGTATCCGGCATCTGTAAGCAATTGAAGGGCAAGATCCCTTCAAACTGCAAAGCCATCTCGTTGATTAAGGGTATTGACGTCCAGGATAATGCAGAAGGCTTCCGTCTCATCACAGATATGATCCAGGAGTCGCTCGGCATTCAAGCCTGTATGTTGAGTGGCGCCAATATTGCAGATGAGGTTGCAGAAGGACGATTCTGTGAGACAACTATCGGATACAGGAATAAGAAAGATGGCGAGCTGTTTAGAGACATTTTTCACACACCATTTTTCAGGGTCAGTATTATAGAGGACGTTGTGGGAGTAGAGCTTTGTGGAGCTCTCAAGAATATTATCGCAATTGGAGGCGGATTGGTTGATGGACTCAAGTAAGTTGTATATAAAGTCAATCCAGTAGATGCTCCAGTTAATAATTAACTGATACAATTATGGGTATTAATTACAATTGTATTTCTATTAATGTTACCATTAATTTAGGATGGGTGCTAACACAAAGGCAGCAATCATCCGTATTGGTCTGTATGAGATGCGCAAGTTTGCGAAAATGTTTTACAAGGATATCAAGGATGAGACATTCTTTGAATCTTGTGGTGTTGCGGATTTAGTCACAACATGTGCAGGCGGTCGAAACCGCAAGGTGGCAGAGGCGCATGTTACAACAGGCAAATCTTTTGATCAGCTTGAACAAGAGATGCTAAATGGACAGAAACTGCAAGGCACCTCGACCGCCAAAGATATGTATGGCATCCTTTCCAAAAAGGGTCTTTGTGAAGAGTTCCCATTGATGACCACTATCTATCGTATTTGCTACGAGGATGTACCACCTAAAAGGATTGTGGAGGACATCTAAGACAGAAGATATGAGAATCTATGGATTGTGAACTACAGACAGGAGCAAAAAAAAAAAAAAAAAAAAAAAAAGAATCAAGGCAATAAAAGTTCACGTTATCATTATGGGATAAATATCTTTTGTCACTTTGGAAATGAAATGGCACGCGTATGATGACAAGTGATCAAACCAAAACATGTTTATACATTACGTGGAGAGGCACATGGAGATCAAATTATCGATCATATGGGAACAAGATATCCACACACACATAAATATGTATACACAAGAGGATTATATCATTTGTGTACATGTTGCTAGAAAACTATAGTCAAGTAATCATCAACGCGACATCGCGCGAGATAGGCATGTGCGTGAAAAAAGGAAAGAAGAGGGGAGGGAGGACGAAAGTGGGACGAGTGCCTATGGTCCATTACAACAATAGGGTGTAGTCTTTGTATTTAACCTAGGACTGTAACAGCAATGTTATTTATTTACATGTATTTATTTATTTTTATTTAGTTAATCTACATAAATAAATGGCTACCTTAGATCGGTGTAAGATTAAATTAGAGAGCTTTGACCATCGGGTATTTCTTTTTTTTTTTCTTTTCTTTTTTTTTTTTTATTCTTGTTGGCTCTCGGGAAAGCTCTTATAAACCGAAAGGGGAAACAAATAAATAAAAAAGCTTAGCGATTTATGCCGGACAGCCACTTCTCTTCGTGAAATGAATAAGAGACTCCATCCCATCCTTTTTTTTTTTTTAAAAAAAAAAAAAAGAAAGGGAGGCTGACAAATGATCCGAGATCACAAAGCATTGATTAATCACGTCCATGATCTGAATACTGCTAAGCTGCCAAGTATTAGTCATCTCCTCGATGTCTTTGATCTTTTTTTTTTTTTTATTTTTTTTTCATTGCTGCGTCTTTATGAACGATGGAAAAGCAAACGAGCAAGAAGTTAAGGAAGTTAAGGAATAAAATATGATAGGAGCGCACAAGCGGAATTGACGTTTGTTACGCGTTTTGTTTATTTATTTCTTTTTTTTATTATTATTTTATTTTTATTTGAAAAGGTACATTGTTTTATAAATTGCTACGCATATCTATGCAAGAATATATTATGTTTTTAGTATATTACTTTTATTTTGTATTCTAAAGTACATGTACATTGGATATAAACAGAGAAGTGCAGTTTTTTTAAACTATGTCCACCATGTGCAAGCATATCGAGAAAGGCAAGGCTCAAAGTGAAATCGATGATTGGGGAAGGGAAGAAAGCATTGGGTCCAGATTAGGAGGCAAAACCTTTTTTTTTTTTTTTAACGCTTAATAAGTGGACCATGGACATGCTTTGCGGAGAAAAAAAAAAAAAAAAAAAAAAAAAAAGGGCGATCGGAGAAAGAGAGAGAGAGAGAGAAAAAAGAAAGAAAGAAAGAAAGAAAGAAAGAAAGAAAGAAAGAAAGAAAGAGAGAGAGAGAGAGAGAGCAACGACTGTGTGTTGGTGGATGCATGCATGTTGCACAGTGATGGCGATAGTAATGATAATGTACACCAGATGATTAATAAAAATTAATATAAAATATAAAAATACAAGCAGTTTGAATATCATGAAATGGAATGACTCTGTGATTTGTCAAAGTATCAAGTGCTGTGGAGGTGTCGGTCCTTCCAAGCATTTGTTGCATGCATGCATGCGTTCCTCGAATGGTGGGGGGGAAAACAGTTTTTTTTCCTGCCAACTCTTTTTCTCACATTCATTTTAATCTTACTTCAATCATTGAAACCATTGTACCTTTATCCTCTTACCCTATTTCGTCTCTTGTCAGTTTTCTCTTTCATTCTTTCTTTTTTCTCTCTTGTTTTTTGTTATTCTTTAAATACTCTTTTCAACTGCCTACCCTGCCTGTCTGTTGTGGAAGACTCATTCTCTATATTCTCTTCATTCTCCACATCCTCTCATTCCATCTCTATTGTTCCTCATTCTCTCAATCGCCTTCACAGAAGATGTTAAAGGAAACAATGAAAAAAGACCGAGCACACTGCAATTGAAATAGGAAACTGATAACACCAAATTCATATAATCTGCATTCACCTCACCTTATCCCATCCTCGTTTTTTTTCTTCTTGCCCAAAACTGAGCATTTTCCTTTTCTCCACATCGGCAACTGCAGCTGCGTTTTTTTTTTTTTTTTTTTTTTACATTTTTCCTTCAAAATGCCTTTTACAGAGATCCCAATTGAATGCTTAAAGATCGTGCTAATGTATCTGGACCTGCCAGACCAACACAGCGTTCTCTTGACCTGTCGTGCCCTCTTCAAGAAAACCGTCCCTACCCTCTACCGATCACCATTCCGAGCCATCATGACTTTTGATGACTGGAAATCTCTCGGTGCTCCTTCTTCTTCCCCTCATCTTCCACATCCTTTCAGGAACGATTCAAATACCTCCACCAACCGTGACAACAACATAAGCAATACTAAGCTATCAGGGAATATGATTATCAATAACACTAATGCCAATGTCAATCAAAGGAAAACAGGAGGGACTGTAGATGATCCTGGATGTGGCAATGGTACTTGTACAATTGATAATGGTAATGTCCAAAGCACGGGTCGGCTCAACAGCACTTCCTCCTCATCCGTTTCTTCGTCCTCCACAGGTAGTACAGCCGCCTCTTCCGCTTCCGTCAGCGCCACTACATCAAAGACAACAATCTCGACCGCAGCGGCAGTAGCAGCATTATCGTCAGCAACCAAGGCCGTCTTACATGTAACAAGCGCCCTACAGGGCCGTCATCTTGCTACATCTCAAGCTCAGCAACAACAAGAAAAAAATACCCGACAACAAAAACAACAAAAGCCTAAACGTCCTTCCTCTTTACAACGCCGCTCTTATTCAGATTATCACAAAAACATTAGCAACGATAGTACCACTCATACGAGTAACGGTAAAAATAGCAGTAGCAAAGTTGCATCTGTCAGCCAAGTCAATCTCCGCGCGCGTGGCAACAGTAGTGGCAGTAGTCATGCCAGCTTCAGCTACAGCTCTGGCTACAATAATGGTCACGACAGCAGCAGTAGTAATAACAATATCAGCAATGGAAAGGGAGATTATCATCAGCATTACTATCCAAACAATCATCACACAATTCACACATTTCTTAATAATAACACCAAAATCGCAAATGCGGCCCCTGCAGCATTCACTCAGTCCTATGCAGCACCAATTTCTCCGGAATTGCAACAACTCCGACTCTGTAAGATGACTCGTTTGTTACAGCTGTTGATTGCCTGCACATCCGTTCAGGCGCGTCTCCCTGCATTGCGATACCCGGGCTATGGTCAGCAATGGATCCGTCCACCCTGCAAAATTGATTATTTAAAGTATTTTTCAGATTATCAAGGGGCAGGAGAAATGATGATACAGTGCTTCCACTTATTGTTTGCAGATCTGATCCCCGCTCAATCAGATGACAGCGATTACGACAGCAGTAACGGCGGTGGCAATAATAATCGCGGCGGTCACGACGAAGAGGAGCGAAAGAATCAAGGGGGTTATGGCAGTAGCAATAGCAGCAGCAGCAGCAGCAGCTCAAAACACACACGAAATCAAGAGGCCTACATGGTTCTGTTTCAAATCCTGAGAGAATTCATGTCACATAACGCAGAGCAGATCCAGACACTATCGGTATCAGCCGTGTATACAATCGAGCACGCGACTGCATTGGTTCCACAACTGGCATCGGTCACACGACTTGAGATCACAGACCTAGAAAAAACGAGTCAGGACGTGCGAGTGGACTTGGTCGTGGATTTTATTAAATCACATCGGATGCTGTTTGGACCTATCCTAAAGGACATTGTGCTGGTTGAGAAACACGCCCTTGGATCAATTGTACCAGGGACATTGTCGGCATCGACATTCATGGCCATACCATCATTATCCTCCACCTCCTCCTCACCAGCATTGGCCTCTACTTTTGCTTCCATAGCAACTACTATATCCGCACCATCCTCACCTTCGTCCCCAATCTCACCTGCCTCCTCCTTGGGATCTGTTTTTACGGCGTACTCTGCAGCTGTACGCATCCCCACTTCTGTCAACAGTAATTTAGGTCAAAATAACAATACCCTCGCTATTATTGATGCGTTCAAAGGTCTGGAAAAGATTGATGCTACAGGATGGGCCAATTGCATACTTTACCTCGATCACATCCTTCCAGCCCCTATTACTACTGGCTCTCCTCCCAATCGTTCTATCCTTGCTGCTGCTGCACCAGGCGCTCCCATGGTAACGACGGGGGCTGTGACTACTGCTTCAACATCCACAGCTACCTCCTTGAAACGCTTGTGGCTCTCCTACTACTTCCCAGCATCCGAATCTGTTGATTCCAAGGTCGCGCGTCTAGGAGATATCCTCACTCGGTGCCGATCTCTCACAGAAGTTCGACTTCCTATCCGACGAGGAGATGTCTTTGCATGGGCAACCCAAGAGAAGAAGACAGCCCTGATCTGTGCACCAATCTTGAAATCCTCCACCGCCAAACATCTGCCACCCATGAAACGGATCCATATTCAGGGCCCAAGTTTAGAATTGATGGATTGTTTACATGATGCCAGCTTTGCCTTTCAGGACACATTAGAAGATTTAGAGGCAAGTTCAAGGTTACGGATTTGGCAACCAACGACATTAGAATGGGACTGGACAATGAAACGATTAAGGCGCTTGAAGTTAGAGGGCGAGATCTGTTTATATTTCTGTTTGGAGAGCTTGGTAAGATGCCCAGCCTTGGAAGAGCTGGAGCTAGTGTTAACACCAAAGACTGGTTCTAGAGCTGTCGCCCGTCAGGATGTTAGAGGTTCTACTGGGTATCTTCAGCAACATCGTCAACAACAGTACCAGCACCAGCACCAGCACCAGCACCAGCACCGGTATCTCGTCTGGCCTGGTACTAACAGTCATCATGGTGGTGATAGAGCGGAAGGAGAAGTAGAAGGAGGAGGAGCAGGCCATTTTTGGGCTCAACAGGACCCTGGGAAAAATCTGTTGCTCTTCATTCGGTCACGTGAGATGTATAGGATCTCTTCATTACCACATTTGAAATCTTTGGCCTTGGTGGGACCCTTCCAGGTACCGGATCTTGCTCTAAGACATATTGCAAACAAATGTAAACGGTTACAGGACTTGACATTGGATCAGACGGTGGGAATTACGATCGGGGGTTTACTGTTGGCAGTAGAGGACATGCGTCGTCTAGAGAACTTGGATCTGAGTCTTGATGTAGTGGATTTGAAGTTGGTCACGGTGGCGGCACGTCAGAAACTACATCACTTGAAGTCCATATCTTTGACTAGTCTTCGACACGAAGAATAAATCAATGAAAGCATACAGCAACACCAAACCGTAGAAACTATATATATCATTGTCTTTATTTATTTATTTTATTTCATTTTTCTATAAAAAAATATTTTTGATGTCATGGCAGAGCGATAGGTTGCCCCTTCTCAGCCAACCAGAATATAGCCCATCGGAACTGCCCATTCGCCAGCTTACGGCTCACGATCAGGACACTTGGAAGTAGACAGACCATGAAGGGGATCGCCAACACAGCTAACACAAGAATGAAGATGAACGATGCCAATGCAAACATCATCTTGAAGATAATGAAATAAAGCACAGTGTTGACAGTGTGCTTATTGGCCAGAGTTGCTCTGAAATGCTCTGCTCCTTTGTGCCACAGATTTCTTGATCGTCGTGGTCGGCTACGATTTGGACCTCCTGTTGCTGCTACCCCTATGACTGCTGGGTTACTCCACGTAGAAGTATTTGATGGTGTTACCGTTCGAGAAGAGGAAGATGAAGAAGGAGATGCTGTGGACGGTACAGAAACGAACACTTTGACCAGCTTGAATGGGTATTTCTCTCGAACATGCCAGGAAACCAAGGCTCTCGAGATGATGATATCAATGCGGGCTAGCGCTCTCCAAGAAGTTACGGCTGCAATCACGAAGAGATATCCGATCGGCGGTACGATCACAGAGATACCTGCAACGATTAATGTCACAAGCGTCCAAACAAAACAGAAGAGAGTCCAGGGCAAGAGACCGATCAACAGGAAGAAGAACCCCACCCATGCTTTACCATCCCCTACAACACCCCAGTGCGACTCTGGCCCTTCGTCAGCGTCATGGTATACATTATCATTATATCTTGAACGAGGCGCTTGAGCGCCATGAGGTTGGTGATGGGGTTGGTCCTGATCTGTTCCCAATAACCTGTCTACGTCACGGGAATGCAGCTCGTCGTCTTCTCGACCTTGGGATATCTCGTTTTGCAATTGAGATTGATGTCGGCCTTGTGGTGGTGAAATGGATCCATATCGTGGCCCATTATTGGATTGCTCTCCACTAGATGGTCCTCTAGCTCTACCAGAGCTACTACTGCTCCCACTAGCTACCCCAGTACTACCATTGGCATCACTACCTGATTGGTAATGGCTTGCAGGAGTTGAGTCTAGAGGAATCCTGGTCTTGATATCTAAACCGCGTTGTCCAGGAGGCCCACGAAGATGATCATAATTGTCATGGAAATTCTGAGGTCGGCCATAGCCCTGAAGATTGGGGGATCTATCCTTGGTATTCACAATAGTTGCCTCGTATGAAGGAGGAAGGTCATCATCGTGCTGAATACTGTGACTAGTCGCAGTTTTTTTCCCTGCAGAAACTGTCGTTGTTGTTCTCGAAGCTGTTGCCTCGGCAGAGCCATCTGAAGGACCAGGTTGTGAGGCCATTGGAGCAGTAGTAGCGATAGTATGAAGGGATGGAGCCGTAGGCTGTACAACTGGTGAGACTGGCGAAGCAGGGATAGCAATAAGGATGTTCTCAGAAGCAGCAGCAACAGGAGCAGCAGAATTAAGGTTGATGCCAGAAGTAGTAGCAGTAGTAGTGGTAGTGTCACCTGCAGTTGAGTCTAAGTTACTAGCTCTCCAGACTGAGGAGTTGGATTGGACGTTTAGCCAAGGTTGACCGTTATCAAAAGGGTCATTAGGATCAAACGAAGACATGGGTGAACGAATGTGTGCGTGAATGAAGTTTTTAAAATGATCTTGTGCACAGCTTCTTTAAAGTCTTGGCATTTTCAGCATACGCCGCCCTTAACTGTAACATGGTGAAGCCCAATTCATAGTAAAAGAGAGTAGTAAAGATAGCCTGGGAAGTGTCACATCATGGCTTTTCTTTTTCTTTTTCTTTTTCTTTTTCTTTTTTCTTTTTCTTTTATTATTCGCGATTGCATTATCAATGAATCAATCCAGATGCATTTTTCCAGAAAGTAGAGGATCATCTTCACTCATCCTGCGGTCTTCCAACGATCGTTTGACCCATGCTTTAGCAGACCCAAGAGCCGCCTGTGACTTCTGTTGTAGATACGCTGACTTGGAGGTTATCGAAGACGACGCTGGTTGTGTAGTTGTTGGTGTTGGTGTATCTATATTTGCTGTTGTATTCTCAAATGGACGGCCCAACGGATATAGATCAACCTCTCTCCTTGGGGAAGCACGGGCGCCTATACCTACATTAGAGGTGGAAGCACTGGATATTGACCTAGTTAGACCAGGCCGTGGAGAGCTCTCATGTCTCCTATACAAATTATATTGCCGAGACCCTAGATCGTTTTCCTGTTCCTGTAGCTCCTGTATAACAGCTGCTTCGTGCGAAGGAGCAGTGGACAATGGGAGAGGACCTCTCCCACTTGATACACTACCCTTGCGTCGATTCCCCAACAACGTGCCTACACTGTCTAACGAGAATTTTGGTGATGTTCCTTTGATCGAGTTATTGTCGCTACCTCCACCGCTATTGGATCCTTTGCTTCCTTGATCTTCGTCATTATTACGACTCGTAATCTTTTTCAACAGCGAATCCTTCTTTGACTTTAGATTCAATAGACTATCACCACTGCTCCTGCGACCATGATCTCTTCCTCGATCTTTACTATCCTTGCCACTCTCACCTGTATTCCGCTTGGACGAAACTTGTTCTGTATTCTCATTACTGCTATTGTTGTTACTATCAGCATTACTCTGAGGACTCTCATCGCCCTTGCTCTGGCCCTTCTTGCTCTTTTTGTCAGCAGTGAGCATATTGGCATGGTTTCCTTGAATCTGGGAGATAGAGCTGCTAGAAACTGTGCTACCCCCCGACCTACTACTGTTTTTTTCAAGGATACCTGCAATTCCAACAAGAGATGACGAAACGTTCAAATCATTTTTAGGTGAATCCTCCTCTGCATCCTTCCCTTTATCCTCATCGGTATGGGGCGACGCTGTGCTCCATCTCATCATGTTTGTAGATTTGGGAAGTGTTTCCTGACCTGGTCGTGAAGAGCTGTCTGGCGAATCTCTTTTGCTGCTGGACTCTGCTAAACTTTGTAGAGATTGATACAGTACATCATTTACTGCAGATGAAACAGTTCCATTATTCGTGTCACTATCCGCGTCATCGTTGCTCACTGTCGATTCCAGATTGGCAAGAAGTCGCAACGAGCTTGTTGATGATTTCTTGGATGGCCCATTGGAGGGAGAGGATACTGATAGCCGTGATCCCTGTGCCTCTGCAACATCATTTAGAGCAGATAACTTTGGGATGGCGGATTGCAGCTTGGATCCACTAGACGTTGTACTACTAGAAGACTGAGGTGTGGTTGATGGAGATGTTCGTATAGCAGTAGCAATTGATGTAGCAACTGTTGGTTTGGTGTTCAGTTTGGATGGATCTGCCACAGGATCCTGTGACTTTGACGAAAAATGTGCCTGTGAAAACCGCTTAAACTTTGATGCAAATGATGATGTGGAGATGGTACTGGCATTGCTACTGCTGGTATTGTGCTGCTGATGGATGTACATAGTGGGTAGCGGTGTGGAGGTGATGGGGACGGTTTCTAGATCCATATCTGATTCTGTGCCAGTCGAGCTCCAAGATGGTTTTCTCTCAGATATGAGCGACTGAGGACCTGGAGGAGCCTGTTCTGAGTCAAAGGAACTCTCACTGCCTCGTCGTTTGCTTCGTATCGGCGTACTCGAAGCGCTCTCCCCCGGCTTCTCTGCCTTCCTTATTTTTTCAGTTGTACTTGAATCCGCATCACTATCGTCCGCGACCTCTGTAGAAACTTCCTCATCCCCCTCAAAAATACCTCCGGTCCCGTGCGAGTCAAAGAATGGGTAATCATCCATGTTAGGCAGTACGATCGCCTCCACCATCGCCTCACGGATTTTTGTCTCAATGGCGCTTAGTACCATGTTAAGCTTTATAGCCTTGTCAGCTACAATTGGTTCTATCACAATCTCTAGCTCGGGCGGCTCCTGAAACCCGATCCAGAACCGGTTAGTTGGCGGCGCCTTGATCTTGAGCGTCATCATTCCCGATATAGCCTTGACAAGTACTGCCAGGACCACGGTCACTTTGACAGGCTTCAATGTCGCTAGTCCCAGTCCAACATCCACCTCAATCTCAACCCTTATGCCTCCACGGTACGCTAGATGGAATTCAGCACTTAGTTCGCCAGTCATAGAGAGTTCGTGAAGCTTTGTCCTTGTGATGTAAGGAATGCTATGACCAATATCGAATGACCGCACCTTGATTTCTCCTAAAAATGACGGTCGTTTTAGTTTTCGAGTCTTGCGTGTAATCTTTTGGATAAATATCTCTCGGATTCTCTTCGTCTTGTATACACCCAAAAAGATCCGACCAAGGAACGAATTGAACCAGCGGGTATGTTCATGATGCTTATCAGAGTGAAGGATGCGGATATGGTTTTGAATAGCCTCAGGATCAAAGTGTGCCTTGTCTCGGATCTTTTGTTTTGTACCAGGCTTCCTCAACTTGGACGCATACAGGAGAGCAAGGAACCTAATCCAGATTTCATCCAATCCATTCATTTTGGGAGTGAGGAATGCCACGTTGCCACATTAATTTTCTTTTTTTAGACCTAAAAATCAACTGACTTGTAACTTTAGAACTTTAGAGTAAAAAAAAAATAACAAGAGAATACATACCAGTCCTCTTTGACAACTGGAGTATGGACAAAGATATAAAATTCATCTTGATCATTGTCCATAGCGATAGCAGAGGTTGGTGCATCAATTTTGCGCTTGATTTGGATAGGGTGCTCCTTGTTAAAACATTCATTATCTGGCAAGTTCTTTGGAAAGATCCGGACCTCATACAGTGTCATGGGTACGACAGCTTTGCAGTCACGCTGCTGATCACTTTCGTAGAGGAACAAGGTGTCGTATCGCAGTACAGCATAATACGAATCTTTGGGTCGTGCATTCTTGGGTTGGAACAGCATATTGGTCATGTAATCCGAAATGGACTCCGCAGCAGGTCCCAATCGTGGTACCCGCGTCATCCTGACATAGCCTTCCCTATTTAAATTAGGGTCCGCTTGCATTGGTACGTCTGGTTCTCGACCAGCGATGGCTTTCAAACTAACAGTTGCAGGGGTATCACATTCCAAAGTTGTGCTATCGTCTTGTTCCTCATTTTCATCTGTGTTGCTACTGTCTTCTTCATCGCTATCATCATCTGTATCATGCTTGTCTCTGTCCTGTTGCTTGTGACTATGGCGAGGTATATCCTGGTGACGACTGAGTTGAGATGGAGTTGTGGTAGTAGTATCGGAAGACGATGCAGAAGTTATGGAGGTGGAGGATGAAGATCGGGTTTTGTTGTTGGCTGACTTCCGTAAACGAAGACTAGTGCTTTTAGTTTTTTTTGCAATGGGTAGAATGGTATCAGTGTGGACATTGATTTGGCCGTTCAGAATCTTGGGTGGAGGCAAATCTGTTGGGCGTGGCTGGGTCGGATCAAGTTTTGGTAGTCGAATCCATAAGATAGCAAGCGTGATGGTCACAGTGAGCGGGATCAAGGTCACACCGCCCAAAAGATAGAAGAACAGGTATGGATGCATTCGGGAGGCTACTTTACAAGGAAAATCACTTCTACAGTAGTGAACGTAAGAACAACGGACAAAAAAGACAAAGCGAAGAGAAGGCTAGAAATGGATCACTGAGTTTAGATATTGACGGAGAGGTAAAACAGGAGCTCAACACATTGAGAAGAGGTAAGGATGTTTCCTGTAATGAACGAAATGGAGGTAATGAATAATGAGTTTCACCCACCTAGCAAATAAGCACAGTGGATAACAAGAAGACTGAAAGGAGCAGTAAACGAGAACCCAAAAGGAGGGCTCCCGAAGAAAGATAAAGACAGCTGGTGAGTAAAGTCGAGGGGGATTTTTTTTTTATAAAAAAAAAGTGAAAGGAAGAAGAGAAAGAGCCACGCACATGCCATTATTACTGGCAAGATACAAAAGCAAATGGATCATCATGACGCGCACATGCCTCTCTTTACTGGAGGACAAGCAAAATTGCTTTATCACCATCAGTTAAAGTGCCACACAGTGCTCCTTGTAGCAAGTCTGGACTCCTGAGCCATTTCTAATATGTCACACCCATACAAAAAAAACCTTCAATAAATTGAAATTATTCATATATTGCTGTCATCATTGTGATCATCACAGATATTTTTACAATTCAAGACCATCATCGTCGCAGCATCGCCAGCAAAGCTACCTTTATCATGAAGTTTCAAGAGGAAAAGGCTTGAAATCCAAATGTCTCAGAGTTCATTTGCAAAACTATGAAGTATCAATCCTGGTGGGCCCTCAAAAATGCGAATTACCATCTTCAAAGCTATCAGACTCTCATCTCAAGCCTCTTAACGTTTGAAATGTATTCGAAAGACAAAAGTTGGTGGGTTAGACGTCACCAGTCTAACGAGCAAGTCAAACTGGGTATGTACTGAATGTTGAATTGGTTTGTAAAAGCAATTAACGTAATGAACACTTAGTAACAGATGTTCGTCTGTAAGGGACAGCGGTTGCGATATGGACCATCACCAAGGATTATTAAGCCCCTCAACTTCCTCGCGGTTGGTTAAATAGGTTCAAGTTATGGACAGGAATCAAGGGATATTGGGAAAGTGGCTCCGTTTTTTTGAACTCTCGAAGTATCGGCATCGGAATTCAGGGATTTCACATGATTTGATCCTGAAGATGTGTATAACTAAAGCAAAACCGGTCTCTTCCTGAAGACAACGGTAAACAAGACCCTTACTATTGGGCCTGTTCCTGACCGCAAGACTGTTCTATTAGCTCGAGCTTCCATCCTTTTCTGTAGCAACTCTTCAAGTCCTGATAAATGAAGGCCTCTTATTCTTTGTAAGTGGATGAGCAGTGACATGTTCTTCTCTTTCTACAGCTTCTGTACTGACCTTATCTTTTTTTTTTTTTTAAGTCAAACACTACCTAGATTCGCTGGAGGCTGGCACATTGGATCTTTTTGATATTTTTTGGAGACTCCGGATTCATAACACAAGACTTGTTCTCGAGGCGGTCCCACGCGTTTGATGATAAAATGCGAGAGTAGGGACTAAATATTGCTCTGCTAGTTAACAGCGCGCCATGCCATAAAGACTGTGAATGTATTGGCCTAGCCAACATTATCATCATGCATCTTCCATCAAACACCACATCGCTTACGCAGCCAATGGATGCTAGTTTCATCGATGTTTCAAAGTTCACTACAATCGATTAATACTCAAGACTACACGCTACGTTGAACGAGACGAGGATATTCCCAATGGGTTACTCTAACCACTTCTCCCCAAAGCTTGGTGCATGGTTACATCTGACTGTAATCGCAATAGCTTCTTCAAGGTCTCTGTTCTTCCGGACGATTACAAGCGGAGGCTACTAAGTCTTGGTGTCGAAGCAAGAAAAGATCACATTGACCACCTCAAGAGAGAACTCATACCCAAGTAAGGATGTAACAGCGAGCTCATCTGCAAGCAAAATGATTTCGCAATTCTTATCCTGTCGAGCTTCGTGGCCGTGCCGTTGCGAGAACAATTCCTCAAGAAGCCTTTTCGTTGTCGATAACAAGTCCCGGATCATGAAAGTGGCGAGGAGGGTGTAGACACTATGAAGTTTAATCGAAAGGATGATAACCTTAATTATTTTCAAGGAGCTTTTTGAAAGCTTCCTAGACACCATTGAGGGTCCAGGCAATATTCATGATCCTGAGCTCACAACCAGCTGAAACAATGCATTGACTGAATATCTCAATAAATTCAATTTACAAAGGTTCATGTATTCTTGATTAGCTTTACATTGTGATAAATGTCTGTTTTAGTATGTGGCTTATGTTTATAGTTGCTTCTAAAAAAAAAAAAAAAAAAAAAAAAAAAAAAGGCCATGGTGAATGAACAGTTTTGTGCTCATTCTTGCATTCTAAGAGGTGCAACTGTTGTTGTTTCATTCTTTTACCCTTCATTCTTCCTAGTTGCTAATACTAGCCAGCAAGCTGAAAAACATATCCTTCTCCCTCGCTCAACTAGACACTTACACTCTCAGGCAGCCACCTAGCCATGTTTGGCCTCCCTCAGAAGAAGGCACGCAAAGAGGCACCAAAGGCTACAGCTCCTCGTCTCTTTGTCCCATTCCGTGCCATTGGTTATGTCACCAATGAAGTCCCTTTCAATATTCAGGCCAGGGGCCAGGCCTACTTTTTGACCACCTGTGTCGGCACTACTTTTCATATCTATGACGTTGCGAAGATGAATTTGCTTTTTGTTGGTATGACATTGTATTCTTTCATTCTTTCATTCTTCTTTTTATTTTCCTTGTTTTGGTTTACCTGGATCAGGATGTCTGATTACGGGGGTTAATATTGCTAGAGTTTCATTGTAATCAAAAGATAATACCGGCTGTTCCCTTTGATTATAGACTAACTTTACGCATATCATTCGCATAAAAGGCGCACACACCTCTACACCGATCACAGCATTAGCAACATTAGGTGATCTCGTTTTTGCAGCATGTGGATCAGATGTCGTCACGTACAGGAGAGCTAAAGAAGTAGGGCGATTCTCATGTGGAACAGACCCAAGACTTTCGATAGCATCGCTTGAGATCTTTGGTCAACACATTATCTCGATCTGCAGCGATAATACTGTCAAGTTGAATGATCATACCACAGGAGGTAAATGACAATGCTGTCGGAAAAACTAACTTGGAAGGAAGCAAAGGCTAGAGCTGTGGATATGATTACTCATTAAGAATTACACCCTCATTTGTGACCTTTGATAGAGTTATACACTACTATCGATTTTGACCCCTCTTTCACCGTTACAACACTCATCCATCCCAGTACATATCTCAATAAAGTGCTCATTGGGAGCAACCAAGGAACAATGCAGCTCTGGAATATCCGCACAAGCACTATGATCTATGCATTCAAGGGATTCAACTCGCCTATCACCTGTTTCACTCAAACCCCTGTAGTAGATGTGATCGCAATTGGTCTCTTGGATGGCTCCATTGTCATCCACAACATCAGAACAGACATTACTATGATGACTCTGAGGCAGGAAGCAAAAGTCACTGCAATATCCTTCCGAACAGGTACAAAGCCCACGCTTTTGCTATTAATTGTCCTAGCAGTGTCTTAAAAAAAAAAAAAAAAAGCGCAGATCCTAACCGTAATTACACTTCTCTGACTGTATATTACTGAACGGAATAGATGATCAGCATGTGATGGCTTCTGCAAACATGTATGGAGATATCGCACTTTGGGATCTGGATCGTCAAAAGGTGTTACATGTGATGAAAGGTGCACACGATGGAACCATCCCTTCAATCCAGTTTTTGAATGGACAACCAATCTTAATGACTTCTGGGGCAGACAATTCCGTTAAGCAATGGATCTTTGATAGTTTGGATGGCCTTCCCCGCTTGTTAAAGTCTAGAAGTGGGCATCATGCACCACCTACCAATATTAAATATTATGGCGAAGATGGACATTTTATCTTATCTGCTGGTCGTGATCGTTCACTCAGAGCATTCTCCACTCTCCGCGACTCACAATCGGTTGAGTTATCGCAGGGATCTCTGAGCAAAAAGTCAAAGCTACTGAATCTTAAGATTGATGAACTGAAGCTCCCCCTAATCACAACTGTTGCAGCAACCTCAACCAAAGAAAAGGAATGGGACAACATCTTGACAGCACATTGGAACGAGCCCGGAGTACGTACATGGAATTACCAGCGCAAGACTTTGGGTGCACATATCATGACTCCAAAAGATGGATCTTCTACTAAAACAGTAACAGTCAGCAAATGCGGAAATTTTGGCTTTGTTGGCTCAGCTTTGGGTGGAATTGATATGTTTAATATGCAATCAGGGATCTTCCGACGGTCTTTTGATGAGGATGGTCATAAGAAAGCGATCACAGGGCTTCAGTCAGACCGTCTGAGCAAAACATTAATTTCAGGGTCTCTGGATGGGTTCCTCAAGCTCTGGGACATTAAGACAGGCAAATGTGAACATACTATGGAGATGCCCTCACCCATTACACATTTGCTTTTGTACAGTGAGAATAATCACCTGGCCGTTATCTGCGACGATTTATGCATACGCATTGTGGATGTTGAAAACCGCCGTGTTGTTCGTGAATTCTGGGGTCACTCAAATCGCATTACAGATATGGTAAGTTTTTTTTTTTATCTCTTCAATATTGTTTTTCACCATGCAGGTGTCCTTTTATTTTATAATAACTAACCATTACTTTATAAAATGGCGCTTGTTAATTATAGACATTCAGCCCTGATGGTCACTGGCTTGTTTCCTCCTCTTTGGATACCACTATCCGCACATGGGATTTACCAACTGGACATATGGTTGATATTTTCAAATGCGAAAGCATCGCCACCAGCCTTAGCTTCTCGCCCACTGGTGATTATTTGGCAACGGCACATGTTGACAATGTTGGTATCTTCCTGTGGGCCAATCGCATGCAATTTACAACTGTATCATTGAGAAGTATCACTGAAGATGATGTGATTCGAGTGGCTCTGCCAACATCCTCTACCCTGGAAGATGAAAACGAAGAAGGTAAAGGCAGACACATCAATAGTAGTATATATCTATTTCCTTGCACACACGCCTATTTCTTTTTACGAAAAACATTATTAACCATGATACCCTCATTAATTGTGAAATATTACATAATAGCTGAGAATATCTTCACAACCAATGAAGAAGTACTCGCGTTGGAACCAGGCATTGAATCTGCCGAACAGTTGACAGAGCAGATGATCACGCTGTCGCTCCTCCCTAAATCCAAATGGCAAACATTATTGAATCTAGATGTGATCAAAGCCAGAAATAAGCCCAAGGAGGCACCCAAGGCACCTGAGAAGGCACCCTTCTTCTTGAGCACACTTCCAGGAGTTGAACCCAAGTTTGTTGCAACTAAAAAGGATGAGGAGCGTACGGATGCTGCGGACACCAAAATGATCCGTATGAATATGCTACAGCCAGAGACTGTCTTTATGACGCTTCTGAAACGAGGCCACAAATCAGGACAAGATTACTCGGACTTTTTTGATCATATCAAATCACTGAATCCTTCTGCTGTGGATTTTGAGCTCAGGTCCATGTCATTGGACAACGATTTGGCAGAACCGAGATATTTTTTGGAGGCAATCGAATATCTCTTGAAGATGAAACGGGACTTTGAGTTGGCAGAAGTATATTTGAACGTTTTCTTGAAGATCCATGGCGATGTTTTGGTTGCAAATCCGGAAGCAGGACTGGATGATAAAGAGGAGGACGAAGATGAAGATGAAGATGATATGGATGATGAAGACGAGGATAGTGAGATGGAAAATGATTCAGATAGTGATGACGAGAATCGTATTCGGAAGCGTAGTAACAAGAAACTTAAGATCAAGGTCAATGCTACCAAGGCTGGTCCGATGAGTGTCAGCTTGCGGCTAAGGCGGGTGATAACAGAGCATCAACGTGAATGGAAGCGGCTTGAAGAACTCTTTCAAAGTACACTTTGCCTGATCGAGTTTATGAGAACGAAGGCATAAAAACACACATCCGTCGGCAGAAATTTGTTGGGTTTTAGAGCAACCTCTGCAATTTAGGCATTTTCGAATGTTTTCTTTTTCTTTTTTCTCACTGTTCTCCTCAACTTCATTAATAAAGAACTCAATAGCATTTTGCATCTTAAAGTTAGACTGCCTTTTGAGAAGCATCCTTTTTTCAGGAAAAAAAAAAAAAGGTGAAAGTGCTGATGCTTTTAGGATATGTTCGTGACAATGGAATGTGGAGTAATTTTTGGTTACGCACAGACGTTTGACTGTGATGGTCGAGATTACACAAAAATTTATCAGACGGCTACAGAATGGGCCAACAGATAAACACTCCGTAGCGAAGGGAAAGATCAAGGAGCCGACGAAAAAAAAAAAAAAAAAAAAAAAAAAAAAAAACGGGAGATAGTTCAACCCGAATACGAAGCTCCAGGGGTTATAACAAATTGACATAATGCCTTCATAAAAGCTCGTTTGAAATAAATAACGAAGAGAAAGACTGTCAAGAGTTCTTCTCTCTATCCTGCTTTACTTCTTTTTTTTTTTTTTTTTTTCCTCACTCTAGTCTCTTCATACATTTTACAAATTTCATTATGCCTGGTGAGTATTGAATATGCTATACCTTTTTGAAATACTTACTCTCACGCTGCATCATTTCAATTTTTTTTCCTTTTGCTCAATATCTGGCCCTAACCTTCTGCCATGCCAACTATGTCAGCCCTTCCTCTTGTTGCTGCCGCTGTGCCCGTGGCTATGTATGTGAGCGCCAAGCTTTCGCTTCCCCAGGATGTTAAAATGATCAAGAGCGCAGTGGGGGCGCGGCGAGAATTTGACACCTTCGAGAAGCAAGGGAAAATCAACTTGAGCTATCGCTTTGAAGAGAGCTATCGCAAGTATCCCAATCGCGAAGCCTTGGTGTTTGAAGGCAAATCCTACTCATTTCGTGATGTCCATCTTGGTGAGTAACAAATATTGCTCTAGGATGCTTTTTTTTTTTTTTTTTTTTTTTTTTTTTTACATGGAGGTGTCTTTTCAGATGTTTAAAGATGGTATTATACGAAAGTGGGCATTCGATCACTAGTATCATACAAGGTTACATTTCACACAGCCTGCATATCACTTAACGAACTGCTGTTAGAACATAACTAACATGACATCACTCCTCTTTTAAATCTATTCGTGTACGCCAAACATCCACAGCTTCTAACAAAGTTGGCAACTGGTTGCTATCCAAAGGCGTAAAGCGTGGGGACATTGTATCACTTATGATGTACAACAGACCCGAATTCCTCTTTTGCTGGCTCGGTATCAACAAGATCGGTGCATGTGGTGCGTTCATCAACACCAATCTTTCGGGCAAGCCTCTCACTCACTCACTCCATACTGCCACGTCTTCAATGCTCATCTTGGATACAGAATTGACAGAGCCTGTGGCTGGCTCGCTAGACGAGATTCTAGGAATGGGCTACACGATCTATACCTATGGTGGGCTGGGGCACGTCGATTTCGCAATGCCAATCGACCTTGATTCGGTCTCCGATGCAGATACATACAAACATCTTCCTCATAAGACGATGGCCGATGAAACTGCAATGCTCATTTATACTTCTGGGACTACGGGCTTACCCAAGGCTGGACGGTTCTCACATGGCCGCGCTGATAGTAAGGATCAACTAATTATCGTCTGATACAATTGAACTAAACATGATAAAAATCATTGCTCTCCTGAATGTAGTAGCTAATTGAAATCATCCCTCCTGTTGCTCTTACTAGTAGCGGCATCATTCTTTGCAAGATTCTACAATTTTACCGACAAGGATCGTATTTACATTTGTATGCCCTTGTATCATAGTGCTGCAGCAGTTCTAGGAGTGTGCACCTCCTGGTTGGTCGGTGGAACTATAATTCTGACCCGAAAATTTTCAGCGACTGGCTTCTGGGATGACTGCCGTGCCAACAATGTTACTGTAATCCAGTATATTGGAGAGATTTGTAGATACTTAGTAAATTTGCCCGAATCTCCATTAGACAAAGTGCACTCAATCCGGCTGGCGCACGGTAACGGTATGCGCCCGGATGTTTGGAGTCGGTTTAGGGAACGCTACGCTATCCCCGTGATTGGTGAGTGGTATGCTTCAACCGAGGGCACAGGATCAATGAACAACTACAATACTGGGCCTACTGGAGCAGGCGCGATTGGATTTTATGGTCCTCTTGCTAGGCTACTTAATCGTGGCTTAAAGATTGTCAAGTTCGACATCGAGACAGAGGAATTAATTCGGGACAAGAATGGCCATTGTATTGAATGCCAACCTGGTGAGCCCGGAGAATTATTATGCGTAATAGATACAAGCGATCCTGGCAAGAATTTCAGCGGTTATCATAATAACAAGGAGGCAACTAGCAAGAAGATTGTCAAAGATGTTTTTAAATCTGGTATGTCAATCAACAGATATTTGATTTAAATTTTGTTGTGTTCCTACCTCGATACTGACATCTACCTTGTTGTTTCTAATGACAGGGGATATCTACTTCCGCACAGGTGATATCCTGAGCCGCGATAATGACGGCTACTATTATTTTGGTGATCGCGTGGGCGACACGTTCCGCTGGAAATCTGAGAATGTCTCGACGGCTGAGGTGTCTGAAGTACTTTCAGCGTACCCAGATTGCCTCGAAGCCAACGTCTATGGCGTCCATGTCCCTGGTCACGATGGTCGCGCCGGCATGGCTGCGATTGTCGCCAAGGAGACGATGGACTGGGACAAGTTTGCAGAACATGCATTGAAAAACTTGCCACGGTACTCTGTTCCTCTTTTCATCCGAAGGAGATCTCAGATGGAGATCACAGGAACATTTAAGCAGCGCAAAGTGGAGTTGGTCAAAGAGGGTATCAACCCCAGCATAGTCAAGGACGAGATGTTGTGGCTGGATGGTCACCACTACAGGCCTTTCAGGAATGAAGAGTATCAGCGTATAGTCGCTGGTAAGGCCAAGCTGTGAATGGATTATAATGTAGCATGATAATGAATAAATAGATGTCCTTGAACGAAAAATATGCCTTGGTGTCCTTAGCACTGAAGTTAGTCCAAGCGCAACTTCAATACCTCTGATATGGCAGAAATATATGCAAATTCTGTTTTTCCGAACGATACACAGTGAATTAACTAGTATGTATTTTAATTTTTCAAAATATATGATGTTCAGGTGACATTACACTTATTTTTTTCCTTAACTGCAAATTCGAACGAAGTGGCTGGACAATTTCATGCATACGTGGGAAGAAATAAGTGCAATGTCACCTGAACATGTATATTTGTAAAGTTTAGTTTTTCCGATAGCAAATCGTTCGGATAATCAAAAGTCGACTGTACACAATGACAAAAAAAAAGGAGTGTCCATTCTTGAGGCTCTTCTTTCCACAGGTCAGATGAAAAAAATAGAGCATGTTTCTGACACGGACCCAAAGGCTCGCTCGATGTCCTGATGAACAGACAACGAAAATTAGGATAACCTTTCCCTACGCTTCATTGGATTGTAAATCCGCCGTCTTGTTAAGTATCATCCATTGTAGACGTAGCGGTATAGAGCGGCGTAAGTGCCGTACGAAAAGGAAAGTATGAAACAAAACAAAAGTGGTGTTTCTGGTAAGCTAGAGTATTCAACTCGAGCATCAAGTAAGAATGTCTGGCCAGGTTAACTGTCTGCTGTTCACTCGGAGAACAGCTCAGGATTGGATTGGTGTACTGCGTCATTGCGACGGTGGCGGTTGACAGGTTCAGTCAAAACCACTAACCATGGTCTTTTCCAATAAGAGCTCCTTGTCGGAGATGCCGATACGAGCCTTGGGAACTCGGTTACATTCCTACTGGCATAAGGTACAGAGTATTTCGTCCTCATCAACTAGCTTGAAAAGCTTCGAGTGGATATGGCTTAACTCTGTTTCTTCACCTGGAGAAGAGTACAGTTACAAATCAGTGCCGTAATTACTGACTAGGAGATTGAGATGACAAGGATTGAAGGCTGATGAAGGATACAGCATGTATTTATGGGTCCCCTGGGACGGACGTTAAAAAGCGACATAGTGCGAAAAGTAATGCTCCTCCTTGTTATGTGGGTTTTGTAGTTCAAATTAAATGATATATCATTATGGAGTGTCCATTTGTCTGTCTATTACACAACAAGCTGGGACCTATTGAACAGATATGCTTTATTGCTGCTGTTTTACAAATGTCTGTCGTTACGCAAGTGCATGTGTGTCGCCAAGGTCTAGTCTTTGAGTCAAGACGCTTACAGAGATCAAGTCATGTGAGTAGACATGAGCCCCTGCATCCACAATCGATTGCCACATGTCTCTATCCTTTTCACTCGATACCACGGCTACGATTTCATCTCGTGGACCGATGGACTCGTCTTCGCTTTTGTCAACGCTTTCGTTATCCTCACCATCATCTCTTCCAATAATGCCTTCACCTTGATTCACTTTCCGACGGGTTTTCAGTCTTTTCTCATGGTCTCCATCCTTGCTAAAACTGTCTTTATCATTCGAGACTTTTACAAGCCGGTCCTTTAATACCCCAAGGCCTGTGTGTAAAAGAGGTGATGCCTTTCCACCCCCAGCCTCTACCACGGCTTTTAGGCCAGGCATGTCCTTGTTCAATGAGGGAGAAATATAAAACACACAGTTCTCGAAAACACGCTTCTCGCGAGCTCGTTCCACAGACTTGTAGAGATCCATATTAAGCTTTTGTTCCGTTTTCGTGTCCTTAATACGAAAATCGTTCTCGTCTTCGTAGATTACAATGTTTGGGAGAATAATAGGGAAACCATCAGATAACGCGTGTCAAAAAATATTCGGTACCGGCATGTAGCAGAAATAGACTTACCTAAAACAGTATTAGCATCGACACAGGCCTGGAGCCAGTCCTCATGCACTATGATTTTGCCATGAAGAAGCGCAATCAAAAACTTTCCTGTTCGCGAAATACCGGTAGCAATCAGGTGGGTACACTTTTCAGCAGATGTTGCTGGCAGAATACCAAGTGCTTTCAGTGCCTTGACCTGTGCCGCACTCTGCTCCTTTACGCCCGTTGATATGTATCGCACACGCCTCGATTTCCCTGATGTAATGACGTTTTCAGGCACGGTTGACTCCCCCGTAGCTCCATCCTTCTCTGCTTTGGTTCCTCGTTTTGTTTTTTTGGGCTGAGACTTTGACTCTGTCATGGTTGTCTCATTATCATGCGGCTCTTCATCATCTGTGGCGCCAGGAGTGCTTCTTTCTCCCACGCTACCTATACTAATCCTACTCCGCTTAGAGGGGGCTGTTGCGTTCCGAGTAGCTGATAGTGGGGCACTTGTTTCATCCATATTCATATCTTCATCTTCACCATCCTTCGGTTCTTGAGAGCTTGCACGCTTTTTCTTCCTCTTCATAGCCTTCTTCGCATCTTTAAGCTCTTCCTGAAACTCATTCATATCAGGCACAATCTTTTGCAGCGCTTTGTTAGCCTGTACAGCCGCGCCACGCTTCCGTGATATAGTCCGGACACTGCCAGACGAAGAGTCTTCAATAGGAGTCACTCGCGACGAATTCTTGTCTCTTTCCTCCGAAATATCCCCATACGGTTGCCGGGTTGTTGGTGACGAAGGAGCACTTGATGTTGGTGTTGATATTTCAGATTCAATCAGCCTGTCTTTCAAGGTCGACTTGTTAAACACTGGCTTCGAGGACAAAGTTGAGGAATCTGACTGCACATTCTTATCATTAGGGAGATAAGAACTGGCATGTCCGCCTTCAATCTGCCGCTGGGAATATGTTGAGTCCTGATTTTCAGCCCAAAAGGTTTTCTCTGCAAGTAAAGATGGAATCTGCTCTCCCGCTTCCATTACCCCTATTGGACTTGATGTGTCCTCTTCATAAAACTTAAGCCACTCATCCACTGTTTCTTGTAGGATGTTAGCACCAAATATGGATGGCAATTGATTAAAAGGAGGAAATTGCGTGTATCGCGGTTTGCTTTCACTTTGCAGAGACCAAACTTGGAAGCAGTCCTCCAGCCACAAGTGATTAACCACCTTGACATTCCATTCCTGGCCCCGCTCATACTTTTCGCCAGAGGAGCTATCAACATAAACGAGTTTTTGTTTAACATATTGTATTGTCATCCATATACGTTCACCAACCTAGACCGAAAGCAAAAAAAAAAAAAAAAAAAAAAAGAATATCTTTTCCTTTTAAACCTACTTTCCGCAAATAATGTGTGTCGTCGGCTCCGGCGCGTTTTGGCTGGCCAAAGTAGGCTTGTAAGTAGCTCCAACAGCAATAATCATCCGCTTCAGGTATTCACGAACGTTGCCAGTGTATTGCGTGACAGTCATAATAAAAGATGACATCCCTGGAATGGGCTCAGGAGGTATAGGATAGTGGAGCAGAGAAGCTTTTGGCGAAGATAGCTCACCAGTCTGTAAGATATGAAAAAGCCAATCGGCAGATCCAACAATCTTACCGTCTCTAGATGCCTTTTAGGAAGAAAAAATTATAGATTTGCCTCAAGGACGAGAATAAACGCCATGAAACATAAAGGCGACGATATAAAGAAAGGAAAGCTACCTGAATATATGTATTTCCTGCCCGGAATCGACAAATAACGACATCCACTGTCTCGCTTGAGTATTCATTAACGAGAGTACCTCCAGCATCTATGATCTTCTGATTAATATAGGTTTTTCGTTCCGGCAAAATGTTAAGATCATCCACTAAATGAAATCTGAATCTTCTTAAAAACTTTGAATGAAATTTGCTAGGAGACATGAGGAATAAAGTCACTGCCTTAATGGTATTTGAATATAGCTGTGGAGCTTTGCCTGAAACCATTTCTGGTGGGGCAACAAAGCTTTGATCCAGCATGGGAGGATTAGGGAATCTGTATATAGTCTGTAGTTTTTTTTTTTTTTTTTTTTTTTTTAATAAAAAAGATTATACGTGTTAGAGGGTTACTCTATATTTGCTAGATTCGCTCAAGAATCAAATATATTTGAAGTCCATACATACCTCCGGTAAGCGTCTTTTCAAGTTGCAGCTCTGTTGAAACCAGTGTGGTAGAACAATCTTTATGTCCCACTCTGGATGCTCCATCGCCTGCTCATACTTCTCCTGGAAGATTACAAAGAAAATTCTAGTTAGCCTTTAAACCACTTCAATTATAGAGCCCTGAATAATAGTGAAAGGTAACCATACCCCTTCTGGAGCAACAGCGATCATATGAGTTACGTCTGCAGAGAGATAGTTAGTGAAAGCTCCGCCGTAATCCTCGACAGCACTCCCTATTATTTCTCGATCGTATGGTGGCAACTATAACATTAAAGGCCGGCGAAATAAAATGTATGTGCTGCTTAGACCAGTCACTATGAACATACATCACCGATTTTAAAGAAAGTAACATGAATAACATACTCCTGTAGCCGTCAGAATAACGCCGGAAAAAATCATTGATGGGTCTGCTGAAAAATGTTTAGGGCTAAAAAATAAAATAATTAATGTAAGTTGTAAGCTGGATATGAGGAAATATCTTCAACAGGATGGTATCCAAGAATGACTGTGTATCAGCTCTTACTTTAGCTGCTTGTTACAATTCACTGAACGCGTAATCCAAGCGGGCTATTCCAACATAAACATCAATATGCATGTTAAAATGGGGCTATAGGAGTTTTGAGACATTCAATGATTTATTTAGATATTATGAATCCAACCCACCGTGACAACATGAATGCCTCTGGCGGTCGCATGGTTATGGTCCGGAAAGTCAAGATCCTCTGTTATAATGTGGGTAGGCCTTGTATTGTAGTTTAAATCCTCATGGGTCTCTCTCGCAAATGTGGAGCGAGTTTCCTGGGCTCCGTGTTCACATAATATTTTCTTGAACTGAATTAAATTGGCGGCGCGAATGGTCAAATTAGTCGATAAACAAATAAACAGATTCGAGCAGCATCCAAGTAGTACTAAAGTGCCCACCTGAGTAGACTTTGTCCTGCCGAGGAAAGGATTAAGGTAAAAGACGACATCCTGAAAGAGAAGATCTAATACTGGACCACTGTATGGAGGACTGTCTTGTTCAGATGGGGGAGAAAATGCAGCTTGGGTATGATTTCCCTCGCTGTAAGAAGCAATTAACTCTGTACCCTGGCCAGGTTCTTCCACAGCCTCCAAATGGGACATTTTTTTTTTTTTTTTTTTTTTTTTTTATAAAGAAAGAAAATGAATCAATGAACTTAATAAATGAATGAGAGAAAAGTGAAAGAGAATGGTTTTAATAATTCGGCGACTCAACCCTTAGGGATCAAAGTTGGTGGCGTTCTAATACACTCGTGTGTGACTGTGTCAGGACAACAGCTTCAATTCTATCTTGTCCTCGCTCTTTAACTTGAAAAGACCACACGCAGCTACTTTATTAATTTTTAAATGCTATAATTACGGTGCTATGCTACATTAGCATTGTGGGTCTATTAAGTAGAAAAAAATGGAACCAACAGTTCTAAGGGGCCGTGGCCGTCATTATGGGTGTGTCATTAATAATCATCGAATCGCAGTTCTCGTTTGAAAAGAGCTTGCGACCATTTCGGGGTCGGAGTGGTCGTGGCTCGTGCAGGGTTATCTTGGCTGGAACCGTAGCAGCAGTCGTTGTTGCTGCTGCTGTTGGCTTGGTTACATTATTAGCATTTGGGTTGGGTGTCGTTGGAGGTGCCACTCCTGCAATGGCTGGGCCAAATTTCTTTTTACGTATCCCCTTGTTGGACGAGCGTAAGGTGTGGTGTTGAAGCTGGAGTTCCAGCTGCAGTTGTTGGTAGTGATGTTGGAGTTGTTCTTGCAATGCCTGCTTCTGTTTCTCAAGTTCCTCTGGTGTAAGAGGTAGTTGTTGTTCCTTCTGTTCATCTGACGTCTTTTCGGATGGCCCATCCGACTCAACAAAACTCATGCAAAGGCCATCGAATCTTTCAAGACCCAAAATGTCTAGCTCATGTTCCAGCTCTTCAATTTCGCGTCTCTTCTTCTCCTCACGTTCCCTTTGCTCCCTCTCACGCTTTTCGTCTTCGTACTCAAACTCCTCTTTCAGGTCAAACCCGCGGACATCATCATTGATTAGATCTGGCACAAGAGCGTCGTCAATCTCTTCTTTCAGGTTGAACCATCGATTAAAGTCCTTATGAGTAGGTTCATACTCAGGAATGGCTTGTTCTCGTTGAAGGCGCTGTCTTGCAAGTAACTTCTCATGAATTCGTCTAACGCCAGCAGCGCGGTCCGTGTGTTCACTTGCACTTTGGAGGAGCCTGGCTTTCAACCGCCAGTCCTCTTCCATATCTACACGTTGTTGGATGGTATAATGATCGCGCTTTTGAAGTTCTTTTGCAGATTGTATAACCGTGGGCGAAAGAAGTGTACTCCGTCTCGCCTCTTTGGCGAGTTCGAGTTCGGAGGCAGACACGACTGGAGAGACTGTTGGGCTATTAGGAAGCGATGTCGTCACAGGCTGCGCTTGACCATCAACACTTTCAGCAAGATGGATCTGCCCATGCTCAGTATAGAGGGTCGCCGCAAGCGGACAGCTTTGGCGATGCTGGAAGGTCACAGTTTTGGATTGCTTCTCTTTGACTGGTTGGCTTTCCTCTGAAGGGTGGACGACTTCCTCTATAGGCGTGAGCTTCGGCTCTACACGGGCAAGGCCACCACGAGCCCGAGTGTTCTCAGAGGTCAACCGCACATCAGGAGTAGGAGCGGGCGAAGCAGTAGTTTTTGGTGATTCAGAACTCTTCCTTTTAGCAGCTTCTGTAAGTCTTTGAACTATCCGCTCTTCTTCCATTAACTGCCACAGTGTCTTGACAGACCTGGCATACTCTTGCGCCTGTCATTATGAATGAAATAAATTAATTAAAACAGGTTAGGAAAAATAAATAAATAAAGAAATATATAAACAAACAATCTTCCCATGACATCTCTTTACCCTGGACTCTAGTGGTACTAAGGTCTCTGTAGAGGCTCCAAACTGTTTTGATAGGTGCTTCTGTTCTGGCATCAACCTATTGACGGGGTGGTTTGAATTCCAGTTTAGATTATGGCGAGCTGGGCCAAATTGGGGACAGCTTGTCAAGTCCATGAGGCCAGCCTTATCAAGTGGCATCTGTGCTGGCAAGGATGTATGAGACCCTTGTTTATTATGAGGGAGCAGGGCGCCCTTTGCGAGCGATGGTGGTTGATAAGAAGAGGGTCGAAGTGGGAACGAGGGAGGAACAAGCGTTGATGTTGTGTCTGAGCTAGAAAGGCGTTGACCTTCCTTCCCAAAACGACCGAAATCATCTGCGTATTCGTCTGGAACATGGGCCTCAAGCAAGGCTGCTGATCGAGCCGATATTGCTAGACAGGTGGTAGTCGCTGCACTCACCATGTCGTGTGTGGGGACCGTTCTGGTTGATGATTCAGTGTTAGACTCTTGTTCTGTCTCTGACTCGATATCAGAGGACGAACCAGCTGCAGGGGGGACGTAAGGGATAAGTGTAGGTTGTGAGGAGTTTCGCTGTGGTGGGTATCCGATGCCAGGGACAAATGGCTTTGGAATGTTATTATTGCCTGCATTCTTCCTGTTCTTGCCACGTCTTCTCCTCAACCACTCTTTTGCGGTCTGAAGTGGTGCCATGTGTTGGAGGGTATAAATGTATAAGACGAATTGGGTGTTGTCGCCGAGTTGCTGACAGAGTGGCGAAGCGAAATATAATTAATGTGGTGATATTATGATAATTAAGAGTATATGAAGTGTCGAGTCAGAATGGTGAAGGATGGAGAGAGGTATAAGAGAAGGTGTATGTAAATGGGAGAAACAGAAAGAGACTGAACGGCACGGTCGATTATTAGGGAAATAGTAAATACAAGAGTTAGTGTGAGCGCGTGCTTTGAAGAGACAGTTGACGACAATGAGGATGGAGAAAGAAGAAAAAAAAAAAAAAAAAAAAAAAAGAGAGAGAGAGAAAAGAGGGGAAAAAGCTTTATTGAACATGCTGCTTATTTATTTATGGTATAGTCCATTTTCTTTTTCTTTTCCCGCGCAGGAATACAAAGCAAATCCAATGTCAATGCTGTCCTCTTTTTTTCTCTCTAGACTGGATCAAAAGAGAAGGGGTCGGGGGTATTTCGGTGATATTTGTGTCATGCCCTGAGTCGGACATGTTCCAGAGACACTTTTTTGTAGGCTCTTTCAAATTATTTCTGCCATGCTTTCTGCAAGCACATACGCTCGCCCCCCTCCTATTGTCTCTCTTCTAGCGGTCGTGCGTTCACATCACATCGTACATAGCACAGAAATAAACAAACCAAAACACATTAAAGGCAATGCAATCAGCATTCTTTATTTTGATTACAATAACTTTTTTTTTTTTTTTTTTTTTTTGTTTTTTTTCGCGCCCTTGTGTAATTGTACAACATGTTTTTGTTTTTGAAATGGTCCATCTTAATCTGTGCGTATGGTTTTCAAAGTGTAACGGTGCAATTGTGATTTCATCAAATTCAAGGGGTCTTCCATTGAAGCAAACAGGGTGAGCAACATTGTCATCGATGTCATGCCATGTTTCTAACCAACTTTCTTCTCATCCTCTTTTCTGCCAGGTGTAAAAAAAGCGTGACCCATTCATGCGATGTGACTCAAACAATAACGAGGCCCGTGGAAGATAGACAAACGCTGTACAACTTTTAAGCCTTCAGGCTTAATCACTCTAAACCATTCATGGTATTCAAGGGAAAAGACTGTGGATGGCAAAAAATTATTCTAAAAAGTAAAAATAAAATAAAATAAAATAAAAAAAAGGTTTCTTGAATAATCCAGCCCGGAAGTGCCTAGTTAGTCCAGGGACATGCTCAAGCTTCTTTGAGCTTTTTTGTTCAAAAAAAATGAGCAAAGAAAAATGCTCTTATTCTCAACGGGTTCTGCATATTTATACACACAGTAAACGATCCAGAGTCGGGATTCACTCTTTGTCAGCTTTGTTCGCTCTGCTATCCCTCGCCACTTTCCAAGCCTAATTCAATTGGTTACAAATACCGGTCGAGGTGAGCACTGCCTGCTGTGTCAAAGTTGATTGGCTATTGAACATTCCACAGTCCCTGGGACAAATCCTAAAAAAAAAAAAAAAAAAAAAAAGATCCGAAACGTCTTTTCCCCCTTGTGTTTGATTATGTATGATTGTGCAACAGTATGAAACGCACATGCAGAAAGACATATCTTCGCCAGAATATGCTTTTTCTTCCATCCATTATTACAATCTATGGATGACGTTCACAACGATATTCTCTACGCCTAAATAAGATAACGAAGACAATTGCCATTGTTTTTTAATTTTGAGCTAGAAAAGCAAATTAAAAAAGGAAATGATGCAGGACATAATGTGGGGTCTTCCATGACGTTTCCTCTACCCCCTTTTACACTTCTGGCCCAAAGATGTAGAGCTAAAGCCTTGTGTCACTATTGAACTTAATGACACGTTAGGCGCTTGTGTTTTTTTTTTTTGTTAAATCTGTTTTCCTGGCTTTGTACAGTTGTTGCCCCGCGATTTCTTTATCCATACTCCACGTAGTATTTCATGAATTAGACGTGATCATTTGAGGAGACATTTCTTCACATTAAAGCTATAAAGGATCCGGATCTCAGATAACACAGGTAGAGAGAGCGAGTGAGCACGGCGGAGTGGTGAATTGAACGGATACACTATAGTATTGAATGAGCCAGCAATATGGGATTACGAACAAGATAGCCATCGCTTCCAAGACGGAACTCTTCCGAGGACATATCCCCAGGTTTCATGCGTAACTAGCTCTCTCGTAATCGAAAGTAACCTACACATCCTTATTAACACAAGTGTTTATTGTGCTTGTCATAGAGCCCACACCATGAACTTTATCCAAAGTATGTGCACAGCAAACAAAAGATTGCTTAGGCATTTTTTTTTTTCCTGCAAGAAGTAGAGAGGATTAGGGAAGAACTGGAAATGTTCGAATGATTTTATATTACTTATATTCACATGGTATCTTAGAATAAATAGATTCAGGTTGGATAGAGTAAGCCTCTTTCGTCCTATTCTACGAATGTCAATTCATGATGCAAATTCCCAAATTAGATTTGTCTGAAAGTATGGTGAGAGTTGATCATCAAGCTTGACAAGATGAACATCTTTCCGTACGTTGGAGCCTAATTGATTCGATATTTCATAGAAAATAGAATAGACGAATGACGGATGAATAAGGCTTGCATAAAAAAAAAGGGCAAGACAGAATAAGAAACAAAAAGAAAGGAAAGTGTTGACTCACGAATTCGAGCTTTTGAGTACACTCCGACATCGTCTTCCAGCAGCTCAATCCCAAGTCCTCGATAGAGCTGTAGACGTAATCTATGAATGTCAAGTGGAGGAGAAAGAGGTACCCAACATCAGTTGTTCATGCATGCATATGGACCTGTGTTCTTTTGAAACACATAAATTGAGCTTATTTTTGGTTAAAAAAAAAAAAAAAAAAAAAAAAAAACCTACACCGTGGAAGCATGTGATGTGTCATCCATGATATCTTCTGGATCATCTGGCAAGTCTTCTTCCTGATTACTTGTCGTTGCTTCTTCCCTCGCTCCCTTATTGTCCGAGTGTGGATTCCTTGCATTATTAATCTTTTGTGAAAACCCCAGTTTTAGACTCTGCATGCGGAGATGATGAATGGCAGTCTCAAGGGATACAATATCCTGATCCATGTTCTGGATAGTTTTGGCAATTGCAAACTTTTTCTTGTCCATTTCGTACATTTGTGTGTTGTGTTCCAGACTTTCTGCTTCGATGTGCTGTCCTGAACCCTCTGAGCGTGTCAGTTCAAGATTTCTTGACATTCCTATCATTTTTTTTTTTTTTTTTTTAAAACAAATATCGAAATCAGAAACCATTTGCTCAAAGGTAACACATAAAAAAGGTACATCTACAAAACCCTTCATACTTTGAAGAAGTAAGCGAGCATCCTGCAGCGCCTCTCGCCGCACTAATTCAGTTTCGCGGGCATCTTCCTGTATTATCCGTTGAATATCTTGTATATTTGAGCTAGACTCCTGCAATTGTGCTGTAATGTTTTGGATTTGCAATACAATGCTTTCGTCTGTTGCAAAATCTCTCTGTTCCAAGGCTGGTACTGTTGTCATAATTTAGAGGAGGTAATTTTTGCGAATGTCACAGACAAATAATGCAAAGTGGTAATATAAGGAAGAATAAAGTGCAATTTGCAATGTTATTTAATGATTTGTCGTAAGAGCAAACATGCAAACATTTGTTTGTCAGGCTCACCTTCATGAAGCTGGGTTACTACTAAGCCACATTGATGTACTTCAAGTTCCTGATACACCGTCCGGAGCCTGTAACGCTCATCAACCCAACTACAGAACCACAGCGCTGAATTTTACCCGAGAGCAGGATCAGGATCAAATTCAGATTCAGGCTCAGGATTAGGGACAGGACGTGATTTGTTCCTGTTTTTGAAACACACATGAGGACAGCTGCCATTACCCGCATTCTTACAGCACAGCGCCTGTCCACAGCCTTCAGAATCGACCAGACCGTTGCTACAAAGACACCAGAGAACTTTTGGCAATCGTGCTTTCAGCGAGCGTACACACGCTTTGCAGCAGCCATCCAAGAGCAAAAGACCCACTCACTCAAAGCACGATGTTCTTCCTTGCTATCACTGTCACTGTGCACTGATCATTTGTCATGCCCTACATGGCATCGCCTCAAGAAGATCCAGCGTTACGATCGCCATCTTACCAGCGCTGCGGCCACCATCCCTAATTCCGGTCTCACACAGCCAACGCTCAACGAGCCCGCATTGGCGCATACAACATCAACTAAGGGATCTTTGACCGGGATAGGTACATCTAAAAAGCCTTTCACCAGGCATGAACGATCGCATCGATCAATTAGGGGCTTGATGTATAAATTGTCCCAGGCATTGAGGTGTGAAGACCTTGATGCGGCTCTAAGGTTTTATCTTTTGATTCGCAAAGAGATATTTTCTCGTCGTCTCGGTCAGCCGCTGTTCCGATGTCAATGCAGACTTGTAGAGTTAATTCATAGCAGTCGACTAGAAATGCTTGAATCCGGGAATAACCAATCTCATACCCGCCTGTCTGCGCGGTATGATCGACAGCGCCATATGGTATTGAAAGACATCTCAATGGGGATGCTAAAAACCGGTGATCGGGCTAATGCCATGGCATCGCTAGTAGATGCCCTTGGGAAGAGCAAAGCCATGGTTAAGCATTCATACAAGGCAAAATCCAGCACTAAACTGCAAGATTGGAGAGAAGCACTGAGGGCTTTGGAGGACTGGGCTAGGAAGAATCCGACTGCCCATGGAGTAGCTGCTGCATCCGAGGTCACTGACTCGCCAATATTTACAACAGTATCACCGTCTCCACCACCATTAGTCTCAAGCTTCTATCTGGGAAATAAAGCCCTGGAACAAGACCTGTCCGCTTGGCTATCGAAAATAATGAAGCGGCTAGTCTATAGCCATACCTACCTCATCCGATCAATGCTTGACACCATCCCAAGGCAATTTGGCATTCAAGCAACTGTGGAAATGCATGTGGTAAGCTTTGGTTATATATTTCTTTTTTATTACACTATATGTTTTCATCGCGCTGCCTGCCATTAATGACGTTGGTATCACAGTATTAACATTCTTTATTAATATCTCGTAGGCGTTGTTGGATTATTATTCTACGCTTGGACAAGATGGCTATATTGACACTCTAGCAATCATCGATAGGATGAATCAAAAAGGCATTAAGTGGAAACAAGAGCCAGTTATATACGAATACTTATTGTATTCGCTTAGCCATAACCCAAATAATATTGATTCGGATATTGACCTGATTATTGAACAGATGCTTGCCAATAACTTAGTCCCCAGAGAGAAGACCATGAAGGCGCTTATGTTATCTGCAGCTCACTCGGGCGATCTTGAAAGATGTTTGCGGCATATTCAACAAATGCACCAAGAATGGGGCCTTGCAGTCAGTGAACGCATGAAGGCTATCCTGCTCTATGGCTGCGCCAAACGCGGGGATTTCGAGGGTGCGATCGAGCTTCTTGAGCAGCTCAATAACTCAGGAAAGCTGGATCATGCTTTATTAGAAAAAAGCTTGATAGAGCCAGGAGACGATGGAAAGCCATGCCCGTCAAGCCCCAATCCACCAAAGCCTTCGTCTTTGAAGCACTCGTATCCGTCTACTTTTTTAACAACCAAAGTGGAAACACTCTTGGAAGAACAAAATGTTATCAATAGCTCCAACCTTTTATTGGCACTTATTAATCAATCGCGTGCACAACGTGGGAACAAAAAGCGGCTTTCGCAGGCGTCTATCAAAGAAGAGGCTTCAAGGGTTCTGGAGCTGTTTACACTTATCACAAAGAACCCCCAACGGGCTGACACACGACTTTATACGATCATGATGCATTACCTGTCGACACTTCCCTCGCCTATTCCGGGAATGATGTATCTATACAAGGAGATGCTCATGTCGAAAAATACGAAACCAAACCATGTCACTTATCACATCATGCTTGAAGCCTGTGCAGAGCAGATGGATATAGATTGCGCAAAACAACTTTGGAATGATATGAGTGCATCCAATATTATCAAAGATTGCAATATACGTGCTAGTTATATAAAATGTATGGGACAAACAGGCGATCTCGCATCTGCAGAGTGGTTCACACGGGAGGGCTTATTAAAGCAACAGGAGCTCGACAAGGTCCGCTTACGACATCAGACAGCATTTATTCTCAGTAAACGGGAAGAACCTAAGCAGGGTTTGCCGCTGTTACTAGAACCACCCCTTTTACCAAGGCGAGAGCATTTCCAGGAGGCGATCAGCTTGTCGACACTGCACGAGCTGATGAAGGCTCATCGGGCGCACAGTAGACCTGAACGAGTCTATGAGCTTTATTGCGAAATTGAGCGCGGGGAATGGGGCTACAAAATCCGGCCAAATGAATTGACTCTATCAATCCTACTTGGTGCGTGCGCATCAGATGCTGCTACGGCAGATCTTGTGGACCGTGGAATTGCAATCGTGGAGGACTTCCGCGGGTCCCGGAGGAGACAACACCTCCTACAGCCGGAGCGTTTGGATGGCAAAGATGGCGACAATGGAGACAAGGCCAGCCAGTTAGTAAACGGGACTGTAACCCTGGATGATGATTCTGAATACCCAAGTCTTTATGAAGCCCTTGGCATGCAAGCGGGTTCTAAATCAGGCTTAATACCTGTATTGTCAGACTTCAGTTACCAGCTGTACTATACCATGCTTGGACGGCACCATCGACAACGCAAGATCGTGGAGGTGTGGGACGACATGATGCAGTCGATTGAGCGGCCACCATCTCGTTTGACTGTGAACATTGTCATCGAGGCCTTGGAACAGGTTCAGTGGGGCGCTGCACCTATCAAACGTATCCGGAGACAGCTGAGGGAGCATTGGTCCAAAACAGGCTGTGCTAGACAAGATGAGAGTAGTAGTTTTGACTTTGATGAGCCAAATGGGGATGAATCCGTGGGAGCTGGAGGGCGGTTTTGGAGGTAAAAAAATGTCTGAAAGAAGAAGCCATCGTAGTGTCTACAAATATAATAAAATAATAGTACAGAGGGAGAAAGGAGAGAATTTGAACCGGGCGGACGACTTTTTGGAGTTTGACGATAAATGGAATGGGGCGTTAATGCTCTACCAAAGCAAGCTTCCACACAATCTACTTTGAATGATCTTCTTTGGTCCTCCTTTCATTTTGATACGTGGCAAGATTTTGGGATTTCGCAAATCGAAGGCCTAATTGTTCAGTATTTTATTCAGCAAATGAATGCATTGCGAAGCGATGAATAGAAAGAAGGGAAAATGCCAACATGCAAAAACCGGTAATGTCGTTGTATGTATGAGAGACAAAGGATGATAACGAGTGAATTGTCGCAACATAACCGCTGTCCTTTATCATTAGTCCTCGTAAAATATTGCAACGTAGATATACGAGTGTGGAGAGGAATAGCTCTCACCCTAGACTATATGAACTGAGTGAGACGGACATCCATTTTCTGGTAAGGAAAAAAAAAAAAAAAAAAAAAAAAAACTGAATAAAGAGAAGACCATTTAGGCGAGCATGCCAGTAGGCAGACAATTAGTAAAGATCATTGTAACAGCACATGGTCTGACAAACAGTTTTTCCTTCCCCCATAGTTTTGTTATTTCAGTCAGAGGCCCAAGCGCCATTAAAATAAATGCCAGCCGCCCCACTTTTAGTCCATCTTTCCTTCACTCATCTCTCTTCAATGTCACACACAACTTTCTCCTCTGCCGAACCCCCCCATATCTCTGGAGCATCCTCACGCCTAAGGGTAGAACCAAACGACGTCTTTTTCCGTGACTCGGATAACCGCGCATGGCTTTTACGGGGGATTAATCTTAGTGGGTCATGCAAGTTCCCTCGTTATCCAGTCCCCGTACCCTCGCATGTGCGCGGTGACGCATTCTTGAAGCCGCAAGGGCATCCTGAAAGTTCTAATGCTACTGTCGATGACCATAGTGACCATATCTCCTTCGTAGGAAGGCCATTTGAACTAGACAGGGCCGACGAACATCTTGCACGATTAAGGCATTGGGGCTTTAAAATCATCCGTTGGGTAGTCACCTGGGAAGCCATTGAGCATCAAGGGCCGTATGTTATGTTTAATATACTTTTTCTTTTTACCTTACAAGTTCTGAATCATATTAATATAAAGCATTTTTAACATCTAACATAGAGGGATCTATGATCAAGAATTCCTAGACTACACTATCTTGGCATTGTTGAAAACAAAAGAATATGGATTTAAGGTCATGATCGATTTTCATCAAGATGTGGTATGGACCTTTTTTATTCTTTTTGTTCTATTTTATCCATGACAACAATGAATTGCTATGACAACTCAAGGAAATAATTGACTATACCAGTTTTACGACATGGTTGTTAAATGTATTATAAACATTTTAGTGGTCAAGATTCAGTGGAGGCTCAGGGGCACCATTATGGACGTTTCACATAGCTGGGCTCGATCCGCACCATTTCGCAGCCACAGGTGCTGCAGTTGTGCACAACACCTTATTGGAGGATGAGCCCTTGCAGCAAATGGTTTGGCTGACAAATTATTACAAGTTAGCCTGTGCTTCCATGTTTACGCTTTTTTATGCTGGCAGGCTCTTGGCTCCAAAGTGTACGTTCAACTCTGGCACTAATATCCAGGATTTTCTTCAATCTCACTTTTTGGGTGCCATCGAGGCTTTGGTTCAGAAGATTCATGACTGCAAGGACAAAGATGGGAATCCATTGCTGGAGGACCATGTTGTCATAGGATATGACTCTTGGAACGAGCCATCGTGCGGCTGGATCGGTTTAGAACGCCTGGATGTGCTGTCAGAGGAACACGATATGAGACAGGGAGATATGCCAACGCCTCTTCAGTCCCTGATGCTGGGAGAAGGTTTAACTGTCCGAGACATTGCAACCTACCGAATCGAGCTCGTTGGACCTGTGAAATCCGGTTCACGTATTATAGATCCATCAGCACATCCTTCATCACAAGGAAAGCCAGTCAAAGCCTGGCTGTCCCCTGTACTACGCGATCGATATGATTCTCAATATGGGGTCCAGCGTGATGCTACATTTCCAAAAGCCGGAGTTTGCCTCTGGGCTCAACACGGTGTTTGGTCCATCCAAGATGGCCGAGTACTGCAACAGGATTACTTTTCGAGAGTACCCCCCTCAACAGATACATCTTCAGAGACCACTCGTATACGATGGGTGGATAATCATTGGCTTCCTTTCGCGAGACAAGTCATCGACCTCGTACGAAAGATTCATTCCACTGCTATTCTCTTCTTGGAGCCACCTGTCTATGTCCCACCACCAGACCTATTTAATACAATATCAACATCTTTACCAGAGACGGGCCACGGCCTTGATGGCACATTGAACAAAGAATTGGTGACTAATATGGCCTATGCTCCTCATCATTATGATGACCTTGTATTACTCACAAGACGGTACCTGGGATGGATCAATCTTGATCTATTAGGTCTGAGCCGTGGCCGACAAAAGTCTTTACTTGGATCATTTGTATTTGGTAAAAAGTCTACACAAACTCTCTTTAGGAATCAGATAGTGGAGATACAAAAGGAGTGTTATGAACGGCTAGGTAAGTATAATGTATGGTTTATTTTTCTTTTTTTTTTTTTAAAAAAAACAAAAAAATAAAAAAAAATAAATGCGATTCCTCTTATTATTATTAGGTCAGCGGCCTGTTTTGATTGGAGAAACAGGACTACATTTTGATGTTGGAATGAATGTTGCTCAGCAACGCAGAAATGGCACTGAATCGGCAGGCAACCGGAGTAAAATATGGTCTCTACCTTCATGGCTCCGATTTTCTTGGAATACAGCTAGAAACGGTACGAACCTCAAACCCTCTACAGGTTCGACAAAAATCAGTTACAGGCCACCTACGAAGCAGTTTCAGCGAGCATTCGACAATATCCTTGAGGGCCTTGAGAGTACGCTAGTTCATTACACGCTCTGGAACTACACGATTGAGAATGATACGCAATATGGCGATGGCTGGAATGGCGAAAATCTTAGCATTTTCTCGGCGGATGCTGCGAGGATGACTACTGATGAAAAAGATAGCGACAGCGACAGCGACATCTATGGAGGAGGTGTTGTTCACAAGTTAGACCGCGGAGGACGTGCGATTGAACAATTCTGTCGACCATATCCTGTGGCGACAGTTGGATACCCTATTGAAGTCGTTTTTAATCGTCATGAAAATGCGAAGACCTTTACGCTCAGGACAAAGACCGCAGCCAACGATGGCCATGCCAGGAAACTGGGCTCTACCGCTAATCTGAAGACCGAAATATTTGTCCCAAATTATCACTTCCATGGTCCTGAACACTGCAGCGTGACCGTAAGTGATGGAACGTGGGAGTGGAATCAGGAGCAACAAACAGTGCTCTGGTCATATGGTGAGACAAATAGTGAACCAGAAGCCATCAATGCTGGTTATATTTATCATCGGCTTGAGATACGAAGGCGAGTATAGAGAAATAAAATTATGTGTTTTTTTTATTGATAGGTTGTTTCTGCTCATTCTATCATCCCAATGAAGTAACAGTGATTGTCAACAAAAATTTCAATCGAAAAGCTTATGATTTTGTACTTCTGCTCTTCATTAAGCAGGCCATGGAGGTTTTTGAAGCCTTCATGCAATGCTTTATATGATTGAGGTTCAATTTAGAAAATAGAGAGTTTAGGAACAAAAGTAATGATTTCAATAGTTTGAGAGGAGGGGTTTATTGGAAATTTTGGTATAATGGCTTGAATAAGAATATTTTTATGTAGAAACTAGTTGTTGTTTCAGCGGACTAGAGGTGCCCCGTCAGTCGTATATAGATCATTGTTATTGCTGTGAACTGGAGTGATGCGACTGCTATCCGCCATAGGGTGATTGAATGCAACCTCTCGCGTATAAGTTGTAATCTTGGAAAGAAGGATTGTAGGCCAAAAGAACGCAAAAACTCCAATAGCAAGTACGAGGGGTGCTGCATCCAGAACAAATACATAAACTTGATAAAGCGACGAAGCAGACATGAAATGAAATAAAGGTTAACTTTATTGGCATCGGTCAAAAGCATACATGAGTTAGTAACGGTCTTAGAAACTTACTCTCATTACTGCTGAGGTGTCCGTCGTAACCCTCAGCAAATTCAACGATACGAAAGATTGAGCGGATCTACCATGGAACACCAATTAGATTGACAGTAAGAACATGGTTAGTCTGAAACGACCTTTGGATATTGCGGGATTTAAGAAAAATGAACAATAGTAAAAAAAAAAAAAAAAAAAAGCTTACAATGATGAAAATGCTTGAGAAGTAAAGTCCCCCGACAACAATAGCCGTGTGCTGATCCAATCCCATATAGTTTTTCCCTTGTAAAAGGGATGTCTGGGCTAGTTGCCGCCCTTTCTGTTTTCTCTCTGCGATTAATCGGTGGACTGCGACGGTAAGAAGGGCGGTGAAAAGGCAATAGGACACGCCTTGAACCGTGACACCGATCAGGAACAATTTAGAGCCAATATCGGCGAGCTGTGAGTTACCTTTTGCTCCACCTGCTTGCATACCTCCTGCTGATATTTGAACTAAAAAGGATAGGAGATCTGACCAGATAAATGTGCGTCCAACGATTCGAGGTGGAATGAAAGAGAAACGAGACTTTTGCATCTTGGAAGAGCCTTTGGAACCAGGGTTGCTATTTCCACTGGTGTCGAAATTAGGATCGACGGCAGCGATAAACCGTCCATAGAGCATGAAGTTGAAAGCGAGGAATGCAGAGGGCGAGATGACGATCAAACCGTTTTGTACGATATAGATAATTAGCTTGAGGCTATCGGGATCGAGCGAGGTCTTGATAAAGAATCCGAGCGCAGAAGCGAATGCGCCGATGGGCAGACAGAGTGCCCATCTGTCTTTTTGACGGTGGATGTGATAAGAGAATGTGATGCCGAGGAGCAGATAGCATACGCCAAAGATGATATTACCAGGGATGCTGGGTTCATATTTTAGGATACCACGTCGCTTAGTAACAGGGGTGGTGTCTGGAGTTGGGGTATTGGGAACAGATTGAGCTTGGACATGGCCAAGGAAGAGTAGTAATGCATATGTGATAACAGTAAAGCGATTTAGATAAAACATTGTTGTAGGGTTGATGGATTTTCTGGATGCGGATGAGATGCTAATAACGGATCCGCCTTCTTTGATCTGGGGGTTTTATACGCGAGTGTAAGTGACAGAGATACCAAGTGTCTATGTAGTGGACTTCTTAGTTGCTGATTAAGTCCGGCGTTCCTCCGACGGAAATAGAGTCCTCTCCAGAAAGTCATGAGCTGATTTGGTTTTCTGACTTTATATCTACGTAAAAGTTAATTTTAATTTAAATTAAGTACTTTAAAAATATACTCAGATTTTGTTTGGAAATAGTGTGCCAAGGACAATGATGCCAAGAGAAAAGCCTACAAAACTGAATCTGGGCTGTAGAAGTGGTGGATAGATAAATCCCCACAAATCCAAATTAAACATCATTGATCCGATACACAGAGATTTAATCGTTCTCCTTTTTCAGACATGCCTAAAAAAGACCCATCTTCTACTCCTCTTTCTCTCTCTTCCGGCGATCCTGCTATCCCAGTTCAACGGCGAAAACGTCTCCTTGCGAAGCGCAGCTGTATAAGTTGCCGTGAAAAGAAGACTCGCTGCGAGTTACCTGACCTCCATGTCCCTTCTTCTAGAGAACCAGTAGCCAACTCAAAGCGGTGTCATCGATGTAATGTGCTTGACGTGAACTGTGTCGTATGGGACGGAGATCGGAAGAGAAAACCCAGATTGCCACTATACAGCAACACAACTCAGTCTGATGATGTTGACAGAAGTGAGAACAAACATACAGACACACACTCGACTTGGAGTCCACTTTCTCATCTTGCCTATGCCGCCCAAATTATCGGTGCATCTACTTCATCATCCCCCTTATATCAGCACTCTCCCTCAAATTGTTCAACGGCAACAACCACACCGACAATTTCCTCACCTTCACAATCTGATCCTTTCTTTGAGCCAAATGATGACTCCTTCAAAAACATTGCTTCAAGCTCAGGGTCTCTAGAATCTTCTCTCCCAGATTACGTCAATGGCATTCGAACTCACATTGAACGTGTTTCACCCTCACCAAATGATAAGACCAACCAAAGCCACGATCGAACGGATTCTAAGGGCCCAATTCAAAAAGACTATTCCTTTGGTCATCATGATGGTGATCAACCAAATCGTCCTCAACAACCATCATGCTTGAACAAGGGAACTGCATCCGCATCTGCATCCGAGCAAAAGCCATCCTTGATGACATGGCGTTGTGCATGGAAGTCAACTTCAACGCTTATTGATTATGCAGCCCAGCAACGACAGTTCACACGCTACATGGTCAGCCGCATTGCATCGCCCTATTATGGAATAAAGGCCATCGATGTCTTGGACATGATTAACAAGGAAGATTGTTTCGCCTTGAAGATTTTGTAAGAAATCTAATTTACACGAATGATTTTCACAATGCTCATACATAATGAAACCTTAATTTTTAATGTTTTATGTTTTTTATTTTTAATTTTTTTTTTTACATAAAGTATGACACCTTATCTTGCTTGGCATCCTCATTTGCCATCGCTTGAAGTGCTCTATGACCTCCACCAGCAACAGCCAAACAAATCAACGTCCCTACTGTTCGCATCCATGTGTCTTGTAGCATCTCGACACCGTCATTCACTATCTTCAAGCTTGATGCAAGGTCTCTCTGCCGTTGTAGATCGTTTAGGAACACAGGTGATATATTCTTCAATCTGTAATCTTCAAGTTGTCCAGGCATTCGAACTTCTTCTTGCTCAAGAACCGAGTCTTGTAGGCACTGGTGTTTGTGGCGACGCAGATGAGCAAGCACATAGAGGTAATGGTCTAGCGGGTGACAACGTGTTGTCGTATGCTCTCAACATCTCCAAAAGTATAGGAATTGACAAGTCCGTTGGTACGCTCCATAAGCTTCTTGGAGAGAAGACTGAATATGACCCGACAGAGAAAGCACGAGAGGAACGAACTGATCAGCTGAAAAATTTGATGTGTATGGCCTCATTATGGGTCAGTTTGCGACTGTGGGAATGTCATTACTTATTAATCAGGCCCATTACACCAGTCTTTCGTGACCTGAATCATTTGGCGGATGATGCAAAATGCATGATTGCGATTGACGGATCTGGAAATAAGGTACAGGCAGCTCCAATAACAACAGACGGAATCTCAACTAGTGTCCTGAAAGATCACGAGGTAGAAGCAGAAGAAAAACTCCGTTCGGCAGGTAATAGCGCATTCATTGAGTTACTAGAACAGTAGCGCCTAATATATACTTATTAGAGTTACTTTGTATGGATGGCTAAGTTTGTCAATTGACCCTGATCTCGTAACGCGTTTAATAGGTCGAACTGTTTTGGCACATAGGATTTGGGGAATGGCTACCGCGCATAAATGTTTGGCTAAGCTGGATGATGTTCTTTTACATACAAAGGATGAAGGGCTTTCAACGCCGCTACAAGCACATGAAGGACTTATCAATGATAGAAGAGGCACCGATCTGCACACTATGGACGAAATTGTTGCCATAGTTATAAAGGCTTTAAAAGAGCAGGCCGAAAATGAGCTCAGCATGCAGGGAGATATGGCACCATATGTACTATATGAATCAGCTAACCTTGCAGAAGAATGGAGCCAGTTAGAGGCGTACTCAGTCTCTTCAACTCTTTGCACATTTGGCATCTGTGCCTTGTACAATGGTCGGTTGGAAGCAACATTTTATCCAAAGATGTTTTGGGAAACATTGCGGCATGACAAAGAGCTAATGGAGCGCGTCGGGATCATAGGCAAAAGTAGATTGGACCTCTTAGAGAAGCTTGTCGCGTCCTTTAACTTCTTTAGCCGTAGACTGACATTTGCAGCTGCGGCTGCAGGTGCTTCAAGTAAAACAACACACGGCATACGTAAAGCCTACAGCGGCGTTGTAGAGTTGATAGGGGCACCGATTTTATTGACATGTGGTTTTGTGATTGACGCCTGTAAAGTATTTTTGGAGGGCTCAGCATTCGTTTTAGTCAATTATTCTGCAATCCAACAAAACTTCGATGCACGGTTGTTGTTTATGGTTCAGGCAGCACAGCGACTGGAAGAGCTGGACGACAATAGATATGAACAGGTCGACGTCAACCAGGATCACGACATGGAAGAAGGAGGAGAAAGTCATGGAGATGATTCCAAAGACGGCAACACTCATCTTCCGTTGCTGAGCATACCTCAGCTCTCAGCAAAATTTGTAAGAGAAATGGTAGAGACATTGCAGAAGTGGAGATTGGCACTTTCTATCTACCGTAGGCCTAGAGCGCCTGTTACAGTGAATCAGAAGGATGATAATCAGGCTGCATCTTCACAGTCTGTTGGGACACTTAATACTAATGGTGATAGTCAAAAAGACAATGAGCTGACAAAGCCAACCCGATCAATGAATCCTTCTGTTCAAGCTTCGCAACTATCAGCTTCTCTGCCAGCGTTGCAGATGGCCAACAGATCAATAGTGGATACCAACAAAGCGCTAAATGGCTTTACCACTCACAACCATGCGGGGGCTCCTATTGCTAATGTCGATGGATGGAGTTCTATAGGGTCCACACATACAACGCCACTTTCTGGGCTTAATCCTGAAGCAGCACCTCCACCCACAGTACTATCTCAGACCAATGCCTATGCTCACCTCATGTTCCCTGCACAGCACTGGTCTGTAGGAGAATCTGAGCGCGCAAGGGATCAATGTCCTCCATCTGTAATGCCCTTAGAGCCTTTCTTGGCTACTGGGATCATTCCGACTCCAACAGCTCCTGTAGGCGATAGTGACATCAGCAAGTTGTATGACATACCCCTAATCAACTCATTTTTCGATTCGATCTTTCCATATTATTAGTAAAAGATGGTTTGGTTTGTTTGGTTTTTTTTTTTTTTTTTTTTTTTTTTTTTTTTTCGAATGAATGAATAAATTAACGTATTGACTTTTAGTATCAAGTGTCTAGTATGGCATACTAGTACTCCGTACCAACCAAAATAACAAAAATTAGTATTTTGGGCCTTTTCCTATTTTCTGAAAGGCATCGGCTGGAGATACAAATATGTACTAATACTAACGCAAGAATTGACATTCATGACATTTATAAATAAAGATGCAAGTGATACTAACACAAGGATTGACGAAAGTTGGCATTCATAAACAAACACGCACTGATACGAACACAAAAACTGGCCTGCACAAAACCCGTGTAAAGCGACATTTATAGTGCTAATATTTCGGTAGTGTATAGAAATTGGTGAGGTGAGGCTAGTAGGTCTAAGTGCGCTAGCCTGAGCTCTTCTCGACCTTGTTCTTCTTGCTCTTCTCAGGTCTCTGTTGAGCCACAGCTCGATCAATTCAAATCAGGGTCCCTTTGATTCTTGTGTTTAACAAAAGCGGATACTTTATTCCTTCTCTAGTTGTCTTAAGAGGTAACTGCGCCTAAAGCCGAACGATCAAAAACTCGAATGATCATTGGCCTTATTGACCAGCTTTTGCATACGCACAAGCACCTGCCTCTAGTGTCATCTCAAACTTGTGGCATAGAAAAATGGGGGTGCAATTGCAGAGATACTTCTTTTTTTTCATAAGGTCAGAATATTACGTACCGGGTATGGCGGGATATTACAAAAAGGCTCCCGCTACTCACCTTGTAGATATCTTATTCAAATGTATAAATAATCCTTTCACCTGATGATGCTCTATAGTCATATACATTGATATGTTTGAATTTCTCCCTTGTGCTTACTAAAGGTAAGGTAACTGGCCATGTTTCCTGTATTTTCAACCTCTTGCGACAAACATGAGCAATATGGACGCGTTACGCCGCAACGACTTCTGTCTAATCCGTTTTTTTATATACAACAAAAAGAAAAGAAAAGAAAAGAAAGAAAAAAAGACTTCTATATGCCTTGTGATATGAAGTTATGGTCTCGACTGTGCTTGCCACCGCCATGCCCATTGATTGGGCTGTCGTGTTTGAGTGGCTGATTGTCGTGGATCCGCTGATTGAGGGGCAGTAGCCCATTGGTTGAAATCATAATATTATTCTATAAAATATCGTGTTCAAAATAATAAAATTCGACTGCATGCCAGTTTATCCTCGAACCATGAGGCAGTCAATGCCTCTGAACGTCTTTAATGGGATTATAGTATGCTTTTGGGATATAGAAACAGACAATGTTGTCCCACTTTTGTGCATGAAGGGGGTCTAGGGTTAGTTCTTTGAGGGATGAGCCTTTTGAAGCTACGTCTGTTGCTGATAAAAAACAAAAATGGGTCTCCATTTTCTGCATACTTGCAGCGCTTCCATAATTCAAGGGCTGTAACATTGCCACCAAAGGATACATGTTTGTCGAAGCATTGATACACCCCTTAACAAAAGCTCATGTGTATGATAAAAGTATTGTTTAAGGGACGCAAAGTGGTCAATAACATGTGGTGGTTATTCAGATATTAATTCGGTTTCCTATGGAGCCCGAACAGTCGTCCTAAACGGAAGCAATTAGTACTCAGTTAGTTCCTACTTAGACCTTGTGCCAAGAAGAAGGGATAATGAGAAGGGACCATAATCCCGGCAGCCAAACATTTGGCTATGGCGAAAGCCTAATAGCGGATAGTTTGAACCAAAGCTCTTGATACAGATCAGCAAGCAGGTTGTTGTCATCATCGTTGTTTAGGCGCTAAATAGCTTGAATCAAAGGTTAATGGACCTCTTGAGTGTACATGAACATGTAGGCGAAACGGGATCTATGATGCAATATCGTTTACCATGTTATGTACATAATATTTTGTGCCGCATAATATATATAAAATATCACTCTGCAAGCTTGGATGTAAAAAAAAAAAGCTATGCTTGTTATAGTTAGTAGAGGAAAGTCCAGTAGACAATTTGCTTTAATGCTTTGAAATTTTGTGGAACCCAGACGAGAATAAGAAATTTAAGTCCTGGTGACTTGTGTTTGACAATGAGGCAAGGGTTGCCACATCGCGTCGTCTATGGTCTATGACTCTTTTATTTGTCTAGGAAAAAAATGATTCAATGGTGCCGTCATCAACAGCCTTATAACAGACTTGGGTAAGCCTACATCATTTATAGAAGATAACCTAAAAAGGATGGCGATCATAGAAACTGGAAAGTAGGCTTACGCAGATTGTTCTCGAATTTTTATTTATTTTTTTTATTGGTTTTATTTAGCGATGATTTTCTTCTTAACATCAAAGAACATGATGAAAAAGAAAAAAATGCATCTTATCAAAAATACTAACAAAAAAGAACTATGTAATATGTAGTCGATCTCTTTCTCTTTCCCCTTCACTTTTTTTTTTTAGTCTGTATCAATATGTACAAAAAAAAAAAAAAAAAATAAATGGCCCAATTCCAAATTTTTCTTCCGTTCAAAGAGGGGAGAAGGGACCTCGGATTGGCAATTTTTTTTTTTTTTTTTGAGGCCTATTTATGCAGCAGCCTCCTTCTTGCCTGTCTGCTGCACACCCGCAGATTGGCGGCTATTGGTAGCTTGAGTTGGAGCAGCAGGATCAATAGGCGTTGCGGTCTCGATACCAATTGCACCGTTGCCCTGCTGAACAACCTTTGGAATCATTGGAGCTGGCACTGTCGTGGAATAGACAGTGGTTGCTTCTGGTGGCTGTCCATCAACTGCTCTTGCCGTAGTTTCAATAGTAGCTGCTCCGGGAACAATATTACTATCATTGGAGTCTACAATTACGGTTTCTGTTGTATGAAGCGTCGATTCCTGTGAGGGCGCCGCATCACCTGAGACCGAAACTGGAGCAGTTGTCGTTGTCGCCGTTACCAATGGGCCCATCGTGGCCATGGGTGTTGGTGCTGGAATAGTGTCGAGCTGAGGAGCTGTAGGAGCCGCAATGGTTGTCTGAGAAAGAGGGGCAGGTGGCACCAATGGTGTAGTAGCCAAAATATTGGCTGCAATAGATGGCTCGGTGCTTAGCACAGTATCAAGATCTGGAAGAGGCGCTACTTCAGGAGCTGGCTCCTTCAATGTCTCCTCCAATACTGCTGCCTGTGCATCCGTCGGTAAGCTTGCGACGTCGGGAATAGCTGTTGCTGTTGGTGGAACAGTCGATGGCGTTTCAGCTGCCGTGTGAACTGGATCGACTGCAGGCGCGATAGAGCCATTAGCAGTGTCAGAGCTGTTAGTGCTGTTGTTGTTGTCCAGGATAGGTTGCTGGAGTGTTATCGCAGGCGTGGGTGCAGGCGCACGAGGTAGCTCCTCTTTTTTCAGCTCCTCTAGCGGTGTGTCTGTCGAATCAGTCTTTGGCAGCTTTGTAGCAGGCTCCTCGACTACTGGGGCTGAAGGATCATCTCCCTTTCGCTTTGCCCCGTTATTAGTGGCATCTGTTGTAGCAGCGGAAGTCTGCTTATTTCCTCTAGAACGCGTTGTGACCATTTTTTAAATTCTGCAATTGGATATTTAGTTGTGGGATATGATGTGGTAGATCAAAATTTACTGCGATGTGGTAGGTAAGGTAGTTAAGAAAGGAGGGAGGTTTGATTGTTTGAATAGATAAAGGTGAAGAAGTGGAAAAAAGAAGAAAAGAATGAAAAGAGGAAAAAAAGGGCAAAGCACCAGAGCAAAGTGTTACTAGTATGATGAGGGGTACTGCGTCACGTGTATATACGTAATATATATTAAGACAATATACGTCAAAGAGTACATGTACAACATGTACAAATCGTTTAATCTCCTTAATAGATTTCTTCAGCCAATTGCGCTAAATTCATGTACGTGAACACTTAGGCTTATTGTGGAGATGGGAAATAAAGCCATACCCTTGTCTGGAAATACAGGGGAATTTTTAGAACAATGAGATTGTATCGCCCATTTCATTTGGTCACGATCCTTTATTGAATTGGTTTGGTGGCATCTCATTACCTGATGGACTCGCGACAAGACTCGCAACAAGCGAGTCAATGGCTGCCAATACACTTGAGTCTTCAAAGAATATGGGATCGTGACCAAATGAAGCGGATTATAGTTTTAAATTGTATTATACGTAATATTTATTTTCTATCTGCAGCTCCATTGTCGAGAGCACTTGGCCTACCAACTTCCCAGGCAGCTGCTCGCATTTTACGAAGAGTGACACTGACTCGAATTTTCCTTGTAACCCATTCTCCATTTACTAGATCTTGTGAAGTTTCCTGAATCCCATGCTCCCATAAATACCTTGCAGGACCCTGCATACTTATAATTGATCCTGGTTTTAGACGGACTGTGAAGCTGGGTTTCCTTTCTACTAGTGACTCTTCAGTGAATGAACTGGATCGGGAAGATGTGGAGCTACCTTCTGGTGGGTCTTCTGGAGACATGGGTTTTCTCGCTGGATAAAAGTCCATGTTGATTGCAGAAATTAGCGACACAATGATGATACCATCCTCAAATCTAAAAAACACCGAAGTTGGATTAGCTTGATTGCAAATAATTCTTCAGCTAGTTTGCACAAGTCGTCATAACGGACGTTTACCGTGCTAAATCCACATGGGGTTTGATACCATCGCCTGTTTTTTTTTTTTTAAAGATAATAATAATAAATGTTATGCGTTAAATCCTTTCTTCTTCTTCTTCTTTTTCTTCTTCAAAAAAGATATCCTGACCTGGGTAGTACAGATTCATAATGCTCTGATCAAACAGAGGGTCTCTTTCGGTCCAGCCATTAATACCACCTCGACAGTAGGGTTCACTCAGCACTCCGCGTTCCTTCATCACTTCTTCAAGCCATTCTAGCCATTCAAGATCGCGTTCTCCGAAACACATGGCTTGGTTTTGTTGACCGCCCTTGAAAAAGTTTTTTTCGGTGATCTGAGCCATGAGTTTAGCTTGATCTTGATGTGTTAAGATGTTGGAGTGGAGAGTCAGGCCCTCAATATATGGATGGGACTGGTGATGATGGCGCATACTTTCCAGGCGTGAATTTGAAGGAGTACAGCTATTACTGTCATCTTCATCATCAGTGCAATTCATAATACTCTGAAAGATAGGATCAGAACGAAGGGATAGCGATACGTTATCGAGCAGTATATCGTATTCTTTTGCTGTTGTTGTGGATGTCGCTATCGTTGTTATGCTTAATTCCTTTTCTTTTTCAAGGACGGGCTCATTGTAGCCTATTATGTCGTGCTCAGAGTCATCTGAATCAAAGGACCCGAATAATTCATGTTCCAGCGTACTCATCGTTCAAGATGATCAGGTAATGATGGCATGGACGAATTCTTTTAATGTCTAAAAGTCTAAATGTCCGTGCTTATTATTTTTGTTCTCGAAAATGACGCGTTTTAAGCTCAATAAGAAAAGTTTATTTCTGTAGTCACATTTTTTTTATTTTTATTTTTATTTTTTTAACTGCGCAGTTTTGGTATTGGTTGATCAGTTACTGATGGTTCCCTCTAGATGCTGGGACTATACGTGTACATTCCTCGTGCCTTGTCCAATAAAGATTTCAATGAGATAACCAAAATCCCCAGGGCTGCGCTGTTCATTTGAATGACAAATCAGAATGAGGTGATACAGGCTTTCTCCAACAAGGATTGCATTGATTATGGACGGCGTGGACCATCACAATGGATAAACATGTGTAGTATACATGTACTGTACATGTGCATTTATTCAGACGTATAAATCGGGACTATTCCTGTGTTTAATGCTTTGGTATGCCCTAAACTGAGTGAGAAGCGGATTTGTCTTGTTCATTTCAAGCAAGGTTATAAATGTAAAGCATACACATGTACCATAGACTTAATTGGGAATATGAGATAAAGTGCAGTGGTGATATTGAAGGGATTTAAAATATCACACTGCGCTGATGGAATGAGATGGCTTATTAATCCCAATCACTTTGCTTCCTCACTTCTTTTTTTCTAATTCTAACACCCTCTTCTCTTTTTTTCTTATCTCTCACACACCTCCCCACTCTTTTTTTTTTTTTTCTTTTTTTGCTTCTGTGTTGCTTCTCCTTTTCTCTTTTCATAGTCTGGCATTATCACTCCCTTTCTGTATCTTCATCCTTGCCTTGTTGCGCTCTTTTCCCTCCCCCCCCTGATTATTCTCAAAGCAGATCAGATTGATTGGTGTCTACTTTTGGAACAATAGCAATAACAAACAGACCTCATTAATGTCTATTTGGCAATGTCACCAAAATGGTGCATGGGTAAGTTTGTCTGTAATGGCTCATGTCGAACTTATACTTTTGATCATCTTGCTCATTCACATTCATTCGCTTATTCCTCTTTTTTTTTTTTTTTTTTTTTTTTTTTTTGAATGGACATAATGTAGGGGCCGTTCAACCCTAACTGCCCAGCTGATTTTACACCATGTTTTGAAGACACAGTTTTGCGTTTAATCCCAGTTTCATTTCTATTAATTGCTGGTCTACCGCGTATCATTCAATTGGCCAAGAAGCCCACAATCAGTTATCCTTCAAGTAAATGGGTCCAGATCCTGAAACAGGCATGTTAAATACTATACTGCGATTATAACCAGCCACAGAATGATCACGGAATTTTTTTTTTTCCTTGATCGACTCCTGACACTATTTATTTTTATACTTTTTGGAATTTTATAGACTGGAATTACTGCTTTAATCGCTGTCTCTATTGCTATTCAAGTTCGGATATTTCAATCCCACAAGGATAATGACGAAAGTTACTTCAGCATCGAATCATTGTCCGCCATTGTTGAAATTGTGCTTCTATTCTTTGCATGGGTATTGACGATTGTTGAGAACAAGAAGAATCATTTGTCATCCAATGTTCTGCTTGTCTTTTGGTTGCTATTGTTTATAAGCACAGCAATTAAATTGCGCACATTGGTCTTGGGATGCCCTATCACCAGCGAATGGAACGAGAGCACACTCTATGGCTCCAAATTAGCTCTTTCAGCATTTGTCTTTTCGCTGGAAACGGTCCGTAAGGATCCTGGAATTCGTCTGGATGAAGATGATGTAAGTTGGATATGAAAAGAGTCATTTATGAAGTCGCAATAGTAATAATAATAGTATTAAATAACCATAATTTCATATTCTTCATATTCGTAGCAAAAATGTCCTGAAGACGAAGCCAACATCTTCTCGATTGCATCTTTCCATTGGGTGACGGGATTGATGCGTAAAGGATATGCCAAACCGTTGACATTCGATGATCTGTGGGTATTGAGGAAGGAAGACAAATCTAAGAATGTTTCGTTGACATTTTCACAAGTATGGGAAAACGAGCTCAAGAGTGAAAAGTAAGTTCCTTTTTTATTATTGTTTACTATTGTATATAGTTATATAAAAGCATCTATAACCATAGCAATCAAGTTCTTGTTAATTAATATCAGTTTGTGCTGTGAAAAAAAAAAAAAAAAAAAAAAAAACCGTCTCTCGATGTACTCATACAGCCCCAGCTTGGTTCGTGCCATCTCCAAGGCATTCGGTAAACCTTTTTACGTTGCAGGAATTTGGAAGGCTGCCAATGATATTTTGGGATTTTTGCAACCAGTTCTTTTGCGCGAGATGCTACGCTTTGTTATGAGTTACAAGACCGACAACCCACAACCACTATATCGCGGTTATACCATCGCTTGTCTTATGTTTGCCTGCAGTATCACTCAGACAACAGTTTTGCATCAGTATTTCCACCTCTGTTTCCGCACGGGCATGCATATCCGTGCAGGACTCGTCACTGCCATCTATCAGAAATCACTTCGGCTCTCCAACTCAGCCCGCCAGACCTCCACCGTTGGCGAGATTGTCAACCACATGTCCATTGATGCTCAGAAAGTCCAGGACTTGGTTACATATCTCCATATTGTATGGAGTGGACTTTTTCAAATTGTACTTGCCATGTATCTGTTGTATGATACCATGAGCTGGGCGATCTTTGCAGGAGTAACAGTAATGCTTTTAATGATCCCTCTCAATGCCCGGCTATCAGTATTCATGAAGTCGTTTCAGCAGCAACAAATGAAGAACAAGGACACTAGAATCAAGTTGATGAACGAGTTGTTGAACGGTATTCGAGTTATTAAGCTTTATGCTTGGGAAGGAACATTCTTGCAGAAAGTCCTCACGGTCCGCAATGACTATGAATTAGCGACGCTGAAGAAGATCGGCTACTTGTCTGCTGTCCAAAGCTTCACTTGGGCTTGCACTCCTTTCTTGGTCTCATTAGCAACATTTACTGTTTACGCGGTAGTCATGAAGAAGCCCATGACTACAGATATTGTCTTCCCTTCACTTTCATTGTTTAACCTGTTGCAATTTCCCTTGTCCATGTTCCCAAGTGTCATTAGGTACATTTTCAAATGCGTTTTTCTGGCGGTGCTCAAAAGATTTTTTTCTGTTGTTCTACATTGTCTAATTTTTTTTTTTTTTTTTTTTTTTTTTTGTTGCTGAATTGCAATTTAAATAGTTCTGCCGTAGAAGCTTATGTTGCGTTAGGCCGTGTCTATAACTTCTTGACGAGTGCTGAGGTCGATCCTCATGCTGTCATCGTCGAGGACCCGCGCAAGCTATCTGGTCGCAATGCAGCTGCCAAGTACGCGCTCATTGCCAAGGATGCAACTTATGGCTGGTATAAGGATTCGGCTCCTGTGATTACTAACATAAACCTCGCACTCAAAAAGGACTGTCTCCTCAGCGTCATTGGTCGCGTTGGCTCTGGTAAGAGTTCTCTAATTGCCGCACTCTGTGGTGATATGGAGCGTATTTCAGGTGAAATTCGAGTTCGAGGCTCGGTAGCCTTTGTTCCCCAACAAGCATGGATCATGAATGATACACTGCGTGCCAACATCTTGTTTGGGAACCCATATGATCCAGCTTTTTATCAAAAAACAATCGAGGCATGCTGTCTTCAACAGGATTTTGATATGCTTCTTGGAGGCGACATGACTGAGATCGGTGAACGCGGCATCAATTTATCAGGAGGACAAAAGGCTCGAATCTCTTTAGCTCGCGCGGTTTATGCTCGTGCCGATATTTACCTGTTTGATGACCCACTCTCTGCTGTTGACGCCCATGTTGGTCGTACCATCTTTGACAAGGTGATTGGGCCCAGGGGTTTGCTGGCTGGAAAATCTCGTGTCTTGGTGACTCATCAGATTCAGTATTTAGCACAATCAACTAGCATTATGATGTTGCGTAATGGACAGATCGTAGAGCAAGGCACTTACCAGGAGCTGATGCGGAAGAAAGCAGATGTTTTCCAGCTTGTCTCAGAATACGGAAATGACTCGAATGAGGGGGATGAGGAAATTCAACAGAATGAAGAGCAAACGGTTTTGAGAGAAAACATTGTTTTGGAGGACGATATTGTAGCAAATGATGATTTTCCAGCTGAGGAAGTTGCACTCCTCTCGAGTACACCACAGTCTGCTCGTCGGGATAGTATTCGCAGCATCAGTAATAGTGTTCGTACGCTTCGTCGACCATCTGTCGCATCATTACAGCAACATGGCAAAGTTGCTAAGGCAGATATACCTAACAATAATATTATTACAGAGGAACAAATGAGGCAAGGCAGTGTACATAGAAGCGTTTATCTCGCTTACGCCAAGGCTTGCTCCTACCGCTCTGTCTTTATGTATATCTTTTCAATGGTCTTCTCACAGGCTGCCTCTATCTCAACTTCGCTCTGGCTGACACACTGGAGTAGTGACAACGATCAAGGAAATCATACACATGGTGTGATGTATTACATTGGAATTTATGCTGCACTTGGTTTATCCTATTCACTTCTTACTGTCTTCCAATCCATTGTCATTCAAGTCTTTTGCGGCATCCGATCGGCACGTGTATTACATCATGAGATGTTGATCAGCGTCTTACGATCTCCTATGATCTTCTTTGACACGACGCCCATGGGACGTATCCTCAACCGCTTCAGCAAAGATCAGTCAACCATCGACGAGGTCCTTCCTAGGTCTTTCTCTGGATATTCTCGCACATTGTTCCAAGTTGCCTCTGTTCTGATAGTGGTCACTTTTTCGACCCCCAGCTTCATTGTGGCGATCATTCCTTTTGCGTTTATCTACTTGTGGTTGCAGCGCTATTATCTGGCAACTTCAAGAGAGATCCGTCGATTAGACTCTGTCTCTCGCTCACCTGTCTTTGCTCATTTCCAGGAGACACTTGGGGGCATCAGTACAATTCGGGCGTATCGTCAACAGAATCGGTTTATTCAGGGTAATGAGTTCCGTCTAGACCAAAACCTGCGTGCGTACTATCCTAGCATTGCAGGCAACAGATGGTTGGCGTTCCGTCTCGAGACGCTCAGTTCTGTCATCATTTTTGGCTCAGCCTTCTTGTCCGTAGTTTCCCTTTCAAGGAACATTTCAGTGGAGCCAGGTCTGGTGGGTCTGTCGCTGACTTATGCTATGAGCATCACTCAGACGTTGAACTGGATGGTGCGTCAATACACAGAAATTGAGTCCAACATTGTTTCAGTGGAGCGTTTACAGGAGTATATAGAGTTGAAGCCCGAGGCTCCCGAGATCATTGAGGATAACCGTCCTCCCCAGGATTGGCCTCCTCAAGGTCGCATTGAATTTGTAGATTATGAGACGAGGTATCGACCTGGTCTGGAGTTGGTCCTTCGGGGTGTGAATTGCTCAATTAAGCCGCACGAGAAGATTGGTATCTGTGGCAGAACAGGCGCAGGCAAATCAAGTCTCACATTATCGTTATTCCGAATCATTGAAGCTTCTCGTGGACAAATCATTGTGGATGGGATTGATATTGCAAAGCTAGGATTATACGACCTCCGTTCACGATTCTCGATTATCCCACAAGATCCTGTACTGTTTGCGGGCACAATCCGATTCAATTTGGATCCTCTGGGAACCAAATCCGATTTAGAACTTTGGCAAGCGCTTGAAGATTCGTACCTCAATAGTTATGTCTCGAGCATGGAAGGAGGATTGAATGCGATGGTTCTTGAAGGAGGAGACAACTTCTCAGTGGGACAACGTCAGTTGATCTGTTTAGCACGTGCATTACTCCGCAAGACATCGTTGTTGATCTTGGATGAAGCTACAGCTGCGATTGATTTGGAGACAGATGCACTAGTTCAAAGGATTATCCGTCAAAAGTTCCGTGATTGCACCATCCTGACGATTGCACACCGAATCAACACTGTGATGGACAGTGATCGGATTATGGTATTGGATCAAGGACGAGTTGCGGAATTTGATACGCCAGCAGCTCTTTTGCGGGACCCAACATCGATCTTTTACTCGCTTGCAAAAGAATCAGGAAACGCTTAAAGTCCATAGAAAGTTTCTTCGACGATCTCTTTATTGGAAGGGAACCAGCTATTAATATATAAAAACACGTTCTTTATAAACTACTTTTTATTTTTTTTTAAGACATTTAATGATCACTATGCTTCAAACAGTTAAAAAAATCTTTTCCTTGTTTCGTTGCAAGGCACCTCTTTCTTCGCAATAATCCTAATGACTACAGCAGAAGCAATGACGAGAGCGATAGCAATTGAAATAGAAGTTGAATAAGTGCTAGCTATAACAGCGACTGCATAAGCAAACCGAGTTTCGAAGAAACGAACGGGGTTAACCAGTTTATCCAAAAAAAAAAAAAAAAAAAAAAAAAAAAGGGGTCATCCAGAAGCACAGTTGACAAATGTGGCCAAAATATGACGTCTATCTGTAAGACCAATTTTCTGGGTCATGAAACAAGCACTCTATGAAGTATGAGCATGTAACAGACACTTTTGATCATAAAAAGCCTGTGAGTGTTGCCATCTTATTGGTACCTTCCCTACTCTGCTGTGAATAACATTGTGGGTGTTTCTAAAGAGAAGGGGACAATAGAGAAAAAAGGAAGTGGTAATCGCTATGCAACTTTCCAAAGAAGTATGTGGTACGGCTACGCTAAATTTGATAAGGCCCAAGCTTTACTATCGATAGCCTTCATCAATCCTTAAAGGTGCATTTTCACCTCGGCCCTCCTGTGTCCATTTTAGCCGCCTCCAGAGCCGTTCTCCAACAAGCGGACTACACACTCAGGCTTATACGTTGTGAGTCAGAAGATTACAACAGTCCAGAGAGGGTTGCTACCCGCGTTCAATGGACGAATGATTTGATTATGAATGGCATCAACCTAAAAGAGGTCGTGCTCATTGATGAATCACGGACAATTCTAAGACCTTCTGGCATTCACGCGACCTACAGTTAGGAGAATTCTTTCTGGAGAGCCTTTTAGAAGTCGTAGGCGAGACCGTCTCTTGTGGTCTCGCCTAGAAACTACTACAGCCTGGCCTGTGGGCTAACACTATAAATGCCAAAGAAACTTCTCTCAACAAAGTCTTCAGTTTCACCCACGTTCCATCTTGCCATTATTTTTATTTCCCCCTTTTCACAGCAAACCTTTGACTTCCGGTAACTCAGTTTGTAAGCTTACCGATAAAGCTCTCGTCTTTTCTTTTGGCATCCTATGGTGCTAGATACAAATCCCAAGGAAGGTGATACTAAAATCTTGTTTTCATGATACTAAAATATGGTCCGTAATTTTTCTAGGATGTTCTTTTACACTTAGGAAAACTTCTCTGAAACACACTTTTATAACTAGCCTACTATTATAGCCTCCAATTATGTAATGTTGGTAAAGACACCGGCCCTGTAGAGGATAGCGACAAAAACATTGTTATTAATGGACATAGAGTATGAGCATTTGGGGCTTTATATCTATCTGCACGATCTACACACTCTCCTGGAGCTCCTCTTTACTCGGTTCTTATTAGTGATTAGCTTATATATCGTTGTCTAGCAAGTGAGGAAGATTACTATGAAAATATTATGTACAGGTTTCTCCTAAATTTTTCACGAGTCCAATCCGTCTATGCGTTCCAAAAAAAAAAAAAAAAAAAAAAAAAAAAAAGGAAGAAGCACTAGCTGGCGGCGCAAAGGCCAAGGTTTTGGTACTTCTTTGGGTTAATCACTTAGTTTATTCCTTGGACTGTAAAGCGGGCAAATTTACCCATTTGGCTTTCATCACCTTACGGCAGGTTAGATCCAATTCTTTGTGCTTTCTACTAGCAGAAAGCAATCGTAAAAAGCAAGTACCCACCTCAATTATACTCTGCTTCCTTCCCGGCTCCTTTTCGCAAGGTTAAACCCAGCATGCTAGCAGCGAAAACTGTGAGGGGTTTCTTCATTACCACTATCAAGCGCTTGAGGCAACAATGATTGGGAGATCGACTCTCCCTTCACAAATCTGTAAATGTAATAACCATAGTTTTCGTATGCTCGAGCATTGCCGTTCTTTTGCCTGCAAGGGGTGTATGCAGCCTATGGGATCAAGGATGTTTCAATCATCATGAGAGACATTGCAGGTAATTGAGTACTTTCAGCCGGATGATCCTTTCATGAATGTCATCAAGCGGGCCTTCCAGACTTACGGATGCTCTTTATAGGATTCGTTGGTCATATTTATCAGGTACGACCAATGTATGGAATAGCCGTTGCCGGAAGACCACCTCCTCTTTGGTCTATCTCTCTTCCACAGCTGAAGAGCTGGAGGGGTCTTTAAGCAGCGCCTCGCTTGCAATAACCTGGAAATTCGCGGTATGCTATGGCGCATCCCAATATCTATTTTCTTTTAGATCAACAGTTAACCTTATGTAAAAGATACAATTGCCTTCGTACTTTAGGAATCCCTGGAGATCCAAGGACCAAAGATGGCCCGAGCAAAAGAGTGCAGTCGAGGTAAGCTTCAGATGGGAAGATTTTCGTAAGTTCTTGGCTCTTCAAGGCAATCAACTCTTCCATCAGCTGAAAAAAATTTACCAACAATGCAACATTCAGCCCAACTGAGAAGCGCCTTTTCAATGTCTTAGAAACGTTGTTCAAAACACCAAATCCGGTTACGGAGGGTCCACCTGTCTATTATTATCACAATAAAACAAATCGATTAAAAATCAGTTATGCGTTTTGAAGTTACAAAAAGAAAAATATTGAGTATGCCAATGAACGTGGTGCATTTGGCTAAACACTTAAATGGAGAGTGTTAAAAAGCGCCGCTTCTGGAAATTTCGCTTCTATTTACTCTTGCCTTGTCTAATATCGAAAATCTCCAAGGTACGTACCATCCCCGAGTCAGAAAACCTAACTGTGATACATATCGTAACATACAAAAGTGTTCTTCTGTACCAATGGTAAAACATGTCAAATGAAAAATGCTGTTTTATGTTCTACCACCAATCCGTTACCTACGGGAACCACCAAGAAAGAGATATCTGAGCTACTTATGCATGGTGTATCAATGTGATCAAGGGGTATTTCGAGGCATAGTTATGCCTAGGCACTTCGAAATTCAGCGAAATGGCTAAATACAGGTGCTTAAGGTGCTAAATGTTAAAGGAGCCTGAATATGGTGTTGGAATCTTTAATACGATGACTGAGCTATCACTGCGAGATTTTATAAACAAGACGCTGTACCAAACCAGATTGAACCACTTAACCAAATTCCAGGAGAGTGAAATACAGATAAAATATGTACTGGCATCCAGCCAGTGCCTTTGAAGAGAGCTTTATTTTTACTTTTTTTTATCTTTTCCTGTAAGTTGAAATCCAGTTACTCCAAAACTTCATTTCGTAAATTTGATATAAAAAGGCCCCTCCGCTCCCCAGTGGTGGTTATCTCTTCATTCTCCATCTACACTAATATCAAAAAAAAAAAAAAAAAAAAAAAGCTTCAACTTCTTCAACAATGAAAGTTTCCACTCAGTTCCTGGCAATGGGAGCTATTGCGTACGCTGCTACCGCCGTGGCAAAGCCTTCGTTTACCAAGAGGGCAATTGATGGATCCAAAGTTCTTGGTTGTTTCGTGAGGTAATCCCATTGTCTATGTTCTGCGATGGACTGTAAACATAAATCTTAAACTAGAATGTCTTGCAAATTTAACACGATTATATAACTTTCTTGAATGGTGAAAAAGCATGGACTTCAGATTGTGCTACGGCTGCAGCGGTAAGATGATTTATCTCTGTCACTCTCTTTTTTCTTCCCCCTCTCTTCTGCACAAGGAATTATCGTGTTTATATTTATACTATTGTCTTATTTTCTTTAACAAATAGACTGATTTCAGCTTGGCCCGAGAGACCATGCTTAACGATCTGAGTATCGATTTCACCAACCCTGACCCAATGGCTATGGGGCTTTCCTCATCAAGCTCCGATATGAAGTTAGTCTCTATCCCCAGAGTGTCCTGGCCGATAAAGAATATTGCTGGCCTTGTAAATGCTTACCTGTTTCATTACAAAAAAAAAAAAAAAAAAAAAAAAAGAAATCAAAAGAAAACTGACATTGGTTGATAGCCACTAATTTTGATTTTTCATTCTCCCCCTATCCCTTAGGTTACTATCACTGTAAGTATACCTGTATATATATTTTTTTGTTTAATATTCTTTGTCATAAAAAACGGATATTCAACTTCTCTCTCTATCCAACAAAAGAATGATGGTGTCGCAATCGCAGAGTTTGAGGCTCCAAGCACTCCTGAGGTTAAAGGTGCCATTCTCAAGGCTGCCATCGGAAACACTATTCTAAGGGTTATACCAGGACAGGAAGAAGCATTCTCCAAGTTCAGTGAGGCCTTGATAAGCAAGTCCTCTCATACATTCACCGTCAGCGGGAATATCGATATTGGCCTTAAGGTCTCAGGCATTTCGCTCTTTAGCGGACCTAATGGTGCTGCTCCTTCTGCTTCATCAAAGATTCTAACCGCCACCAATGTCGGTTTCTCGTCCATTGCTACTTTGCGGGCTTGCGAGCACATTCTAGTGAAACCTATGAGCCTAGTGAGCCTTAAAAAGGATGCTGCTTCCGGTATCACCAAAATGATATCCTCCAACTCGTTTGGTCAGTGATTCATATATTTTCTATTCAAAAAACGATGATTGAATTGATTTGGTGGCTGGTAGGGGCCGTTGAGTCTCCAAACCTAGTCCTAGATATAGGCGACAACGTTGTGGCAATGACCATGACGTCCATTGACCCTGATTTCTATACTATATTGACAACCAAGAGCAATACATTCACCATAACAGGTTTTGAAGGTTCAGTGAAAAACCCTATTCTAGTCAAAGCAATGCATGTCTTTAGGATTTCACTTACGATCCCCAGAATTGAGGTTGCATAAATGCAAATAAAGAAAAAATATATATATATATATATATATAACCAGAATAAGAAGTTATGGACAATTATACATGTAAATTTATGGATGACCTACACAGTTTAATTTAATAAATGAACAATTAGCAAATCATGTAGTTCATCCATATAGAAGGCACAAGCTTTTTGTTCCCCATATCAAGGATCCATATTAACAGTGCAGAAAATGCTCGATACCTTTTGTTCCAAAAGCAAACGTTTTGTTATTTTACATGTAATTTTAAAAAGGTCAAAGAGGCCTCGATCTTACCCAGTGGTTGATCCCAATTTAGGTATGGGTTTGTGAGTAGGGATTGGCACTAGGGAATAAAGGTGTTTGGCCACCATCTGTTTGCTTTAAACGCGACTTGCCGAAATTTTCAAAGTCAGGCTGCTGACAGCTGCAAAGATATTCAAATTATCGAGAGGAAGATCAGTAGGCTAATAAAGAGGATTTAAGAGGGATCATCGGCTGATAGTGAAGAAATATTATAGAAGCTAACAAGAGTACCTTAGTTCTTTAGGACCCTCGGGGGTGGATGAGGCTGCTGTTGGCTATCAAAGCAAAAGGTTACGTGCCCTTTTTAGGGGACTTTACGAAATCCTGATAAAGTTTTGCAAAAAGGAAATAGGCAAAAATGTCTCATTGTTTCCTACCAGCTGCTTTTCTTTTTCATTTCTTAGGGCTCATCTCTGTAGACATGGGCCACACTTGGTACAGATAAAGGCCCACCTTAATTTACATCGTTTTTGAGTATTGTGTTTCCAACCTGCTTAACATTTTTTTTTTGAACAGCTTATTGAGACACTTTTGCAGATGTATTATAGAGAAATCAAGCCTTCGCTTTCCCTTATACCTAATCATGTCGTATCAAGGCCCATGTTCCCTCAATATTGAAGCTATAGTCTTGTAGAATCAACTTTATCCTTGAGACAGCTGTGTAAAGAAAGAGTCGCTAAAATTTATGTTGGAAAATACTATTTTTGTATTTTATTCTTCGATTTGATGTATCTATCAACAACACCTTAACGCGGGAATATAGCGCTATCAAGTCCTAACAACTCCAGCCTTTGACCAAGAATAGCAAGACAAGCCCAGTGATATACTTGTATTTTAGTAAACCTCATAAAAGTGAAATATGAAACCTTTATTAAGGAATGAGGCACGAGTTCCAGATTAAGACTGGACGCTTTCATCATTATGAAACGCTGTTTTGGTTTGATTTTATGAAATGTTCAAGGATAAAGGCTCCTAGAAACATTCATTTGCCATTGGTCAAGCATCATTTATCTCTTCTTTTTCTTTCTTTTCTGTTTTTTTCCTTTTCTTAGTTTCACATGAGTGAAATGGAGATCGACATAATAGTGCTTTAGGTTACCATAGCAATTCGAAATGATGATGAATAGCTCGTAATCAAAACCAGATGTATATCATAATGTCAGGGACATCAAGATAAAGGACACGTGCAATGAGGAAAGCAATGAAAACAATAAAATGAAATTCATTTTGCCTCTCATTCTTTAAATTATCCTTACTGCAAAGCCGTGGCCTCTATCAATGAGACTACCTCTTCTTCCTCGGCAACAGCTCCAGGGGTTAGAAGCTGTCTCTCAACGCACAACACGGGTTGTTGCCGCACCAGTGGCTACTGCGGCCGAAGAGGTGTCAGAAGCATCGAGTAGTCGTCAAAAGTCAACAAGGAGATAACAGAGAGCTGTTTGCAAAAGGCCCTCATGGAACTGGATACAGTTGACGCGGGCTCCATGCGTAGCAAACCCTTGCAGAAGAGGACAGCTCTGTTGTTGGACGCGTACAAAAGCTTTGCGCCAGCGGATGAGGATTAATATTTATACATATAGCTTTTTCACTATCCGGACAAGTCGGTCAGTGCGAATTTTCCTGGTAAAGGATATTTGTCTTCGTGCAATGGCTAGGGCAGCTGGAAGGCGACATGCAGAAGCAGGGCCGTCGTATCGCGCTTCTAATTGACAATGCACCAGTACATATGGAGGGTGAGCTACCGATCTATAAAATGAGTATCAGCTCAGAAGACTCTGGCCCTTTACTCCTCCTTTTGTACACAGTGCTACGTACCGAGGCTTGAGAGTGTGCCTCAGAGGTAGTTCCATTTTTATTCATAAGGCCAGAACATTGTGTGATAGCCATAGTGAGACCTTAATAAAAGACTTCCGCCTGGCAAAAATAATAAAAACAGCTTTTTGATCTCCTTGACTTTAGGTCTGAAAAAAAAATCTCACACAGAACTATTGGAGTGCTGAATACTTTTGTTCAAATAAAGACCCCTCCGTAATGCTCTTGATTAGTCATAGATAAATCAACAAAGGGTTCTTTCTTTTGTTCACAAAACCATTTGCGTACTGACTGTTCCCGTTCAGAATTTTTGCGCCGTGCAACTTTTATTTGTCTTCGAAGTCTGAGGCTGGGAATGACCGGCTTCATAAACCATCCAGGAACTACATCTCCTAGTCCAAGTCACCCAATAATGGTTACAAAAGTGCAATCGAAGAGGAGTTGCAAGAAAAATTTTCTGCGGCATATGGATGCTTGGGGCATAAACCGATGATCCTCTTTTGTTGAAACACTGGGTTGCTGCGCACAAGGTAGTTGAAACCATCTCACGAATGTCGCGATTTATTTAATAATATGAAGAAAGTGAATCGTAAAGAATGGATATGAATGAATGAATGAGAAGAAATAAAGCTTAGTATATTTATTGAATTGAAATGAAGAGAAGCGAAGAGCTGCTCCTTCCGTAAAAAAAAATTACAGCTAACTGGAAGTGCACTGTAAGATACCGTTAGGTTTTTTATGCCCATATAAAGGGCTTGCAGGATATGAGGCTGACTGGGGAACAAAAGTAGAAGAGGTGTTTAGAAGATTTGTCTAGCTCTTTGAACAAATGCGTGATCAAATATATGAAAGAAAAGGGTCGAGCAGATGAGTTAAAAAAAAAAAAAAAAAAAAAAAAAAATAGTACCAGTAAGGTGAGATTAGTGAAATACGTTCAAAAAACACGCATCGTCCGGAGGGAATGATTTACAATGTCCCAGTCCTTCCCTCCCTTACATTAGTCTGTTTCAATGGTTCAAGACGAAGATGGCCACAGAAAAGCTATTTTACGTGACTTTGGTCGAAACTCTAAACAGCAAAACAATCTTAAAATTCTGAACTTTACGCGTCTTGCGGAATTTCCTATTTAGTGCCCAGTTGATTACTTGAATTATATGCTGGAAAGAGGTACATTTATATAGTGGAATAGTTTATTCGAATGAGACCAGAACACGGACGAGGAAGCGAGTGATGTAGATGGATACTCTTGCTTCAATTTTTGGATTCCTGGTTATTTTTCCAATATTTACCTGAGAGCAAAGTTTCTCCAGATTCCCTTGCTGTTCTGTTGCCCTATTGTTTGCAATACTGTATTGAAGGAAAAGCCAGCTTTGAAGATGCAATTCTTGCCACATAAACCATGTATTTCGTTCCAAGGGCATGAGGAGTATGATCTTGCTGGGGGATCTAGTTCGGGAGTAAGATGGTCAAGAGTTTTCAAAAAGTAGGGAAAGAAGGCCTACCAACTATCCTCAATATGTGTCAACAGGAGCGTTGGTTAACATTGGGTTTCAGGATCTACCGTATCAGAGGGAACCAGAAAAAAAAAAAAAAAAAAAAAAAAAAGGTCTGAATTTGACAGCGTACCCTTGAATTAAATGAATATTGGCGTAGAATGCTTCAATTACTAACCCTTGGTGCATCGCTCGCTGTTCTCAGTCTTGTTTTGTGCCATGCTATGCTATTTGCTGAGAAGAGATAATTTGAACAGTGAATGGTGGTTATAAGTGAATGGCAGGGTGAGTTACAAACAGGGGAGGGGGATAAACTAAGGTGTGATGTTGTAAACCTAAATACGGGACGTCGCTGGCACAACAACCCAAAAACCACTTATGGTAAAGGTTTTCTGCATGATAGCGTACCTTACCGATGAACATTTTACATTGAGGAACAAAACCCAGTGGTAAACACCAATGGATCTTCTTAGACACCACAGAGGAAGTGAGAGAGATGAAGTTACCGGCGGTAGCCATTTTTTTATTTATTTTTTTATTTTTATCACTGAGACATAATACAGATTCGCGCAAACTTGTTTGTATACGCCTTTTGTGCTCTTCATGGCCCCTGCAATGAAGGTAATCCTTAGAACAGATGCGCTCTCTATTCTTCCCCCTTAATCTCGTCGCCCCCCAAAGTTGCGCTTTTCCCTTAATTATTCTCTTTTCTTTTTTTCTGTCGAGTGCAAATGGCCACCATTTTGGTGTACAGTACATCGGTCTCCAATCTTCTTTCTATCCTCTCTATGCCTTTAGAAAACCGTGTTCTTTCACTTATACTACTACTTCATATTGGAAATACAGTCGCTAACTTGAATAAAGGAAGGAAATAGCTATAAGAATGCTCAATCTGCAATGGATCCTAGATTTTAATAATTAAGGTTTGCTCTATCCTTGTGACCAAGCTATTTTGGCGAAATAAAAGGATTCGTGGGATCTTTCTACATGTGTGTTACCATCATCGTAATCGACTCGTCAACAAGTTGTTCGAGGGTTTGTGCGTGGTGTGATATGTTGTGATATGTGAGCCCGTGATTGGTCGCTTCGGAACTGGAAGTTGGACCCCTGAGATTTGTAAGTGTTCAAAAAAGGGAGGAAATCTTTTCATCATCCCTTTACTATGCAACGCGCAGTAGTGCCTTTTTTTTTTTTTTTTTTTTTTTTTACAGATCCTACAGCAAATGGACCTAACAGTTACGCTGGTAACTCACTAAGGGTGAATAGCTGCTTATTGGCTGACCGACTGTCGTAGCTAAAATTATTCTTGTACCCAACACATATGCTGACGGCCGGTTTTGTGAGTGAATGCTCGCAATTTTCGTCTTGGGCTGACTAAGGTCTCCCAACGACCAAGGCGCCTCATGTTAATCATTTGTCAAGACTCACCCTTCCATTCATCTTTGTCCTATCAAAAAGCTTTAAGGTGTCTTTTCTCGAATCGAAACATCAATTATAATGCAAACCAGGAAAAAGGGTATGCCTTAAACAAACTTATATAAATCAAAGAATACAAAATCCTTGTTTTCTTTATATTCTACTACCAATCTGCTGTCGACCTCGTTGACACCAACCACGTTCATGCAAAGAGACAGAAGCCATCGCTCATAACTGAGGTAAAGGTGCATGGCATATTAGTGGATCAATAGATCAAAGGGGGATTTCGAGAGGTGTTTATGCTTCGGTACGCCTATACACATCTAGATTCAATTGTCAAAGGCCCTAAATGCCGAGAGGCTCTGGTAGGATTCCGGTAAACGTTATGGAATTTTATAAACAAGGGTGTTACGTACCAGGTTGAGCCGTTATATCAAAGTTCAGTGTAGTAAGCAACTGAAATGCAGATGCTTAAGGTTGCATACCATGCAGCCTCTACATTTGGGGGGCCTTGAAAAGAGGGGTTTAACATCTCTTTTTTTCCTCTTTTTGCCCCTTCCTGCAAGGTGAAACTCAGTAGCTCTAATGCCTCGTAATTTTTGGTATAAAAGGACCCTCCATTTTCTAGCGGTTGTTACTTCACCATCCTTCATCTACACAACATACAAACAAAAGAAAAAATCTCAGGTTCTTCAAAAATGAAAGTCTCTACTCAGTTTCTAGCTGCGAGTGCTATTGCACTAGCTGCCACTGCCATGGCACTCCCTTCGCTGTCCAAGAGGATTGTCGATGGATCTAAAGTCGTTGGATGCTTCGTGAGGTAAAATTTATTAATCTTTATTTTAGTTCTGAGTTGTATACAAAGACCTTCTTGATTAAAGTACTTCAACTTAATATTTTATAAAACATTGTAGCACTTTCATAAACGGTGATCAGGCATGGACCGCAGAATGCGCTACAGCTGCAGCAGTAAGTTGATTTTCTTTCTTCTTCATCTCTCTTGCTCAATTACCTTTTTCTTTCTCTTCTTTGGGATAGAGAATCATGATGTTTATTTTTTTTATTTTTATTTTTTTTATATTTTTTTTTTAATCCCTACCCTACAGACTGACATCGGTTTGGTCCGAGCGGTCAATCTTCAAGATTTGAATATCGATTTCAGAAACCCTGACCCGATGGCATTGGGACTATCCTCATCAGGCTTCAATATGGATTTACTCCCACTTCCTAAGGTGAGCTGGCCTATCGAACAGGGTACTTGTAAGGTAAGCTTATTATAAAAATATATATATATTTATATATATGGCTAGCCAAAGTATAGATATATTCACTAACATCGCTACCCCTTTACTCTATTGCACTTTAGGTTACTGTCATCGTAAGTATATCCCATGCTCTTTGGACGTTGTTTGCAGTTGAACATTGAGTTTTTAACTTTTTTTCTCTATCTCCTCTCTTTTTCTGACGGAAAGAATGACGGTGTCGCTATCGCGGAGTTTATCGGGCCAAGCACTTCTGTCGAGATGAAAGGCGCCACCCTTGGTGCTGTAATCAGGGATACATTTTTAAACATTTTACCAGGGCAGGAAGATGGGTTCACCAAATTTGCTGAGGCCCTAATTAGTGAGCCCTCTCATGCATTCACCATCACTGGGAATGCCGATGTAACGCTCAGGGTTCCAAGCATTCCGGCACCGAAGACACTAACTGCCACCAATATCGCTTTTTCGTCCCTTCTGACTTTGCAAACTTGTAATAACTTCCCAATGGAGCCCATTGGCATAGTGAGTTATACCAGGGATCCTGCTTCAGGTGGTGGCTCAATGGTTTATACGATCAAGGTCCATAACCCTTCGCAGCTGACTCTCAAATTAGGAGACAGTAAATTCAATGTACTCTACACTAACGGAGACTATGTGGCAACCGCCGAGATCTCGGACCTAAGCTTATTCATGGGTGAGAACATTGTGACAGCAACCCTTACGTCCACCGACCCTAATATCTTTGATGCTTTGACATCTCAGGCCAATACGTTTATCATAGCAGGCTTCGAAGGTTCCGTGAAGCACCCCCTCATGGCCAAAGCAATGCGTGTCTTTAGATCTCAAATCACAATTCCGAAAATCGAAGTTGCATAGAGAAAAAAGAAAAAAATAACACTGAAGGATATCAAAATAGCAAGCTGGGAGCATTCATATTTCTTAATTTTGTGGACTGCCCATACACATACAGATTAGTTCAATAAAGCACATCAAACCATGGATTCCATCTGTTGGGAAGCCTTGGCCTTTCTCCCTCCATGTCGATGGTCCGGTTGATTTTAAATATATACATAGGCACTTTAAACGTGTTATCTGTAAATCTCAATTTGATGGGAAATCGTCCTCGAACATAGAAATTGTGCGTAATGATAAGTATCAATAGTTAGGCCCTGTTGCTTTATTTTTAAACCATTTCCAAGCATATTCCTAACTGACTATTTCAGGGCATGGCCTAATTTCAGAATTTTTTTTAAAAAAAAAAAAAAAAAAAAAAAAAAAAAAAAAGAGGTATCCTTTCATCATCTCTTTTTCTGTAATGTGCAGGAGTATACAGCTTTTTTTTTTTTTTTTTTTTTTTGTTTCTCTTTTTTGCATATCTCTTAGAGACCCTTTCCCAAGAGACCTGACAATAGCATTGAGAATCCATTAGACATGAATGACGATGGGTTTGTTAGCCGTATGCCATTAATCGAACCTACCGTGTGCTTGAAACAAAGGTTGACGAACGATCCTTATGATAACTATTATCAAAAGGAGAAAGAATTGAGGCAATAGGGTCGCCTCAAGATGTGGCGACATGATAGGCTTGACTATAAAGCCATGAAAATCTATTGAAATAACACTGCAATGAGCTAGGCTAGGTTTTGATACCAGGATTAATAAGAATACAGGAGGTTTAAAATTCCATTGTTAAGCAGCCAGTGTCTTCGAGCGAATAGGGGGGTTTTTTTTTATATGTTTCCTGCAAAAATTGAAAATGAATTACTTGGCATAAAAAGGGTCTTCTTCTATTTCCGGCTGTTATACCATTCTCCTTTCTCTACACGACAAATTTCCAAAAAAAAAAAAAAAGCTACTTCTTCAACAATGAAAGCCTTAAATCAGTTCCTTGTTACGAGCATTATTGTATTTTCTACCGTCGCCATGGCAACGCCCTCGGTGTCCAAGGGGAAAATTGATGGATCGAAGGTTATTAGTTGTCTTACGAGGTAATCCCCATCATTTTGACTTTGTAGTGAACTATTAGAAACCAACTTCTCTTTGAAATGAAGCTTAGCATGGTTGTATAATAACTTGTAGTACTTTCATGAACGATGAAGTGGCATGGACTCCAGAGGGTGCTACAGCTGCATCGGTAAAAGGCTTCCCTCTCTCTTAGTTCCCCTCTTTGAGACAGGGGCTACCATGTTTGTTTCATTCTAACCTTTACCCTATTTCTTTTAACATCTTTATAGACCGATATCAGCTTGGCCCGCAATACCAGCCTTGACGACCTGAGTCTAGATTTTTGAAGGGTGATCCGATGACTTTGGATATATCCTCACCAGGTTTCAATATGCAGTTAATCTCACTCTCGAATTTGCCCTGGTCTATAGAAAGGGGTACTAGTCATGTAAACTAATTGTTTGTTATAAGGAACTATATCAAACAGATATAGAGTAATAGTTGCTATTGCTGCTACTCTTTACTCCATACTCTTTTATTCCTTCACCGCTATAATGAACAAATAATACAAATTGTTTTCATTCACAAATTCAAAGTTGAGGTAATAAATCAAATACATACCTGCACACGGTCCAACCTAGTGTTCGGATGCTTAGACTAGTTCCATAGTGTATGATTGTTAGATCACCTAATCCTCCTGGAATTCTGAATTCATACAAGCAAAGGGCTCAACACAGATCGAGGCTCACCACCTGCATAGAACAACTCAAACTTTTAATGCCTATATCCACCATTAGCAGAACATTGTCATTATGTCTTCTAACAACTCTCCTTCTTCTTCGTTGTCTGGCGCCTCAACTCTATATGAGTATAAGGACTATGAATTTATCCCTGCGGAACTTTCTCTAGCTTCGTCTTCACCGGAATTGTCAGAGGCTGCAGACGTGGAGTATTTCAGTAACTCCGAAGAGGATAGGAGTTATGCCACTGAGGACGTCGAGGAATATGAGGATGAGAAAGATCTGTGGGATAACGACGAGGAGATTCGTGTTTGAAAAAAGGCACTTACCAGCTCTACCGCCCAGAAGCACGGAGCCGGTCTGGTTTTGTGGAGTATCCAAGTTCTCGTCCTATCAGGAAACAAAAGGAGCCCTCTAGTGATGAAGAATCATCAAGCAGCGAAAGTAGCAAGATAGGTTTGTTAAGCAGCGAAAGTAGCGAGACAGATTTGTCAAGCTGCGTAGCATGCACGACTCTAGGGAAGAGAAGACGTGACAAGGAACGTAAAAAAAAAAAAAAAAAAAAAAAAAAAAAGATAATTGGCCTGGCGCATGAAGGATATTATGTAAGATGATGGGAGACAAAGCAATGTGCGGAAACACGAGTAAGGATCGTGGTAACATCAATTTTTTTAGCCCAATGGTTTATCGCCTATTTCATTTGGTCACATTGGTGGCACCTCGTTTACGTGACGGGCTTGCTGATAGGCTGCTAATACATTTGATAGCATTTAATAGTTTAAGGACGGCGATTAAACAAAACGGATTTACAATCTTTTGTCAAAAGTAGAATGATATCGTTTTATTTGTACGAAGTGCGTGAGAAGCAGGGGAGTGCATGTAAGATGACAAAATATATGAACCAAACAAAATGAAATGCAAAGGACGCACTTCCTCATTATCAGAGTAGCCATGGGGTATATGTCTCTTCCACATCTCCCTTGGTTTAGTTTACTCATCACTAGTTAGAGTAGATTGAACAGGAGATGTCATCGGAATAAACAAAGGGATTCACATGTGTAGACCATGACTACGAGGATAATAAAGTGTGGTAAAGAAGGGCAGAGCTGGGGCTTTTGATGGCACAGCATTAGGATTTCAAACCTTCAATAAAATCAAAGCCGAAAGTAGATTAACTTAACCTGTCACAATTCAATCGTTGATGTTGGGACCTGAAAAAAAAAAAAAAAAAAAAAAAAAAAAAACCATCCTCTTTAATCCACAACAGCTTTTAACAACTCTTCCACAGATACCAATAACAAAAAAAAAAAACTTTTTTTTACAGAGAAACCAAAAAGACAATGTTCAAAGGCTCTGAAGAACCTCCTTCATATTCACGCCATGCTCCACCTCACCATTCATCAGGGGCTTTGCGTGTATGCTGTATCACCCTCAACGAAACGGATAAAATCCGTTTGATAGGCACACCTCCTGAACTCGCCAATCCTATCCGTCAAGCCATCGTTCGTGCTTGGGGTAGGATCCAGAAAGAGTCTGATTATGCTGGGGCTCATCAGTTCAAACTTCTGGGGAACCCTTGGTCTGCTAGGGGAAATGAAGGGGTCCTCTCTAGAAGACTTGTGGTTGATATCCTCAAGACGATGGCTCAACATGGTTGGACCCTTATTCAATCTGCTGATGTCTCTAGGAAAGAATACGAAAAGGACTCTTTGTTTTTCGAATCATCAGCATTACAACCTGTGGATGTAGGTCCCATTGACATGTTCGCCATTAGTCTAAACCGAACTGACCGTATTCGACTCATTGATGCCCCCTCAGAATTTCGTGACATTGTGCGACAAGCTATTAAAACTCAATGGAAACTTGGGTACGCTGGTATGCTGATGAAAGAAAGAAAGAAAAAAAAAAAAAAAAAAAAAAAAAAAAAAAATTAAAGTGAATGAGTGCGATGGTATCATGAATTGAAGAAAATCTCATTTCAAATTTATTTTTTATAGGATCATGAGAGAGGACATGTATTTTAGTTCGTTCGAATTCAAATTGAGCGGGAATCCATTTTGTCCGCAGGGCGAAGAGACTGTCCATTCGCGTATGATGCTCTCTCAAATGCTCGCAGCCATGGCAGCACATGGATATAGACTATATGCCTCTGTAGATATCAGCAATGGTGATGCAGAAGGCCGAGACCTCCATTCATGGTTCTTCCGACGCGTCACCCGCACTTGGCCATCACGAGCGATAGCCGACCCGGGACTTTCAGTAATCTAGATAGTACAGTTGCATGTTGTAGACAGCTACCGACAATTACACCCAATATCAACACTTTTATCTTTTTGTTATTCCCCAGCGGTAGTGAGATTCTACCATTTTATTTTCGCATTTAAATCCGATTCCCCTGAAAATCCCTACTTTACTTGGTCCCTTAAAATCTACTATACTCGATATTCAGCAAGCAAAACAAAAAAGGAAGAACAAAAAGGCCGTATAAGAGAAAAGTGCTTTTTAACAATAATAATAAGAAAAAGCTGGGTCATAATAAACAGAATCATGCAAAGGCTTGAGATACCACATTGTCCATGAAATGTTGATCCATCTTTTTAGCCACATCCCCCTGTTTCTTCTCTGGATGATCGACTTTTGCACCTGTGGAGATAGGGCTTTCGTTCAACTTTACACATTGATCTGTTCCAGGGAAGGGAGGTAAATTCAATTCCCATTTTTTCTCCATTTTCCTAAAAAATATCAAAATGTTAAAAAAATCTTGGTGAGAATGACATACCAATATTTTAATAATGATAAAAGTAATAATAATAACAAAATTTCCATAAAATTAAAAAAGTGCTTACTTGGAAATGAATCGCCCACCAAGATAATGAAAAGGTCCTTGAAAGTCCTTTGCGCCTTCCTTTGGTGCTGTCAGCGAAACGAGCATGGTAGGCTGAATTCCCGGAGTACTCAGATTGCCTGCCAATAAAAAAAGAAATCGTTATTGTGGGCTCTTATTTTTGGACTGTTTCATTTTTAAAGAAAAATAAGCAAAGAGATATTCAACATACCTTTTTCAACGTCCCAAGCGGAAGGAATGTCAACTAAGATTACAATGTCAAAAATGACAGCTCATCAAAGTAAAAGGTAAGCTTGGGATAAAACGGTCTTATATCTCTTCATAATCTAATGTAATGCTTGTCAATTTTTTTTTTTTTTTTTTTTAAAAAAAAAACTTGCCAGACACAATCGGAAGCCGTGTCTTTTCAAGAGCTTTAATAGCAGTATCAAAGGGCTGCCTGACCTCGCCCTTGAAGCTAAACCCTAAGATTGGAAGGCGATTCGTGTTGATAATAAGAATCAATATTAGTAAAGTGAAAGAATAAAGTAATGAAACCAGCCTCGAACAACCCATCTTTGCCTTCCTTTTTAGTTATACTAACCGAATATAGCATCCACAACTAAATCACTCTCATACAACCCATCCTCTGGAGTATCGACAAATGGGATGTCTAGCTCAGTGCATTGCCTCATAATATTCTTTTTTTTTTTAAAAAAAAAAAAAAAAAAAAAAAAAAAAGAGAGAAAATGATATTAGAGTTCAGATCCATAACTTTGACTTGTCATGTAATGAAGTTTAAATGCCTAAATCGATTAAACTTCCTAATGTTATTTATTTTATAATTTACCTTACACGCAGGTTTATCAGGACGCTTTGGATAGTAAACTTTGGGCTGATACCCAAAGTGATGCAGGTGCCGAGCAGCTACCATGCCTTTGTATTAAAAAGAAAAATAATAATAATTAAAAAGCACTAAACAAGTCTCCACATTCACACCGCTATATCTTTTTTTTTTTTTTTTTTTTTTTATCGTTAGTTGTTAAAAACATTTATCGTTACCATCGAGACCATTGTTCCCTGGGCCAGAAAAAACGACAACCCGCCCATACTTGTCCTTGCTAAACTCTTTTGTGATGGCTTGAGCTACACTAAAGCCAGCTAAAAGAAAAAAAAAAAAAAAAAAAAAAAATTAGACAGGTAGAAATAGTTGACAGGTTACCTGCCCATAGCTCCTAGACCTTTTTGCTTACCAAGTTCTACCAATTGCTCAAAGCTGAACCCACCCCCTGTTGGGGACATCAGTTCAACATCGATCGCTTGTGCTGCACGTTGCGTGAGATACTAATTTATTTTGTTTAATAAATATATTACAATCAATTTTTATCCTATTGTATTTTCTATTTTTTAGTCTTTCAGCACAGAGTCAATGCTTTTTCTTTTTTTTTTTTTTTTTTTTTTTACTTTGATGGACATGATTCTTGAAGTGTTTTCATGAAATGCAAATGATGCTAATTCACGAAATGAGTTCATTCACTAGAACACCCGAGTACAGCATAAACCTCTCCCAAAGTACGTCATAGACGTGACTGTCTAAGCGCGTTTGCTAACGCGTGTATTAGATGGCTGCGGACGACGTTGGCTCTGTTATGGCCCACACTTTGCGGACTGTGAGCTTGAAATACTGTTCCCATAAGCTGGTCAAAGGTGGAGGCGATGATATTTTCACCTAAACATACTGCTTATGTTTACAGTGACAGTGGATTATCAGGCGAATGAAGAGATGAATTGGCGAGACTATAGGCGAAAAAGGTGTTAGAATAGGTAGCAATGAATATATCTTCTACTTGCTGAAAAAGTGTGATATTGAAATAATTAACCTGTTGCTGATATAAATGTTTCTTTTATTTGAAAAAAAAAAAAGACGTCAGTCCACAGCGAACATATTGGAATGACTTCAAGCCAAGCACATCCAAATATTTATACATGTATATGATGCTTAGAGTTCCTATTTCATTTATTGCATTTCCTTTGGAGTAACATAAGGGATTTCGCAAACAGCACTGATTCGCTTCCAGCTTGGATAATACTTTGGTCTCCTTGCTCACAGTGACAAATGCCTGCTTTCATTGACCCATCTCTCGGTTTGCAAAGTCGGTTCGCTGGTGGTTGGTTAGAATAAAAGCGACGATAACTCCTTTTTTGGAAACATTTTCACCCTTTTCTTTAAATCATCTTCATCCTCAAATCGTCGCTTCTTTCGCTCGCTCACAATTTCTTCACAGGCTACTTCCTCACCTGCAGGAATATGCTTGATATGGTGCTCAGGTGCTGAATTGATGCACAATCTGGAAGACGCTGTATAACATGATAATGATATTATTGAAACATGTAAAATATATAGAGCAATTGCAAAAAAAAAAAAAAAAAAAAAAAAGTTATCTGCTTACCTGAGAATTGTGCACGGCCTGCAAACGTGTACCCATAGTATTCTTGGAAGTTTCCTTTGTGTACCATGAATGTATGGGAGTGAAGCTTCACTCTTGAGGAGGATTCACATCGATTTGAAAAGATACCAAAGGCACACTCCAGGGATTGACATCGTTCCTTAAGAACATCGCTCACTTTGGCAATCTTTGTAATTTCCTCATCAATTGTTGTTTGGTCGATAACGCTATGCTCCTTTGAATCCTCCCCTTCGGTCCATTTCATTTGACATAACAAACACAAAGACACAGGATCTCCTCTATCTCCTCTGTCCTGTAAACACAGTTGCATAAACCCATCAGCTAGAGCACCCTTGCCATTAACAAATAGCTTGTGAAACTCTTGAAGAAAGTTAGTATGCTCCATGCCGTCCACGCCCTTTGCGGTCTCGTGATCAGGGAACGTTTCGAGCAATTGATGCACTGCAACATTGAGGTAGTTTGGAATTATAAATTTAAACAATGGAAGCTTGCGGTCAAAGTCCGCACCTGCAAAAAGTCTTTCCAGAGTCGCAGACTGTTCTTCGAGGTAAGGGAGTAGGTATAAACGTAGAGCTATGAAGCCCATATTGAAGCGTTCCCAGCCTGACCAGGAGATGCTTTGCTCTGAAGCGATAAAAGCGGCCCAGTACTTCAAGGGCGACTTGGATTGACTGTTCTTGGAAGTGCCAACCAATATAACTAGCCACAAATATGGGACACGTATATGATACTTGCCATACTCAGCTTGTTCCAAATGTATTACACCGGCTGTCATGAGGTTTCCATAGCTAATGTTTGCTCCATGTCCAACAATAAAACGCACTCCGACTGGGATATCAAAAATAGTCTTTGCCAGTACAGGTGCCATGAGCTTCTCGTAGCCCTGAAAAGGATAGAGTTTGCTTAAACGGTCTGCCAGGTCCTGCATAATGGCCACGATATCGACATTGCGCAGACATTCCGCAAGGTCCTCAGCCTGGTTAGGCACTTCTTTGATATTCTATAGGTGATCCACAAAGAGATGATAGAAAAGCTCCACAGTCCCTGGCACCCCACCGATGTCTGCAATACTACGGCGGAACAGTATATCATTCTTTAGGTGGTCTTCAGTCAGATGCAGAATCTTACCGTTTATAGTCAGGGGTAGCTTAAGACCAATTTCGATCACGTCGGCGTCAGTAAGAAGAGGAAGAAGTATGGGTAGGATAATATATGATCCCCTGGCTATGCTTATGACGGGTTCTAGGATTGTACCCGCCATAATAGGGATAAAAAAAGGCTTTGCCATGCTACAGCTCCGTGTCCCAATGGCCAAAACAACTTGTTGAAGAGTTTTTGGGAAAACTTTGTGTAATTGATCCACTTCGTCGATGCCGATGACCAGCACAGAGAAATTGTTGGTGGATGTACCGCGGCTGATGATATCAGATTGAATAACCTGTATGACGGCGTACAAATCGAGTTGCTCAACGCCTTCCTTTTGCAGAAAAGAGTCAAAATCGACTTTGGGTTTAATACCGGAGTCTTTGGTATTGATAAAATATTCTTAGAGTAATCTAACGGCGATAGATGCTTCGTCTTCAATCCTGACATCGAATTGACTGGCAGCAGTGTCATTGCCATAGGAAAAATTGATTGAGACCATATTGGAGAAGGCGCTTTTGACACTCTGGTCACTGCAAGAGCTGGCCTTTTCGCGAAGCATTCCTGCGATTTCTTGGAGAAACCGGCTTTTGCCTGTACCTGGCCCACAGGCGAGAAATGGAATTGGGTTTATCATTTTGCAGCCTCTGCCGCGACGTTCAAATCGCTTAAAGACGCCATTAAGAGTACCAGCTCCATTCCATAATACGTCAAGGGTTTCCTCTCGATGGAGAAGCGGGAATTCTGAACCAAAAGTAGAAACGAGCTATAATAAGGAATCAGCACAAAATCTTCTGTCTACTCATTTTTTATAATGATGTACACTCAAAATGTAAACATAGTAGATAACATACCGGAGCTTATTTAGTGCCGATGGGTCGTTCATATTGCCTAATCCATGCAAGGATACTTGAGGGTTTTATCCAGTCATGCACAAAACCTTGAGAACAAACAGCTAATCCCTTACCTTCCAATGGCCGCTGAACAACGATGTGGATAGTCCTCTTAGGCAGAGGTGCTGTGCCGAATATCTTGGAAATTTCGCTTGTTGCTCTGGTGAGAGGCTCCTTTGATTCAACATCGGCGATATTGACTGTAGTCCCCTCATCAAGAACAGAGACATGGTAAAGATTGAGTTCGTCGGCGTCAATGCCTTGAAGATCGTTTTCTATTTCTTTCTTGATTGCCTTTTTGAGTTCATCCACGGTCTTTGTTGGTAGAATTTTCACAGAAAACACTGTGGATTCTCCATCGAGAATGCAAAAGAGTGAAATTTTGTCTGTCATTGGTGTGATTAATAGACAAAAAAATGAAAAAATGAGTTGGCTGGTGAGGAAGGAGAAAAGAAGGATCAAATACAGTCGTATGGGCTTCAAATGAAAGGAAGGAAAAGAGCAATGAGAGTGATGAATGCTAAAAGTAAGCAAGATAATATAAAGAGAACTAATGTAGAGAGAGATCTGCTCCTTTTATACCGATATTTCATTTCAGCCACTGTCAATCCAGACGTTACATGCATTTTGCCACCAGCTGCTTCTTATTACGTATAAATTAAATATGATCGTATTGATTTTAGTATCAAGTGCCTAGTATGGGATACTAGTACTGCGTACCAAAATAACAAAAGTGGTATCATGAAAGAAGATTTAATATCACTTTCCATGGGTTTTGTGCGGCTCGGTTTTTGTGTTAGTATCACTTGCATCTTTATTTATGAATGCTGATCCTAGTGTTAGTATCACTTGCATATTTATTAATGAAAAAAAAAAAAAAAAAAAAAAAAAAAAAGGGCGCGCTCGGGGACGAGGGTGAAATTAATATTAACATGCATTTACATCTCTGCAAAGTTTTTTTTTTTTTTTTTAATGTCTCGTGTTATGGCTGCTTACGACTTTAGTAAATAAATTTGTGTCCAAGATACTGTCACCATTATCAATAACACTCTCAAACTCTTGTCGGTCAAATCCAATGACAGGGAGCTTGAGCTTCGAGAGTCGAGCCTGCTTTCCATATACAAGAACTCATTCTATGTGTCGTTAAAGTTAGACATGGCTTCATGCTCCTAGAAACATGGAGTACGCAATTACGAAAATAAAAATAGTCAAAGAGTCTTTTTTCTTTATTGACTAGACTGCTGTGGGAAGATGGGAATGAAGTGTGCGTTATGTTTGTGTTTTGTCTTTATGTTTGTGTTGAGGAGAGGAGGATAGCAATAGCGACTTATATATGTACAAGAGAGAATAAAATAAAAGGTAATAAAAAGAATAAAAGAATAGTAAAAATATAAATGAAAAGAAAAGAAAAGAAAAAAAAAAAAAAAAAATGAAAAATGAAAGAAAAGAAAAGAAAAAGGAAGAAAAAAAAAAAAAAAACGAGAACGAGACAATGGTCTCATCTTGCATGTTCTGTTTTCTTTTTTTCTTTATGATCTATGATTATGTTGCCTCATCAGATTCATAACCCATTCGCGACAAAAGATGGATGCTTTCAAATAGCGCTTGGTAGCGTATTTCCTAAAGATAAAAGTGTTAGATCGACGACTTTGCTGTAAATAGTGCACCATTCTCTCCATGCAGGGCAAAAGATCATTCTCTGTATAACCAGAAGAGAGCTCCAGTTTTTCCTCCCAGCATTCATGTCCCATCATTCTCCTGGCTAAACAGAGTGATGCTGCAGAGATCATTGAAGGGGGGCATTCAATAAAGTTGAAATCCAGTAATGGAATCTCCATCAAATACTTGGCTACTGTACGCGAGTGGATGTCATAGTTGTCAGCTTTGGAAATACGTCTTAAGAAGTGCATAGGGTTTGGATATGACATTTTAAAGCCAAGGGCCGAAAGCATGTACCGCTCTGCCTGTAAAATCTCCTTGTCACTGAATCCACCATCAGCCATAAAAATAAAGTTCTGTACAGAAGGCGCCATCACTTCCTCATATTTAGCTGCAACGAAAAGAGCAGTGATGCCGACTAGCTGTAGTTTCACTAATGACACTGCTCGTACTGATAAGAATCGATCAATGAGGTTGACAGCCAAGAACATGGTCTCTGGTAATAATTTGAATTTGTAATGCACCTCTGCTAACCAATCAATTAAAACGCCTCTCATTTTCCATGCCAATTCCTTTTGTGTTGCCATGTAATTTGGATCAGGCATGGTCGAATGCTATAGAAATAGTAGGAAATGAAAAAAAAAAAAAAAAAAAAAAAAAAAAAAAAAAGTCAATTTAACATATTCCCTACAAACACACTAATAGTGCAGCAACGATCTGCAAAAAAAAAAAAAAAAAAAAAAAAAGAGGCGACATACTTCCAATTCCATCAAGTACTGAAAGATCTGTGCCGAATATTCAGACGCCATTAGAGGATCTCCACTATCCATGTCATCATGTTCAAATTCGGATACCAATTCCTCATGTTTGCGTCGCTTCATATTCTCGACCTCTTCAAACATTCGTGCCTCCTGCTCACCCTCTAACAGTATCCTTGGATCACCTCTTGGGAGTGACGGCCGTGCCAGTATCCGAACCTCTGTTGGACATCCACGTTTCTTGGTAGGAGCAGCGGGCACCTCTTCAGTCTTTATAGGAACAGCGAGTGTTTCTTCTTCAGTCTTGACAGGGGCAGCGTATATTTGCTCAGTTTTGATAGGAGCAATGTGTAATTGTTCGGTCTTGATAGGAGCAATGTGTATTTGTTCGGATTTGATAGGAGCAATGTGTAATTGTTCGGTTTTGGTAGGAGCAATGTGTATTTGTTCGGTTTTGATAGGAGCGATATGTTGTTCGATTCTGAGAGGAACAGCGTGTTTTTGTTCAATCTTGATAGGCACATGTTGGAAAGCAGGATCAAACTCAGCCTCTATCTTAAAATTCTTGACATCAACAACATGTTCCTTCTGAGCAACAAGACCCGGATTAAGAGCGAAAGCCTGGTTGACTTCAGGCTCGAGTTTGATGGCGACAAGATCATGTTTAACAGCAGAGTCAAGTTTGTTGAATTGTTTTGCACTGCTAGATGATTCAGGTTGTTGTTGTTGTTGTTGTTGTTGTTGTTGTTGTTGCTGGAATTGATGTGGAGCTAGCCGATTAGTAGACCTTTCCTGTAAAACTCGTCTTGCCTGTGCATTAGGTTGATTCTTAGTAGGTGCTGGTGGAGGTGTACGACCCTTTCCTGGAGCAGGATTCTTGAGAGTAATATTGTTGCTAGCATTCTGATGGATGATATAGATTGATTTTTTTTTTTTTTTTGGAAGAGAAAAAAAAAAAAAAAAAAAAAAAAAAAATATCGAAGTTCCAATGGGGTGAATTGTTATCAGTTAATTTATGTGTCTTGGTTGATGTTTTCAGGAACGTTGACGCCAACCAAGACGCGTTGATTTTTTTATTTCTCCGGTTGAGTGTGACAGTGTAATCATTGACGAAATAATAATAATAAAATATGACTGCAATAGGAATTGACCGTGTAGAGATTAATGGGGAGCAAAGTGTAACAGACATTCCCGCCCAACATTATCTCAAGAACGGAAAAGATTTGAAGAGGAGAAAGGAGAAAAGGGAGAAATAAAAAAATATATAGAAGTAGTGGAGTGCAGTAAGGAGGATGTGAAAAGGAAAGACCAAAGGGAAGAAGAGGAATTGTGAATTGTAAAAAAAAAAAAAAAAAAAAAAAGCAGTGTTAGTGTTATTACCTCTTTGGCGGTGCTGTTTGTGGTGCTGTTTGTGGTGCTGATGTTGCCAACAGCGGCATTAGTATTGTTGAAGGTACTGACGGCGATTGGTCCATTATTGGTGTTGTTATTGGTAATGTTGGTACTGTTGAAGGTCTTCTCTGCCAGGGCACCGCGCCTCTTTGTATTGGCCACAGATGTGGCACCACTCTTGCTTCTGGTAGTGGATGCTTGCAAGGAGCTGAGTGCATCCTTTACATATGTCACTCCGTTACCATTTATACCAACAGCAGGAACGTTCTCATTGCTCTGTAGACGCTTAGTGTTGGTGCTATTAATGTTGTTTGCCATCGATTGTGAACGAGTACGTGGCTGAAGAAGAGGAAGAGGGAGAGGAAAGAAAGAGAGAGGGTTAATGTGAAGCGGATGATATAATCCGGTTAGACAAGATGGCAATCAGATGAAGTGATTATATTAAGGTGTAGTCTGGAGTAAGTAAGGAAACCATATAAAAAAATAAAAAGATGTTGCTTACGGGCTGTGACATTGCTGCGAATGGGTAAACAACAGGGGACTGTAATCACACCAACGCGTCTGAATGGTTCGATGGTCAAAAGATGTAAAAATAAAAAAAAGCAGAGGCAAAACAGGACAGGCAAGACAAACGAAGAGGAGAGAAGGAAGAGTGGGAAAAGAAGAGGCAGAGGGAAGCAAGGCAAGGCAAGGCAAGGCAAGGCAAGGCAAGGCAAGGCAAAGCAAAGCAACGAATGGACAATGAACAATGACAAGCAAAGAGTGACCAATGAGCCAAGATTTCCTCAGAGTAATTTTCTTTTTATTTTTTTATTTACATGTATTTGCAATTTACTTAAGGGCTGTCGATCACAGCCAACCAGCTGACACTTGTATTTTACATGAACATTGGCTGATCGTATGTTTTGCTTGTGCTATGCTCGAGCAGTACACGCGATATTTCGATCCAAAAAAAAAAAAAAAAGAGTCGTGTGTATGGTAGTGTAGATGAACTACTTATCAAAGACCTAATAATAAATTCATCATTTCCTCTCATCTACCAACCCCAAAGGATAACTACTGAGAATATCATCTGAAGGATACTCGCAAGAACAAAACAAAGGATCATCCGTCATTCAAAAGTGAAATACAACGATCGCCTCCCTGTCCAATTCAGTTCAAGGGAAAAAGAGAACACCATGCAGTACATGGGGAGTAGACAAGGTGGCAGTGGGAATGCAGGTCTTGGAGTAGGAGCAGGAGGAGTAGGAGGAGTAGGAGGAGTAGGAGGAGTAGGAGGAGTAGGAAGCTTGAGTGGATATGGCCTTAGTCAACAGCAGCAACAACAGCAACTTGGATATGCTTCTGGAGGAATCAACAGTCAATTGGCCATGCAGCTGCATCAACAACAACAACAACAACAGCTTCAACTCCAACAGCAACAGCAGCAGCACCAACAACAGCAGCAGCACCAACAACAGCAGCAGCAGCTTCAACAACAAAGACAGCAGCAGCAGCAGCAATTGCAACAACAACAACAACAACAACAACAACAACAACAACAGCAACAGCAACAGCAATTGCAGGCGGCACAGCTACAGCAGCAGCAGCAACAACAACAACAGCAACAGCAACAATATAGATTGGTTACCATTGAAGATGAAAAGATCTATGCTCTTGTCTTGGAACTCACTCACCCTGCTAACCGTGAACAAGCTCTATTGGAATTGAGCAAGAAGCGTGAGCAATTTGAGGAATTGGCCCTAGTGCTGTGGCACTCTTATGGTAATTGGTTGCCCATGAACCATTTGAAAGAGTTTTTTTTTTTTTTATCATGGTATTGCGTTTTTGTTGACTGGAACTCCTTTCTTTTTTCAGGCGTCATGGCTGCTTTATTGCAAGAAATCCTCTCTGTTTATCCCCTGTTGGCTTCTTCTGGATTGACAGCCCAAGCATCCAACCGTGTCTGCAATGCCCTGTCTTTGCTTCAATGTGTCGCAAGCCATCCTGAGACTAGAGGGTTGTTCCTGAACGGTAAAGTGGCACTAATGGCCCCTTTAGTTCTTTTGTCTTTATCTTTCTTCTCTCTCTCTCAAATTAATCTGTCCTAACTTTTTTTTTTTTTTTTTTTTTTTTAAAAAAAAAAACTACAATCCATTATAGCACACATCCCATTGTTCTTGTATCCATTTCTGAACACGACTAGTAAAACTCGCCCGTTTGAGTACTTGCGCCTAACTAGCTTGGGTGTCATCGGAGCATTGGTCAAAAACGACAACACAGAGGTGATCACGTTCTTACTTTCGACCGAAATCATCCCTCTTTGCCTTCGCATCATGGAAACAGGAAGTGAACTGTCTAAAACGGTAAATATATGGATGTTCAACATTAAGAAGCACTTTTTTTTAATTCATTTTACTAATTATATTTCATAACAGGTGGCCATCTTTATCGTCCAACGCATCCTACTCGACGACATGGGCTTGGCTTATATTTGTCAAACCTATGAACGCTTTTATGCTGTTGGGGTTGTTCTCAGCAACATGGTCCACCAATTGGTAGATACCATGGCCGTCCGACTCTTGAAACATGTTGTGAAGTGTTATCTCCGTCTCTCAGATAACCCCCGGGCTCGTGAAGCCTTGAGACAATGTCTTCCTGAACCCCTTCGAGATGCAACATTTGCACAGGCACTCAAAGACGACATGACCACAAAACGATGCCTTGCTCAATTGTTGATCAATTTGGCAGAGAACACTCCCTCCAATGGAAACATCAACGGCCTCATCAATTAGAAAAAAAAGTTTTTCACAGGCACACAGCATCATCATCACCATCATTATCAATGTTATCACTGTTATCCTCGACAACCATAACAATAGAGCAGTAGCAGCAGCCGCAGCAATAATGACAGCAACGACAACAAAATCACAGTAACACAATAATAACGACAGCAATGGTAATAACTAGAAGAAGAAAAGAAAAAGGGTGCCGAGAGATTTTTTTTTTTTTTTTGTTATTTGTCTCTTAATATCGGAATATTTTCTTTCTCCTTTTTTCTTCCTTCCTTCCTTCCTTCCTTCCTTTCTTCCTTTCTTTTTTATTTCCCTTAATGATTGCACAGTGAAGAAGGAAATGGAGGTGTTTATTTTTCTGTTGCATTTATAACTTTTTGTTTTTTTTGTGCCATCTCTCCTCTCTCTTTCTCTTTCTCTTTCTTTTTTTTTTTTTTTTTCTTCTTTTATACACTCTACTTTCATGTTAATTATTGATCTCTTCCTAATTTTGTATTAGCGTCTGTGGCGACGCGTAGTGTACATTTTTTTTTTTTTTTTTTTTTTTTTTTGCTGTACAACTCTTGCATTTTTTTTTTTTTTTTTTTTTCCTTTGTACAATCAGAAAGTCACCTCTTTTTTTTAAATAAAAAAATAAACTATAATACATATATATGACTAACGTCGCGATATAGTTAGTGCAGGAGATTGGTATCCAACAATACTATTTATTTATATATAATATATACATGTATTAATCTCGCTTTAGCTGTTTCGACTGCGATCTGCCCCAAGCCCTTACTTTAAAAAGTCAGTAAGGCGGTGTGCGCCAGCCAATGAAATGTTTTAGTCAAGAGATGAGCTACCCATTTTAGGGAATGTTTAAAGACGCCACTGTCTTTCTTCTGAACCAGCCAAGTCCACCAGCCTTCCCTCCCTTCAAACTCGAGCTGAGGAAACAATCCTAACACAGGAACTATCTCAAGCTTTGATCGGCGGCAGTTACCGAGCCGTGTTCATGCCTCCAGAAATATTACTCTCCAGCAAAACGCTTCAAAGACCTGGGGGATAACGACAAATGGAGATCCCTATTGCGAGCAGCAGTCGTAGACGAAGCCAGTTGGGGAGCTACATTTAGGCTGGACTACCGCCGCATTGTTGAATTGCGCAGTAAGGTGCCTAGACATGTCGATTTCGCGGCCATGTCCGCGACTCTTCTAAAAGATCTTATGGAGCTGAGAAAAGTCATGCAATTCGGACCATGGACGGAAGTGCACAAATACAGGGTTGACCGGAGCAATGTCAAGTATTCACTGCGCTTGTCTAGCTCTGCAAATAGTTTCAGCAGTCTTGAATTCATCCTAGATTCCACTAAAACCATTGTATACCTTGTATCAATTAGCATACATTTTGTATCAATGAACATGTCTCTTGTATCAATAAACATACATCTTCTAGGAAACGCTTTACGCGGATGCATGACACCATGGGTGTGTTTCTAACTTTTCACGTCTGAACATGGTCAGGGACACATATTTTAAAATACTCAAATTGAATCAACCTTTACAATTTCAGTATCCGAAAAAAAGTATTCTATCCAATTTAGAAGCATGTCCCTGACTCTCTGACGAGGACTCTAACACCCTGCATTCTTTCTAAAGCTATCTTTCAATAGAAATAGGTTCGCACCTTCACTTTATTAAGAATGTACATCTATATAATGACCTTAATTCGTATGTCCATTCACCACTCTGTTCTTGTTCTTCTTGCTCTTCTTGTTCTTATGCGTCCTAATGCTTCCTTAAGTCCTTCTTGCAGATCAATCCCCATAATATATTGCTTGACATCTAGAAGTTCCTTTGTAGGTTTGGGATCCACACCATCTGTTTCAGTCTTGAAATTTTGTTTCTTGAATTCCTTAGTCTGGTCTTGCGGAACAACAAAAATAATTGCAACCTCCTTAGAGGAGCGAATCCACTTTTTTTCTCGCATACTTTTCAAAAGCGCTTTGAGGGATTCGCTTTTGATGCCATGATCCTTGTTCGTCGTAACTTGAATGAGATAGTTCGGAGCAAGCAACATATCCACACAGCCAAATGCTTTGCTATTTGGGATCCATAACGATCCTTGCATCTTGTCCTCATGATATTCAAGAGTATTGAACCATTTAACCTTCGGGCTACCTTTGATATCGATGGTTATTTCAGTACTGTCATCAAGGTTCCTGGCCTGAAAGCAACGGTTGCCTATCCGTAGCATGTGCCACATATAAAGCTCGAACATTGCTCCTCTATCTTCACCAACTCTACCATTGGCGAGCCGATTCAATATTTCATCCCAAGTATTGTTGTCCGCTGTATCATACACCTTTTCCATGATATAATTTGAAGCCCATACTAATTTAAATCTTTCATGATCTTCTGTCGGATAACGGTAAAGAAGACGGCTGCTGTAACATAGTGAATCCTTAGCCTGTTCAAAGTGTTGAAGTATCTTCATTGGATCCTTGATGTTGTTAAGGGCTTGCTGAATGCGATCAAGTGCACTCATTTCTATTTTTGCTCTCACTTCTTCTTTACAACGATCCTCTGCGGGGTATCTGCGCAGTCCTTTCTGCGGCAACTCGAGGACATACCTTGGCACTCCACCAATCAAATCATACAGGCGTTCCATAAAATCCTCAGAGACCATTTGAAAGGCTTCAACCTTGCTTCTGCATTCTTTTAACTCATCTAGCTCCCACGGAGCCATGTAGTATCTCCATGGGACTCTCTTCTCAATTTCTTTATACAGATTCTTGTCAGAATAAAAAGTTTTTGGTGACACTGAAAAGATAGTCCTGGCATCCAAGAGCTCTGGTGTTGGTGAGCTGTCGACTAGGAACCAAGTGCTGGGTAGATCCAGGAAGGGCCTAAAATCCTCTATGTCCCCATACCGAACAACAGATCGTCCACCAAAAGCATAACACTTTGAACTTTCCATTTTCTGGATGATAATAATAGGTGGGTCTGCCTCATTGCTAACGGCAAGCATTCGGATGGCGAAGTATACGAGAAAGGATGATTTTCCTATACCGGCTGTCCCTGTAACAACAATTTTGTCGGCTGCAGGCCCTTTATCATCTCCATTTATATAAAGACCCTTGACGATTGTGTCGTAGAGTTCTTTGAAAGCTGACCTTACGTACATATCTTTCATGTTGATCACGGGAAGCTTTGTCCCCAAAGGGCTGGATATCACGTCGATTTCTTGAAATGATGCGTTTTGGAGGGAAGTGGCCGTTTGGGGTATTGAATAGTAGTGGCTATCCTCTCCCACTATGGTGCCAATATTTTTAAGTATTGAAACCAGTTCTTTACTCATAAGGCTCCGCAGGCGTGGAACGCCGTTTATTAAAGCCTTTTGGGCAAGTCCTGCTACACTAATCGCCTTTTTGAAGGAGCTCCTATCACTCTCGTCATTCTCTAGCTGATCTCGGTCTCTTTTCGAAACTGTTTGTTAAAATATAAACAAATAGAATAGTTACAGAAGGTAGTTCTGAAGCCTTAAATCGAAAACATCAGTCGACCACCAACAAGAACTAAAGACATACCTCGCTTCGGTACTTCAACAATAATGTAAATGAGATTATCTGCTGCCCCGTCAGGAAAGTAAGTATGGAGTTTCTCAAGTACGTTGTCAAGGACCTTGAGTGACTTTAGGAAACTTGCATAGTTCCTCTACTGTTGAACCATTAGGGATGAGCTTGAGAATAAGATCCTTTGCATCGGAACCATTAAAAGTGTTTTCAATCTCTGTTTTAATGGCATCCTTTTAGTCGTCAATAGTTTGGTCGGAACGAATGATCACTGAGAATGCTGGTTCTCCTTCCACAAGGCAGAAAAGTTTCAGTTTAATTGGCTCGGAAGACTTGATGTTGTCTGTGGTTGATTTAGAGATTCGCGACATTGAAGATTTGTGTGCCAGACGTGAAGAATTTCTGGTTGATTTATTCTCTCGTGCCAGACGTGTAGAGGCAGATTTATTTCCTTTTGGCATGATTGTACAGTATGAGTGCTGAGAGGCAAAATGTTGTTGATCTCATCCTTCATTTGTTTCTGTGGAGAAAATGAACCACTCCTGAAATCAAAACAATAAATAATTCAAAGCAATCAGGCGCGTAATTTTTGAAATTTTTGTGGTGTATAAGAGATCCATGTTTCTCGTTTTCTTTTTTTCTTTGATGTTGATGCTGCCGAGCCCTCTGGCAGTTGAGTCGTCGACCACAGAGAAGATAGATGGAGTTGAGATGTGGATAACAATGGTGCATTTGGTGGATTAGGCATCACCAATAGAAGAGGATCAGGAGGAGGAGGAGGAGGAGGAGCAGCCAGTAAAGGAAAAGCTAATGAAGGATGAGGACTAGACATCCCCTGAGATGATTGCTGTAGTTGACATTGATTGTTGTAAACATATTGCATAAAGTTGAACGCATATTGGTGATGTTGGTGTTGTTGATTGATCTTGACAAGATACTGCTGTAAATGTGCTCCTATCCGATGTAGCTCGAGCTGATGTTGCTGTTGCTGCTCTTCCTGTTGCTGCAGTCGTCGCTGTAGCTCTTTTAATTGTTGCTGTATGAGTTGAGCGTTGCTATTTGAACTCCTCGAAACTTCCTCGAGCCCTTCTGCAATCTCAGGAACCATTGTAGTCAACTTTTGCGAAATATTACTTCACCACAATAGCGTTCATCTCTTCCTGGAACTCCAAGAATAAAAGTGATTTGAAGATATCATCCTCCAAGATCCTGCTCTGTTGGTCATTGCTAACAGCATCATGATAGCGTAGTCGAAATGCAACATCTTGAAGTATGATTCGCCGGCATCGCACAAACAGTCTCAGAAACCCCGGACGTGGAGATATCAAGTTCCGAATAAAGGATTGTATTCGAAGAAGGTCCAGCTAACTGGTTGGTTTCTACTGCCGCTCCAGGTTTTGACGCAGCAGAAATGTCGAGCACAATGTTTGGATCCACTTCGTCCATTCCCTTAAACATTCATTCCTCCACGCATTGTTTTTTCCAAAGAAATCTTCAATCCAAGGAAAAATCATTAGCTGGAGTGCCTTTGGTGGGATGACAGAGTTTCGAGCGAGGAAGAAAGGCATGTTATAAAATCCTGCCATCCCAAGTGCAAATCTCGAAGGCAAACATGGTAAATAAAAGCTTTCCATGCGACCTCGTTCTGCGGAGTACCAGTGCAGTATGCCATACTAATCCTGAAATATTAAATCTGTTCTCGGAAGTATGCTTTTAGGAGGGAAGATGGGCATAGAGAGGCTATGTAGTTGAATATGCGCACAGCTTTCTATTATCTATTATCTCTGTATGGCCCATCAATCAGAATTTGCCGCTGAGTGAGATCGAGCCCATTAAACTGTATAAAATTACACCTAAATAGCAAGTGTTTTCAAACTTGGTGCCAAAGTTTTCGCTTGGTTGGGAGTATGGGCTATTAACATAGATAAAATAATCAATACCCTATAAGGATGAGATGTGCACCTTGTTTATTGAACTGATCTGTATATGCCTAAGCATTCACAAAATAAGAAACATGGATATTCACTACTTGCTGCTCTGGCGTTCCCGCTGTAGTTCTTTTTGTTTCTGTGGTTTTTATGCAACTACAATTCTGGGGATCGTAATTGGAGCCCTAAAGCCATGTATTGCTTTAGCCAGGATAGGATTTATGACGGAGCCCTTAAAACCTGCCATGGTGAATGTATTGCTCTTGGTTGTCACCATAGTATAGAAACCAGGGTCAGTAGATGTTATGGTCATTACCACAACGTTGTCGCCCATATCCAGGGCTAGGTTCGGGGACTCAAGGGCTCCTACCAAGTCTCCATTGGCATTAAGCAGATTGAACTTGCAATCCCCCATTTTCAAGTTCAGCTGCGAGGGGTTTTGAACCTTGACTGTATATATCATTTTGGTGATACCCGTAGCAGTATCCTTGTTGAGGCTCACTAGATTCATAAACTTCATTGGAAAGTTATTAGCACCACGCAAAGTGGTGAGTGACGAAAAACCAACGTTGGTGGCAGTTAAAATCTTTGGTAAGGCAGGAGAAAGAGCAGCACCATTGAATCCACCAAAGAACGGAATGCCAGGGAGCTCGAATGTAACATTCCCACGGAAGGCGAATGTATGAGAGGACCTACTTATCAGAGTCTCAGTGAGTTTGGAGACTCTATCTTCCTGTCCCGGTATAACCTTTAAAAAAGTGTTCCCAACCGAAGCTTTGACAACGTTGCCTTTGGCCTTCGTAGGAGTGTTTGGGCCTCAAACTCTGCGATTGCGATGCCGTCATCCTTTGTTGGACAGCGAGAGGGGAAGAGGGAAAAAGAAAACAAGAAGAGTTAGATCACTCGTTTTTCAATGGCAAAGGAAGATTAAGGAATATCAGATTTGCTTACAATGAGAGTGATCTAAAAAGCAGAGGGGGAAATATTAAAGTAATCATAAGTAGCTGCAACTATCCATCTGTTGGCCATCTAACGCTTTTATTATTATTATTATTGTTAGTTTTTTTTTTTTTCACAATGTAGGTAACCAACTTACGCGACCAGCAGTCTTTACTATAGGCCAAGTCATTTTAGGAAGCGAGGCCAATCTTATATTGAAGCTTGATGAAGAAAACCCCAGAGTCATCGGGTCAGTGTTCGTGTAATCAATACTCAGATCGTCGATGCTGATCCCTTGGGCCAGACCGAAATCGGTCTATAAGATGTTATAAAGAAAGTGAAGTTAAAAAATAAACAAGATGGCTTCTTAGCTTGAAGAGAGGGAGGGAAAAAAGAGTCAAGAAAGTAAGAGAGAGACCAGCATACCGCTGCAGCCGTAGCACATTCTGATGTCCATGCCTGTTCGCCTTTAATGAAAGTGCTGAAGTATATTAAAAAAATGTTTTTTTAGTGCGCTTGATATTTAGGAAGAACATATATTTTTTACTAGAAGCTAAAAAAATTAAAAAAAAAAAAAAAAAAAGACAATATACTTCACGAAACAACCAAGGACTTTAGACCCATCAGTTATCCTCTTAGACACCGGAGGCGTTGCCATGGCAGTAGCAGGAAATGTAATAGCACATATGGCTAAGAACTGAGTGGAGGCTTTCATTGTCGAATAAGTTTGTATCGTTGTGTAGATGAAGGATAGTGAATTAACAACTACTGGAAAATGTAACGACTATTTTATACCATAGATGCTGTATGGCAATGCAAATTTAACCAGTTGCACACCAAGCCTGGTTCCCATCTCGATACTGCATTATGAAACCCCATAGCATTAACCAAACCAACTGCATCAGAAATGTCAACCTTAGCATTCAGCATCTGAGTACCCGCAATTTGTTACATACTGGAGCGCTAAGACATCGTCAAGCTCCAAAGCATCCCTTATTTCCCCTGATCCCCCTCGCGATGGTTTTCGTCTCTTCACATGAACGTGATTGATGTCTGCAAGGGTGAGGCTTTATATAGATTTACCATAATTGGCTTGTGACATTAAAGTTGATAATTTGATCCAAGAAAGGCTCCTTGAGGCTTTTCGATATTAAGAAGGGCAAAAGTAAAGGAAGCAAGGTTTTCGCCAACGATACTTGGGCTGAGTCGGCCCAAGACGAAACTGGCGGGAGTACTCTCACTACTTCCGGTGGTATTTGTAACAAAGCTGACCATCGATATATACACATGTGTCAAGTATAGAGCAAGTTTAACTACGGCAAATGATCAACAGGCAAGCTGATATTCGTGCCTCATGGGTTATCAGTCTTGTTAAATTCATGAATCCAAAAAAAGAACCCACTCCGGCACGTTGCATCTGCTAGTCAGCTACAAGATAAATCGATCTTAATAGTGGTTTAGTACGTAATGGTGTCTTTCTGGGATGGTTCATTCTGAGCGCGAAGCTTAAAGTTACATCACGTACTGAAGAAACTGTTCTTCAGTGAATATATCTCGTGTTCGTCATTTTATTGCTGCTAAATACATGATCATCCCCTTTTTTGATCTTGAGGTCAAGGCCCATTGAGAGTTTCTAGGTAGCAAACAAATATAGCCTCGACCAAAGTGTGGTAACTGTTATGTAACATACAAGACCTAGAGGTGGTTTAGATCAAAGGCGGACATACTGGCCAAAGGGCCAGATGGAAGCACGATAGTTTGAGTGATCTTTAATGTGGAGTGAATTTCAAAAAGCGAAGGTTAAGGGACGAGAATAAAAAGAAAATGGTAATGAGGCATCTACTTTTTATTTACTATTGCAAAGACATATTTGCTTGCCCAATAAGCCTGAGCAGTGTACGTGTTCTGTTAAATGTATCTAGCGCAAATCTGGTGGATATCCATGAGCTCGAGCTCGAGCTCGGTTGTATCCAAGTAGACCGGTACTAGTTCACTATGAAATCAAAATATGGTAAATGATGGCGCTCTCACAGGAATCAAGTCACGTGGCCGAAACTGACGGCCGAAGATCGCAGAGAACAGTACATTTGGTGCTAACTGTCCGCTTGGCTTTTCTCTAATAGCAAGTTTTTACGATCAAGAATGTAAATTGGTATAATATGGTTACAGCACGTATTTTGTCTTCATTACTGAGAGAGCGCACCGAAGGCTACTTTTCGAAAGATCAGTTGAGATATTGATAACAGGACCTTCTTAATGCATACATGTGTGACTGTCTTATTCGTTTACAATACAAGACTCAATTCAACAGTATCCATAAATTTGACAGGGCATGTTTAATATTTTTTGAATGAACACGTCCAGTTCTTGCGTGCGTCTTCTATGCCAAACGACATTACCTTAGAGCTTCTCTCTGTTACTTTCTCGATCCTTTTCTTTCATTTTAATACCATATACACAGAGAGTATATAACCAATATCAAAAAATTATTGCACTGAAAAGACTGGAGGCCAGGAAGGATTTTTTTTGTGGCACGTCTTGATTTCATTTCGCTGGTTTTCCAAGTTCGTGGAGAACACTTACTAATCTGAACCAGATCAGTCATAAATTCGACCTGGCATCGGCAGAGGTTCTGGCACCGCGAGTGCAGCAGAGCGTCTTCCAGACAAATGAACGAGTCGCTGTTCTGAGCACCAGAAGCATGGAGGAAGAGCATGTCAATGATGATGGACAAAATGACTTGCAGCCAGGCGGTGTATCATCATCAACGGCTGGATCATCAATCGTACAGATCGTACATAAACCCAGAGAAACATCACAATGGCCGTCTGAATCAACCATACTTGTCGCAGGTATATACAAATAAACAAATAATAGATAAGAAAACCCTTCACACAATCTCAATCCTCTGAATCCGGACTCAGAAAAGATTTGCTTATACTTTATTTATTTTCTCTGTAATAATGGCATTCACAGTACGAGTCAGGCCGTTCAGCCCTGCGGAGCAAGCACTGCTACCGCGAGCATCTACCAATAAGTTCAACTTTTCAGCAGACGCTTCTCTCTCCAGTGGGTTTGGGTCGGTTGGTCATGGTCGTCCTGGAGATTTGTACAATATGCATTCAGGGAATACTAGTAGCGGAGCAAAATCCTCAGGAAGTAGTAGTAGTAACAACACTAGCAATGGGCATTCAGCAAAGAGCATTCGTAAAATAGTGGATGTACTGGATGACAACGTCCTTGTTTTCGATCCACCAGATGCAGAAAGCATATCTAAATACAAGCGCGCTTTACTACCAGTACAGGCTTATCGTCGATTCAAAGATATGCGCTATGCCTTTGATCGTGTCTTTCATGAGGACTCTCAACAACAGGAAGTAAGGCCAAGGATTTTTAATTTTATTCCCCTCATCATAGTAGTCGCCTATTGACCCTTGTTTTGCTTATGTTAGTAAACCATTAACCTATCCTTGGACATTGTCCATATATATATATTTTTAGGTCTTTGAAAACACAACGAGGCATTTGATTGATGGAGTTCTGAGCGGCTACAATGGGACGCTCTTTGCCTATGGAGCTACAGGATGTGGAAAGACTCATACTATCAGTGGTACTCCTGAGAAGCCTGGTATAATCTTCCTCACTATGCAGGAACTCTATGAACGTATCAAGGAAGTCGAGGATGAAAAGACTATTGAAATCTCCGTATCATATCTAGAGGTGTACAATGAAACTATTCGAGACCTTCTAGTAAAACCGAGCTCGAGCACTCCAAAGAACACATCATTACATCTCAGAGAGGACTCATCAAGGAGGGTAACTATTGCGGGGCTGTCGGAGCATCATCCGAAAGGAGTAAGTTTGTCATGCTTAGTTGAAAGAGACATTAGATGAGAATATAATTCTTATATATCTTTTCTGCAATTAATCAATTGCCCAATCATCTAATTAATTAACAGATAGATGCGCTGATGGAGCTTGTTTTTATGGGCAATGAGAACAGGACCATGTCTCCGACAGAAGCCAATGCAACGTCCTCTCGTTCACATGCTGTCCTCCAAATCAACATTTGTCAAAGACTCAAAACTGCCGATGTATCGGAGGATTTTACTATGGCCACTCTCTCTTTGATCGACTTGGCAGGAAGTGAGCGCGCATCTGCAACGAAGAATCGAGGAAGTCGATTAATTGAAGGTAAATATATAGAATGAAAAAAGAGTATACCATACTCTCTTCTGATATAAGGAGAAAATGGATATTCTATACTAAAACAGAGCACTATTATGCCTTTTTTTCATTTAAAAAATTATTAGGTGCAAACATCAACAAATCGCTACTGGCTCTCGGTAACTGCATCAACGCACTTTGTGAAAATAAACCAAAGTCGCATATACCATACCGGGACAGCAAACTCACACGACTACTCAAATTTTCACTTGGTGGCAACTGTAAGACGGTCATGATTGCCTGTGTCAGTCCATCTAGCCAACATTACGAGGAAACACACAACACACTCAAATATGCGAATCGAGCCAAGAACATTAAAACAAAGCTTACAAAGAACACTCTTAATGTTGATCGACATGTCTCTGAATATGTTCAAGCGATCTTTGAACTCCGACAGGAGGTAGCAGATCTAAAAAGAAAACTTCAGCAAGAAGCCAAAGCTGAAAGTCGGGAGAAAGCGCATCAGAGACATGAGCAACTGGATCGAGAATTTGATGAGACAGTCAGGAAGATGAGAGCCACTTTCCAAACTGCACGTTCACAGGAATCAACTTATGCTCAACTACAATCGCAGTTGTTCATAGCCTCAGCTCGACTCTCGGGATTATATCGATGGAGAAAAGCATTCGATGAGGCATCAGGAGCAGCCAAAAGACACCATGAACGAATGGAGCAGGAAAGAGAGTTGTCGTGCACTAATCAAGAGGAGTCAGAAGAAGGCACGATGGCAATAGCGGCGGCAGCAGCACGAGCAAAAAAGCTACAGAGCTCCCTCAGCGCATCATCATCGTACACTAACATGGTGGATCAAATGATTCAAGATTTGAATACACAAATAAGACAGCTGACAGAGCAGATGCAGGAGCATGAAGATGCACTTAAAATGTATGCAGTTTCGATTCAGTCAATGGAAAACAAAGATAGTCCAATTTTGAATGCAGGATTTCCTTTTCAAAGACTTTATGAGCTCGAAAAGAAGTGTCAGGTGCTGGAATCACACAACAAAATTCTTACCAAAAAATTGGAGCTTTCGGACAAATCACTGAGTGAACAGTTTTTGGCGACAGAGGACTTTATGGAGCTTAGTGCTCGTTCATTAGTGGGGCTTCGACCTGAGATTGAGACGATAGAACAAGCAGGCTTGCCAACCAAGACCCTTAATGATATATATATGGCATCCATAACAAGTTTCACAGATATGACCAAACGGGTGGGCTCATTCCAATCATATGATCAACGGAACTGGAACTCTTCGGGAATCAATAGAAACGATAATAGCAACAATAGTAGCAGTGGCGGTGGTGGTGATGGTACCAATAGTTGCGGCTCTACCAGTACTAGCAGCTGGCACATGTCTGTACCGAGCTCACCATTCAAACGGGATGGAGCAGCAAATTTCGTAGGCCTTGACGGGTCACGGATGATGTCGATTTTGCCAGAAGTGCCTTCGACACCTGTTAAACGTCGTCAAAACTCGGCCAGCCACGTCCTTCCTAACCTATCTATGGACACTGTCGACACGAATCTGGCGCTTGGATCCAGCAGTCTCTTCGGTAGCCAATCACCTGTTCGGATATACCATGAACGTACTCAAATGGGCAGTGGTAATAGCAGTAGTAGTCCTCAGAACCCGTTCCAAGTAACGGAGAAAGCACCTTTCTCATCGCTCACCAAACACCGCAATAGCATTCCACTTCCTCGTAGGAAATCCATACCAATGACTGGAGTTGTCTTCTCACCCAAACGACGACGCCCGCGTGGGGGATTACGACAACCTCGGTTGGCTCCTACACCTACAAAACGAAGCGTCAATTTCTTACTAGATATTGTAGATGAGGATGAGGAACGGTATACTACAGGCCTGCGTGACCCATCTGCACCTATTATCCGACCTACACCATTCCCGTCACTCTCCTCTTTAAAAAATGACAGCCCGCCATCGTTCCCTCCAACCACAGGACAAATCAAACTTGGGATGGGAGGAGGAGCAAAGAGACTGGCCCCTGTTAGTAACAACACCAACAATAGCAACAATAGCGGTGGTAACAGTAATAGTGGTAGTGGTAGTGGTTCTGGAGGTACTGGAAACAGTAGACTTTTCTCTAATAAGGCAGCAACAAAAGGAGAGACATCAAAAGGGCTTCAGTCTCAGCGAGTTAATTCATCATCGTCACCTAGCGGATTATTTAACGCATTTTCATCTTCTTCACAAGCTTCATCTAGCCCATCGAAGAGACCTTGGTCAACAGAGAAAGGAGCTCTTGATCGTAACACAAAGAGAGCCAAAGGTTCGCCTTTGGCAAATGGAAACTCCGCTCCTATCTTTGGTGTTTCAGCCGCAACTGCAGCACGAATCGCTAGACGAATGAGCTCTGCGTCAGCATCAAATCAAGCAACATGAGGGATTGCAACTATTTCTTTTTTTTTTTTTTTTTTTTTTTTTTTTTTTTAACATTTTATATATTTTTATTTGAATTGAAAGAGGGGGGAAACTGTATAATGGAATGTATGAGTAGAAATAAAAATAACTATGTTACAATACAATAAAGATATGCAAATGCTGATTTCCTATATTTTTTTTTGTTTCCTCCGCTCAGAGCAAACTGGGTTTGGCTTGCTGTTTTGCTGTGGCTCGACCTACTTGGGTGCTAACAGCTCCTCCTTCAACCAAATATCGTATCTACTCAGGTATCCATGATAATGGACCTTGTATTCATACACGTCTTGCAATGTTTTGTGCTCTCTCATCGCTATAATTTCCGCATCAAACATCTCATCATTCTCTGCAGGTGCATCGACCTCATCTCCCACTTTGAATTTGGGAGGCACTCTATTCGGTAACTTCGCCGGTTTTCGACGCCTTCCCACTCTAGCCAAGAGGTCTTCCGAATCGAAAAGCCTCTCTTCCAGTCTAACTGAGGCGGGTTTTTTACGTCTAGCCGCCACAGATGATTCCTGTAATTGTTTCAACTCTTCAACAAGATCTGTGTCTTTGCGCTCACAGCCATTCAGTCCTTCATCGTTCTCATCCTTGCTCCTGTTCTTGCTGTTGCCCATATTCTTGTACTTATTTTTAACCTTGCCCTGTGATAGCGGTTCCGGATTCTTCAAAAGTCCTGTGCTATTGTTTGAATTAGTCATCCTGGATGATTCTCTTCCAGAGTTTACGATTGGCTCTAAAGAGGCTGTTGCCCCCTCAGTATCCGATTTTTGGATTGCCTTGGTGCGTGAACGAGCTGATCGCACGTCCATGTCTGGTTCGATGGGTATGATGCTGTCCTTAATGCTCCATTGCAGTAAACTCTCTACCTGTTTGTTTTTCTTGAGCTCCTGTGACAAATAGCTCTGTAATGATGATGTAACCTTTGATGCTGCACCTTGTAATGGTGATAACTGGTGTGATAATGTATCCGATGCCGACATTTCAGTCGGCACTGGTCCTGTAGTCTGTATCAGCGCTGTTGCCTGCGAAGCAGAAACTGTGAGCTCGTCAACGTTGGAAGCGCTTTCGGCATCTTCCGACTTTACACAACCGTGGTCAGGAGGCTTCTGGTGCACCGACACCTCTGCTTCGAGGACTGGAGAAATTGTATTAGGATCGCGCTCCTTGGGCTCTATATAGCCGCTCGTTGTAGGGAGAGTTGATAATTCCGTGGGTGGGACGGTTGATTCGATTGCTGAAAGAGATTCCACAGACCTACTTCGCTTAAAATCTTGTGAAAATCCATCAACATCAACTTCTGAGCCCTCAATATCAATTTCTGGGCTTAATCGCTTTTTGTCCAGCCTTGCACGGCTCCTAGTAGATACGCTGTCGTTATGCATACTGCCTTCATCAAGCAGGCTGTTGAAGATACTCCACTCTTGCAGTCTTTCGAGCTCTGTTCTAACTTTTTTGGCGATTTTTGGCTTTGATGTGGTCGACGGTGGTTGTTGCAGCTGTAAATGCCCCTTTCTATCACGAGATTTTCGATTCCGATTTCGATTCTGGTTTAGAGACTGGGTAAGTTTGTGATGTGCACGAGATTCTTGGCACTGGGCCAATTTAATAGATGTCGGAGATGATATCGATTCATTTAAATTCCTTGTTCGAATGGGTATTGGGGGAGATTGTGAGCGTGCAAGACCAGACCTTGTTCTGCTAGAGCCCTTATCATCATCAAGTATGCTGCCCTTAATAGTCCATTCCCGTAGCCGATCGAGCTCCATACGTGCAAGAGGGCGGCGACCAGCCTTTGATTTTAGTAATTCGGTGCTTTGGGAAGTTGAAGGCAAGACGGGGTCTTCACCGCTATTTGCCACTGCAGTCTCCACCGCCTCTTGTACAGAACTTTCAAACAGAAGGGTGTCCATATTTTGATTATCCGATGACGAGCTGACCTTTATTCTCTTAAATTGATGAGCGCTAATAGTCTCAGTCAACATTCCTTCATGGATAGCATCAGATGGTAGTCTCTTGCGCTTGTGTGACACTTTCCTGTCCCCTGCTAAACTTAACTGCTCTGAAGACTTAGGTGCAGAGCCTATAAGGGAAACTTCAATATCAGCAATTATGCACTCTGTATCCTTATCCCTCTCGTCAATAGGTGAGCTTGCAGATGATGGTAAGAGTGAAGAGACTTCGCTCAAATCAGACGAAGGGGGCGATGAAAGACTGCTCTCGCTCCTACTTGAATCAGTGTCGATGATATTAACATATTCATCGGTATCATATTCATTATCGGATTTGTGCTTGCCCAGGGCTGTTGCATACTTAGATGGGTTGTTGTTTTTCTTAGGACACACTGTAATAGTCTTAGATATGCTCCCTTTGTTGTTACATGGAGCTGAGACATCAGTTGTGATAATAGTAGCGCAGCTACTATCGCCTTCCTCAAGAACAGATTTTGCTTTTCGAATATTCTTCATGAGCTGAAGTCCTCTCTGATTTGACATTGGTCGTTTCGAAAAAGCCCGTGGTGTGAGAGGTTCCAAAATATTTGGTAATGACGGAAACCGGACAGGAAGTAGCTGAACAATGATACGATGCGAGGGTATGCTACGTCTCTCAGCTTCCGTCGACTGAAGCTCTTTCTCTAGTCTCGGTAAGTCAAATCGTTTTGCAGAGCGTATTTGTCGGGTTGTATAAGCGACAGGCGGCCACCAAACAACTGTAGATCTTGCGTCTTTTTTGAGCACACTGACGTCTGATGCAGGAGTAGATGAAACCTGTCCAATAACTTCTTGTCCAGCCTGCGCCTTGACTAGTGCGTCTCCTTTCGCGTGATTACAGTTTCGATTCTGCTTGGGTTTAGTTGCTGACTCAAGAGCCCTATTGTTGGTCGGTAGGTCAACGGTGTTTTCGTTGGTCGCTGTATCAAGAGCAGCCTGAATAGCAGAATTAAGAGCCACCTTAGCCGATTCCTGTAGCTTTTTTTCCGCAGCAAGTTTAGCCAAGGTTTTCTTGCCTAGACCGCGCACACCTTTACGCTTCACGGGCTCCAGCGGCGGTATGTTCAATGCAGATGCGGAAGACGGAGAATCCGTCGAGGTAGTCAAGCCAGAACTTTGAGATATCATCTCCGGACTAAAATTTGGATGGTACTGGGTTGATATTGGAGGGATATGTGAGCCCGAGGGCTGAAACTGTTCCTGATTTTCGATCCCGGTCGATTGGTAAATTGGCTGATGACGCAGTTGTGATTGGCCTTGGTCTTCCCGAATTAGCTGCTGCTGGGAATGTGATAAATAATAAGCGGCTTGAACTTCCTCACCAGGGAGCTGTATGTTAAGGTGTGGAGGCATAGGTCTAGAAGGCTGCAAAGGTTGGAGATGCTTGTGCTGCAAACCTAAATCATAAGAGGTATTTTTTTGAATAGACGGCTGTACTCCCTGTCCTTGATTATAGTGTACAAGATGCTTCCGGTGCCAGAAATTTCGTTCTTCAATCCGGGCCTCAATCCCCTTTATAAACATGGCTACCTCTGCCAATGACAATTGATTATCGCATGTCATATGGCGCCAAGGCAATCCGGCTGGCACATCCCCATTCAAGAAGGCAAGCGCTCTCTTGACACCAAGATTCTTAACGAATTCTCTCCCAAATGTACTGATATATCCACGGTAAGGCTCCTGGTCGGGATGGAACAATCTTAGACCAGAGATGTTGCAGATCGAATATTTATAGTCTTCGAGGAATCGGACGACAACCAAGTCTGGATCTAAAGTGCCATCTTTTCGTGCAACGAGTTCTGGCATCGTAGCGTCCAGTTGACTTCGTGGTACCGTCACTGCAATCCACCAAAACCTGGTCTCGTCACCATCCTGGGGATCGACGAAGACAACATATGGTGAATGATGAAAGGGATGACCATCTGTGATAATCGAGCTCAGATGACGTCCTACGTTATTCTCTGAATTTAAGGCAACAGGGACTGAATAGGTTTCATTGTCTTCTAACCTGCTTGGGATTGGTGGTACTGTTGAACAATTTGAATTGGTTGATGAAAAAATATATTGCATGGGAATGCTTTGTCCCGTGTTGTTCTCAAATAGCCCCAAAACAGGAAAAGGAGGAGGCATATCTGGTCCATAGTTCTGATATTGCTCCACGGATAAACAAGACGGCAAAGAAGATGACAGTTGAGTTTTTTTTGGTTTTGGATTTTTCTTTCGAGGCGGTTTTGTTTGGCCAGGGCGAGATATTCCCTCCTGTCTAACACGTTCCTTCTCAAAGGCTGCTGCTGCCCGCGCTTCTGCCTTGAGCTGTTCTTGTTTGGTTTTGGCTTCTGCCTTTGCAGTCATTCGTGCCGCCTCAGCTGCAAGTTTTTTCTTCTTTAAATTTTCTGCCTCCAATGCTGCTTGAGCTGCTTTTAGCTTCATCGCCTCCTATGAGAAAACGAAGTAAAGCAAGACACAGTATCAGTCTCATGAAATTGGATATGCTCCATCACTAAACTGCATTCACGTCTCTGGCTGCTTCGCTGCTGAATTTACCTCTCGTTCGGCTTTACGGATCTTTGCAACGATTGCTTGGCTATTCCTTGAGGGCCATTTCACGCCGTAGATTAAGAAATGTCGATGACATCTCCGGCAATCTTTTGAAACAGATATTTCATGCTTATGTATTTTGGACTTACACGTATTACATTCAGCCGACTCGGATACGATCTCAGCCTCTGTCACAGCCTTATCATCACTCAATGGCCTAATATCAGTCGAAACTGGATCCTGATTCTGATTTTGTTGCATAGTTCTTCCGCTTTGTGTAATTATAGCTCCATGATCAACCGAGCTACTGTTACTAGAACTTCTTGGTACAGTAGTCCGCACTGAGCTGTGACAAAGAAAATCTATGGACATACGAAAATTCTTCGTAGAATATGATGGCGTGTGTTCTTCTACATCTGAAATGACATTTTGTTCGCTGTTGACCAATACTGACGGGCTATCATACTGTTGATCCCTAGGGTTCATTTCGTTCGTGTCTGTGATTCGCAAAAGCATCATGGAAGACACTAAGGATGAGTCCAAGTCATCCAACGATTCCCCCTCGCCTTCCGGCATTGAAATTGGAGTGGCACTTGAGTATGGTGTAAAGCTGTCCCCAGCCTGTTCAGGGTCATCGTTACTGTCGGTATCTTTCTGGGATATAGGGGTGAGAGGTCCTGCAACGCTCGGAATAGTGTCTGATTCGACAGGATGCGTTGTAGCCCTTGATCGTGTCCGCGTCCCCTTCTTGGCCGATCGACTGAACAATGTCGGATAATAATTCACTATTCATCGAATAAAGTAAATCAATAAATAACAATGCCTTAAATATTAATTTCACAGCAAACAAAAAAATAAAAAAAAAATAAAAAAAAATAAAAAATCACACTGAAAAAATACCTTGTTTGCCCCGATTCCTTAATCTCCTGCTCGGGGGACCTTCTTCTGCTACAGGCGTTAGAGATGGGCTAAGAGGCTCTTCTTGTTCATCGTCAATTTTTACTTTGTATCCGCCGCGACCAAGTCTAGGTTATATTGAGGTATCTACTGTCAAAATACTGATGGTCTCATGATGTCATGATAGTAAAAAATACACATTGCATCGCAGGTTATGCTTTTACCGTAATAGACATACTTTTCGCAAGTTGCACAAAGACACTCTTGGTTGTTAGTTCCAAAGTAATTGTCGCCGTAATGCGTGGTAATTTCGTCATTTACGTTTATCGGTTTCAAGACCTTGAAATAGATGACATTAGCGCCTGCTGACATGAAGCTGCAATTAGGATCGCAGTCGTGCTATTCGAAGCGGACCAATACGTACAGTTGAGTACCTTTTTCAAAAAAAAAAAAAAAAAAAAGCTTCAGATTCAAAAAGAAGAAGTTGATATGGTTTATTACGTTGACAAAGCGGGCTGGTCCAAGGAATAGACATGTTCCTTTCCGACTTGTCTTGATGACACTAAAGTCGCTAGTCCTGTTCTCTAGATCTTTCTCTTCCTGTTCATTCAAGTTGGCGATGGTGCCTGCACAATAGCGAAGTTCATTTCCGACTTCGAAAGGCCGATTGGCGATGACGCATGCTTCTGACTTGTTGGTGACGGATGAATAACGATCTGTATGTGAAATTTCGAATCCAGCTGTTGGCAAATAAATGCTGAGGTAGCGCCGAGCATGTCTACGGAGAAGTGAACCGGTAAAAAATGCGGGTTTAAATTTTTCAGTTTGAGATTAATTAGTGGCGCTTTTCCTTTTACTTTTTTGTCGCGTTGTCTCGGAACTTTTTCTGTGATGCAGCATTATAATTCAAATTAATATGCCGGGTAATTAACATACGTTGTAAAGTCTTGAATCTCTTTCTCTGTCTGGAAAAGTTTTTTGAAAAATTCAATGCTAAAAAGAATAAAAAAGAGAAAATGTTTGTTTATTACATATTAGAATGGAGGTGAACTTCATGAATTAAACTTCGATCATGAAGTGTATATATCATTCAACCTACTCCAGTAAATCCTTAATCGCCTCAGTTACTTTACGCTCCACAATAACTCTACGTTGAATGATTTCAAGGATCTTGTCTTGGTTCAGGCGCAGGGGACGATAGTCCTTATTCATTTTGTGCGTCTGAAACCACAAAGAAACCCCATCGAGTAAAACATCTGACAACAAATCATCGAGTGTCGACAATGTTTGCAGATCCATGATTCCTTGCCACCTGAACGCACTCACATGCACTCACACGACAGGTGTAAAATACTAATTAATAACTGGTTGCCCTTATAATTCTGCTTCGTATTGCTGCGCTTGTCTGTGCTGTTTGTATAAAAAAAAAAGAGAGAGATAACACGTAATAATAAGTTTTTTTGAAAAAAAAAAAAAAAAAAAAAAAAAAAAAAGGAGGGTGGCAAAGCGAATAACATTTTCAGGAGTTTAAAACAAAAGAAAAACAGTCGCAATGAGCACACAAATGTTTGATTACGTTCATGCAGAGAAATTATAGGCGCTTACACGTCTATTCTCTTGGATAGAGAGAAATGGAGTCTTTCAAATGGAACATTGCAAATGTGAATAGACAAAAGGAGAAAATGTTTCGGAGAACTGATGGACTGCAAGCATGTTTGTGACTGCTACCATCTCTAGCATGGCTCATGGGTTCTTTTTTTACTTTTTTATTTATCCCCTTACTACCAACTACATCACTCCCATGCTACTGCGGTAATTATGGCCTCACATATATATAGACAGCATCCCAACCACAGGTCCACTGACACTGATGACAGCACATTAGACGACAGAGCACATTTGCAAGACCCACTTGGATTCTCTCCGACTATATCAGAGCCCTTGTTCCTACACCAGTCAAACTCCGACAATGTATCACATATTGCCCCCCCACAACAAGCTCATGATCCCCCATTGATGCCGCTGTTCACTCCAGTACTCCAAGATTTTCAGAATAGATATGGGCCCAACAGCATTCTACACCAGCAACAGCAACAGCAACAGCAGCACCGTCAATACCCATATGAACATATCCTTGAAGATACAGAAGGTGGAGAAAACCTTAGCAATGACAACGGCACTGACAGCGGTAGCCCTCCTGACTTTCACGAAACGTTCAAAGGCAGCTATGGCGATGGCCATGACGATGACGATGACCACGAGTTAGATACAGAGGCGTTATCTCGTCGGAACCTTCTGTTCGATAGAAAAACTGGAAGACAATCCAATAACATCTATAACTCAGATGCAGTCATAGCGGGCTCAGGACTCTTTGGTAGCTCAAAGAGCCCTCAAACACCACATTCTTCGTCCGATCCATTCACCTTTAAAAGCAATAAAAGCAGCAATGGCAGTAGCCAAACACATACAAGTCGTAGTGACCCGTCACATCGGAGGTCTAACCCTGACTTAGGTATGGAGCATGAAGTACCTGCATCGCTTATGATTGAAATGAATCACCAGCAACAGGATGAGGATGACAACGCGGGTTACTGGAACTTCGGTGATAGAGCTAGGAGACGACTAGGCTATAAACGGCCAGGAATGAATGCTGCCGAATTGGCCATGTGGAAGTGGGTCAATGTTGAAAACTTGGATAATTTTCTAACCAGGGTATGTTTTATTTTTTTATAATTTATTTTTTTACTTTTTTCCTATGCGTGCATGTGAGTTCAAGAAATTGTGTTGAATTAGAACCGAACATTTTGATACTTACAAAAGTTTTTTTTATTCAATCTAAAAAAAAAAGGTATACGATTACTATGTTGGCAAGGGCATTTATACGATTCTACTCGAAAGGTGCTTGAACCTATTGTAAGCACTTTGCCTCCATCTCGTATTTTATGTTTTGTAACCTGTACAAAATATCTTGTTTCTGTCCATGAATAATTTATATTCTGAGCATTGTGTAACTATAGAACGTTTGCATTTGTTATTGGATTCGCGACATTCTTGATTGGCTGTGTTGACTATCCCAAGCTGCGACACTCAAAAAACATGGACCAGATCTTAATATCCCAATGTTTTCATCAGTAAGGAATTTAAAAGTTCTGTTCAAACCTTACTTCGTCATAAAAAGAGAAGTCGTATCATTACAATTTTAAGGAGATGTTTGCAAACGTATACCCGTATCGCTTACAAAGTATTATCACGAATGGTCTTATGATTTATGCTGGATCATACAGGTTGCCGACGGGAACTTTTATCCTGCTGTTACTCTTCGCCGCGTTTTGGGTGGGTCAGCTGACGAGGCTCATATATGATATTCCAGAGATGGTCGACATGTGTAATTTTTACACTTATCTTCTCATGATCCCTGATGTAGGTTTTCCTGGTCACCGCACGAATATTAGAATTTCCCTAGCCTTGATAAACAGCGCTAACCTATCTTCTCCCTGACACCTATTAATTGCCAATTATACTTTTATAGGCAGACATACAAACTGTATCATGGCATGAGGTCGTCAATCGAATTATCAAAATTCGTGACGACAATCCCAATACTACTACAGCAGCCACTATTCAGACAACTGATCGACAGCGCATGAATGCTCACGACATTGCAAATAGAATTATGCGCAAGGAGAACTACATGGTTGCTATATTTAATAAGGAGCTCATTAATTTGTCCCCCCCTGTGCCATTACTCCGTAATCGCACGATCCTGACGCGTATTCTAGAATGGAGCCTGAGTTTTTGTATTTTGGGATATGTTTTTGACGAACGTGGTCAAGTCCGGAAACGCTTTCTAAAGGATACTCGACGGGGGGAGCTGGCTGACGGGTAAATACGCTCATTTAATATGGCATTACGTAGACATGGACTAAAACGTTCAGGACAAAAGACTCACTCTATACCAATCGTATTTGTAGACTCCGGAGGCGGTTTCAATTCATGGGTCTTGCTACTATTCTATTTTCTCCCTTCATATCGATTTACCTTATGTTGTACTTCTTCTTCCGTTACTTTGAGGTAAATATGCGTCATATTTTTATTCTTTTTTATTCCTGGTTTCTATTATGGTTATTATTGAGGCTATATCTTAACTCATAGATACTTTTCCGACTCTTGGTTTTATAGGAGTATCACAAGAACCCAAGCTCAATTGGCACTAGACAGTATACTCCACTGGCAAAATGGAAATTCAAAGAGTTTAATGAATTACCACATCTATTTGAGGCTAGAATCAATGCTAGCTATCCATTGGCAATGAAATACATCAACCAGTTCCCAAAAGAAAAAACGATTTTGGTTTGCAGGTCAGGATAAGGGTCATACTAGAACTCTATTACTCTATTACCAGAAGAAAAAAAAAAAAAAAAAAAAAATAGTATAAAGAAACTAACGTTAAATAATATATTGGTACCTCTTTTAGATTCGTTGCCTTCATTTCGGGCTCCTTTGCAGCAGTCTTGGCGCTTTTCACCCTGTTCGATCAAGATCTCCTACTTGGCTTTGAGATCACTCCAGAAAAAACAGTATTCTTCTATCTTGGACTTTTTGGTACGATGATGGCAGTCAGTCGAGGCATGATCCCTGATCAAACAGAGAGCTTTGATCCGGAATTACTCCTCCGTGGCGTGGTTGAACACACGCATTATATGCCAAATGAATGGCGGGATAAACTTCACACTGATGAGGTAATTATATATTTCTCTTTCATCAGCTATGCTATCATCCAAATGATATTTTTGTTAAAAATATATTGAATTTAACAATTGCATCTTGACTTCAAATTCCTCTGGAGGAAACTCACAGGTCCGGAAAGAGTTCGCTTTGCTGTTCGAGTACAATGTAGTACTATTCTTGATGGAATTCATGAGCCTTGTCTTGACTCCGTTGATCCTCGGCTTCAGTTTACCAGGTTGTAGCGAGAAGATCGTTGATTTTTTCCGTGAGTTCACGGTCCATGTTGATGGTGTAGGGTATGTCTGCAGCTTTGCCGTGTTTGATTTTAAAAGGCATGGCAACGTTAAGGTATGTTTGGTTTTTCCGTCTTGATATTCTATAGGAGTATCGAAAAACAAAGTGAATGAGTGTATTTAGCATATGGCTCCTCTTTTTTTTTCCAATTCATATTACCCATTAGTATGGAGCACCTGCTGATTTCAAAAGAGATGAGCGATTTATCTCTAACGAAGGAAAGATGGAAAAGTCGTTCCTGAATTTCAAAGTAACGAAAAAAAAAAAAAAAAAAAAAAAAAAAACTATTTAATCAAGTTTACATGTTGTATGCTTGTTATAGGTTAGTATCAGAATGATTGACTCTAGAAATTATTTAAATCACTCTATAGCAAAATAATCCTGATTGGGAACCAAATAATCCTGAAGGATCGATGTACTTATCAAAGCTAGTAGAGTCAGAGGCGGTCCCTGCTCGGAGTCGGCGTCCACATAACAACCACCACCACCGCGCAAGCGATCACATGCAACCACCATTTTCGTTCGGGCAGAATTCGACATTCCTGAGGCATAGAGGCCCTGCAGTAGGGGGAAATTCACTTTACTACCAAGGCAGAAACCTCTATCATGACCAAAATAGGAACCAATTCGACGGTGCTGCCCGTACAAGGGATGATGGTAGAAGCGAAGATGATATGGACAGCGAAAACGATATCGATAAAGCGCGAAAAGGTAGTGGACAAGTCCCTCCTTCTACGCAGCAGGGTCGTGAACAACGGAAGCGTCAGTTTAGAAGAGATACTGGGATCGAATCTACAGCATTTGATTTAGATGACCGGCACGGAGATCAGCTGTCCTCAAACTCCGGATTCCCTACAAACCTTGGCGATTCGTTCGTATCAGAGATTGGACAGTCCACTGGCCGTACTAGAACAGGATCTGGAAGAATAGGAAATCGTGGGGACGAACGAGGAGAGAAAGGAAAGGGCCATAAGGATGATGATATGTCTGACGTAGAGAATGAGCGTGAGTCACAAAAGAAGGGAGTGTTTGGTCTGTTGAACCAAATTTACGAAATGAACAATGTGACAATGTAATTCTGATAAGAGGAAGCCTTCACAGTGAAAGTTTATGCGAGGTTATCCTAGGTGAGAATGAAGCCTAAAAGGCTTCTAAAAAAGGGGAGGTACTGAGATAGTTGTTGTAAATGAAATGGGGATGAATCAAGTAAGGTAGCGGGGAATAATTTCTTGTTAAAAGTGGGATTGCGAACAGCTCTTTCTATCAAATAAACTGTGTTATAAAACTGTACTTAGTGACTACGGAATACATTAGAATGACAAGGATCCATGGCTCGGATCCAATACCTGATATATGATATGAACCAATGGTACGTAATTGCCATGCCAGGTTATTGTAGTAATACAATAGCTCTGTTCTCGAGCAATGAGAGGCAACTTACATTTGGTGGCCTACATGTCAACCGCAGTTTTTCATAACTGAATCAGGCAATCTATAGACCTCAGTCTGCAAAAGCCATAGCAGAAAACTGTGGTTAGGTATTACATTCCATTGGAACTTATCAATCTAAGTCCTAGGACTTTGATAATTCAATCTTTTATGAAGCAAGGGATAAAGCCTTCAGTTAACCTTCACGGCTTTGGAGCACGCGGCCTATTGTCCCTATTCGCCTGTTTGCCGTCCTTTTTTTTCAATTCCATTACAGAAAATGCTCTGCAGCCACATTTATACACAAAAAGAGATCAGGATATTCCTCTTGGTTGACGAGAATGCTGGAGGCAGTGCTGTTTATTCTAGAGGGTGATCATAGATACCAACAGCACTAGGCCACTCCCTCCAAGGCCATGGATGAGTGCAGGTGGCTGTTTTAGCCGATTCCTTATGTAGCCTTTGACTGACTTAGGCTTTGAGAGGCTTTGGCAGGCTTGAGTTGGGGCAGCCGCTGTCGTTCTGGTTATGGCTCATATTTTTTCGGCTTTGTTACGGCCGCTGTCGGCTAAGGTGGTTTCAGCTGCAGTTATTTGTTTTGAATGTCTTTGTTTGTTTGTTTGTTTTGTTTTGTTTTGTTTTGTTTTTTTGTGGTGTTGCCGTGTTGCCTTAATTGATTGGTCCTGGTTGTGTTCAGTCGGTTGGGTTCTCTAAGTAGTCTTTGATTGACTTCGGCTTTGGAAGACTTAAGTAGGATTTGATTTGGGCAGCTACAGTCCTTTTGGTTTGGTTGCAGCCGATGTTCGATTTGGTCGCGGTTGTTTGTTTTGAACGTGTTTTCAAATGTACCTTTTAAATGTGTCTTTTGGAGGTGTGTTTTTTCCTTTTTAGGTTGAGGTTAGATTAAGTTTCGATCCTTTTGTTGTCTACTTTTAGGCCCGTTGCGGAGCATGTTTCGTAGATCAGGGTCTGTTCTTGAATCTGTTTGTTGTCGCGTTCGTCCCCGAGATGGCTCTTCGCTGTTCCTCTAGGCCGTTCTTCGGGACTATCCTTCGATTTGGTTCTTCGAGGTGATTGTTCGAGTGGTTCTTCGGGGCAGCTCTGCGGGGTGATCATTCGAGGCGCTTCATTTTTATTTTATTTTTTTTACTTTGTTAATGATTTTTTTCTTTTCTCTTTTTTTCTTTCTTATTCCGTCATTTTCTTTTTTTTTTTTTTTGCCATTTGATGGCTCTTGTGTTGTTTGTTTGGGTAATATAGGTGGATAGGGACGCATTTTTTTTCCCTTTTAGTTTGGATTTCCATGTAGCCGTCTGACTGTTAAAGATTAAGCTCTGGGATAACAGAGCAATGGTTCTGGAATGGTAAACAAATGCCAAATGGCGTGAGTATCCCGAACAGTGGTAAAAATGTCTGTGCACATTCCTTTGCATGTATGCACGACAAAATGGCAAGTATGTATGCTTTTTGTCCATTTCATTCGTTTCATCGTAACCCCCTTTTGCTACTGCATTAAAAGCCAGATTAGACTATGTCATCGCTACTGTTGCTGTAACTATTGCTGCTATTGCTCTTTTTGAGTAAGAGCTTTTATTCTTTTCTTCTCTTTCCTTCCTCACCCTCCACTACTCTTCGTCACCTCCCACTGCCTTCTCACAGAACATCCCCCTTGGCAAGCCAGCCCAGACACAACACAGAAGCAAGCTCCCAATGGCGCTGTCAAGTAAGTATACAGCTTATCAATATATGTATTGCTTCGTTCTTGCCTTGTCTGTTATCCTAATGCTCTGCTACCTACTCTCCGCCTTACGCCTAACAAATTCGCTGCACTCGCCAACTTGCTCGCTTGCTTTGGCATTTTGACTTTTTTTCTCCTTCTAGCTATGATAGAGAACGAATATACTTGACGCCGCGCCGCTCATCTAGAAGACTGCCACAGCTATGGGTAGTGCTTTCAGTAGTGGGATGGAAGCCAAACAGTAAGTGCTCTTTCTGTTTTTCTCCTTTACGCTTTTCTTTTTTGTTGCTTTGGCCATATACACGGCTCAAGTACCTTTACGTATACACACGACTCAGAACCTTACGATATATACGCAGCTAAGCACCTTCACAGTATAACTGTACACACATTAAGGGGTTTCAGTGGCTTGAGCCATGGTCGGACATCTCAATTGACGAACATTGCCCTTAAATCTAACAATAAAATTAATTAGCCTTACGCTCCCCTTTTTTTTTCACCAGCTCATATCGCATACATCGTGTACATACCCTCTCTCTCTTTTAAACTCCCATAATTTTTATTGCAGCTATGCCAGACCACGACATCATCAGCATATTCAGCGATGACCTAACAGTATCGGATCTTGGCTTCAAGCTGTTAGCCGCTACTGCCCCAGAAGCAACGCCCCGATCCGGCTGATTTAGCAACATTTGACTCTAACCATGAGGAGCCTATTGCTGACTCCGACGGTGTTACAGAAAATAATGATAATCAATCTTTGAAAGCTATCGAAATTGATATGTCAGATATTTTAAAAGATAAGTTAGACAGAAAATTCGAGATCTTGATTGCGGCAAAGGATTATTACATGAAAATCGCATTGGCGCACGGATTTGCCATCAAGATCCGCTCTAGTTCAGTCAAGTTCATGCATTTGGCAAGAAGAGATGGTTTTTTTATTTTTTGCTTCTATTTGTGGGCGCGCCTTGTCTGTCAATATAGTTATGTCAAATATAGTGTTCCGGGGCCAAATGGCCGTCATCTCATTTGAATATCAAGCCACTGTTTGTGTGTATGGTTATACTTTTTTTGTGTACAAATATAAAAAATGGATTTTTTTACAATCACCACTTCCCTTCCTCTTTCATTACCACCTCATTATCTCTACTTTGTTTCGTGATCACCACTACTTTGCTTTGTCAATTCTACCTTTTTTTCTTGAATGCCTTTGTGTAATCACTTCTTGTTGTTATTTCATCACCACTTTATTTCTATGCACCGCCATTTTTATTAGTAGTAATTCGATTATTACCTTTACTTTCTGTTCTCTTCACCATTAATCATTGCCCACATTAATTTTCTCTCTCTCTCTCTCTCTCTCTCTCTCTCTCTCTCTCTCTCTCTCTCTCTCTCTCTCTCTCTCTCTCTCTCTCTCTCTCTCTCTCTCTCTCTCTCTCTCTCTCCTTTTTCTTCCTCATTAATCTACTTCATAACCTTTGTTTGTATCTTCGAACACCTCTACGATATCCTTAGGCGCTTAACTTTCCCGGCACAGGTAATCTAAAAAACCCTATGTTAGTTCATTCAATTTCATATAAGATTTGCAATGCGCTACAGTCACTCTAGTAGTCATGAGTGTACAGGGTCATCATACAGCTTTAATTTTTTTTATTTTTTTATTCCTTAACTCGTGATTGTTGCTTGTTACTTTATTCATGAAGTTTTTCAATTGATTGACAAACACGTGCGCTTTGGGGGATCCAAAGTTTCACGGCTCGTGGTCACATGTTTGACTTTCTGTTGAAGAGCAGAGTTCAATTGAAATCTTCTGATGGATTTGGTCTTAGATTGATCTGAATGACGGGTTTGTGGTTGCAGCTCATGCGCCTTACCCTTTTTGGGAATTAATCTAGCACCATCTGTAGTGCTTTGACACTATCATCACATGCTCGACTTCGAACGAGTCAAGGCGCTGTATAGTGAGGATATCATCCTGACCATCTAAATTGACTGATATGCATGCGCACTTAGGGGATCCTAAGTTTCACGGTTCGTGGTCGCATGCATTTCGTCCCAGTTGGAGAGAGTTTGTCAATTGAGATGTATTGATGGCTTTGGAGTCCAAACTGTGTGGATGAGGTTTCCTGCAGAAACCAGCCTGGCTCCAACTGCGTCATTCACGGATCTCTTTATCCGTGGGTGTCGTGTCCTCGCGCTCGTTTCGAGGCCGAGTCAAGGCGCTGTATAAATGGATGCCATCTTTTTTTTTTATTCCATTTTCTCCTTGATTCTGTTTTCTACTTTTTGCTTCTTTTTTTTTTTTTTGGCTACAAATTAACCAGTTAGCATTGAGACTTCTAAATAGGATCACTTGATGGACCATCTAACTCAAAGTTTCGAAGAAAGAGCCAACTTCTTCAAAAACAATAAGCTCCCAAAGTCCCCTTGGTCAGCGGCAAAGTCCTTCTACGATAAGTTCCAATTTAAATCTCGTTCAAGTGGCACAGATTCCTTGAGGAAAACAGTTGCGAGGATCTTAGCCGAAGGAGATGACAGAGTAAAGCATTTAAGTGATGCATTTAAGGACCCCGAGCTTCGCAAAAGGGAAGACTTATACTTTAAAGAAAGGAAGGAGTGGAGTTATGACGTAGAGAGGGCAGCCAAAAAAGCAAGCTCTGTAGCGAGTGTGCTCGGTTTTAAAGCTAGCATCCAGGTACTGGATAGCTCACTAAGTCGTACCATTTCAACAGTTGAGGCTGCGAACTTGGCAGCAACTGCAGGCCAGCGAACTACAATTACAGGTATATATAATTGTTACTATTATCATTATCATTAACGTAGGTGAATATCCCATACAGAGCACTTACTTATGTATAACATCAATTTAAATAGGTAATGGAACATCAGATGTCATTGGTGAGACTGGAACATCACTTGAGAGGGATTCGCCAGTTACAAGAGGTTCTTGCATTCAATTAGAGCAACCGATATCTTCATATACGGCTGCTCGCACTCCACCTTTGGATCGAAGGTCAGGGTCGCCATCACCAACGCTGTCACCTCCGCCCCATCTACTCTTCGATGGCAACAGTAGTGATGATGAACAAGGTCAAGACAAAGTCCTTGATGAAGGGATTGCGTTGCGTCACGCCTTCCGCGAGGATCATCTGGATGACACTAGCCGTGCTCCCGACACCGATCACACTGATCACACCGATCTTGGTATGTAGACTTGGAGATAACTCTAAGAAAGCTATTTCCTGAGAGTTGAGTCCGAATGATGGAATTAACTTCAATTAACTTTCAATCTTATTATGAATAGCCCATTCCAAATATTGAATCAACAAATCGACTGGTCTTACAGAGAAATCGACCTTCTTGATCGATTTGATCAGTTTATGAACAATCGAGGATTAAACGACTATTCACTTGCAAATGACAGGATCGCAGATTTGACACTGTCTGGAGAGTTTTCAGCTGTTCTTCTTGACAACGAGTTTGAGGCGGCGTTGGCTGAGACTTTGGAAGTCGTTGACGACCCAGGTATCCAAGAGATACTGAATCCTGTTCTCTCTGACAAGAATACTAGTCTGGACGAGATGATTAAAGCCATCCGGTTGATGGATCACTCCAATGATTTGGTCTACTACATGTCTAGTGTATTCAGAGGATTGTAAGGATATCAACAACATTAATGGACTTCAAGATGGCTGATAAGTGCACTCAACTGAAATTTTACTAATACGTATATCATTTTGTTTTGTAGAGAGAGATTTGTCCGATGTCAACGCCTTCCAGTTGTTCCAAATGAGCGTCAGGCATTCACGGACCTTGTCCTTCCTGCTCTTGACGGTGGGATGGCAATGGTGAATCTGGCGGTTAGACGATTCGAAGTTACTGTCTACGGATCAGCAAGACGACAAAACGCTGGCCGAAATCCTTTCATTGAAAGGCGTGCGCAAGGGCATCAGGCGGATGCAATTGTTGAAACGACGGAGGGATATCAGTTCGTGATCATCGAGAGCGCCAAGCTTACAGGGGCCACAGAGGAGAAAATCGCCCAAGACCATTTCAAGCTTGCTCGTGACATGAAGGACACTTGGACTGAAGTGGTGCGTAAAGTTGTGTCTGTCAACAAGCGACCACCGAGCCACTTGACTGTCTTTGGAGTACAGGCGTTTGACACTGAATTGGTTTTTCTAGCAATGGATTTCAAGGGATGTTTCCGATTGTACGACCTCGCTACAATCCAGATTCCAAACTCGCTAACAACTATCCAGAGGGACATGAACAGATTCTTATCAACATGCATTGGATTTGCAAAACTGGTTGCTTGCGAATATAAAAAATTCAATAATACTCTTCAGGATCTGGGGATGATAGACCGCAGATCGTGCAATCGGGCTGTCAGGAACATCAAGGTTACCTCTACTTCACCCCTGAAGTCGGTAAAAACACCTCTGAAGTCTTTGAAATCTGGAAAGCGCAAGCGAATTGATGAAGACGGAAATCAGTAGCGACTGAGGAGTACAGGTGATCAATACGAATAATCTGGATAGGAAAGTGAATGAAAAACGTTCATCCCTTTATTGATCACCTCCTACTGATTTAAATAGGGTGAAGGACAATCTCTAATTGACAACTAAGTGAAATTACTACTTACATGTGACTGATATATCACAGCGGCCATACATTGTATGTACTAGATAGCCCTTCAATAAAAGAACCTTAACTCAGTATCGGGACGAAATACTTTATGTCCTTTAGTGAGCCATCTGGAACAGAGGCATGATTGCAAGGGCGCAGGGTTGAAGAACAGAGGTGAGAAATGAGGTGCTTGTCAGATTCGCAAGAGTAACGTGAACGCTGGAATAGCATTTCAATAAGGTTTGCTAATCGTGAACTGGTGCGAGGTATTCTCGTATCCAAGCTACTGTCTACCGTGTGAAAGTCATTGAAATGGTCGTAGAAGAACAAGGGCTGAGAGCAAAATTTGTGAAATGTACGATTATTCAAGGCGCCTTAATCGTACTCCGACCACATCTGCCCAAATTTTACTGCTAGAATAACCTTGCACAAGAGGAGGATGTCCCAGTTGTTTTTTATTCAATCTGTTACTCGTACGTCGTTGATAGGCTTGGTGCCATCCTGTCTGCAAAGCGTAGACTATCATGAATAGTGCGCTCGCCCTGAGTCTATCGACGCGTACGTCGACGCTTAGGTCGAGAGGTATTTCTGACAGATGTGTGGCGAGCACCAGATATCTGTGACACATTCTGCTGCAGATCAACGGATTCTGATGAAGAATCGTGAGACCGTTTAGAACCAACAGTAGTAGCATTTGTTGCATGATGATTAGCCCAGTAGTCACTAATGCAACAAAATTCTTTTCAGGTTCCCATGTATTGTCGTCGTGCGAATAGTTTTTCCATTTAACAAGATACTCATATTCCTGTGGAGATACATAACTTTGTCGATGGTTAATGATTTTTTCTATTTCATCAGTAGGAGTATCTTCAAAGTCATCAAGGACAAGTTTTAGTTGAGACGGGGCATAATTTCTGGCTAATATTGCGCCTGTCCCAACTTTAAGGATATACGAGCCATGAGGATTTTTATTCACGACTGTGTATGGTCCTTCGTAACGTGGGGTAAGTTTGTCGCCACGGATTGGGTCAAGAGTCATTACTTTTGCTCCATCAGGAAATTCGTTGAGGAGTACAGTAGCATTGAAGCGTTCAATCATCTTTTTCTGGGCTCGTTTAGATTTTTTACGAATCGCAGGGAAGACTATTCCTATCATATACTTGGTTCTCTGAATTAATTTTTCTCGACTCGTTGGTTTTCCTTCATCATCAGTGTAGTTACTGAAGCCATTTGCTTTTCGTGCAAAAAATAAAGAAAAGGGTGAAGAGTTATGAAGACTCACAATTCGAGTGTTGGCACTTAGTTGAGTAAATGGAACATGATTATCCCAATGTTTGCTATTATGCCTGATCTGTTTTCTGATCATTTGACAAACAGTCTTTACATGGTTTTCAGCAACACCGCTACCTCGTGGGTGGTATGGGGTAATTAATCAATGGTCAATAAACATTTGTGAACTCACCATTATCGGATTGAATGACTCGTGGGAAGCCGATGTCTGAAAATCGCTTAAACAGTACAGTAGCAACCGTAAGAGCGGATTTATCAGGTAAGGCATCCAGCAATACAAAGCGAGTACAGACATCAACAATAATCAGTAAATAAGAGTTGTTCTTTTCAGAGACCATGAATGGTCCAGCGATGTCAATCGCAATATGTTCACCTGGTAATTGTGCATGAATTGCTTTCAGTGGATGATATCCTTTTCTGGCAATATTCATCCGTTGGCATGCTTGACATCTTTTTATATAATCAGCACAATCTTTCGCTAAATGGGGCCAAGTTTTATCTTCAGCATGTATAGTTTTTACCATAGCATTTGTACCAATATGACCCATTGCATGGACACGGTACATGGTATCTTGTCGTTTTTCTTCAGGTACCAGTTCTCTTTGCTCATTCGAACTTTGTATCGCATGAATGTATGCTAGTGTAGGTTCATGATGTATATCCAACGACTGTTGTCGCTTAGTCATGCGTGCAGGGAATAATCGGGATACATCAGGTAATACATTGAGTACTCCTGGTCGATAATGTACTGTAAAGGAATAACGTAAGATTACGTCTTGCCAGTTTGTCATCATGGCATTCATATCTGGTTGAGAGTGAATGAACATCAATGCACGATGATCTGTGTACAGATCGAAATGTCTACCCCATAAATAGTAGTGGAATTTGTTGAGAGCAAAGACAATGGCTAAGAGTTCTTTCTTTGTTGCGCTGTATTTTCGTTCACTTTGATGTAGTGATCGCGCCATGAATGAGATATAATTTATATCTTTCGGGTGATTTGTACCTCGGGGTAATTGATACAGCACAGCACCAATCCCAACATCAGAAGCATCCGTTGCTACGAAGAACGGGTGATTAAAATTAGGAAAGGATAATACCGGTGCATGAGTAAGCAGGGACTTTAAGGCATTAAATGATTGTAGTTGCTCATCATTCAACGTGAACATGTCTGTGCAGCTTCTCAGAGCATCCAGAAGTGCAGCAACTTCACTAATGAGTGGTATAAATTCTCGGAAGAAATTGAACGTGCCCAAGTACGATTGAATTTGTTTGGCAGTGGTTGGAGGCTCCCATTCGTCAATATTTGCGAATTTGGATGGATCGACACTCTTACCATGCAGACCAACTATAAATCCAAGTAGTGAGATCTGTGTACTGTAGAAGTTACATTTGCCGCTATTGATGATTAATTTAGCATCATTAAGTCTGGCAATAACAGTATTTACATGATCAGCATGTTCGACTCTGTTCTTTGAAAAAATTACAATATCATCAATGAAATTGTAGACAAAAGGAAGATCCCCGAGTATGCGAGACATTCCTCGTTGGAATAAGCTTGACAATGGTTTTAAGCCAAAAGGTGCTTTCTTAAACATGTATTGTTTACCCTGATGCATAAATGCTGTTAAGGGTTGATCTGCTTCATTAATTGGCATGCGATGATACGCTTGTGAGAGATCAATAGTTGTAAATATGGCATGACCAGCGAGACGAATAATAATATCATTGATAAGAGGTAATGGGTAGTTATCGTCTGGTAGATGTTTATTTAGGGGTCGAGGAACAAGACATACTCGCCATAACGTTTTATTGCCATTTTGGTCTTTCTTTGCTGTAAGCGTAAGAGTATTATTGTGCACATTGCCTACAGGGGCAAGTGTGATAACGTCATCTATCAACCATTTTTCTATGGCTTCATTAAGAATGGACATTTGTTTTTCTGCAAAAGGACGTGAACGTCTATATAGAACAGTATATACACAACTTAGCACTCCTTGCTATATATGCAAATCAGCATAGCTCAACATACCAAGAAGTGTAGAGTTGTGTATATACCTAGGTGTGCTTTGCTGTTTATATGCCAAGATACGTTCCTTCATGTAATGTGTATATGCCTGAGAGGTGCGGAGTTGTATGTCTATCGAGGTGTGTTCTGCTGTGTGTTTACCAAGCTGTGCTCAACTCAATGCTCAATAAATATTCTAACGTGTGTTTTTTTTCCTTAGAGGCCTACCCGCTTCGATGGAGACCCTGGGCTGACGAGGAGGTCTCGCCCAATAGAGGCCCCTAAAATCATCCGGCGAGAGGTTCCAGTCTGGTGGGACCTCACAGACTCGCCCAACGGGAGGTTTCAGCCTGAGGAGGCCCCCAGTCTGGTGGAGCCTCTTTACCTCCAGTCCGCCTCTAGTCGGGCTCTCCCTACTTTATGGAGACCCGAACCTTCCGTTCTGACTCCTTAAAGGAGGGTCGTTGCAGTAGAGGTCCAGAGAGCTTTTAGTCTCTGGAGTCCGCTCGATCTGAGGGACCTTTGGAGATTTCATGTAGGACAGGGGCCATACCTTAGGTTCACCCAAGGCTGGTATGTTAGTGTTAATAAGTGTTCGCTAGAGTCATATGCCCTGAGGGTCGGTCCTCGATGAAGGGCCCCCTTCCAGCAGAACCAGGACCAGGATCAGGGTCAGGAGTAGAATGGGAGCTTGGTAATGTCTCAGGTTAAACAAAATGAAAGAGCATACTAACTTGATCTCATTTTTTGCTTCTTATTCTCTCTATTTAGATGGTATCTTTGAGCAGCTCAGGGGCATGGTTCTGGCGGATGTTTATTAACACTAACTTATCATCCTTAGGTGTTCTTAGGACCTATGCTACACCAGGAACGCCTGACGTAGCTTAGTGCATGGCATCTCTATTGCAAACGTGTTATACAATACTGAACTCAAACCTTTGAGGAGGGCTCAACTATCACGCGCACCCCAGGCGCCAAGACGCCAAGCCCAAGTGTCCAGACACCAAGCCCCAACCCTATCAATTATCAGTATAAATAGTCCACTACGTTATAGCCAAATAAAGTATCCTTGGACCTTCGATTCCACCTAAGATCACCTTTGATTGCTACTATTTACATCTATGCCATGTCGTATGGCTTCATGTCCTATCTCTGTCTGAACCATGTCTCCGGAGCAGACACCCCACCGGGAGCCCAGGCAGCTCTGGGTATCAACAGCCCATTGAGGGCCCATGGTGCCTCTGAATGGTAAGGCGCTAAGTGATTGTTATGTGGTGCTATAATGTTTCCATTAGGTCCGACGCCTTTTGAAGAACCAGTTTTACTAACCCACAATTGCTTTTTCTTTTTTTCTTTTTTTTTTTTTTAATAGCCATATTAGGCTCCAATAACAACAGACGCGGTAGGGGGACCACAAGAGAACAAAACAAACTAATCTACAAAAAAAAGTCGGAAAGAATGAAAATAAACAAGAAAAAGAAAAAAAGAGAGAAAAAAAGAAAGAAAGAATCGTTTGCTCAAAATCATACGCGCTCAAAAAAATATAGTAAGAAAAAAAAAATAAAATAAAATAAAAGGAAAGAAAAGTAGAAGATGAAAAAAAAAAAAAAAAAAAAAAAAACATGAGCCCGCCAAAACCAACGCCTTTCAAGACGTCCAAACCCTAATGAAGCAAGCCAAAGAGCCGTCCAGGAAAATAAACAAAACAAACAAAATAACTGCAACAGGAATCAACTTAACCGACAGCGGCCGTAACAAAACCAAAAAAATAGGGGCCTGCCAAAGCCTCTCAAAGCCCAAGTCAGTCAAAGGCTACATAAGGAATCGGCTAAAACAGCCACCTGCACTCATCCATGAGTGGCCTAGTGCTGTTGGTATCTATGATAAACAGCACTGCCCCCAGCAGTCTCGCCAACCAATTCGTATTATTGGTGGAGACAGTTGTAGGATCCGCCCAGAGGCCTGTCTCTATTTGCGGGAACAAAGCTTCTATTGACTTCGTAGATTTAACCCTGGAACTCTTCTGCTACAATTCTGAGAATATCGCCATTAATCTACTTTATTGATGTTTCGTGGTTTTGGAGCTTTTGACATCGTACATGCCTCTTGGTATTACCAAAGGCTCATTCTGCCGCATTGAGGTGAGGCGACCACGATTAAAACATGGCCATTACCATTATGATCTATGGCAAGAGGCGTTGTCCATGATGAAGACTCTCAGGCTTGAGGGAGCGGGGAGGGGTTTGTCGGCCAAAAAAGTTTGGAAAACATGAGCGTTGAATGCACCTAAACGCACTTCCGAGGCGATAGCCCCTTACCAACAGTAACTACGATGGAAGCACTTTGCCCTCGCTAGATAGGGCAATGTTTTAATGTACTTTTTCCTCGCGGTGCTTGACCCATTTATGTGTAAGATGCAGGTTGAAATCCGCATCAACGAACGCAGGCTCTTTTAGGTTGATTCCTTTCATAAGCAAACGACTCGTCCATTGAACGCGAGCAGCAATCCTCCCTGGACTGCTGTAATTCTCTGACTTGCAACGTATATACCTGAGTGTGTAATCCGCTTGTTGAAGAACAGATCTAGAAGCAGCTATAAAGGATACAGGAGGTCAATGGGAAAATGCTCCTTTAGTGATTGATAAAAATTAGCGATAATAAGGCTATGATCTTTACCAAGTTTAGCTTATAGCCATGCTACATGCTTTTCTTCGAAAACTGCCTTTTTTTTCTACTCTCCCCTCACAGTTATCCACAGTACAGTAGAGAAGGTGTCAACAGGATAGCGATGCCAGCAGGCCTTTTATGGTCAAAAATGCCTGTCTAGGATGCTTGTGCATGCATCAAATAGGGATATGTATCAAAAAGGATGAGGAGCGGCGAGCACACAATCTGATGTTGTGTATTTCATATTTCATTGAGCGCTTGCTCCATGGCCCAGGAAATTGGGAAATGGAAGAAAGTCTGGTCACGGGTTCGGGCAAATAGATGGCCCAGCTTCTAACAGTTTGTGCCACAAACTATGCTTGTATGGTTCTTTCTTCAACCCATCATCTCAATTCAACAGCAGAGACGCAGAGACAAACTGAACAGGAAGACATTCCAATAGACCGGCCATTAGATTAATAGACGGCAAGACATCAACGATGAGTGATTATAACAAACTGTATTCAGCCAAGGCATCACCGCCTCTTGTGCAGATGATCCGCACTTACTGGAGGACACGGCGGGTACATCACTGACTCTTTTTTATAAAAATGCAACATGATCATGCTGTTTTTTCTTGCCCACTAATCCATTCTTTTCTCTTTTTATAGTACCTGTTCCTCATCCCTGCAGTGTTGTTATTCTGGACTTTTTTCTTATTCATCTCACATCTTACTTCATATGATGGTAAGAATTTATTTATTATTTTATTTTATTTTCAGGGACCAATTAGTAGAATCTCAATAATGACTGACGTTGGATTTTTATCATTTTGACCCAGATCCTGAGTTTACGCTAGAAAAGACAATTCAGGAAGATGAAAGTCAATTACTATCAACCTACGAACGTAACCCAACACCTTACAAACCTATTATTCTCAATGCTCTCCCGCCTCAAGGAGACGCTTACAAATGGCCACCGAATATTCGTAGACCTCTCTGTATGCCCAAGATTTTTGTCTATGCCGACAATATCAAGATGGGAGAATTTCAAATGACATTATCATTAAAAGAAGGGAAAATGTCAACGTCATCGCCATCGTCGATGGAGTCTTTTTACAGATCAGAGCAAATTCTTTTGGAACAACTAAGAGACAAGACGTCTTCGATCTACAAGAGTTATGTGACTGAGAATCCTGAGGAAGCTGATTTCTTTTTCATTCCATTCCAGGGAGCCAAATATTTGACAGATTGTTGGAATAGCAAGGGTATCAAAGCAGGGGCAGGAGCGATACAAGAGCAAGAAGATTGTGATGTGGACAGGAAATATGCAGAGCAGATGATGGATTATATTCAAAAAGATAATCCCTATTGGAACAGGAGTCAAGGACGAGATCATATTATGATTCATCCTATGGAGAAGGCATCTCTGTATTATAAACGAACTAGTGATCGAATGCAGAACGCCATCTTTTTGACGACTGTTGGAGATAAACGAACGGACCCTTTTATTAATGGAAGACGATTCAGACGTTATGGAGATATTGTGATCCCTGCGAGTACAGCCTTATTAAACCAGGGTGGGAAGGGGTCCATGGCTGGTGCTGGTGTAAACCCTGCAGATCATTTGACAGCGGATGGATTTTCAAAGACAGGTGCAAAAAGGGATATACTGATGATATTTGGAGGGGATTATGAGAACGTGAATCCCACGGATGACTATTCAGGCGGGATTCGATCCTTGCTTTTCAATGGATTAGATCAACAGCCAGATTATTCATTTTCGAGTCGAGGATGGAGTTCATCTGAGTACATCAACCTGTTGAAGAGATCACGCTATGGATTTGCTCCCCAAGGAGGAACCACACTAGATACACCTCAGATATGGGACTATATAGCCTTTGGAGTGGTACCAGTGGTGGTTGCAGATGGGATTATTGAACCGTTTGAGGATGATATGGATTGGGATAGTTTTATTGTCAGGATCCCACGTGAAGAAGCACATCGCGTTGATTTGATTTTGAGATCGATTTCTGAACAAGAGTATGAACAAAAACGAAAGATGGTTTGGGAGCATGGCCGACAGGCCTTGTTGACAGAAGATGCTTGGCATTTGATTGTAAGGGCGCTTTGTCGAAAGGGAGATCTAGAGGATAAACAGACCATTGATCGGGAACGCCATGTGCCGTTGAACAGAGACATTACTGTTTAAGAACAAAAGTATATGTATAATAGACAAAGCACGGAAAGGAAGAGAAAGAAGAAAAGAGTATATATTAATATCTATTAATTATCTGTATTAAAAAAAAAAAAAAAAAAAAAAAAAAAATTAAACGATATGAAAAATGCTAAACAAATCGCCTGTAGCTTTTATGATCAATAAGGCTATTCACAATCGGCATTATGAAAAGTCTAAAGGTGTCATATATGTCATCAAAGCATACAAATCTTTCGTATAAAGTTGCTACCATCAGTCATAATATCACAAAATCCAAAATAATAATCCAGATGGTTCAATGTTCTCGTTCCATCATAGTAGATGGTTTAAAGATCTGAAAGAAAATTGCTTCCATCCATTTGATGACCGGATATCAACTTCATCTTCACTTTTTCCTCTTTGCTTTGATTACACATCTCCATAAGTTATGAAGTCACTGTGAGAGAGCTATCCGTTCTCTCTCTTCTTTCATTACTATGATGAATTGATGCTCAATGAATAAAACAAAAATACAATTGATGTATCTTCTAAATATTCCCATCAACATTAATTAGAGTTCATACTAGAATGCACATTATTGGAATGCATGTTACCGGAATATTTCTACTAGAAGATCAGCAAAAGACTGTAGCTTTTTATCTAAACAGAGGAATACTTAATTTTCTTAATTGCATTGTCCAGCTACTACTCCACATGTACATGTACCGGCCCCAACTACATGGGGACTATTATATGTTGTCCATTGTATAAATAAGTTTACATGCTTCTTTGGTTTTATATGTACAGTGACGATTTTTGTAATTGGACCGTTTCACAGGCTTATCGTTCGACCATTGCTTTTTGACTTAAGCTGACGGCTCACGAGCGATATATCGCACACCATGAAACGAGAATACCCGACTCTTTACCTTGTTAAAAAGTTCATTACTGTACATGTTACGTTGTAAAAAAGAATGAGCAAGAGTAGCATTGCAATATGATGCTTTCATTGCCAAATATTGGAAGGCTTTAAGATAATGGTGTATTGCAAGATTAGTCTTGTTAGTACGATCAGCTGAGACTGAGTATTTTTGTTGCGCATATTTGTTCATCTCTTTTTGCTTCTTTGCCTTGCTCTTTTTGAATTGGTCTAATGTACCCTCCGGAGGAAGAGGGAGTCGGAAGAAAGGATAGAGCATACGAGATGAGATTGGAGCAATTCAGCAAAATGTTGCAACTCTTTATTTATTCCGAAGAGTTATTGGGAAAAATCTAAGGTAAGCTTGCTTTTTTAATCTCGGACCATTTGGCATTCATTCCTTTCATGATACTCTTGACAGCTCCACCAGATGTACCCCTTCCATCCAGTCTGAGCTCTTCCGAAGATACGGACCTTGCCTCTTGCCCTTGAATTTGTCGTGGATGGATCGGCCGTTGTCCATGAGCAAGTAGATGAGGTTGACTGCTATGCTGTTGTAGTGGTTGCTGTGTATGGCGATGGCTGCGCGATCGATCAGATCCACTGGAATTACTTGTATACATAGCCAATTCATTGAAAAGATTTTGCGCTACAAGAGCTGAAGCAGGTGTTGTGTTCGAACTAACTCCAGTGCCAACGCCTGCGCTATGGTTGCTAGGTCCTGTATATGGAGAGTTGGTCGAATATCCTTGCTGAGACACTGGCCTGGATAAAGCAGCAGCAGCAACAGCAGTGGACGAGAGCGGGGCATGAGCATTAGAGTGGTTAGATCCAATGCTTGGTGCTGAAATAGATTGCGCGTTAGACGCACTCACGGTTGGATTATATCCTGGCTGATATTGTGTCTGCGGCTTGTACGCCATTGCTGGGCTATTGGCGAGGGGGTTGTGTGCTCCTGGTGGCAGTGGAATATTGTTGATAAGCAATGGTGAGCCATAAATGCTATTTCGATTCGACCCCGAAGGAAGTAGAGGGGTTGAACTAACGCCATTGATAATTCTGTTTGCGTTTGTGGTAGTTGACGCTTGCTGCTGCTGTACACTGATATTAGGTGGATGAGACAGTTGTGAGTATGGGTGTGCGCGGCTAGCCGCCGTTGTTGAACCTGTTGGTGTCTCAGACGTGGATCGTTCGTCAATGGGAGGCAGCAGTGTGCTAGTTACAGGTGGTAATGGCTTTCCGCGACAATGATGTAAATGGAGGATTGGACTGAGAACAACGTTATAAATAAAAGAAGAAAGTTAATGAATAGCTGTCCAATTAAGTTCTGAATGTGTCAGTAAAACGTTAAATGAAGCATTGGCTTACAGTCGTTCAGCGCTGTACAGTTTGCGGATGGAGTCTCTAGGCTTAAGCCCATCCGATACTTGTCGAGCGGTAGAGACCTGGTCCCCAACAAGTACAATCGTGTCTGGCAAGAATTGGTGTTGCTCCAAAATGGCATGCATTACAGGGATATACATCGAGAGCAAAACCTCTGGCTCTTGATTTTGCACCTTCACTACACAGATCACCTGCTCATGGGCCATTTTGAAGGTAACACTAAATGATTACAAGAGTAAGTTTGTTATTAAATGATTATAATGCAGAATATCCCCTAAATGATCATGGCCACTCCTTGCAAGCATCTTGATCAGTTATTGTAACGTACCAGCCCTGCAATGCGACATTAGCATGCGCACTTTCTACTGTAGTTTCAATATCTGTTGCAAAGTGGAGTAAACCGTGTACCTGGAACGATTCATCCATGCCTCCTAACACAAACAGTTGGAATGAACCAGATCCTGCATGGCTAGCCTGAGCTCCACCCCACTGATTTTGGTTTGAGAATGAGTGCTGCCTTTGTAATATATGTTGTTGTTGACCGTTCCATAAGAACCCAATATCACCTGTCCTCACATATCGAATACGGTTATCATATCCAGTTATGCAGGCATTGAACGGCTGTACATGGCTCGGATTCATAGTACTTCCAGGTGGCACATAAAACGAGCTAACGTTCGAGTCAGAACATATCCAGATCTCGCCGACCTGATTGGCAGCACAAACCTCAAATGTCTCAGGATGCACAATTGCGATTGAAGTACAGACAGTGGACTACAGTAAAATAATAATTGTAATAATAACTATGTCAGTATTAAACTAATTATTAGAGCTAACCAAATTCTGTATATAAAACAAAGGTATACTTACAACCCCAGTATCCTCTAGCCAGACGCCAGTAGGATCATCGCCCTCGGAGGTCGGAGTAATAATACCATACCGCAAATTTCTGGAAGAAACGTGGATGCGAACTGGTCCTGCATCTCGCTCTGCTTGCGAAGTCACCATAGGATTCAGAGGATGACTATAGATCAAATTGACAGCCTCGGGTTCAAGTTTGAGTGGCCCGAGTCGACTAATAGCCATCTTTCTTTTGTCCCGTTGTACTCGTCCATGACCACATATCATGAAATTCTTGACACCATCTAGCGAAATAGTGCCTGATGCTGGCATCCCATGATTTCCATCCAGACGCGAGAGTAGCTGGTCCAACAATGGATATGTCAATGCGACATCTTGCACTGTGGTGAAAAAAAAAAAAAAAAGCTTTTAGCTAATAATTCTACGCAGAATAAAGTCACATGCGGGAATCGATAGGCATAATTCTTACCTCTGTATCTCGTAACAACCTCTAACCATACGAATGGATTGGCATAAAAATCAACAGTCTGCATAAGCACTGTAGGACCGCCATTATAGATTCCAAAAAGCCCTCCATGAATAAAACCAAGGCCATGAAAAATGCTCATCACAGGTACAACAGCTTGACCACTGAGGGCATTAAACTGAAGTTTCTGATTCCTACACAAATTATTTAATGTTTCATGGCTGAGCTTTACCAGCTTTTTAGAGGCCATAGAGTTAATTTTTGATTCAGGGTCAATCAGATAAACCGCAGGATAGGTTGACATAAGCCATTCCTTTTTGGGTGCATATCCAGATAGCATCCCCAGAGAATGTTTGGTCTTGTTGGCTTTACTGACATTGTAAAATGTCGGTAAAACAACGTCTGAAGATGAAGATGACTCCATTGTTTGCTGATGATGCGCTGTAAATGTTGCACGACAGGCTCTTAGGTGAATGATTGTCGACTTTTGTTTTAAAAAGTCATCCGTTACAGTATTGCCTAAAATGGCCTTGACCTTGACTTCATCCATAATACGTAAAAATGCACGTAGGATCCCTGCTCTTCTCTCCTCCACAGCCTCTGAAGCCAATGCCGGAATAAATGAGTTGTTTGACATTAATGGTAAATTCGGATTACCACCAAGAGCCAATGAACCTGACCCTGGATGACCGCCCAAAAATGAACCATGAACTGCACTGTGAATATGGACTGATTGGCCATTATCAGGTAGAGGAAGGGGGATAGGGATAAGGCCTAGAACCCAACAAGCGTGGAGCGTGATAATATAGTCAAGGTCCTGTGTAAACCAAAGCAAGACATGATCTCCTGCCTTCAATCCATGCTTCTTATCCAGGAGGATTGCATATCCGGTGACCTTGTGATTAAGTTTTTTAAAAGTGAGAGATTTTTGCTCTTTGCCTCGTGCATCTAGCTCAATTAATGCGATTTCATCTGGTTGAATGATAGTTCGCCACATCAAAATATCTGTGATATTATGGAATTTGCCCATGTGCTCTTTCATCCTCTCATCATAGGCATCAGGACTTGTGATATTGGTTGTGTATTGAACGTATCGGATAGGGGTCGCCTGACGACGCTGTCGCTTGATCACACATTCTGTGAAACATCCATAATAAATATATGCACACTTTAGCATGGTGTACCATGGAATTGCCTATCATAAGTTTCAAAATTCAAAAGTTTTTTTTTTTTTTTTTTTTTTTTACCTCGACTCCAGAAACCGTCGGTTAGGTCGTCTCCTCGTGGAATATTGAATAGTACATCGTCTGTAAAAGTGGCAAAATAGAGAATCTTGTAGATCCTTCCAAGCTCGAACATCTTCTTACACATAGCATGGTCCAAGATCCTCCTGCCATTCTCATAGAGTCTTGGGAGTGCATTCGTGTCCCAAACTGCCACGCAATAACTCCGCAGGGCATTCACCGTCTGTAATACATGTCTAGCATTGATACCCACGTGTTGTGCTACAGTATTGATACTCTGGCCGCCCCATCTGCCGTCTCTTGAGAGCTCAATGCAGACTACTGGTAGATATTCTTTATTGACAAGACATTCGAAGATGGAGCTGAAAAATAAGGTTGTTTAGTTTCATTGTATTAGGTAACCACGTTGGACGATTACAGAAACAAATGTACTTACATCTCTCCAACACCTCCCACTTTACTGTACAACGTCCTCTTCAAATCAGAACAGTGATGATATTCATATTGTATGGCGCTGGGTTTCATAGGATCCGCTATATCCTGACGCAATCGATCCCAATAAGAACCAAACACTACGATACGCCCCTCGATCAGTGCACCCAGTAGACTGGTCCGCATGACTTTATCGCAGCCTGGAGGATGGTAGACAGCTGGCATCATATTTTCTTCAGTCACGATGTAGGGTTTAGCATTGAAGACTTCCTGGGTGTGTTCAGGAAGTCCCCAAAAACCATCCGGCATATCTGGTGAGCTTAGCCAAATCTCTCCAACGACATCGGGTAACGAGAGTGCCAATGTTTCTGGATCCACAATAAACGCAGTTGCTATAGTAAACCATACAGCGACATACCATGTATATCAATAACTAAGACACGAAAAATGGAGCATCATTGCTTATGATAGGAAAACAAACATTACTTACAGGTCGCCAGTGGATAGCCAAAAGCCCCCACAAAGATTGCACCAGGTTCATCCCTGCGTCTATATGCTTCTTCACCCGTTGCCAAAATAGCGATGCGATTCGATCGTAACGCCCCCCTGTGAAGTAGGTATTCACCACAGGTCATTGACGATACTGAATGTCTCGCAAGATTGCCAACATTAGAATTGTCCCCTTGCAGGACCTGATTTGATCCGTTACCTGAGCCAGTCAAATCGGTATCTTGCCCTACGCTTTCTGAAGCACGCCTTAGACGAGGGAGGGTTGATTTGCGGTATTGCTTGCGAAGATCGATCTTTTCCACACCACGTGGTGCCTCTAGAGCATCTCGTAGGCATACAATCCTCCCTCCGAGCTCTGCCAGGCTCAAAAATGCTACCACTCCGAGATCACTTCTCACTTTCGTTGAATTAGAAGCAGATGATTTTTCCTCAGGTCCGGAGATCGTGTTATCCAGCATGGCATGTGGATCATGGCGCTGAACCATTCCAAGTGGGTACAAGAAGTCGTCCAAGAACTCATAATTCAGGACTGGATCATTAGACTGAGTATCGATATAGACAGTCTGTAAAAATCGAAGGTCTGGACGCGTAGGCGTAAGAGTTCCCTGGGGATTGATCCTAAAGTTCCGTAAAAGCTTCTGCACGCCAACATAGTCAGCGAAAGCAATAGTAGCTAAATAATATCATTCACAAGCATACATAGTTATAAGTCAGTACCTTTTAAAAAATAAAAAATAAAAAATAAAAAATCTAGCATCACATAAGCTTTACCTCGGTATGCAGCTATAGAGTGAGCCCACAGTCCAGATACCGCTGTGATAGCGCTCTCCATAAAGACCGTAAAGTTTCCACAAAAAACGCCCATGATTGCTCCCAAAATAAGGCCTGATTGCTGACGAGGCTCTAGCCACGTCATCACAGTTCCTGGGGGACGAATCTGGTTGGCTTTCTTCTTTCGCTCTTTAAGCTGAAGGGCTGAAGGATCGACCGCTAAGAGTGGATCGGTTTGTAGATGCCCATTCTTATCGCGGTAGAGCGTTGGTCTCCATCGAAAGCTCGAATAAAGTACTTGGCATTGAGATATCAAGCCTTTGTGACTAATCGTAACGCCTTTGAGTTCTCCTGATGCGGATTTGGTGAATTCTATATAGGCTATTTCATTGTCAGAAAGAGCTAAACGCTCTTGCTGGTTATTCTTGGGCGCCCAAGTCTCGAGAATGTCTGTTTGCCACCATGTTACTCCGGATGGCCATACTGCTCCCTTTTTAAGATCTTTTTGAAGGGATTTATGATTAAACTGTGTTGTCAAAGCCAACTCAACTTTTGCTGAAGTCATGATGTACACCATTTCCGAAAAGTCTTGGATCTGGTTGATAAGTACTGGTACGACACCCGCTAATATAGCACCAAAAAATGCAGCGACAAACTCATGGATTTCTGAGAGGCGGAACACAAGCGCTACTCTTGCTCCTGGATCAAGCTGAGTTTTATCGTGAATTGCTTTGGCGACCATTTCTGCTCTTCCAAGTGTGAATGACCAATCCCAAGAAGCACATTCGATGCCTTTACCATCCAAACTTGCAAATGCATTATTCTCAGGAGTGTGTTGGCCCCAATGACGCAGGGCTTCTCCAATGTGTTTAAACTGAAGACAAGGGTCGAGGGTATCCAATTCTAGCGGGCGGGGGCCTAAAGGAAGCTGTTGTTTCCCTATCAGCGCTGGAACATCTATGGAGTTGATATCCGCCTTAGAAGGAAGGATTGGTCGGCTTTGAGGCAACCATGGAATTTGGTATCCTGAGCCTAGACTGAATGGTGATGGCGTTACAAGTGGTGCTGCCTGCGGCAATGGTAATGGTGTCGGTGTAAAATCTGCTCCTGCACTCATGTCTATGTAAGCAAACCACATCCGAAATAATAATAATGATAATAATAATAGTAGTAGTAGTAATGGTGCGTTAGTGAAAATTGAGGTAGCTAGCGTATCCCTTAGAAGATAAACAACGTATCGCATTCATATTCTAGGCTGCATACCGCCACGTCGAGCATGTCCATATTCATGGCTAGGTCTCTCCATTGATGAGCTGTGCAAGTGAAAATCCCTTAGACTTGAAACACTTCGATTGCCTTGGTGATGAACACTAGGACGTCCATGTCTGTGTGCCGCTGTCAATGTGCTTTGCTCAGTAGATGCAAGTGTTGAGTGAGCGCCGGTTATTGGTGGATATGATACAGGATATAAGGATGAAGAAGTAATTTCCGCAGCAGTTGATGCAGTTGATGCAGTTGGCGGAGGCATAGCAACGGTTGGGTTTTGAGATGATGTGTCAACAGTCGATGATGCCTGAGGCGTTGGAGGTCGCAACTCCGGTGTACTCTTTTGCTTCAGTCGGATGTCCTATTTGAGAATGAGCAGTAGCTTTTGATGAGTTTCTTGAAAAAAAAGACAGCATGTCAATATTTTGCTTGTCAAATTGCTGTAAATACCTCTGTCATAATCTGATTTGATTCAAAAGGCGATTGGATCAACGTAGCTACTTTGGGTGAACCTCCTACATGAGCAACATTGATCCTTGAGCCAGAACTGATCGGTGGGACCGTCATTGGAGATTGGTCAAGAGCATCTTTTGGTTGCATGGCGCTTGCTAGGGTTGTTGCCACAGCCATGCTGACTGGCAACGTAGCGTCGAAATTAACGCCTGATAATCCAGACAATGCTTCTAGAGCCCATAATTCAGTAGATTCAACCGCTGGAGATTCTTCCAATTTTTTACCTCCGACTTCAGTTCCTGTTGCTGCATCCTGAATAGGCGCAGTGGGTGTGCCCGATGCAGTAGGCGTGACAGATGCAGTAGGCGTAATGGGCGCAACAGGAGTGACAACAACAGAGAGTGCGATGGGCGTTGTAGTTGGAGTAGCGGATTCTATCACAGGGCCTGGCTCCTTAACCTCTGTAGAAGCTGTTGTCTCTTTTAATGATTCAGTATGGGTGGTCGCTTCCCTGGCAGCTATAATGACATCCCGTGCTTTCTTATTAGGCTTTGAGTTCTCCTTAGAGGGATTTGCTTTATATTGAGTGACTGGGGTATATTGGATTGGCGCGGGATAATTTGGTATGCTGCTGGGATGTTGGTCTCTTGAGGCTGATGAGGTAGGCACTGCTGTTAGCGAGGAGGATGACCCCTGAGCAGCAAGGGGTTTGGCGTTGAGGGCTCCATGAGAGTTTGATCCTGACCTTTCTTCTTGGCCCGATGCATGCTGTGCGAGACTATGACGATAACTTCTGGTTGCAGTTCCTGAGTCACGCGAATTAAGTTGCGATTGCCTTGTATCAGCTACTGGCGGAGAAACTATGTGACATCGTGATGCTGGTGATGATGCCGCAGCGATAGGAGGGATTGGGATGGGTATTGGTGGATGCGCTACGTATACTGGTTGCTGTCCAGCCGCCAAAACTGCTGAAACAGCCTGCTGCTGTTGGTGAGGCTGTATATGAAGATGGGGTTGATGTAATATAGGAGCAGGTACCAAATTAGGCTGTGATTGAGGTTGAGGTTGAGGTTGAGGTTGAGGTTGAGGTTGAGGTTGGGGCTGCTTTTTAATTGACGAACTATCAGTTGGTGGAGGTACTGTTGGCTGTGATGAGCTTGATGGCTTCCCAAGCTGATCAGGATTGAAAGGAGCGAAAAGGAGAAGTTGTGATTTTGCATTGTTGGCCAAAGCTGTTGAAGGGAAAACTTCCTCTCTATCAAATTGGTCATCGTAATGGAAAGCCGGAGCAGTATGCTCAATTGTGGCTGGCCGATCAAAGAGCTCCTCAGCTGTCTGATATTCCCTTCCCGAAGATCCAGGTGATACTACTGAGGAATCCTTGACTTGAAGATTAGGGATGACTTGGGTTAGCGACTGCGCCAAGATACTAGGAGACGCCAACATACTATTCGAACGAGCTAGTAATTGAGCATCACTGAGTCCCTTGCCGAGTCGTCTCTGAAGGATCCGTGCCCATTCGTGGTTAGGCGATGTGTATGATGCTGTCGGCTCTGATGATTCCTCCTCATTAATGCTAGGTAATGTGTCGGGCATCAAGGCTGTCCCTGGGAGTATGTCGGGTAAAGTAGACGTTAAATCCAAAGGCTTATTTGAGATAATGCCGTCTGTCCGATCATCAACGGACAAGTCAGAAGTCTGGTTGTTCATATGCTTATTGATATCCTTTATCGTGTTCCGATCCTCATCCAATGCTGCTTCTTTCGGCTCCTGGGGCCTTTTGGCGTCATTGTCATCATCTGCACCTGGAGAACTAGCCAAGTCGCTGATATGGGAGCGTTCCTGGATATCGGATGCAATCTCAGCGTCCTCGAACGGTGTATCCACTAAAGACTGTTTCAAGGCATCCAGACCGCCACTTGAAGTGGGCTGTGTATCGTCGGCAACAAGCCTATCTGCTACAAATGATTGCTCTCCTTGAGGCAATGGATTCCCTGAGGCTGTGATTTTTTCTGCAGGTGTCTGAGGATCTGCGGATTGCTGTTGGGTCGCATCAGCATTAGCAGTATGGGTGGGTGAATTGGCTGTTTGCAATATGGCTGTTGTATCTTCGTGGGCTGGTTTTTTGTTTATATTTATATTCGCGAGTGTGGATGTGGCGGTGGCACCAGGCACAGCCCCAACAGGGGTATTAGAGCTAAGCTGAGTGTTATTCAAAGCTGAGGCCATTGCATCTAGAGCCGAGGCAGCAGTGATGGCATTCGCGTTTGATGAGGATGTAGCGTGCGAGCCAGCAATGTCAACTGAAGACATTTAGCATTCAGAACCAGCCAAGGAATCAGTGGATCAAGAAAAGAGTGATAAGAGCCTGTTTTCTCTCTGGCGGTGAGAATGTGTATAGAGTATGAAAATGAGGAGAAGATGGCAAGAATTGAGTGGCGAAAGGAAAAAGATGAAAGGATGGAGGGGAAGGAAGAAGGACAGAAGAGGAAAGAGATGGATGAGAGAGTGTATGTGCGAAAGAGAGAGAGAAGGCGGGAAAGTAAGATGAGAGATGGTGCTGCGTCCTCAGAACCTGAGTAGTGAGCAGTAGAGCAATCAAAGTAAGATGTAAAATATAAAATGTGCTTGTGCAAGGACAAATAAGCATTTTTTTCTGTGACAAATTTTATTTTATTGTAAAAGCCAAAAGGGCTTATTAGTGATTCTACATTTTGCTGAAACACAAGGACTCTCTCTACACCTTCATGTCATGCTCTTGCGCTGATTTCACTCCCAAAACATGTACATGTACATATATACAATAAAATCTATCTGATGTGCTCAGATACCTTCATTAATAATTTATCCCGCTCTTTTACCTCCTGTTCATTGTTGTCAACCAAGCTTGGGTCATCTCTATCCGTGAGCCATTGAGAAGATTTTTCTCGGAACGCAACTCTCAGCGAAATCTACCTCATTACCTTACTACCTTGCCAGCCTTACTTTAGCTTTTTTTTTTTTTTTAAATGTGTGCACAACATAAACAAGGTGTCAATAACCTAGACGCGTGCTTCGTGTCTACATACAGCATACGGAGATAACAAAGGCTTGGTGAGCTGCAAGACCTCTTAATTCTTTTCTTGGACGTCCGATATCCAAAGGCGATTAAAGCAGGTCCTTGCTTGTTTATGATCTCACATGAAGGTCAATGCTCTATCAAATTAGGCACGATAACGGTTTATTTTCAGCAAAGTCGTAGAGAGAACCACAACTGTTTCGCTGTCTATCCAATACTTAGGAGGAGTGAAGGGGCCGACAACGCTACGCTGTCCAGTTCGCGCATGTATATTTCTTTGGATGGGTGGAGATGATCTTCTGATTTTTTTTTAATTTTTTTTTTTCACTCGTCGTCCACGGAAAGCGTCATTACACCTTACGGTCAATTAATGGAATAAAACGTTAAAGGCCGCGGCACATCCATCAGGAACTTGGTATTGAACCTCCGTTAATTGACTTTATAACTGATCTTCAATATTCCTCGGTCTTTCTCGGGCGTTTCGGTGCGCCCTAATAATCTTGTAAATAATTTGCAACCTACCACATCCACACAATTCCATAAAAGGTTCCATGCTTTTTGCGATATCAACTACAGTGGTACGTCCGAAAGCAATAATGACTTGTCCAATATCCAGCAATGGCTATGAATTAGCTAATGTCTCTCTTGGATAATGTCCTGGATACTGTCGTGAGGCGATTAAACATGGATGGTCCCATGACACACAAGTACCCTTCAAAATCGTGGTATAGTAATCCCCCCTTTCAACTGGTCCTTTTTCTCTCGATTTCTGGATCCGATCCTTCAGTAGATCCTCTACTAGATCAGTGACATGCGACATGTCTTTTGCTACAAAACCTCAATGGGCTTTATAGGCTTTCATCATGCTTTTATATGATTGGCATTCATTGAGGTGGAGTTGTAATTGTGCTTGATGATGTATCACTTCATCTGCCACAAAAATCTGTTTCAAATTTTTATGAGTACAAAATGCTTGTCACACCATCTAGCAAGTATGATTGAAAGAGGCTGGAATGATCATTCATTGATTGGTTTATCTCGCATTTTTCTGAACCTGTATGGTATGGAAAGCAAAAGTTCATTGACAACATGGCATTAATTGATCCGCTTCATCAATTACTCCATGGTTTGCCGTAACTCTTACCGAGGTTTACTGAACCCCCTCTGGGTATAATGTTATTGGAATCTTCAATATGCTCGAATAAGTCCAAAGACACAAGAGGTTCATCGATTGGAATGAGTGGAACGTATGAAATGGGAATGAAGCATGAGTGCATCATAAAAAAATAAGGGTATAAATGAGTTCGAAATGAACGCCAATAATCTCTACTCGACATAAACTTGAAGGGCGAATCAACTTTCTTAAGTAACTGTAACAGAGAGGATCCTATTACCAGCTATTGAGGAAAACCTTTTTATTTGCAAATCGAAGAAGATCTAGCCACATCCAAGACGTGTTGGTGGATATTCCTTTTGCCAACATTCACTCCTATTTCGTCATTCAGGGTTGGGCTACAGTTGACAAACTCCTCTTCGTCTGAAGAATTGTAAGAGTTATCATGAATATCGGCTGTTGAAACCATAGTTGCTTTCGGTGTTGCTGTGAATACACCTTGATCATTATCCTTCTCCGTTGCTGCCACAGGCATGGCTGCTTTTTTTGCCAATGCTGGTGAATCCATGGCCGCGTCATCAGTAAAAGGTCCGCTTTCTTTCGAAGGAGAGTCTGGTCCTCTCATTGGCTGATTCAAAGAAGCCGGCGAATTATTCGTTGCAGATTGATCGGAAGTAGAACGTTTGACAACGATAGAACTCGACAAAGAAAATAATGGAATGTTAGGTGCGGACGGCATTGAGAATGTAGGTCTTGAGAATGAAGACCATGATGTACGCGAGCTGCGGGGGGATGATGTCGTAGGGCTCATAGCAATGGGTGATATTGGGGATGTGCATGCATCTGTACTAGCGCTGCCTGCTTCATTACTGGGTGTGCTTCCGGGACGAGAATTAGGTAGAGCTTTTACAATGCCATGATCTTTTACAAAAGGAAGACACCAAAGTTGTGGCCGATCTTCGTTTCTCTTGTCATCTAATAGATAGCGATATTTCTCAGGCATGTAGTTGAAGACAATGTTTCGCTTGAGTGAAGCTGCTCGCCCCTAATCATTAATTAATAACTTTGTTAACATCGCTCACTACTGTTTGTAGTTGTTTAAAGATCATTGAATCCAAGTCCCCCTACCTTTCCTGTAAAGACCTGTCTCAAAAGACTACATTGTTCCACAGCCGCCTTTGCAGTTACAGATCGCCGCTCCTTGTAGGCTTGGAACGCAGCTGTTAGGCTCTCCATTGAATCCGACTCGATCGCTGATAAAAAGTTGATTAACGTTACTACATCCACAATAGCCTCACTTACAGGTTGATAGAATCCCTTGTGACAGGCTGCCATTTTGCAAGAAAGTCAAAGTTTAGTCCATTTTATTTAGTATAAGAGAGTAAAAAAAAAAAAAAAAAAAAAAAAAAGTACTTGCCATCACCCACAAGAACTGTTCGTCCGCCATACCAGGTCTCACAGAAACGCTCCTCTGCCATGTTGAAATACATGTTTTCGGAATCAGTTGTGTCAATCAAGTCCCCAATTCGCCCTCCAAATGGACATTCAACCTCCTTAACAGCGTTCAGCGTCTCTTCAATGTCCTCAGGTCGCCATTGATTCACTTTGAAGGCCTCGCCTTGCCGAATAGCAGTTTTATTTACCTCACAAGTGATATCCCAGGATATTCTATTATCAAGAAGGGGCACAAACCAGATCTATAAGGAAAACCAAGTGCGAAGTAGAGGTCGTCTATCAATTGGATTTACTATGATTAAAGCTCTCTATAACGCTAATGCCAATTACTGCTATAACACTTACGGTGTACGGCTTGTTTGGCAGTTGTATTGACTGAATTTCGCTCATGGCATCTAATAGCATTGGGTATTTCGTTGGATCAAGCGGTTTGGTACAACCAGAGATGATGTGCAGGTCGACAGACATTGGTGCAGCATCTGCCTTGGGTAACAGTTTCTTTTCGTCCAGGTTCCAATAGAGAGTATGCCGCACGTTACTGAAAGCACCATCGGCGGCAATGAGTATATCTCCCTCATATGTGGCTCCGTCTGAGCATCGTACTGTAACCTTTTCACTACTTTGGATCATTCCCAGCACTTTCCCTGCAACAATTCTTTTAGGAGGAATGCGTTGAAGCAGAAGTGCGTGGAGTTGTGACCTCGACATGACCTCTGTATGATAGCCGTATCTGATCGGATAAATCAAGAGAAGGTATAATTGATTTTAGTGATTCATTTACCAAAGGAGGGATAACTTAATGATTGTCCAAGTGGCCGTGGTAAATAACCAATATTACCTCTCGCGGTATGTGGTCATGTCGATCCGTCCCAGATAATTCATATTGTGTTCATTCATTGAAAATCCGCTCAAGGGTTTTGAAATTTTCTGAATCTCTTCGTAGATGCCTAGTTGATGCAGAAAGTGAAGGGCTGTCGGGCCAATCTGGACAGCACCTCCTACATGAACTGCCGTTGTCTGTGGGTTAGAATGATCTTCTTCAGAGCTTGAGCTAGGAGCAAGATCCTGCTCGAGCACGGTGTAATCGAATCCTGTGAGTTCAAGGGCAATTGCGGCAGCAAGTCCGGCAATGCCAAGTCCAGCAACGATGACTTTGAGGTCGGTTGTCGCCATTATATTACTTCAGGGTAACGTCAAAGTATTAAGCTATTCTTTATTGGTGTTTTCTGCACTGTACTCGAGTAAAGGGATAGATAAAATGGCGTGAGTTATAAAAAAATAGAGGACAGAGGTTCCACTTTGCACTGGTGTTGAGAAGCAAAAGGAGAAGGGAAAAGCGTTTGTTCACACCTGTTACAGCGTGAAAGATAAAGGAGCTTGTCCCTGAAAATTGAAGGAGCGGAGTGATGAATGAAGCAAAGATGCAACGATGACAAAGACGAGATGAACGAATGAATGAACCACCCTTCTATTGCTATATATTCATACATTGTATGTGTAAACTGTGTATTCTGTTATTAATGTAATTGTGCGGGTCCACCAACAGAACAAAAACACAAATAAAAAAAATGAGAGCCGAGGTTGTGGAGAATGCATAAGCAGAAACAACGCCCTCGTGCAAATTTGCAGGGTTTTTGGCCCCGTTAAATCCATTCAACTCATTGGAGCCATTAAGACGTATCTATGTATATCGGATAACAGGCAACAAACAAAAAAGTAACAAAGATGAATCAACGTGGATTAGATCTTCGTCAATGTTTCGCTGTGCGCTGTGTGAAGAAACGCGTCCCGAGTTTCATCCAGTTCAGATAAATTGGTCCTAATTGGCGCCATCACCTGACCTGACCTGACCTGACCTGACCTGACCTGACCCTTCTTACTTCTCCTGACTTTGTTACACAGCACTTGCTCTTTCCTTACTCTTGCTTTTTTCTTTTTCGACAATCGCTGTTTTCTACTACTTTCGGTCAAACGCAATAAAAAAAAGGCACATTCATCAGAACAGACTCAATAGACATTCTGACCACATTTGCGATTCTCAAGTAACAGAATTTCAAGCAGTTAAACATTCATACTTCTAATTCACCTTCCCCTTCCCCCTTTTCAGTTCAGCAAAGCACAGCACAAAAAACAAAAACAAAAAACAAATAAACAACTCAGTACAAGAGCCAAAACAGGATATTTCAATAATAACAATTTAACCATGACATCACAATGGGCTATTGCAGAATGGGATTATGTTGCAACACATGAAGACGAACTTGTAAGGATACTAATTCTTTTTTTTTATTTTTTTTATTTTGTTTTGAAAGCTTTGGGGTTACAGCCAGGAACAATGGCAATTTATGTTCTTACTGGTGATTTTTTCTCATGTACAATCTTACGAATTCATTAGTCTTTCCACACAGGAGACCACATCTTGATTCAGGATACATCGCATGAGGAATGGTATGTAGAGCTTGGTCAGGCGGCCTTCCTTTTCTCTCCAGCTCATGAGCACCAACCACCCCTGTTAAATTTTTTTGGTTTCATTTTCAAAGCGTGATATCTTCAAATGAACCTTTACTTGTCTTTAACTGATCTCAATTTTTTTCTTTTCTATCCTCGTTTACCATCGTCCACATTGTGATACGCCGCTTCATAACAAAATATATAACCGATTAGGTGGGAAGGTATATAACCTGAAGATGAAATCTTCCTGCCGGATGTGAGCATTGTCCAGTCCGTGTCTGCACCTTCTTTTTGAAAATGAAGAGCTTCTGCTAATTATTCTTTGCATTTCTGAACAAAACATGCCCGACTTACAGGGGAATGTAATGGCCTATCAGGAGTCTTTCCTGCCAATCGATGCCGACTGTTGCCGGGTAATTACTCATCACGGCGTCCTTCCAGCTTGTGATCCCCCACTTTACCGCCATTTAACATATTGCTCATTGTATTATTGATAGTCATGGTAGACGATAATAGACCATCGTTAGAACAATCGGTCCATTTTCAGGATCCACACCAAAACTTCGACGATAATGACGTCTTGGATATACAAAACCAGCGCCACATCCACAGCGAGGCCGACGATTTTAATCATCAGGGTCACGACAAATATAATGAAATGCACCCATCAACAGTGCTCGATCCTCAGACGAATTATATCAGCACCAGTCGGGCCCACTCCCCTCCACCAGAGCCCTCTGATGACGCGTCGGATGAAGAGCACGTTGTACTACCACCTAACTGGAGTGCTACCACAAATGCACAGGGGCGACTTTATTATTATAACATGATAACAAAAGAGACTTCTTGGAAGCTACCCCTTGCCACTACGATAATAACCACTGCTGCAGGCTTGGGAAAAAACTCTGAAGAGGATGTAGATGACTATCAATACGACGATAATATGAGTGACGAGGATAATAATGTTGAAGTCTTTGCTCAGGACCAAAAACAGGACTCTGATGACGAGCCACTGCCAGAGGGATGGAGCAGTGCATATGGTATGGACTCTAGACTCTCGATAATATTCAATATGATTCTAAGCGAAAACTTGATGAGGAAACTGAGCTCTAATCTCTTTGCTCCTATCCCTTTATTTAGATGAGAGTGGAACACTCTATTTCTTTGATGCAAATACAGGAAGAGCCACATGGGATCGACCACAGAAAGCTAGTATTCAAAAGCAACAAGCTAAATCTGGAGTCTCGTCGGAATCATCCACAGGGCCATCCACAAACACAGATCAGGTAAATTTTTTGGTTCTTGTTGAATGGAGCTCCATTAAAAAATATTATGTGGTGCATGTTGATGAATTTTCCATTTATGAATGTAATTAGACCACGGGAACCCCTTCGCCATTAAAAGCAGTATTAAAACACCAATCTTCTATGGAGGAAAATATGCTCCAAAATCAGCTACTTAATTTGAGCTTGTCGGAAGAAGAGCTCCGTGTATTGGTAATATAAACCTATGCTGAATGTGTATTAAAATTAAAAGATGGTGTCTGATTTTTTTTGTCATTTTTTGCTCTTTGCTCCTATTTTAAAAAATATAGCAATTGAACCATTTGCCTCCTGAAAATATTCAGCGCAAAGGATCTCTTCGCGTAAAATCACAAAAGGTCACTACCAACGCTACTATCAGCTCATGGAAAGACTATTGGGTTGTAGTCTATATGGGATTTTTACTCTTATATCGTGATGAAAGTGGCACTATCAAACATGCGTACTCTATGAAACCCTCCGTAGAATCGATGAACAAACTGCGACATGCAACTCAAGTTAAGCCTTCAGGATGCTTTGATGCAGATAAAGTGGCTGTGGAACTTCCTATGAGTGGACAGGCTTTTACAAAGAAAAAGAACTTCTTCTGTATCACACCTGGAGCGAGCGTTCGCCTGTTGCTTCAGGATGTCTCAGGAGGCGATGTGAAGGCATGGGTCAAGGACATCAAGGCATCATTGACAAAGCGCAAAACAGATGAACAAACAGCAACTGAAGAACCATGTAAAGATTTTTTTCTTTCTTTTTTTTTTTCTTCTACACATTTGAATTTGAATCCTCATTCATCCAATCGTATTTCTTTTGGATCTTTAGATTTAATGCAAATTTTAAAGCGTCAAACAGCCGCAGGTGGAGAAGGAATGTTAGGGTTAAAAATGAACAAAAAGATTGAAGAAAACGATCTCAGATCTAATAGCAGGAACCCGCTAATAGCAGACAAAGCCCGTGGGATACGTAATATGATGACTCAAGGTATACATGTACCTCGACGCAAATCAGCGCAGGACGAAAGGCTCAAATTACCTGTGGAAGAAGAAAATCATCATGAATCCTCAAATACTGGGCCGCATCCTCGCTATCCGCTTGCAATATCAACTACTGGAACAGCGAATATGACAGGAAGCACGTCTTCAAATCGATCTCTCAGTAATCTTATAGGGAGCAGTCATGATCAGAGCAAAGATTCGTCACCGGTAATATCAACTCCCAACAAGAAAGATCATGAAGCGATTCATGTTGATAGCCATCCTCATCATTCAGAAACAGGTTATGAGGTTGGGTCTCCTGCTAGCTATTCATCGTCCCATCATGGCACTAAAGGGAAGTTTTCCAATATGAGCCGCAATTTTTTCTCCAAAGACAAGGAAAAGGAAAGTAAAGAAAAGGAGCGGGAAGACAAAAAAGAAAAAGAGAGACATAAAGAGAAGAGTAAAGAGAAGAGCAGAGACAAATCTAGGGACAAAGAGTCAAGGAAGGAGCAGGCCAATACAAAGCCCGTTCAAGGTAATTGTTGAGCAATTTATCTGAGAGCAATGTCTGCAAAAAAATAATGCTATAGCTCCTTGTCTCCTTGTCTTTTCTTCTCATTTTTTTTTTTTTTTTTTTTTTTTAATTTAATCTATTAGATATAACACCAGTTTTTGGTGGAATGCTCACTGTTGAGCCAGGAATGACAGTCCCAAGGGTGGTGGAGCTGTGTATCAAGACGATTGAGGCGCGTGGGTTAGCTACAGCTGGTATCTATCGTGTTTCTGGTCACATGTCTTCCATCCAGAACTTGAAGCGTGCTTTCAACGAAGGGTCTCCGGATGTGGAGAAGTTAATCGAGAAGGAACCCGACGTCAATACTATTGCTGCACTGCTTAAACTATACTTCCGTGAATTGAAGGAACCGTTAATGCTCTTTGATTTTTACCCAAGCTTCATTGCTGCTGCAGGTAAAAATCACGTGACATGTTTTTTTTTTTTTTTTTTTTTTTTTTTTGCTATTTGTTTGAAATTTGTCTGATAAAGATCTTTTTGAACCTGCTACGCTTACTAGACATAAGCGAGTATAATGAGAAGCTTTACACCATCAAATCATTGGTACACTCTCTTCCTACACCAAACTTTAACACGCTTCAGTATCTAATGATGCATCTTGGCCGAGTTCAAGACCAGTATCAGACTACGAAAATGGATTCTGCAAATCTGGCAATATGTTTTGCACCTAACTTGCTCCGTCAAGAAGTGAATGATATCACCAGTATCATCCATACAGGAAAGCAGTCGAGCATTATAGATACATTAATTGAACAACGTGACTGGGTATTTGATCCCTATCCAGAAGAAGAGGGGGAACACCAAGAGGAGCAAGAGAATGTAACAAAAACTGAGGATGCGGAGGCAGGAGGCCATCCACTTGAACCCAAAGTCGAACAAGACCAGCAGGATCAGTCACACCCACATTATCATTCTCAGAGTGAGCATGAGCAGCTATCGGGAAAAGAGCAAAAAGGTGTATCACGTACTCTGGATATTGCGGCCGCTGCTGGCTTGGCTCCTTTGCATGAAGATAGTGGGCTGCATCACCCTTCAGAACAGCAAAATCGGCATGAAGATCAAGAAGGCAAAGGCTCTCTTGCTAGTTCATAATACCATTCATTTATCTTGTTTATTTCTACCCTAAATAGCATTGTTTTTTTTTTTTTTTTTTTTTTTTTTGCTGTATATTTCCATATCTACTATATTTCTTTCGTTAACAGCTCTAATGAAGACTTTTCAGTGTCTTAATCAATTACTGAATATAGTGATTTGTTCTACCTGAAGATTTTTTTTTTTTTCTACATGGTATGGCGGGTTGCCGAGGACGAGATGGGATGCTCATCATAATCATGGTCTCCATGGCGGTCTCGCTCCGTAGCAAGACTTTGCATTGGATTACACAGCTCTGCAATGGATATCCGACGATGCATATTTGTGCCTGTGCCTGTGCCTGTGCCTGGCACAGGATTTGCACTCGACGGTGAAGAAGGACGATACTGCTGCTGCTGGCCCTGATATGGCTGCTGCCGATGATGGTGAGGGGTCGACGAAGCGGAGTCGTTTGTGTGGATGTCCTCCAGCAAATCACTGTCATGGTCTGGATATGTAGAATTGGGTGATGAAGGTGCAGTGGAAAGATCCTCACGATGATGCATCATACTCTGCTGATGATAGCAATGTTCATGCTGCTGCTGGCGCTGGGTTTGATAGTAGTGATGCTGCTGTTGCTGTTGAGAATGCTCGCCCTGAAACAAGGATGCGTTTGAGTTTGTGTTTGTGTTTGGATATGGGTATGATGGCAAGCTATTGGTACATGAATGGCCCTCATTATGATGAGAATCACTTTGCCATAGACCACGCTGATACTCTTCATATGTTGTTATTTGACTAGACATGTTGGAATGAGGAGGTGTAGAGAGCTGCTGATGATGACCGTAATACTGCTGCTGCTGTTGTTGTTGTTGTTGTCGTTGCTGAGATGACTGTTGATGGTAATGATACTGGTGATAGCGCTGGTACATATCCTTCCAGACTTGATGAATCATCTCAGGATAGAGGACAGCCTCATTGACCTTCACATCGTATTGTTCCCCGAGTCGAATCTCCCATTCGTCTGGATTATATGTGGCGACACGGTGGTGTACTGGAGCCCCAACGAGTGTCAAAGCCATCTTATGCCTTTGTGCAATCACATGGTACTTTTCCAAGACACTTTCCAAAACCCAGAGAGAGACACCTCGATATTCCTCAAAGCGACAGCACACCCATGGTCCGCTTGGGTCTGGCTGTATATTCAAGGATTCGGGTGTTCGGAAGGCTCTTTCAGGCAAGTAGAATCGTCCAAGACGGGCGTTAGAGGGATATCCATTGACAGATCTCCTTGTCGCTTCTTGATCCTGACCCTCCTCAGAACCAGAAACGTCCGTTTTCTCCATATCGGGCTCAAATCCTGCAACAAAACTCTTGGTAGGGAATAGGCTATTTACAGTGAGTTCCTCCACTGTTCGCAGGTCTGGCTCAGGATCACGACCAAAACTATTCATATCAATGTCAAGTGCAAATCTACAGGGCTGTTCAATATAATATCCTCTGTCATTCGAACGCCGTCGATCTATGGATTCTAAAAGAGCAGACTCTTGTTTAGGTTCATGTATCTTATGTTGCTGTTCATCCACATCCATTGGTTCTTCTTCTTGCTCTCTATGCGCAGCATCCTCTTTGGTTTCACTACTGCTGACACTGACTCTCTTGTGATCCACTTCCATGTCTCCTCCAGTTTCAGAATAACTACTGCGTCTCACATTTCCTGAATTTCTCCAAGATGACGATGACGGGTGTGGAGCTCGGATCACGCACAGGATAGCCGCCATGTTACTCAAGAATTCTGGGTTTCGGAACTGCTCGTTGGCATATGTGATTGAAATCTGGCTCTTCAACCCCAAAAACTCTCGTGTATTCATTCGTTCAATCACCTCAATCACTTCACGCTTTTGAATCGGATAATAGCATTCCTCTAGGTGTCGCTCCAATTGAGGCGAAATATTCGGATTAAATTGGGACCGGATCTTGTTGCTTTCCTCAAGTCCTGTGATGGCACTCAGTGATCCATCTAAATGGGAGGATGGTGGGCGTGAGAGTGGGTGAATATGTGACGGGTAAGGACGGGCTCGTGATGAATGATCCTGGCGATATTGGCCATCATCACCATAGTGATTAAGGATTGGCGGTAGGATTGCAGGAGGAGAAGAAGAAGAAGAAGTACCATCTCCTTCAATCTGTGTCCTACTATTACCATGAGGATCGGATAGTATCGAGCTTGAGAGATGAGCAGTTTCCCGTTTTAAAGAAGGGACACTTGAGGAAGACAATAAGGGTGTACTGACTTGTGAGAACCACTGCTGTGCCCCAGAACGAGAATCACGCGAGGGCAATGGCTGTACAATCATATCTGTCGAGTCATTGCTCGATCTCTTTGTAGCCCTTGCATTGTACATTAATTCTGGTGTTGATTTTCGATGCTCTAACAGACGATCCTTCTCCGTATACGTTAAATACTGTGGTTTGTCGCCTCCACTTCTACCCCAATCACTGCCTTGCCCCGGACTCTCTAGCTTTACCCTTTGATCAAGCGATCCTATACTTAAGCTGGATCTGTGCATCATTGCCTTAGCAGACCGTCGATGCTCCATCAATCGCTCCTTCTCTTGTGGTGTCAGCTGTTCAAATTGAGGAAAATGTTGTTGCCCATGGGTTGTTTTAGATACGGATGCGGACGGTGTCATTTCCATTCCTGCTCCTTGCCAATCTGGAGACATGCCGGGTTTTAAATCCAATGACTTCCTTGAACCCGAATTAAATGAAGGAAGTAACACTTCACTCTTCCGTCGTTTGCATTCCTCAACTTCAATTCCGGATATTGTTTGTTGAAAGCCTACACTACCAGGGTTGTCTGAAGCTGAATTGCCTCTGCTTTGGGACGATCTTGGTTGTAACTGAGGTAGGCTTCTTGAATTGGCCTTCAGCGTTCGGTTCATAGGCGGTGGCGGTGGCGCAACCGATCCAGAATTGGGACTTGGAAGATACGGTTGGCCGTCTCCACTGTAGAGATTTGTTCCAGCATGGGTGCTACTTCTATTACCGAACATGGCTGGTGAAGATGCTGTTGGCGCGCCAGAAGGGGAAGTCCATTGCATAGGATGCTGGTACTGAGATTGTTGCTGCGGCTGTTGCTGTTGTTGTTGCTGTTGCTGTTGCTGTAATTGCTGATATGGTGGTAAGTGCGAATGACGGTGTTGCTGTTGCTGTTGCTGTTGCTGTTGCTGTTGTTGTTGCTGTGAGAAGCCTGGATTAGGAGCATAGGGACCAGTAGAAGGCGTTCCTTGCAGTGGACGACGGTGAGGATCGTCATGTCCTGCTGCAAAGACAACAGGACTGCTACCACCTCGTGGCCTTCCTGTAAGCATGGGCGTTGAATGTAAGGATGAAGATCTTGATCGAGAGCTACCTCCAGTGGTGACTGTTGAAGCGCCTGTAAGAGAGTCTCGCTTCGAGCGATCACCATGGGTCTGAGTGTGTTGGATCATGTTATCATACCGACTAAATGTCCTTGGACAATTCGTGACGATACACTTGTAAGGTTTTTCGCCCGTGTGTTTTCTAACAATGGAAATTGGATTCCAAAAAAAAGTATAAAAAAAAAAAAAAAAAAAAAAAGATAGAAAAAAATGGACATGCAGACTCATTTATAAGTTACATTTCTCATGCCTGCATGGGAGTACAAAAGGGGTATGACGCAGGGAGAAATAAAAAAAAAGTCCAAGTTCGGAAAAAAAATGTTTACAAATAAAAAAAAATGTTGTGTACCTTTCATGCCTAGCAAGATGCTCACTGCGAGTGAAAACCATATTACATCCAGGATAGCCCGTGCACTGGAATGTCTTTGGTGAGGAACTCGAGCCACCTGACCCTTTACTTCCTTTACCAGATGAAAGTTTCTTGCTTGTGGGCGGTGTTGGATGATCCATTGACACTGACACTGACCACTGCTGAGGTGCTGCTGTTACTCCTCCTGCTGTGGTTGCTATTGTCGTTGTTGCTGCCTCACCTGTCGTGGTTGATGAGTTGGAAGAAGTGGATGTTCCGGACCCTGATTTCGGATGATTTGTCCAGTTCGGACCAGGTTGAATTTTTTGCTCCATGGTTTCGTCTTGATTTGATTTCACACTATCAATGCCACTAGCACTGTCGTTACTCTGTGCTTTTTTGGCTTTGATTGTTTCTCTAGGAATGTATAATGAGTCTGTGAAACTTCTTTGTTTGATAATGAGAGCCGGGTTAGGGCTTTTGTCGTTAGTAAGGCTTGATGCGCTTGTATTGTCACTAGAGGAGGAAGGAAGAGAGGGGGGAGGAAGAGGAGGATGGTGATGATGATGATACAAAGACTGGTCTGACTGATCAGAAGGCGATGTATGGCTGTTTATCAAGGAAGGCGGTAGAGAGGCTGGCTGATGATTTTGTGGTACCGTGGGGTCTGGTGTTCCTGCAGAGAAATAAGGGACGGGGGCTGTTGTGGAAGAAAGAGTGGATAGAGACGACGCTGTGTAGTTGATTGTCTTGTGATTGATTTCGATGGATGGATCGGATGGAGAGCCGTAGATGTGATGAGTTTGATGGTCTTGCGATTGATGCTCTTGCAGAGAAGAGTGGGAGGTAGGAGAAAGGAGAGGATAGGGAGAAGGGGAAGAGGGGGAAGAGGAGAAGAATTGATTCGGTTCATAATGGGGATACTGATGTTGATGTTGATGTTGGCGATGTGGAAGTGTATGTGGATGTGGATGTGGGGGATAGCTCGAATAGCTGATGTTGCTGCGAACAAAGGGAGGTCGAGAACGAGCTGGTCCTACTCCTATTGTTGCTATTGTTGCTATTGTTGCTGCAGTTGTTCTTCCTCCTACTTCTCTTCCTACTCCTCGTCCTCCTTCGCCTTCACCTCCTACTGCTGTTGTTCCTGCCGCGGCTTCATTGGTATGATATGCACCTGCACCCATGATGTCGCTGCACTCTCCCTGTCCTGCTCCCCCTGCCATTGCTGCTTTTGACACCTCCTGATCCTGTTCCACTTTTGGAACGGACCGAGTTGAGCCGTATCGCTGTCCACTATCTGTGGCAGAGGATGATCCTGTGTCTGTCTTGCCTGCTTGATCATACACTGACGATGTGACAAATCCTGTCGCTTCATTTCCTCTATGGCCTTCGCCAACGTTGCTTCCTCTACTATTCGCTGGATCACTGCCGTAAGGATGATAACTGCTAAATCTAGGCGGCGATACTAGTTGTATTGAGGGTGATGAAGGAGGAAGGAATGACGCGGAAGGCGAGGACACCAACGAGGGGGGGCACATTGTAGTAGGGATCGCTATCGCGTCAACTGAGCCAATGAGAGATGTTGTGCTGGGCGAAGGTAAACTATGAAGTGTTGAAGAGGCAAAGGGTAATGTTTGTGTGGTTGAAGTCGGCGAGGCAGTCGTAGTAGGTGTTGGCAAAACTGTTTGCGATGAATGGGTTTCATGTAAATTTGAATTTAAATTCGAATTTGAAGATGGCAATGAACCTGCTGTATCTATCGAAGAAAAAGATCCATGTCTTAATGAGGACTGACTCCATGGCGTGGTCGAAGTGGACAGAGATAATGTTTCAGCTGTTGAAGTTGAAGTCGGAGCAGATTGAGATGATGTGTTGGTTGCACATGATCTAGCTGTAGAGAACAAGGGCAAGTTGTTTGCGATGACATGGTCATTGTTGTTTTGGGCATGACTCATGCCATGGCCATGGCTCGTGTCAAGGCTCTGCGCGCGAGAGCTCTCATGATCTTGTGGCAATAAAATTGAGGGCGATCGACAAATGTCCTTAATGTCCTTACTTTGTGCAACCGGCCGAGTCTGGTCATGATTTTTATCCAGGTGTTTTTGTGCTTGATGTTGCTCATACTTTGGGTGTGGCCAGGGTGCATCTGTACCATACTCTTTGCCAATGGGACGAGTATCCGCCCTCTGACTCTGGGCTGGACGCGTTGGCAAAGAAGAAAAGTGCTGATGATCGGATCGAAAATTTCGTGGTTGTGTATCGCCTTGAAATTGCAACCATGGTTGTTGTTGCTGTTGTTGTTGTTGTTGTTGTTGTTGTGGTTGGAAAGGGGTGAAAGAGCTACGCAGAGGTTGTTGTGTAGGAGATGAGGAAGGTGATGATGATTTTTGAAGTTGATCTGGTAAGTGGTGGCCTGGTGCTGAATGCACTAAGACGTTATGTGAAGCCACGGGATCATTAACATTGTCATTAGATGCGACCCTGCCCATGCGACCCTCAATATCATTTCTGTGATGTGAACGACGCGCAGGTCGTTCTTCGATAGGTGTAGTATGAATGATGGACCGAGGAGAGGGAGAAGGAGAAGGAGAGAATGGAGTTCGCAAAGAAGGAGCCATTTTAGGAAATAAAAAAAGTTAGAGTTAATGAATGTATTGAACACGAAAATAAAAAATGAATGAGACTAAAGTGGGGAGAAACAGGAAAAGATTGAAAGGAAAGAAAGAAAGAAACGAAAGAAACGAAAGAAAGAAACGAAAGAAACGAAAGAAAGAAACGAAAGGTGAGGAAAGAAAAGAAAGAGGATAAGAAAACGCTGTGCAGTGCTTTTTTTTTTTTTTTTTTTTTTTTTTTTTTTCTTACCTTGAGGCCCTAATCCCATAGCAATAGCAATAACAATAGCAAATAGCAACAGCAATAGCAACAGCAATAGCAAACTGCGCCTGTATTGTTTACCTATAATGGTTGTGATCAGACAACTCAAATGTAGGTAGAAGAGAAAGAGTATGCGCTGGCGAGGCAGCAATGGGTGTGGGATGTGGAGAGGAGTATAAGTCAGATAGGATTGGATTGTTCTTGTTTTGGTACTGGTTGGCCGTGGTGGTTACTGTCTTAGGATTCTGATCCTGAAACAGAAGCCGATGTGCTCAAGGTTGGTCGTCGCTGAGACTGCGGAGGGTTGATAAAAAAGATTGGACAGGTTCGTCCTTTGGTTTCTGGCTGTCCAAGTAAAAAGTTGAAAAAAAAAAAAAAAAAAAAAAAAACAAAGAAATTGGGCAGGGCAGATATTCTGTTTCTGCTAACTCGCTGCTATTGTTCTCTTTCCTATTCGCTATTGTTGGTGTTATTGTTTTATTGACGTAAAGTTGCTGTGCTCCTCAAGGATTGATATCAACTATCCCGTCATCATTGACGTCGTCTGTGTCCGTGAGTGAACACGTACGTGCGACCTGAAACCTATTTTGCACCTTTTAAAAATAAACTTGGGCTGTGAAGGATGTGTTAAGGCAAAGCAAAACAAAAGAAAGTAAAAGTAGATAGAAAAGAAGAAAAGAAAGGGAAAAAAAGGAATGGAAAGAAGAGACTGAGATGAGGATCAGCGTTTTGTGCATGTTCAAAAGTAAACAAAGGAAGAAGAAAAAAAAAAAAAAAAAAAAAAGAAAAAGAAAGAAAGAAAGAAAGAGGAGCGAAAGCATTGAAGCCAGTTGTATGCTCTGATCAATGTTTCAATATCAATGCAATGTATGATGCAAAGTGAGCGTTGTCGCGTGTACATTAACATCTTACTTTCAACGGCAGTCCGTGCACGCTGCAACATGGCACAATCCACCAAGCCAAAGATCGCAAACTGTCATATTGTGAATGAGCATGACAAAAAAATGTTCAAGGCGTGTGGTATGGAAATAGGTAAATGCTTTAATATGGGCCTGAGTTACTCAACCACACAGACATGTTGGTTGTCCTTTCCAAGCCCGATCATCATTTCACAAGTTGCTCAACGTTACTATTTTGATTTGTTTATAAACATGTGTATCTAGCCGAGGGTCCTGTAGATATGATTGGATAGGAAAAATTGTGGGCTGGGGAGTGCTACACGGAGGAGGAAAGACCGTAAGCAGGCTGGAAGTGAAGCTGAACCATATCGCCTTTTCATATAATAAAGAAGTAACAGAGTTTCGAGATAAAGCGATACACATAAAGAGTATAAAAGCAAATAGAGACGATAGATAGATAGGAACAAGGCAAAAACACATCCATGCTCATAGCAAAAAGAGAACAGGCATAAACAGGTGTACCATTTCATGTCCCCCTAGCTGGTTTGTTTATTAAAAACAGATGATATCAGAGGATGGTAACCAGATCAGAGAGATGGATGTTCAGAGAAAGAGCGCAGGTTGGTAGATATGAGAAAGAAGTCGAAATGCTTGTTGCAACCAAGATGCCTAATGCTTCCTACAAACAATATGTGCAAAAAATACGAAGCAATGTTCTAATACGACGAGTCCTTCCTCAACTATTTCAATATTTTTTTTTTTTTTTTTTTTTTTTTTTTTTTTTTTTTCATCTAATATAATTTACTGGTTCTGACGCCTCTCTATAGCCCTCTTTCTCGCTGCCTCGACCATTTCTAATCTTGCACGCTTTTTCGCTTGCTCGGCTGATTCTCCATCCCCCGCATCTACTGTTATACTTCTCTTATTATCGGCCATACTTGCCTCATTTGTGCTACCATCTTCTTGATTGGTACTGCTAGAACGCTCTTCAGATCTCTCACCGTTTAGATATACCTTTCCCTGGCCATAAATCTTGGCACGGTCCATTGTTTCCTTCACCCACCGGATATCGACTTTACTGGCGTAGCGCATCACTGCCTTTACATGGTAGACGACTTCATGGTAAATGATCCATTCCAAACCTTTAGCTACTTTCCTTCCATGTTTCGTCATTGATCGTTCTTCATCAAGATATAAGGCTGAAAGCGGAGAAGTGTGTAATGCCAGGAGCGAGCTTGATTGAGCACTTCCAGCTCCCGCAGAAGCAGATAGGGTTGATGCAAGGTAGTGATAAAACATTTGCCGGTGATGGTGTTTCTTGGATAGATGAATGCCATAGCCCTGGCTGAAAGCCTGAAGAATCGTACGTGAGGAGGATGATGATTGCGAGGACACTTGCTTTGGGTCTTTATTGACCGATGTTTCTGCAGGTTTATTATTGTCTGCGCTGTCATCATGTTTCCGATCAGTTTGTCTCTTTTCACTCTCCTTGTCGCGATCGACAATGTCTTGTAGCTGTGAGCGAATACTCCTTGCGAGATGCAGCTGAGAGATGTTGAGATAATTTTCATGGCACCAATCCTTTGAATAGTTTGTTTCTCGCCAGGCATCAAACACATTCATGAGAGTCAAATGGTCACCAGAAGAGTGATAGAACTTTACGTGAGCATCGCGTGCAGCATCCTGCTCCTCTGCTTTACGTGGAAGATAAAACGGCTCTTCTACCTATTGGCCAGAGATTCACGAAGGTTAGGTATAAAAATCATTCGATTACAGAATTGGTTGTAGACCCGTACGTTATATATAGACCAATCCTTACTGAAAGCATGGCGACAATGATGATCGCCTTTTCCAAGCAGCCAATCTCCTTTGCTTCAACAAGTGATCTAGCTAGGAGAGGATTAACAGGGTACTTGACCATTTTACGACCTATTTCGGTCATTCGCCCATCAGCATCAATGGCGCCCACCAGATACAATTCACGTAACGCGGCACTGAGTTCCTCTTGGCCAGGGCGGTCCATAAATTCAAACCCATTCACGTCCACAATCTCCTGTTGCTTTAATGAGAGGACTGTGCCTGTCAGGCCTGTCCTCTTGATTTCAGGCACGGTTTCATCTTCCATTTCGGTCATGTAAGACTCCCTTGTGTAGAGTCGGAAGCATATGCCCGCCCTAGTTCTTCCTGCTCGTCCAGCTCTCTGTACTGCTGCAGCCTTGGAGATGGGCACAACCAACAGCGCGTCCATTCCCGTTGATGGATCATACATTTTTTGCTTCACAAAGCCAGAATCAACGACGAACCGGATGTTGGGGATAGTTACACTGGTCTGGGCAATATTAGTGGCAAATATGACTTTGTGAGAGTTACGGGGCGTCGGACCAAAAATTGCAGCTTGATCTAACATCTCTAAGGAGGCATAGAGTGGCAATATTTGTAGCCGATCCAAATCAATGGCTGTGTGTTTGGATATGGATGTGGAGGTAGCGGTTTGGTCTCTATTATGACCCTCCTCTCTTTGCTCCTTTTGGTAGTCTAGGACAGCTCTCTTCAGGTCTTGGCAGGCTCTTTCAATCTCCTGTTGCCCTGTTAGGAAAACGAGTATATCCCCTACTTCACCAGGATGGATTTCCTTCTTCAGAATGTGCATCACAGTTTCCACAGCCTTGGTCACATATGTAGATTTGAGAGTGCCAAGTTTGATATTGTCACGAGAATGTAGGATTTCTACAGGATAGGTCCTTCCAGGGATTTTGTAGATGGGACACTCATCAAAAAAGTCTGAGAACTTTGTGACATCAAGTGTTGCACTCATGACTAGCAGCTTTAAGCTAGGTCGTTTTGACCTTGCTCTCTTTAGTAAGCCTGGGATTGAGGGAGAGAGAAGAGGGAAAAAAAAAAAAAAAAAAAAAAAAAGGAAAAAAAGATAGAATTGGTAACATTGGCCATTTATTTGAAAGGTAACATAAACTACAAACCAAGTTTTGACTTGCTATTCTCGAGAACTCACCGAACAAAACATCAGTCTCTACAGTCCTCTCATGGGCCTCATCAATAATGATAAGATCGTAATTCTCCAGCAAAGGGTCCACAGTTGCCTCACGCAGAAGGACGCCATCTGTCATGTACTTTAGATGCGTTCTAGAAGAGGTTTTGTCATCAAATCTGATCGTATATCCCACAGTACTACCGAGCCTGCAGTCATATTCTTCTGCGACCCGCTTAGCGACCGAGATTGCAGCAATTCGACTGAAGAAAATCCAGTTGAGGAATCAGACCCAAAATGAAGATAGAAAAAAAAAAAAATCAGCTCTCTTGCTCGTCACCAATGGATTACAAATCACAATAGAAAAACACATACCGTGGCTGTGTTACGCCAATTCGCATGCCTCTAAACTCCTCAATAATGTATCGAGGCAGCTGAGTAGTCTTTCCTGATCCAGTCTCACCAATGATCACTAGGATGTTATTGTTTTGAATGGCATCCATCAATCCATCGCGATGATCAAATATTCTACATTCGTATAATTGAATAGAATCATGTTTGTCTACTGAATTGGTTTCATCTTAAAAAAAAAAAAAAAAAAAAAAAGAGAAAGAAAGAGAGAGAGAAGTGAAACTCTCTTACGGCAAAGACTCCTGTTGCTTGCGGATTTCTTCTCTTGTTGGCATGTGGGATGTTTTTAGTATGGTATGGTATACAGCCCCGCGCTCAAGGGGGAATGAAGAGGGGTTGAGCACATTTCGATTTATATTTTCTCTTTTGACGAAGGACACTCTCATTTGGCGCATATGCTTAAAAAGGAAACCGTTAGCGTCACTTCATTTGACTTGTCGACTTGTAAACTGTTTGCTCCAAAGCTATGTGATGTGCGCTTTGGGATGACCGCATTAGGGCACCCAAGTTGACCTTACATATCCGACGAAGGCCCTTCGCCCAGGCAGAGATCGGGTCCTCCTCTTCGGGGCATTCAAAGAACCATTTTGAGCAATCTGTAGTATGAAAGCAGGGCTGAAAGAATACACTGTTGATTTAAGCCAAGACGCATCAGCTTACCTTTCTCCTCCATTACTTTATTACTTTAGAACCACCTTTGTGGAGAATGTTTGTGAGGAATGGTGTATTACGAGGTAAATATATATATTTGTACAATTATGATTTTGGTGATCGAATTATGTTTAATCGTACTTTTACTTCAAGCGCAAACAATCAGAAATAAAAATAATTAATGGCTCTGGCTCTAAACTTTTTTTATTAGACTGGCACAGCGCTTTGTTGCTGCTGCTCTCGTCCGTTGCTTTGTTGCTCTCGTCCATTGCTTTGCTCTCTTCTTTCTCTCATTCATTTTGGCGGTTACTTTTTTTTTTTTTTTTCCTTCATCTCTTCTCTCAAGATCAATTCTTCCTTAATTCTCCTTTCCCCTTTCTCTACTCTTTTTCTCTTCAAGTAAAAAAACAACCCCAGCAACGCCCAAAGGTTGCATTCAGCAGGTAAATAAATTTTTTTACAGTGTGAGCTAATACACTATGTAATAGAGTTTTTTTTTTACTTTTTATTTTTAATTTGTTTCGAGTTCCTGAAATTGCCATCATGTCATTTCATGCTCATTCTCTCTTAATGTCTTCACTTCCATAGTCCTTGTGCAATCACCATTTCAACTTTGCACACATTAAACCTGATTAAACAATGGCTGAAAACAATGTCCCGGCGGCATCTCTTCGCTTTCTCTTACTTGGCGACGTTGGAGTTGGGAAATCAACCTTCATCAGCACCCTCGCTTCAACCCTTTCTGCTGTTCATGCAAATGACCTTATCGAAGAGTACATCCCTGCACCTCTTTCCTCTTCCACCCCCGCACCTTCTGCAATTCGTCTGAATGGCGTTCACATCGGTGCGGGATCTGTTCTCCAGGACGACGGCTCTTCCCCTTTTGACGATCCTTTAGGTCTGTTACCACCAAAGGTAGAGGTCCCTTCGAGAGACCTAACATTCCTCAGTCTGCCAGGATATTCATCCACCACCAACCCTTCGACAATCCTTTCTCTGACGGATGATTATCTTAATCATCATCTTCATTCAGTGACTTCTATTTTCTCACCATCTATTCCCTCTGCACAACTGGCATGGTTTTTGATCGCAGGCTCGGGTGCTCATTCGCTCCCGACTTGTGCGTTCTACTTTGTGCTCTATGAACTCAAACCAATTGATATCATATACATGAAAATGATCCATGAGCGTATCAACTTGATTCCCATCATTGCTAAAGCCGACACAGTCTCAAAGAATGAACTTTGGGTCCTAAAGAAGAGGATGCTCCGTCAACTAAAGATGAATGGTATCAAGATCCATACCTTTGGGTTAGACATGGAGACAATTGAGAAGATGACTCAGCAGCGACAATGGGGCGCACCTCCCTTCGTTGTCAGCACTCGTGAAGACAGCGAGGGTCAACTTTTGGAAAGTGAGCTGAAACTGCTGATTGACTTGTGTTTGTACAAACGTATCAGACACCTACAGGAGGACGCCGCACGAAAAGTAATTGCTTGGAAGTAAGACATTTACCAACAGTCGAAACAAAACAAAAAACTTCTTTTGCTGCTGTGCAACTTTGCCACATATAATTTGTGAATTTCATTTTAATATTCACCTTTTTTCTTTTTAATTAACAGACGAACAATTGAACAAACAGGAAGACAAACAAAAACAAATGTGGAAAAAGTCTGGGAGAGAGGGGTTGCAAACACAAAGGACACAAAAACCAACCATGCGAATGGCTTTACGACAAATACCACTCCAGTTGCTGCTGTGGCGACTGTCAATGCGAGCACCTTTGTGAACAACCACAGCAACGGCTCATATTTTACTCAAGCCGACATGCTCCCTTCGGTCTCCAGCCCTGTAAACCAGATCATCCCTGGACAATATGCGCCCCCTCCCTCTGTTCAACAGCAACAGCAGCAGGTCCTGACCCCGCCCACGCCTGCGCCACAAATTAACGGCCAACTAGCATCCCCAATCAACCTGCCTTTCACCCCACCTCCGTCTGGTAACTCTTCTAGTCTTGATAAGACCGACGTTTCTACCAACTTTGGGTTATCTCTCACTGGCTATGCACCTCCACCAAGCTTTAACAACGGAGCGACTACAGGATACAGTGCGCCTCCTTCCTCCTTTAATAAACCAGCATCTCTGGGGGCCGTATCATCAGCGTATCCAGTTCCTGGGACTGCGGCAGTTATTCCCCCTCCTCCTTCATCATCTCACGCTCACCCTAGTCAGTACACCGCTACTACAATATACTCACCTCTCCCAAAGACAACATCCGCCAACTCGGTAGTTAATGCAATTACTCCACCCATTCAGTCGCGTCTGCCCCTTGGGCATACCGTCACTGGTTTATCTGTCGACAACTCAACACGCCCAACTGAACTTACTGGGGAGAATGTCCAGGAGACGGTACCAGATGCCCGGCGATCGTTCATGGAGAGTTATACGCCAAAGGCTACGGGTGCAGCGGATGGTGTACATTCCTCGCCTACACTGGAAGCGGCTTCCAGTGCTTCTGCTGGCGCTGAAGAGTAAGAACGCCGTTTGTTTGTTTGTTTTTTTTTTTTTTTTTTTTTTTTTTTTTGTTTGTTTGTTTATCTGGGGTTTTTCTTTTTCTTTTTCTTTTTCATATCTGAGCGTCATTCTTTTAATGGCTAGCTAATCATTATTTACTGTTATCATTGCCCAACCAAGTAGGATAGAGGTCAAAGTAGAGATTCCAAATTCGGGAAGTTCGTACCAGCCATCAGCACAGGATTCTATAACAGACTTTAGCAAGCAACTGCCTCCAACACCACAACTACAACAGACTTCATTCCTCTTGCCAGGAGGCTTCCAGCCAGCTGGAGCTTTCCTTATTCCTCCACATGACCTTTACCAGGCGACGCTCATGCCAACTGTTATTGGGGCAGCAGGAACGAACGAATATGGCGAGGCCTATCCAGACATTTGGGAAGCAGTTGAGCTTGGGGATGTGGCCACTGTTCAGATGCACCTCAACAATGGTGTTTCACCAGATCTTCGCAACACTACCCGCTCCACATTATTACACAGGACTGCATGGCAAGGGGTGAAGCCGTTTGCGGTGATGAAGTTACTCATCTCTTATGGTGCAAATGTCAACCTGACGAACGAGAATGGGAACACGGTTTTGCAAAATGTATTGATGAAGCATGATGATGTAGGGCTGGTCAAGTTGTTACTCGACAATGGTGCAGAGACTATGATCCCCAATAAGGAAGGGATGAATGCTCTTGAGGTGACAGCGTTGTTCAACAAGGTGGAGTTGGCACGCTATTTATTAGAGAATGATTTATCGTCCTCGGAACCGCAGAGTATCATTAATGCAATGCAACGTGTGCGTAGTCCAGATAAGAGGGCCATGAGGGTCCTTCTCAAGAGCTGGCAAGGCAAGGACGGAGAGAAAAAGCGGTTGGAGCTGATGGAGAGGTTGAGGAATCCGCCGTCCAGTCATGGAAGCCATCAATCACAACAACATAGTCAGCATCAACAACAGAGATCTAGTGATGCTGCCAGTGTGCGCAGTTTTGAGACGACCAAAGGAGACGGAAAGTAAGTTTTTGTGAACCGTATTTTATCCTTGCATTACAATGTTTTTTATTTTTTTTACTTTTTTGATTCTGACCCATCTATCTATCTATCTATCTATCTATCTATCTATCTATATATGCCTCTTCTACTTTAGGTCTAGCAAGTGGTTAAAACTAAAGTTTTAGGATAGTTTACAGTAATGAGTTATGCCCCATACTATCATATTCTTTCTAATGATGATAACACGTTTAATGAGCATTTTTAAAAGTCAAATTAAAAAATAAAAAAGTAAAATGTGATGACTAAATTATTAAATTACTGATTTAGGCATTTTAATTTGATCAAGGCGTAAAGAAAATATAAATCTGGCTTTGCTGCGGGATTGTGGGTGGCTGGGTTTTGAATGGCCGCAGCAAAAAAAAAAAAAAAAAAAAAAATATTGTTCGTTGTTCGTGTGCTTAAAAAAGCTCTTTTTTCTTTTCGCTTTCTTTTTTTTTTTCATTATCACAAAAAAATAAACTCAACTCGTCTTTATACGACAACAACTGATCTATAACACTTTTCCATCCCATCCTATCCTTCCTTTCACATTTTAACACTCATATACAAAGACACATTCAAAAATGAGCTCAGCCTGGTTTGACGTTAGATGCAATTCATCCAGCTCCAGTAGCTTTGCCTCTAGACTTGGCATACGAGACACTGACACCGAACAGAATACCAGGGTAAGGAAAAGGCTTCAATCTTGACTCTTGTCTTGCTTTGTCTTGTCCTGCCTTGCCTTTCCTAGCCTTGCCTTTCCTTTTTTTTTTCCTTTTTGATTCTTGATATCAATTATACTAAAAAAACTCTTTCAGACATTAAAACAGCCTTCAATAGAACAGTTGGTTGATAAAGCACAAAGCAATGCTGGTCTGTTGTATGAAATGATCACAGCCATAAACGAACAGAGTGAGACTCTTTCCACCTTTGAACAAAACGATCTTATTCAGGTAAACAGAACTAGACTTTTTTTTTTTTTTTTTTTTTAATTTTTTTATTTTTTAAAGGGGGGTTTCGACAGTAAATTGTATGGTGTTGCATATCATGCATGACTTGCATGATAAACATGAATGAAATACTATGATTTTGTCACACGTAATGAACATTATATTCTGTATTTTTTTGAAAAAAAAAAAAAAAAAAAAAAAGACTTTATATCGCGAGTGCCAAGAAATGACAAATAACCTTAATGAGCGTATCTGGGAAAGCTCTGGCTCAAGTTCCATTGGACTATCTCAGTCTTCTGAATCCAATGTGAACGATGAGGCACAAACTGGTATGTATTGGACAAACAAAATGCATCACCTTTTTCTTTTATCACTACTATCATTACTAATTTATTGTTCTTTTCCTTTTTTTTTTTTTTTTTTTCCCTTTTTTGTAAAGTATTATTAATTTCATGCCTTGAACAGGTTCAAACTTCACTACGCCGATATCAAGAATGCAAGGATTTTTTGAGCGCTAAAGCGATGCAAGAGGAAGAAAATGCACTTGAACAGGCCTATGTGTCAACCCAGCCCATCGACCACATTCAAGTTCATGGACGTCATATTGACAACAGCAGCACTTTTGCTGCTGCTGCTGCTGCACTAGATAATCACAAAGCCAGTGATGACTATTATGATCATGGCTATGTCCGTGACAAAGAGGATTACGATCAAGGCTATACCATGGATCAATCATTCCTATCTCACTTTCGCGAATCAGACGAACCCTATGCTTCATGGCATTTGGATCCTCGAAAGGATTTCAAGGCTAACCAGTCAAAGCTGAAGACTGGGATTAGTATGGAGCAAATACGACAGCTTTGCAATGAGCGAAAGATGAAGAGATGGGTAGAAAAGAATCCTCAAAACAGTGTTCATGGAATCAAAGAAGATCCACTGAAGCTTAGGCCTGAAATGTTGACATTGGATGATGCTACCCAGGAAGACGACCTTTTGGAAGGAGCTGCGACTGAGGAGCCAAAGGAAGCTGAAGACCATGCAGAAGAATCAAGCGCTCGGCTGAAAGTAGAAGAATCAAAACCAACCACTTCATTGGAACTAAAAGAGTCAAAGTCAAGCTCTCCAATGGGAGTAGAAGAGAATGGAGGACAAAAAGAGAACTTTGAGTGCATTCAGACCAGTGGAGATAAGGGTAATGATGATATTGGGAACGAAGAAGAAGGTGGTAAAGCTGTGCAGGTGAAGAAGGATGAACAAGACGAGAAGGTATCAGCTAAGGCTGAAAAGGATGACGACAAGGACGACAACGACGACAAGGATGCTTTATCTGATGAATCATGGGAAGAAATCCCTGAGCATGGCATTGCGAATCTGCTGGTTGAGGATGAGAACGGACTGGAATAAGCGAGATGCAGCGTGGAACAAAATTTGTCATTGTCGCTGTTGTCGTCTCTGTCCTTATCATCCTGAAATACCAAGCCAAATACTATACTGCTATACTTTTGCTCTATCACTATTGACCAACGATTGTTAAGAGTTGTAAAATAAACAGAGATGGCCGCAGCGGCATAAATGGCGATGTGACTCGTGGCTACTCTTTTTCCATTTTATTTTATTTTATTTTATTTTTTTTCATATTGTCATGAATACTACAAAATCAATGTTCCTGAATCATTTTTACCGAGCAGGTCTTAAATTACTTGAGCAGATCCTCCTTTTTTTTCATGATCTCGGCAATCCATTGTTCCCTTTTCGCTTTCTCGAGCACTGTGCTCTTTCTTGCCTATCCAATTTGCAGTTGAAGAGACAACTCTGTGGTGGTGATATCCTGAAGAGAAAACCCCTCTGGCGCATGTTAAAAATAGAATGAATTGAATTCTAATCTTGATTCTATCGCTCATTGCGACAAGGTTGACAAGGTTCTCTCGCACAAATGCTCCAAGGCCAAGGTAGACAGACTTTCTGAAGGGCTTTGTGCGACTTTTATTTCCCCAAGCCGTTCTTTAAGGGTGCAAAATAAAAAATAAAAAAAATAAAAAAAAACCGTTGTTATGGTACTATTACATTCCCAAAAGAAACATCTTTATACATTTCACAGTTTGAAAGCCACCGGTAATCTTTCATTGAGGTAAGTTATGCACGACTCTTTGAATAACTACAAAGCAAATGCTCAATGATTAAATAGAATTATCTTTCAACAGCAAGCAGTGGAATAATAATGCTCCTGCAGGATGCCTTTCGACCACTACAGGATTTGAAAGCACAACTGAAAATACCATCGATCCAATCGTTGCTCTAGGAACCTTTTTTTTTTTTTTTTTTTTTTTTTACAAGCAGAAGAGGATATGGCGGCAAGCGCCGAGTTGGAAAAAGACATAAAGTTCATAGAGGGATTTAAGTAAAGCATGGTAGAGCGGATGATTTTGACAAAGTGCCATGAGGAAGGTACAAATGAAGGCTACTTCCAAGGCTACACAACCTCCAGCTCGATAAAAAGATAATTCAAACCAAAGGAGTGGGGATCCCCTAACATCTATCTTTAATACTGCGAGTTGTAATCATTTTTCATTTTTTTTATTTTTTACTTTTTTATTTTTACTTTTAATAGTATAAGTACATGGCCTTAAATTATACCTTGTTTAGCCCCTGTTCTGAGTATTTCTGATAACATCAGATCTACTTCCTCCCCAGTTAAATTCCAATACAGGTACAAACTTATCAAAGTCGCGTTGGTCTTGAGCGCTTCTGACAATGCGAGAGCTCCTTCATTCCTAATTTTGTTCTTCCACAAGCCCAACGTGGTTAAAGTTGTGTTGGTTTTGACCTCTAACAGTGCCAGGGCCCCTTCTTTCCCAACAGACTTGCTCTCCAATTCCAAATTGATCAAGGTCATGTTGGCCTTGAGTGCCTCCGAAAGTGCGAGAGACCCTCCGTTCCCAAATGGGTAGTCGTTTGAGTACGCCTCCGCCCGATAATTGCTCCATAAGGAAGGTGTTCCAGAAGCCCAAACTGGTCAAAGTTGAGCTAGCCTTGAGCGCATTTAACAATACTAGGACCCCTTTCTTAATTAGGTTGAACCGCAAATCCAAAGTGATTAAAGTCGTATTAGTCTTTAGTATCTCAGAGAATGCAAAGGCCCCTTCATTCCCAATTGAGTTGTTCGTCAAGACCAAAGCGGCCAAGGTCGCGTTGACCTTGAGTGCCTCCGATAATATAAGAGCTCCTTTATCCTCAATGTTGTTGAGATGCAAGTTCAAACAGGTCAATATCATGTTAGTCTTGAGTACCTCTGACAGTGCTGTAACTCCCTTCTTCCCAATTGGATTGGTATGCAAATCTAAATATGTCAAAGTGGTATTGTTCCTGAGTGAATCTACAAGTACCCGAAAAGCACTACCTTCAATCCTTCGAGGTCTCATCTCAAAGGATAATCGTTGAAGATGTGCCGGTTTTCTGCTTGGTAAATTGGAAAGTTCGATATGATCCGGAGATAGTACAATACTGATCGTTTCATTTTGCGGGACTCTATATTGCGTAGATATTGACTGTAGTCCCCTGGTAAAGCTCCCTTGAGAATCTCCAAGATCTAGTCAAAGAATCAATACACTTGATCTATCTAGTGCTTCCTCAAGTGCTTCAAGATCAGCTTTGCTCCATCCCCATTTAAGCGTGATATCCAACTCGTATACTTGCTTTGCATTGACCAAGGCATTATATTCTTCAGCCCTGGTTCTGGATCCCAATTTGTTGACCACTCCACCAAAGTGTGGGGCATACTTGCCACGGTTCACCTCCACAACATTTTTGAGCGCCATCTGTTCTCTCTCTCTCTATAATTCGAATGATAATGATGAGGATAAACCCATTTGACATGCCCTGTTTCTGTTGTTATTCTGTACAAGTTGTCAAGCTTGCTATCTTCATCATTAGTTTGAAGGAACGTTCTCACCTGACGGAGACCTGTTTCTTCAAGTAGTTCATAGTCATCAATTGTGTTAATGTTATTCAAGGCTGGATACGCCTTGGAGAGCTCATTCAAGTGGTTGAGTGAATGATCAATACAGTTTTTGCGATTTGGGACTGGTGCAAGAGGGGCAGCCAGAGGTATTCCTACTTTGAGGCACTGTAAAAGGATGACCATGTGTTTCCCATACTGTTGAAAGAACTCTGTGTTGTTTCGGATATCATATCATTCATGATTAGCAATGTGGATTCGGTTCCGGTTATCTTTGCTTGTCTTTACAGAGTGATCCCCCACATTCACATAGGAAGTGAAGGCGGAACTCGTTCCTCAAGACATTCATTGGGTCCCAATTGGCGTGGTCGAGAGGTAAAATGATAAAGAGTTGAGAGATTGGATACTCGTGTAGCTCAAAGACCTGAACAAGGATAGCTTCAGCTTCCTTTTGGAGTATAGCAAGTCTGTCGAGCGCTTGCTCTTGCAAATTTTTCATCTCCTCCTGCATCGCAAATATCTTCTCATCCTTCTCCATAGCCTCCAATTGCAGCTTAATCATATCTGATTATAGCTTAATCATTTCATTGCCCTATTTTCGGCTCTCATCAGCAACTCCTTAATCTCTTCGTACTGAGAGTTGGAGTTCTCGTTATTGTGAACAGTAAGAGATGAGTTGGAAGATTGAATAAGGTTGGATAATGACAATAGAGCGTCATGAAAGGCCAGATTTTTCGACTCTTTTGATATCGGCAAACGGGCGATAGCGTTGCTGTTGCTGTTATTATTGTTGTAGTTGCAGGACTGCGTTTATCCTGTAATGACATCCAGGATCTTGTCAGGATAGAGCGCAATACGTGGAGGTTCAATCCTAATGGAGTAGAAAAAAAAGTCGTGCCAAATTGGGTTCTCTTCTCTTTATTTTCCTTTCCAGAGCAATTGATAAAACAAATATGCCTGTTGTCATCAGCGTCTAAAAGGAATGGGATGGGATCCCATCCACCTTGAATCGATGTGCATCCAGAAATACATCTACAATGTCTCGCAGAAATTGTTGGTATTGAGGTTCTGTCATTTCGGTAATAATTCGAGGGATGATGATAAGATGAATTCTTTTTCCATTTCTCTATTTTAAGTAAGAGATGTGAGTGATCTAATGTGACAGCTGGATGTTTTGCTCCTGATTCTTTGCTTTCATCTTCATCAAGGATCAATCTGGAATCTGTGCGAGACGCTAAGGGGGAACTCAAGGATAAAGCTCTTCCTTGGATACCTCGCTCATAATCAGAAACGAAAATGATTGTCTTTTATACAAAATAGATTTAGATCTTTTAAAGATGCATTTGGCTTAGTATCTATCCCATTATGGTGTAATCGAAGGATAGAAAGAGCAATCCCTAGTCCACGCGCATACTTCAAACAGGACACAAACCCATGTATCCATATTGTATTTTTCTTTTTTTTTAAAAAAAATTCGTTCCTGTCGCTCCTGTCAATAAGAGAACCATTCACTATATAAAATCCTTTTAATTGATTCAAAACCTCGGATCCATCACATGGGCGAAGCACTGCACAATGTAGCCATATAATATATATTGTAAGCCAGTCACCTCATTTGTAAAAGATTAATCATCTTATTGCTCTATCTATACCCTTTATCCAAGAGTAATCCTAGTTTTTTAATTTCATTCAATTTTATTTTTTTCTTTTTCTCTTTTTTTAACAAACAGAGTTCGCACATGGACCAGTTGTGCTAAAGCCAAGACGATCGATCATAGCCACATGCCACACCTTAGCGGACGGATAGGAGAGCTATCCTTTACAGTGAATCTTCCGGGAGACGTAGCCTTGAAGCGTGCTGTTCAATGACCTTAACAGCGTTCGTGTATTCATTATGGTACTCGAGCGAAACCCAAGCTGGTTCCTCTTTGTTAATTGGGGATCCAAAAATACTAGATAGTAAATGGCAAAAATGCACAGGTTCATTGATCAGTCAAGTGCGGTGCGCTGTTATGGCTGTGCTGTTCATACTGATAGCTCAAGACGCGTTTTTTTATGGCTTGACTTGACCTCTATACTCACCTCTCTCAATCGTATCATCAGACTTTAATCATAGCAGGAGGGCAAACCATTAATTGCTGGTCTCAATCAATGCATCCTGACGGGATAAATTTACAGCACTCTGGGATGAAAATACAGCCAGCGGATTCATGCAAGATCAAGCATTATTTTCCCAGCCCTGCCACTTCAAGAGGCGAAGCTGAAAAACAATCAACTAGCATCTCCTAACATTGAGAAATGAGACAGCTTTTTCTCTTTTCTTCATCTTGTCATCATCCCTTGAATCACCACCGAAATGACAGAACCTCAATACCAACAATTCCGATACAACAACGTCCTCGAGGAAGTTTGTATCAGAACTGCCTCCATCTCCACAAGCAATGGCAACTTGTCGTGCTATGTGACCTTGCAAGACATTCGACAAGTGTTTCCAGGTGCGCACCGATTCAAACTAAATGGGCATCCTGTCCCTTTCCTTGCAGACCATAACGGCAACTGGTAAATTATATATAATTATGGCGACTTTGTCAATTGCTCTGAAAAATAAAAAGAACCCAATTTGACAATTTGGCACGTCTTTTTTTCTAATAGGATCGAACCTTTGCGCATTGCATCCTATCCTGGCATGATTCTAGACGTCTTTGCGGAAGTATCACAGTCCAGTAGTGGCAACAGCGAAAGCAACAGTAGCAGCAATGCCGTTGTCTATTTGCCGACATCGATAGACTCGGTGAATCTGACTGCTCAGGATCCTTCTTTGCCTTCATCAAACTTGGTTCAAGCTTACAACCCATCTCTTATTGCTCAAAGGTTGGAAGAAATTAAAGAGTTGGCACTAGAGGGGATTAAACTGCATCATCAAGCCCTTGACAGACTTGCCATCCTTCAACAGAAAGCTGATGCTATCCTTGTCCAGACCTTTGAGCTACATGAGTATCCAATCCCTCGACTCTTTATCATTCTGCCTGTTGACAGCACCAACTGGGACCCGATGAATATCTTGAGGAACAAGGTTCGCCTTCACTTCCTATGTGAATGTGAGGATCGCTCTGAAAAGGCAAGCAAAGACAGCCAGAAGAACAAAACCCATCTTGCCAGACATGAAGGATATGAGATCCGAAACAGCACAGAGTTCTTCCAAAAGTATGGGAAATACATGATCATCCTTTTACAGTGCCTCAGCGTAGGGATGCCTTTGGCTGCCTCGCTTGGGTCAGTCCCAGATCTCAAAGCCGGTATTGATTATTCACTCGACTATATGAGAACACTTTCTGTTGAGTATCCGGCCCTGAAAGACATCAACACAATCGAGGACTATGAAGCACTTGAAGGAGCAGATCTCCGAGGACTGAGCAAATTCCTTCAAACCAATGATGAAAACAGGCAGCTTGGCAATTTGTACAGGACTACGACCGAAAGGGGGCATGTCAAATGGGTTTGTGTCGATCACTATCGCTCAACGTATAAAGAGAAAGAACAGAAATCGTTTGAAGATGTTGTGGCGATGAATGGAGGCAAATATGACTCACAGCTCGGTAAAGTGGTCATTGAGTTGGAATCTAGGATCAGAGCTAGAGAGTTCTTCGAAGCCTTGACCAAAGCTAAACATATTTACGAGTTGGAGATCACATTCAGCAAGGACTGGGATTGGACCAGGACTGATCTGGAAGCGCTGAAGAATGCACTAAGCGTATCGAGTGTATCGATCCTTCGACTTGACCTTGGAGAATCTCAAGGAAGCATAGTCAGGAAACTACTTTCAACAAGGCATGAAAAACTTGTAGGCATCATAGAACTTAACAATATGAAGACGATTCATGTTGTACTTCCTCCGGAAGCCAAACATCTTTCCAATCTACAAAGCGTAAAATCGTCACATCTTCACAAGTTATCCATTGGGATGAGGCCTCGAAGGATGAGAGCTAGTGAATTTCCACCGCTTATAAATTCACTCGAGGCTTTGGCCACTTTGGACTTAGCATCTAACTCGATTGGGAATAAAGAGTCCCTCGCACTTTCAAAGGCACTCAAGACAAACACCAGTCTGACCGATTTGGTCTTGAGTTACAATTCAATTGGGGATGAAGGAGCTCTGGCACTGTCAAAGGCACTCAAGACAAACTCCAGTCTGGCCAATTTGAACTTGATGAGCAACTCTATTGGGGATGAAGGAGCTCTGGCACTGTCAGAGGCACTCAAGACAAACTCCAGTCTGAGCATTTTAGATCTGCGAAGGAACTCAATTGGGAAGAAGGGGGGTCTGGCACTCATGGATACGCTCAACAGTGGCACGGCTTTAAGCACTTTAGGTTTGTGGGGCAGCTTAGTTGGAAAAGGAGAGGTTCATGCGCTGTCAGAGGCACTCAAGACTAATACCAGTCTGACCAATTTGAACTTGTACGGCAACTCAATTGGGAAAGAAGGAGCTCTGGCACTGTCAGAGGCACTCAAGACAAACACCAGTCTGACCAATTTGAACTTATACAATAACTCAATTGGAGATGAAGGAGCTCTGGCACTGTCAGAGGCACTCAAGACAAACACCAGTCTGACCATTTTGGACTTGAGTTGGAACTCAATTAGGAATGAAGGAGCTCTGGCACTGTCAGAGGCACTCAAGACAAACTCCAGTCTGACCAATTTGAACTTGTACGGCAACTCAATTGGGAAAGAAGGAGCTCTGGCACTGTCAGAGGCACTCAGGACAAACACCAGTCTGGCCAATTTGAACTTGACGGACAACTCAATTAGGAATGAAGGAGCTCTGGCACTGTCAGAGGCACTCAAGACAAACACCAGTCTGACCAATTTGAACTTACGATACAACTCAATTGGGAATGAAGGAGCTCTGGCACTGTCAGAGGCACTCAAGACAAACACCAGTCTGACCGGTTTGAACTTGTACAATAACTCAATTAGGAATGAAGGAGCTCTGGCACTGTCAGAGGCACTCAAGACAAATACCAGTCTGACCGATTTGGACTTACGGTACAACTCTATTGGGGATGAAGAAGCTCTGGCACTGTCAGAGGCACTCAGGGCTTTAAAGGTTTCTGTATGAGGAATACTTTAATCGATAAGTAAATAACTCTGGTGCTGTTAATGCCGCTTATTATTGGCTGGCGTTGATTTAGTTGGTTGGTTTGATCATTGAAGTAGTGATGAGGTCTTAGTGGTTACGGATAGTAGTTTGATTTGGATTAAAAGCTGACTTACGGCAGCTAAGCGTCCGTAGCAGCGCTGCTTTTTTTTTTTTTTCTTTTTTTTCTTTTTTGATCGATTCTTCCTCCCCTCGCTTGCTAATGGCTCTAGCATGCGTGGATTATTGAAAGCTCATCCTTTTGTAGCCTCTCTCTAAAGGCAAACCAAATATGGCCATCAAATGCATTATAAAGACAGAGAGACGTGTGAGCATCAAAGAAAAGTGTCCAAGGGAATTTGGGTTTTCTATTTATTAGCCCCAAGGGAAACTAAGAGAAAATAAGATGGGGAAATATCATCCCGTCATCAAAGGATGGGAACCACGAGTGTTCCCTACTCTTCAGTATACCCTAAAGAAACTTATAAACTGTACAGCAAGACCGGACGCTTGCTGAATCAGATGCAAAGAGTACCAAAGAGGATATAAGTGCCAGAGACATCTAGAAGTGTGTGTGGCAGTCAAAGTAGGGTCCTAACGAAGGAGTAGGCTGTTGTGGGATGTCATCCCGGTAAGGACCACCTAAAGTTAGACAGAAGAGAACTAAAAGGCGATGTTCTCCACTGAGGCCATAATTGGTAGGAGTGAGGTCCTTTGGCCAGAAGCTTTATTACAAATGGTTGCAAAAAAGACACGCTGAATGGGTGGTCTCTAATTGAAGGGTCTACATAGAGCAACCTAATACATATTTTTTTTATCCATACATTTTTCAAAGCAGTTTTTCTTTTATGCTCATCTCTACGCCTGTGAAGCTCCAAGGTCCTCCTTGGCATATTTCTATAAGTCCTGTAATGAATGACTTTGTAATAAAAGAAAACAGAGACAATATATACTCACCATGAGAAATATATTACTCGTATATAATGAGTCCAGTTTTATTATTATTATTATTATTATTATTATTATTATTATTATTATTATTATTATTATTATTTATGGCTGTGAATCTTGAAGAATTCGACCTTCTGCTTTTTATTAGATTTGGCATAGCAACACTTAAAGTCCTATATCTTCTTACATGTTCATGCTACAGTCGTGATTGCATAGAATGTGTTTTATGCTGGAGACAGATATGAAGTCAAAGTGACTAGCCATCAAATGAAGATGAAGGCTATTTTTCCAGTTCAGTTCTTCAGCGAATCTCCCAACAAACAATAAGCCCGATGCTAACAGATACCACAGAGCTGAGGTTACCCAATTGTACATTATTGGCGAGAAATAACCAAGAGCGGGGCAAATTTTGTAAAAATCCCTTCTAGTCTTATTGTGCCATACACCAACACACAAAAAAATGAGTCCAAGGTAACCGATCAGTCAACTTTTCTTTTTTGCTACTTAGGAACCTATCTATGTATATAGGCACTGGCCATACTTGTAGTAAATAAAGCCCCCATCTATATACGCCAAAATTGTGTATGGTTTAATTTCAACTTGACCCCTTATTATGCCAGTTCAATATAGACTTTCATTAAACCTCTTGTGCCTCCATGACATCCTAGATAAAGACCTTTATCGCCTGAAGGAGCTAAGAAGGGGTCATTAGTGCTATACTATGTCCGATAGGGTAAATTCAGTAGTATTCAAAGCCAGCAGGATCAGGCGTCATCGCAGGCGATGTACGATTCGAGAATGGGCGACACAAAACGCGTAGTGGCAGTAAATAAATTGGAAACAATGTTGATATTACTGCAAGTAAACAACAATAACAACAACAGCATCTTATCTTCCATGAAGAGATCACCTTGAAGGGCCAACCAATCTGAGATCTCCCAGGAGGATCGACTCAGCTTCTGGATGTAGGAAGAAGCCTGGCGACTTGTGAAGTATTTCTTCCCACCAAAGGTATGTTGGTCCCTTAGGCTGCAGGCAGTAACTTTTCACTCATGTAGACAAAATGGAGCGGGAGAAAAAATTACACATGTCTCATTTCGCGCATTTTTATTTTAATTTTATTTTATTCTTTTTTTATACAGATAACGTAAAGTATATGTACCCAAAGCTGTGTCCTGTTTAGTGCCTGGTTCTGAGTGCCTCTGATAGAGCCAGGTATACTTCCTTCGCGATTGACATATGACTCAATTCCAACCTTGTCAAAGTGGTGTTGATCTTGAGTACCTCTAAAAGTACGAGAGCTCCCTCATTCCCTACTGAGTTCCGAAACAAGTTCAAATTTGTCAAAGTCTTGTTGGTTTTGAGCGCCTCTGAGAATGCGATGGCCCCTCTGTTCCCTACTTTGTTGTCCCCCAAGCTCAAGTCTGTCAAGGCGGTGTTGACCTTGAGTGCCTCTGAGAGTGCGAGGGCTCCATTCTTCCCAATCAAGTTACTCCCCAAGCCCAAACTTGTCAACGCCGTATTGATCTTGAGTGTTTCTGAAAGTGCTATGGCTCCTTCGTTCCCGATTGAGTTATTCCACAGGCTCAGATTTGTCAAAGCCTTGTTGGTCTTGAGCACTTCTGAGAGTGCGAAGACCCCTTCCTTGCCAATTGAGTTCCAAATCAAGTTCAAACTTGTCAGAGTCTGGCGCGTAATTGCAGAATTTATGCCCTTCAGTTATCGCACTGGATCATCTCACCAATCGAAAGCTCTGGGATATGGGATCGATGCTGCTACCAGCCACCATCCCTTTGCATCATGCGAGTGATACCCTCAGTTTCACTCTGATATTATATTAATATATCAGCATTTCTATTGCAAGTTTTTTTTTTATTTTTATTTTTTTATTTTTTTTTATTTTTGGATAAATGCATTCTATACCCTTCCAAAAATAATCAGACCTCAATGGCGGGTATCTTCAGTCCTCGATAAATGGTAAAACCAGACCTCAATGATACAGTGGTCATCAAAAGTCATTCAATGATTTTGAATTTTTAACATTCTCATTCCTTTTCTTCATTCTCATCTAGCATGTGGCTAGTATATTTGGGGTAGTGCATTTGTTCCCCACACCTCATGATTACTTTCATGTCTCATTCCTAATTATGACTTCATTGTGAAATAAAACCAATTTCAATTTGACCTGTCTATTGAATGACTTTGCTGATTTTGAATGTTGATTGCAAAAAAAACTTTTTCACTTCTCTTTTTTCTACCAAGATTACCTTCAGCTATATCTTCATACACCTCTACTTACAATTAACATTCCACATCGCTTAGTATTTATTATGAGGAGGCTTTCTATGGGAAAGGTACAAAATGCTCAGGCCTTACTTCGACAAGGGAAGTCTACAAGCGAAGTGGCAAGGCAACTTGGTATCTCTATTTCATCGGCAATAAGGATCAGGAGGGACGTCAAGGACAATATTCCTAAACCCAGAATGGGCAGACCCTCATTGGTTTCCCCTGCTACCAAGAGGGTAATTGCACGCGAGGTTGATACGGGGAAACTTAGATCCATTCTGGCAGTTCAAGAATACATCAGATCGAGCCATGGAGTGCATGTCAGTGTAGAGACTGCCCGACGCTATGTAAAATCAGAGGGTTTGAAAAACTATGTCCGCCCATTCAAGCCTAGGCTGACAAAAATGCAGATTGCGAAAAGGAAGAATTTTGCCCTCAACCACCTTGACTGGACTGTTGATGACTGGAAGCGAGTGATGTTCTCGGACGAAAAGCTTTTTGTAAGGCTAGGGTCCTTAGGAGGAAGAACACAATATAGGCGACCCGGCCACAGGTCTTTAGAAGATCGAGATGTTAGAGAGGGATCAAGGGGAGCACATAACAAACCTATGTGGTGGGGCTGTATCACTTATCATGGTATAGGCGATGGTTGCAGGATCCCTGTCACAGTTGATTCCTCTTTATATGTTGATGTTCTACAAGATTATGTCCTCGGCTCATGGAAGTGGTATGGCCAGGACCCTGAAAAGTTAATTTTTCAGCAGGACAATGCAAGTGTTCATACGAGTAGGATGGTTAAAGAGTTCTTTATTAAGTCACACATTACCACTTTGGAGTGGCCTCCAAATTTTCCTGACCTCAGCCCTATCGAGCATGTATGGGCCTACATGGATCATCGACTCAAGGGATATGAGAAGGTACCAAAGGATCTGGATGAACTATGGGAAAGACTACAGGATATCTGGACATCTATTCCACCTGACTTCCTTCATGAGCTATATGAAAGTATGCCACGAAGGGTAGAGGAGCTTCATCGCAAGAAAGGAGGTCGTACACATTACTGAAGAACAGAAAAAAAAAAACAAATAAAGCAGTGCTCCTATTCGGTTTAAAATTTTGTCAATTATGATGTTTCAGATTAAAAAAATAAATATCAATTGACAAAATTTTAAACCGAATAGGAGCACTGAAATAAAGCAAAGCTCCTGTTTTTCTTCAAATGTCATTCAATGAGATGCCAATAATTGGCATTCATCTAAATTTTCAATTAGCAACAGGAGCTCATTGACATTGTAGTAGGCGTGACATTGTCGATGGTCGAACTCGCTACGTAAGTTTCATTAGCGACAAGCAAGATCAAATTGGAGAAAGGAATGAGAATGTCGAAATTCCTAATTCATTGAATGATTTTTGATGACCACTGTATGTGAAACAATCATAGTTTTCGTATGCTCGAGTAAAACCATTCGTCTTCTGCATATGAATATTTGACCTGATTTCAGCTTGTTGTGTACTTTTATTACTTGCGGAGATCCTACTTAAGATGGCTTCCTTCAAGCGTTCCATGCTCACTCAACAATGGCTTTTATGAAGCAAGCAATGTGCGGATTATGGGCAAGGGACTACATTTTGTTATCCAAGGAGAAGGATTAAAAACCAACGTTACTGTGGGTCTTTTGGTTGCCGCAAGACAGTTGTTTATTTGTAATAAACTACGTATATTTCCCTTAACCACTCAACACACGACCAGACAATGTGGGCCCATACCAGGCATAGGGCTCCACGGATAATGCTCAAGGAAGGGCCAAAGCGATATTTGGCCTGTGCACCCTTGTCAACGGAGATTGGAGTGTTGTCCCCTAGTTTTAAAGTGGTCAAAGTAGGACTGAACTTGAGCGCCTCAGCCAGTGCCAAAGCCCCTTCCATCCTAATCGGGTTTCGTTCCAAGCCCAAAGTGCCCAAAGTTGCGTTGACCTTGAGCGCCTCTGACAGCGCCAAAGCTCCCTCATTTCCAATTGAGTTGCGATGCAACTTCAAGGTCGTCAAAGTCGTGTTAAGCTTGAGCGCCTCTGCTAATGCCAAAGCTCCTTCATCCCCAATTGAGTTCCAATCCAAGTCCAAAACGCTCAAAGCCGTGTTGGTCTTGAGTGCCCACGATAATGCCAGAGATCCTTCATTTCCAACTGAATTCTCTCTTAAACTCAAATACCTCAAAGTTATGTTAGACTTGAGTGCCTTTGAGAGGGCTATAGCTCCTTCATTCCCAATTGAGTTGAGCCACAGGTCCAAAGATACCAAAGTCGTGTTAGACTTGAGTGCCTCTGATAATGCCAGGGCCCCTTCATCTCCAATTGAGTTCCAACTCAAGTCCAAGATAGTCAAAGTCACGTTGACCTTGAGCGCCTCTGACAGTGCTAGAGCTCCTGCTTTTCTAATTGAGTTACGATTCAAGTCCAAAGTGGTCAAAGCCGTGTTTATTTTGAGCGCCTCTGACAGTTCCAGAGCTCCTCCATCCCCAATCGAATTGCGCTCCAAGCCCAGAGTGGACAACGTCGTGTTAACTTTGAGTGCCTCTGACAGGGCCAGAACCCCTTCAACTCCGATTGAGTTCCAACTCAAGTTCAGGGTAGTCAAAGTTGTATTAACTTTGAGAACTTTCGACAGTGCGAGAGCTCCTTCTTTCCCGACTGAATTACAGCTTAGGTTCAAGGCGGTCAAGGTCGTGTTAGTCTTGAGTGCTTCTGACAGCGCCAGAGCTCCTCCCTTCCCGATTGAGTTCCATGTCAAGTTCAAAGTGGTTAAAGTCGTGTTGTCCTTGAGTGCCTCTGCCAGTGCCAGAGATTGTTCGTTTCCAATTGAATTCCAACCCAAGTCCAAGATGGTCAAAACCGTGAAGACCTTGAGCGACTCCACAAGTACTTGGAAATAACTGGCTCCAATGCCTCGAGGCCTAATCTCAAAGGAAAATTTTTGAAGGTGTGGCAGTCTTTTGGGCTGTAAAATAGAAAGCTGTAGGAGGTCCTGGGATAAGACTATATGAATTCTTTTCAGATTGTTAAGTCCAATGATGCGAGTAAGTATTATTCTATAATATGTGGGTGTTGAGAATGCTTTCCTGTTGTTACTATCTTGACATTGGTCGAGCTCAAGTCGAAGGGTTGATACACTTGAAGCCTTTAGTGCATTTCCAAATGCTTCAAGCTCAATCTCGGTCCAATCCCAGCTGAATGTAATATCCAACTCATGAACACATCTGACATTTCTCAGAGTACTGAAGAAATCCTCAGCGCCAGCCCTGGAGCGCAATATAATAGTCGCTTTATCAAGGTTTGGGTCGTATTTGCCATTATACACCTTGATTGAATTTGCAAATACTTCCTGCTCTTTTTCTTTGAATGTCGAACGATAGTGATCGACACAAATCCATTTGACATGGCCTGTTTCGGTCGTGATCCTGTACAAGTTGCCAAGTTGTTTGTCTTCATTGTTGATCTGAAGAAAAGTGCCTAGCTGCTGAAGATCAGGTCCTTCAAGTCCTCTGTAGCCTTCAGCTATGTTGATGTCGCTCAGGCTCGGATACTCAATAGAGAGTGCTTTCATATACTGAAGCGAATAATCAATCTTAGCATTTGCCAGCCTTGGGACAGATGCCAAAGAAGCGGACGACAGTATCCTCAACTTGAGCCATTCTAAAAGGACAAGCATGTGCTTTCCATACTTGCGGAAGAACTCCGTGCTATTTCGGATCTCATATCCATCATGTTGGACAATATGGATTTGGTTCTGGCTGCCCTTGCTAGGAGTTACGATGTGGTCGTCACATTCGCAGAGGAATTGAAGGCGGACCCTGTTTTTCAAGGTATTTGTTAGATCCCACTTTATATGTTCAACAGGCAGAAGTATAAACAGTCGAGGAAATAGAGAGTTTTGTAACTCAAAAGTCTGGAAGAGGATAGTATTAACATGCTTTTGGAGGATGGCAAGCCTATTGAAAGCTTGCTGTTGCAAGCCAATGATCATTTCATCCTTCTCTTTAGCCTCTAACCGTAGTTTCAGCATCTCGTCGTCCTTTTGTTTGGCTTCCAGTTGCAGTTTCAACACCTCCAGTTGCAGTTTGAGCATCCTGTCATTCTCCTCAGCTTTCAATTGCAGTTTAGCCATCTCTGATTGCAATTTAAGCATCTCGTTGTCCTTCTCTTTCACTTGCAAGAGCAACTCTTTAATCTGCTCAAAGCCAGGATCGTCCATATCGATTTGCGCGACATTATGAGCTATATGAGATGAGTCCGAAGATTGTAAAGAAGAGTCCTGAAGAGTCGAATTTTCCGACCATCTCGATGTTGGCGAGCGGACGGCGGAGTTGTTTTGGCAGCTGCTCTGCGGTATTTCTGTAATGACATCCAGGACCTTGTTAGGGTAAAATGCAATACATGGAGGTTCGATTCTAAAGGAACAAATAATAAACAAACAAAAAATCATGTCAAACTGAGTTCCCCTTATTTCTCTTTGATAAGGGACCGTGAAAATGGTATACCTGTGACCAGTAGAGTGAACAAGGAATGGGATGGACTGTCCATCCAATTTGAATCGCTGTGCATCTGGAAACAGCTCTCGAATGTCTTCCAAGCGCACATGGCAGAGCGAGTTGCCATTGCCTGCATCGGTAGAAGCAGTTCTGACACAAACCTCTTCAATGATGTTCTCAGTCCTTCGGAATTGTTGGAATTGAGGTCGTGTCATCTCGGTGATGGTTCAAGGAATGACAAGATGGTTTCTCTGTTTTTGATAACAGCATGCGGCTCTTTTTTTTTTTTTTTTTTTTTTTCTTGAACTTCGCCAAGGGAGTACAAGGCTTGATTGCTTGTCCCACTGGTCGCGCTTTCATCCAAGGATACAGTCCATTTGCGTCTTTGCGAGCAGAAATGGCTTTCGAATATTAAGTATAAGGCCCACAACAGCTGAAGACATGATCGGGCTATTAGTGTAGCCAACATAGTGGAATTAGCGCGTTGCATTTGGGTGATCAATAAATTGTGCGTTTCAGTGTACGCTCTGGAGATTTTTAGTATACGGAAGTCTGGGTTATGAATAAAACAGATATAGAAATTGGGCTTTGGCGTACTCTATCTTCCATCTCTATATCTATCCTCATGTTTACACCCGGTCTCGTCTATGATGCATATTGTCTTTATCCTTGGCAAAGATAACTAGGCAAATACTGTTCAACTGCTTTGTTTTGTTTGTTTTTGTAATTTAGTCAGAAGGAGGACTCAGAAAGAGCTTTTTGCTGAATTCAGAGTCGAAAAAAGTGTTCCAGGATATGAATGACTTCACAACAGTTACTTTACGATCAAAATCTTGAAGAGATAATCTTGATCTGTTGCACCATAGTAGGCTCGCCTTTGGTTTGCTCGTCCCAAGTTGATAGCGGGTATCGACCGACCCAATGTGAAGCGTAACAGATGGATGCTTTGCCTTCTCTTTCCCGTTTAGCATTGAACAATGCTGTCCTGGTTGTAATCTCACCTGGGGTGAGGCCCTTATTTAGGCAAACACAATTATCCAATTCTTTTGCTATCCTTACCCTTTCTACAGCGTTACTCTGCCTTTACTTCGTCTTCTCTTCTACAGCCCAAATAGGCTAAGCTGGAGAGTTTCGTCAAAGGAGCTACATAATTCATCATGACTTCCTCATCAGAAGGGAGAGCCTCCAAATCTCGCTTTTGCCATTGCAACTCGCATAAGCAATCCTTAATATATTGGGTCTGTGTGGTTGGGAAACATTTGGAGGGTAGGCATAACTGTAGATGATCATGGAGTAAGGCTTTCGCCCCGCCCTACTCAGGGCATTCCCTTATGGGATTGCACAGACGTGGGTATGGAAAGACATAAGAAAGTTTGACCAGACTCGAATAGGTACTGTCCCTAGTAAAGTGTTTTAATCTGTCCAGTCATTAAACTGCCTTGTTACGCGTCACTTGGTCAATCTCTGGATACCGATGAAAGAGGCCGTGATCTGTGATGGAAATGGTCTCCTTGATATTCTGGTAGGCATTGACATTGGCCTGGCCGACGAAATGATCAATGTGAGTGGTATGAAGCCTCAATGACAACTTTTTAGAGATACAGTTACTGAGTACTCAATTTAACGTTTTAAATTAAGACAGTGGTCCGTGCTTTTTTTTGACAAGGAACAGCCCATTGGCATTACCAACGTGGCAATATTAAATACGAAGGATAAGTGTTTAGTGATCCATGCATAAATTATGGAATATAAAGCTGTATCGTGCCTCTTACGTTACACTAATGTCGTGGTAGCATTTTTTTATTTGTCCACTCCCGTTTGTTGGCTCCAAGTAGGAGGGGATAAGCTAGACCACATATTGATCTCATGGCGTGTTGCTTATTAAATGGTCTACCTCCACACTACCTGCGAGAGTTTTAGAAGATCAGAAAATCAGTGTCTGCAAGCATACTTCACCAACCTGGATGGTGGCTTATTTTGACCTAATATTGTTAGTCTTTTTCCCCTATAGGACGGCCATCATTCGAATTGCTTTTGTGTTGTGCGTTGTCAAGGCTCAAGATCTGATGAAAAGAGCACTTTTGCCTCTAACTTTCCCACTGATAGAAATTTTGAAGAAAAAAAAAATTTGTAAAGATGTAACTTAAGGGTAGTCTGTCAAAATCTTTGAACTTTCGCCCCACCCCACAAACATTATTAACACACATCTTTTTTTTATTTTACAATTTAGCAACAACAACATTAATAATGTCATTAGCAGACGACTTTCTTGCAGATATCGATTATGAGGAGGCCGAGACCGTCACTCAGGTGCAAGAACCAGCACATGCAGGCTCATCCTCTTCTCGACAGAATCAGAATGGAGATCATGACATGGAGGAAGATGACAATAACAATGACGACGACTTTGACCCTGACATGGAGAGCGAAGAAGATAGTGCACTTGCCGCTATGATGCGTGATGTCCAGACTGCCAAGAATGCTAGGGATATTGCAAAACTGATGGACTCTACAGAAATGAAATCTATTTTGCGGGTAATGCTGAATGGAATAATATTCTTTTTTTTTTTATTTTTATTTTTTTTTATTTTTTTGGATTGCAATTTAGGCTCACTGCCTTCTCCTCCTCCTCCTCCTCCTCGTGCTTGCTGCTCAATGATCTAACACAAAGCGTTTTTTTTTTTTTTTTTTTTTTTTTTTTCCTGCTCTTAATAGGATATTGCACATTACAAAACTGAATCAAAGTCAAAGGAATCAGAAGTCTCGGGCATGGTTGAAGATGATCCAGAATATCAGCTTATTGTTAAAGCCAATACGATTACAGTCGCCATTGACAATGAAATCCTTGTAGTTCACAAGGTAAATGAGGCAAACTGGACTTTGGAATTTCACTTTTGCAAGACAATTTTATCTCGTTTTATTTTATTTTATTTTATTTTTTTAAAAAAAACGCCTCAATCCTATAATGTCGATCTTATATTTAACAGATTTCCATTTCTAATACCATATTTCAATAGTTCATCAGAGATCATTATGAACCCAAGTTCCCTGAGTTGGAGACTCTTGTGGCTAATCCCCTGGATTATGCAAGGACGGTTAAAAGGATTGCAAATCAGGAAGATATCACCAAGGTGGAGTTACACGACATCTTGCCTTCAGCAACTGTAATGGTAGTTGTCGTTACAGGAACTACAACGGAAGGAAGGCCATTGACTGAGAGCGAGTGGCAAGCTTGTGAAGATGCATGTAACCTAGCTTTGGATCTCGAGAAAGCAAAACAAACCGTAAGCATTTTGTTTAGAGAAAAAAAAAAAAAAAAAAAAAAAAAAAAAAAGATCGCCTAGTTTTACTTAATGACACTAATTTTTCTACTTAATTTTCTCATATCAAAATTATAGATCATTGAATATGTCGAGTCTAGGCTAACATTTATCGCACCTAATCTTTCAGCAATCATTGGAACAGCAACGGCTGCAAAATTGATGGGTCAAGCTGGTGGTCTTACAGCTCTCAGCAAAATCCCTGCATGCAATGTTCAAATCTTGGGCAAGGATCGAGTGTTGAACAGTGCGCTTTCCTCTGCATCACAGGCCAAGCATGTAGGGTTTATCTACAGATCGCCATTTGTCATGGCCATGCCAGTCGAGGTCCGAAAGAAGGCGCAAAAGATGATTGCAGCAAAGTTGTCTCTTGCTGCGAGGATTGACCGTATGCATTCATATCCGGACGGATCATGGGGCCGTAAAGTTAAAGAAGAGATTGAGAAAAAGATTGAGAAGCTTTTGGAGCCTCCACCATCGAAGAATATCAAGGCTTTGCCTGCACCTTTAGAGGCACCCAAGAAACGGCGTGGAGGTCGGAGAGCACGGAAAGAAAAGGAACTTTATGCAGTCTCTGAGATGCAAAAGCTCAAGAACAGAGTGGAGTTTGGAGTTGAAGAACAGGAAATTATGGGCTATGGTACGACAGAAGGACTTGGAATGTTGGGACAAAACCATTCAGGGCCTGGTACAGGTGGGCGCATCAGAGCAGCTCAACAGAACAACAGAAACAGAGGCAAAATTTCAAACAGGAACGCAGCGAGGTTGGCGCAGTATGGAGCCAATGCCAATGCGAATGGCTTGGCGACTGCAGGAACAGCATCTTCCATTGCTTTTACACCTGTGCAAGGAATTGAGTTGGTTGATCCTACAGCAGCAGCAGCCAAGATTAAGGCAGCGAACGAGAAGTATTTTGGCAGTGGCGGCTTCTTGAAAGTTCAGGGCAAGAAATGAAGAGGTGTAATGCGGTTGAGTGATAGAAACAGCAAGGTGCAAGTTGCGGGCTGATCCATTTTGTCTCCAAATGTAAAATAAATGAATACAAATTAATGATAGAATGCTGATAAAATGAGTTTTTATGCATGGGGCAACGCGAATTAGGTTAGGAAAGAGCACTTCCAATGGTAATCAATGGGAATCAATGTTAATTGACGCTTCCGGGAAGAAGCCACGCTGCAGGTTCAGTATGCAGATGCATGATGATAAAGAAGCTTTTTTAAACTCCAGTGTCATACGATTGAATGATTTAAAAGAAATTTTCTTTCTTTTCCCCTTTCCCTCCTTCCTTTCCTTTCCTTTCCTTTCCTTTCCTTTCTCCCTATTCCTCTTTCTCCACTCACATCGCCAATCGAAAACAGTTTGAACATCACCAAGAAAAGTACTATACAATCAACATGCTTATCAAAGAGTACCGCATCATTAACAATTGCTCCAATGCTGAGTACCAGGTGTGGAACAGGTTTCATTTTCATTCTTTTTTACATTCTCATTCTCTCATTCTCCTCATTCTCATCCTCACCCTGCACATGCAATAGCATCTAATCACTTTTTTGTTTTATTTATTATTATTATTATTTTATTTTTTTAAAAAATAATAAAATAGGTTGCTCAACTGTACAATGTCGCTGAAATGTCAAAGGCCGAGAGCGGTGGCGGAGAAGGTGTCGAGATCCTAGTCAACGAACCTTATGATGATGGGACCCGTCAGGGCCAATTTACACACAAAGTAAAGTGATCGAAAAACATGAAACTGTCCCAATATCTGTCAAGATCTTTTTTTTTTTTTTTTGTTCTTGTTGTTGTTATTTGTGGTTGCAAAATAAAAAGGTGCACGGTTTTTTTTTTCTGATGAAACAAAGGGTTCTTGGGGTTGTGGGAAATTTGCTTTTCCTCTGATTATAGATTTATCATCTGGAGTCCAAGTTGCCAGGCTGGATCAGAGCTCTTATGCCCGCTGGTGCTACAAAGTGTCAAGAGAGGGCCTGGAATGCTTTCCCCTGTAAGTCCTGTCTTGGAGACATTTATAAAACAAATGAGGAAGAGAGAGAGAGAGGTTGGCAATTTGGATGTGATGTGAATGAAATGGCTGTGTTCTCTCCTGTGCTCTTTTTTTTTTTTTTTTTTTTTTTTTGGGCTGCGGGTTTATTGTTTTATTGTTCTCGTGGTCTTCAACAAACTCACAAACACCACGTAATACACCATGCTGACCATCTTCTTTACCCCCCCTTCTTTTCTATTCCTGCCGGTACTACTTTTTTTTCTTTCTTTCTTTCATATTATTTGCTACAACATAACCATTAGGGTGCAAAACTGTGATTACAAATGATTACATGAAGGAGTCGTTTTCTGTTACGGTCGAGTCGTTTCATGTGGATGGTGATCGTGGCCAACTGAACAATGCACTTAACTTGTCACAGGATATTTTGAAGCAACGTGAGGTTATTACAATTGACGTTGCCAATGATCCAAAGTCATACTACCTTCAGACATTTAACCCAGTAAAGGAGGATGTGACAACGTTCAGGTCAGAAAAGGCGCTTCGTGGTCCATTGCAAGGTCAATGGTCCAAGACTTGTGATCCTGTCATGACATGCTACAAACTTGTGTCGATCGAATTCAAGTGGTATGGGTTGCAGACAAAGATGGAATCATACATGCACTCTGTTGAGCGTGATCTGTTTACAAAGTTTCATCGTGAGCTGTTCTGCTCAATGGATGGTTGGTATGGACTTACGATGGAGTCGATTCGTGAGATGGAAAAACGAACAAAAGAAGAGTTGGCCCAAAAATTAGCCACTCCTCTTCCTCCTGCAACAGGTGTGCAACCGAAGTAAGGCTTATTTTGTGGACCCGTTGAACAAATAAATACTCTGTTTGTAGCATGAATTGACCAAAATGTTCCCGAAACAAAGCTGCTTCAATTTTATTTTCTCCTTGAGCGATTGATAACCTTCATTCTCGACAATGGCACACCGAAAACATTGAATCTCATTTCTATTGGTGTTGTAAAGATCTTTCCAAGGAAGCCATATCGTTGATGAATACAGCACTTTATAATATGTATAATAATATTAATAAAACACAGACCCTCTTAGTCTTGCTCGCAGGACATTCGCACATTCATATTTCTACCGCAATTCGCCACTTGACGCCTCAATGGATGGATGGACCTTGTACTTAATTTGGTGTAAATGAAAGAAAAATAGAATATTAAAGATGATACCTGGTTTCTTTTTCCTTTTTTTTTTTTTTTGTCCACTGGACTAAGTAAACATAAAGACTTGAAATAGCAACACTTCCGAAGGCACATCATGCTCCATCTTGGAAGAAAAGAGAGAAAGAAAAAAGGGGGATAATTATGGCCCTGGCTCTCTCGGATAGTAAGCCTAAGTCGTCATGTTGTTGGACTTGACTAGCTATTTACTTCATGAGGAGCGTAAAGATATGTTAACATTGAGACCTTTGCCACCATTACTCCCACGTAAATGCAAGCTTTCAGGGTGTCTTCTTTTTGTGCGCCTTCAAATCTCATCCCCTGGTTGATCATCTATCCTCCACTTCTCTTCCAACGATCGACTTCATCATTGTTGGTCTCATGTAGTATGATAATTTCCACATTTCATTTCCACACATACATTTCATCACATACATTTTACTGGTGGCTCCTCCTTGGCATCACTCCTCTAGGCACTTTCCCCGCATTTCATTTTCACGCCTTCGCTTACTACTTTTTCTTTTACACTTCCTCTTACATTTTACCGACCGTCTACTCGCTTTTTCTTTTCCTTGTCTTGTTTTTATTACACTTTAGTCTACCAACTTCTCCTACCACTTCTTTTCTTGCTTTCGCCTTATTATAAGCTCCTTCGTTGCACAACATTGGGTTACTATGACATCCTCTCTACATATGGCATATGGTAGCGAGCCCTGAGGTTCCCTCGCGACGGGGGATCTACTCGCAGCCCCTGCTAATTCAAACGAACAAGCCTACTATGGACCATACAACATGATTTTGACCCATACTTTCACGATACAAGCTCCATTCCTGGTATCACCGCAAATGCATCCAAGCTGTACTAAAATAATCGGCTTCCTTAGCGAATATCTCGCTATGCTCAACCGCAGGGATGCTATGATCGTTGAGATCAACAGCCTAGCTGATTCCCAGGCGCGTGACCGCCTCAGTTCAATGCATAAAGCCATCATGCTGTCTGGAATAGTGGGATCGAGATCTTTGAGCGCTTTTGCCGTGTATACAGGTACAACCGCGCTATACGGTGGAATGAAGCCGATGATGATTGTAACGATTTGATTGCTGCTAACTGGAGCATTGATCTGCACACACTGCAAGGTCGATTGTAGCTGGAGCCATCTTTGAACAAGTCGTACAACGCGTTGCACAGGGACTTGGCTTCTAAATACGCCTATAGTGCCACTCATTAGTTACAATGTCCCTATTACTAGTAAGGTTTTTACTTTTTACTTAACAATAACCTCGCTCTCGTTACTTGTTATGACCTCTGAGTATTTTAGGGCCTTAAGCCTCGGGCTTTGCGATGGTAGCCTCTTGCATTGATAGGGAATTCAATGCTTTACTTTGTAATTTTTTCATGGTATTAAAAAATAATAATAATAATAATAATAAAAAACACTCTCACTATGATCTTTTTTTTTTTTAATGTGTATATGGGATTTGAGGCATACGCACTATACATTATTAGGTTAAAACACACCCAACTGATTTCCTGTATGAAAAAGGTTTTCTACCACTTCTTAGGAACTATTTGTATACGCTCTGCTAATATATGGCACAAATAAAGCTCCTATCATCCTCTTGGTACATTATTATGTGTTATACTTTCAACTTGGATTGGATTGTGCTTTTTTATTTGTTTTTATTTTCTTAATTTCTTTCCTTTTCTTTTTCTTTTTTTTTTTTTTTTTTTTTTTTTTCTTCTAGTCTAGCCGTGTACTCTTGTACATGGTAGTTGCGTATTATGGGATATGCAACGGGTGCGATTGTAATTTGCCGTGTGCCACGACTGTATATGTACACACGGCAAAAGCATCCAAAAGATGCAAAAGGCCCCCCCCCCCACCGCTTCGGAGCAGGGCGACGTAGCCACAGATTGGGGGCGGAGGTGATCGCGCACCTTAGAATTAGCTATCCATCAAACAGCTTTGAGTCTCAAATCAATCTCGTCTTTTTGATCTCGACGGTCATAACAACTCTGTAGTTGAGCATAACGAGGTATTCGATAAGGAAGTCGATTGCTTCAGTATGGTTGGGGCGTATTTGTGGTGATACCAGGTATTCGAGCTTGTATCGGGGGAAGCATGGTCTAGGATCATATTGTATGGTTCATAATACGGCTGTTCATTTGATTCGGCAGGAGGGCGTGAGCAGGACCTCTCGTTGTTTTGAGCCATATGTAGCGCATGTAGGGTAATGTGATAATAATCCTTATGTTGCACTGAATGGTTCTCGCATCGAAATAAAAGCAAGGAGTAAAGCGGTAGGGAAAGTTGGCAGACTAAAGTGTAGGGAGGAGAAAAGCAGGAGGGCGTATGATATTGAAGTATTAAAAAAAGATTTGAAATTAACTTGCGGAAGGCGGCAAATCTGAAGGGACCAGGCAGTGTTCTGGGATCCTGATTTTGATCTGATCCCCTCCGAGCGCGGTTCCCTGTCAAGGTTGGCGAAGAAAGAGACAGAAGCAGTGCTTTGAATGTTGATGGAAGAAGCCATATTGGTCAAGGTGTAGTGGAAAAACGAACAACTTTGGTTATGCTGATAAGGGAAAATTGAATGTTGGTAAAGTTCTGGGAATGAAGGAATGAAGGAATGAGAAAGCTAAAGGAGCCTTAATTTTGCTTCCGCTACTTCTTTAATAGCGTACCACTTTCATCCTGATTCGCTCCTGACATTACAAAGTCTTTTCTGTATGGCATGGTTTGTGTTTAAAAAAAAAAAAAAAAAAAAAAAAAGAGAAGATGGAGAGAGCGATACAAGTGATAACAACCTGCGCGCCACCAAATGACGCTCTCAAAATTGTCTGTGTCACTGAAACTTAAAGTCTTTCGTTTCAGGAACAGGCAAAAGACCGATAGGTATTACTCTACTTAAGAGGAATCAGTAGCGATAAAATGTGTGCAAAAATAAAGCATGGAATAAAGTGCATGAATGAGCAAAGGGAACCATATGGGCTTGCTCGAGAACTAAGTCGCCAGAGGCCTAGGGCTGTGAGGCGGAAGCGAAACTAGGAAGACTTGTAGGCTAGATCGACTTTGTAAAGAGAAAAAAGAAAACTGAAGAGTGAACCATAGGACTGAAGGCTGACGACTAAAATTTATTAGAGGGATTCTTCTGCTTCTTATACTATCCATTTACAAATCTAATTGTGGTAATCGTTGACGAGTCCTCGAGAGGAGTGCTCGCCACTAACTAGTGAAACGCTCTTGCACAAAGAAAGTTTCTCCTAATTGTGGATTCAAACATAAAAAAAAAAAAAAAAAAACAATAACAACAACAATGGAATCGCTAACCTTAGTTGGATATTCGGTTGCCAACCGCAACAGATATGAACTACGTTAAGAACAATTAGATATATAAATCAATGTGACCAAGAAAGACACAGGTGTGCCGAAAAGCAATAATGTCCGATTACTTTCGACAAGACTCTAGAGTGTAATACAGTAGGCTATAGGCAGTGAATGTAGAAAATATTCTTAATGAGTCACTCTATACATTCCATAGGCTTTCAAGACGGAGCTGCGTACATAATAAACCACTGTTGTTCACTGGTTAGAGATGTGGATATTTGGTGCTCTTCTCTGGACCAAAAAATAAATAAAAATATTCCACAATGGGCGTGTATCCACACCTTTTTACTTTTTTTTGTTTTTTTTTTTTTTTTACTTAATTCCCGAACCATCAACTTGCCTGAAAAAGCCCCGCGGTGAGATGTAACAATGGACAGCATATAACAAAAGGAACCACCAATGTGGGAAGTTGAGACAAAGGAAAATCGACAAAATCATCCTGCATCATTTGATACTAACAAGCCAGGACCCATGACTTCGCCACAGTCAGCCCTCGCCCTCGTCCTCGTCAGAAAAAGTGAATGTTTTGCATTATGTGGGCAACATTAAAGAAAACAGAGTCTACGACAGTAAATGATAACATAGGAAGCGATATTTTCGCATATGTAGGAGATGGAATAAATACATGAAGGTAAACTACATGTATAAAAATAATATTGATAAATAAATAGATAAAAATTAAAAAGGAATAAAACACAAAGTATAACTCACGAAGGAGGGGGAGCATATGGCAACCGCAACATTGGGTGGAGTAGTGACAGAGAGGCGGACATAAAGGGCATGGGATCATGGGGGAGAGGGAACAAAATATCCGAAGGCCAAAAAGACAATATCTCTACAAAGCATTATTGGAGGCAATGTTCCGTGTATATATCTCTAGAGTGCCTAGTCGCCTTGAGTAAGGCAAACAACGGTATGCTTGAGCGTCTACCTCTGGGACCTATTGATAGTTATGGTGAAGACTGGCTGCTGGGTAGTACAGGACATGGTTTGGCCTAACCATATCTTCGTCAAGGAGATTCAAGGTAGCATACTCAATGAATATTGCTGGAAGGGGCCCGCGAGTTCGATATCCGCCTAATGAGTAACTTCTGTGACTACGGTCCTAAACACATCTTCCTCTCGTTCAAGTTACATATTGCAATCCTGGCTTTGTCTTCTCGGCAATCCTCATCCTTGTCTTTGAGTCGAAGGACTTTACCCAGAGGTTTGTGGAACTACAAATCCAAGGTCTTTCGGATCTTTCCTTGTTATAGGGCTAATAGGTATTCAGAACTTCGATAGGCCTTATTTTCCATTCGGTGTATTGTAGAAATGGGTCGATTTAATCGAGTAAAAAAACAGCGTTACAATATTTGAAAAACAATCGCATGCCACTTATTTGGCACACCTTCGTCCAATCCTTGAAACGTTCTTGACAGCTTTCACTTCATCATTCAATCGTTAGTATGGATTTTATTCTAGATTATAGGAGTTGTACCTAATGAATGGTACTATGGGCGTATCTAGGAGCCAAGTTCCTGTACAACGCGTTGTCTGGCTTATTCAAAGACGGTTTCTAATTGCAGTCGACCATGGAGAGTGTGCGGATCATGTGACGAATAGTACAATCAACTCATCTCATTCCTAGTTGTGTCTGTCTAGCCAAGTCGCGTCCCCTAGGTTTCTTGCTCCATAGCCAGCTTAGACCAATGGCTATGGTCCACAATGCTTAATGGTCTTGAAGTATGATTGCACCATATATCTTCCCTGCTGTTGTTCGAATAATTAATATGAAGTTAACTCAGCACCAGGTTTCCCCATGTGATAAAAGATATTTCAAGAAGTCTTATTTAGAGTCCTTAGATTGCGTTTCCGCTCCAGACGTTCAAGTATAGATACCTTATCTTTGTAGTATAGGAAACCCCAGTCTGCAATAGACTTATCACCTTATACCAATCCCTGTTCCTACGCTACTTACCTTTCCTTGCAATCATCTTGTCAGAATTTAACAGATCAATCTTCCAATTAGCAGGATTCAAACCATTACAATCATCATCGGTTTCAACCCACCGTGTGGTACGGTTGTGTCTGTATACACGGCAAAAGCGCCCAAAGATCTCAACTTCACTATTTCAGACAGCATGATGGCTTCATGCATTAAACTAAGCCGGCCACGCACCTGAGAATCAGCTAGACGCTGAACTGCTGTGCAATTCAATTTAAACTCACTGTTAATCTCAACGATCATAGCATCCTTGCGGCTGAGCATAGCGAGATATTTACTAAGAAAACCGATTATTTCAGTACAGCTTGGATGCATTTGCAGTGACATCAGGGATCCAGCTTGTATCGTGAAAGCATGGGCACAATCATATTGTTTGGCCCATATTACGCTTGCTCGTTTGAATTGGCAGGGGCCGCGAGTAGATTCTCTGTCACGAGGGAACCCATATGCCATGTGTAGAAGGGCACCATAGTAGCCTTGTGTAGTGCACTGAATGGTTCTTGTGATAGAGCAAAAGCAACAAGTGGCCAATGGTAAGTCATTTTCGGGACCTTGGAAGACCTGACAATAAATGATGCTGGCAGAGTTTTCGGCGCAGCAAAACACGCAATCAATAAGTTTCCTGATGACCTCGTTATTGTACAAAACAGTTGATTTGGGTTTCGCACCATCGTTGGTATTGGCCACTAGCTTTTCTTTCTTAGCATGGAAATCTAGCTTGTGCAAGCGTAGATCTTGAAGTGAAGTATACCAACGTCTCCTTTTACACCTCAAAAGACATCAGACAGCATTCGAGCTGTGCCAACTCGGGGTGCACATCTCCTCCTATTCCTTGTATCATTGCCCTCAATCAATGCTTGCTCCAACAAGAGCATTTTGGTAGTGTCCATAAAGACGCTCGAAATACTGTCATAGCCAGGCTCGGTATAAAAAAGAAGTGACAAGGGAAAGCAGGCACTCCCTTACATCTAAGGAGTGATTGGTTAGGAGCCCTCGGCATCACAAAGGCATAACAGTAAGGCAGCCAGCTCCATCTTTGGCTTCTGAAAGGATATTCTACTATCTCAATCGATTATACCAAGACCCTACTCACACAAATCCCCGTCCAACAAAGTACTTTGTGATACCAAGCAATCTTATGGTCTGAATTTCATCGAGGCTTTCCCGTGAGCCTTGTACATCAGAGGCCTCCCTGGATCCATGGCTCTTCCATACATTATCGAACAAACGACGGCCCCAATCATTTCTTTATATTGCGGTTACCAATTTAGAGAAATTGAAGAGTATCTTGTATCCCAGCACCTGCTGTATGCTGGGCATGATACAAGTAGTTATATTTGTCATGAAACGTGCTCTTGACTGAAAAAAGCAGAGTAGCATAATTCAAGGATCAAAGATCCATGCGACAAATATTTAATATTTACGTAATAAGAAACGGCTGGTGGTAAAATGCATGTAACGGCTGGATTGACAGTGGTCGAAATGAAATATCAGTATAAAAGGAGCAGATCTGTCGGTATAGCTCTCTCTACATTAGTTCTCTTTATATTACCTTGCTCACTTTTAGCTTTTATAACCCTCATTACTCTTTTCCTTCCTTCCTTTTGAAGGCCACACGACTGTATTTAATCTTCATTTCTACTTTCACCAGCCAACTCACTTTTTTGTCTATTAATCACGCCGATGATGGACAAAATTTCACTCCTTTGCATCCCCAACGGGGAGTCTACCGCATTCCCAGTGGACAAAAATCCCCAGAAGACTATCGGCCACCTCAAAAAGGCGATCAAGAAAAAAAAGAAAACGCTTTTCGAGGCATTAACGCCGACAGACTCATCCTTCATAAGGTCTCGGTTCCTGGTCAAGGCACTACAGTCAATCTCGCCAATGTTGATTCAAAGGAGCCACTCACCAGAGTAACAAGAGAGATCACCAAGGCCTTTGGAACGGCACCACCAAAGGGAGCCATTCACATCATTGTTCAGCGGCCATCGGCAGGTAAGGAATTAGCTGTCATGTTCTCTCTGTTCTAAAATTTTTTAAATGGCGCCGCTGATCAGTATTATTTTTGTTTTTTTCTTCCTTCATCCTTCGTAGGTACTGAGAGTTGATATCTTTTGTTAATTGGGCTTAATTGAAGCCCTAATCATTTTTTTTTCTACTTGATGTACTTGTATCATTCAAATGTATTTGCTGTAGATTGAGCTTCTTGCTTTTTGTAACGACTCATTCTAACGCATTTTTTTTTTTTTTTTTTTTTTTTTTTTTAAAAAAAAAGTTATTAATACGTTAATATCAGGAGGTAAATTATTTTAATATTTCACTTTTCAGCTAATAGAGGATATTCATTATAGCCTATTTTAACATCTTTTTCGTCCACCGTTCCACCAATTCATCTCTTCATTCACCTTGCAACCCACTGTCACTATAAACATAAAAGGTATGCTTAGGTGAAGATATCATCGCCTCCACACTTGACCAAATTATGGAAACAGCATTACAAGATCGCATTCTGCAAAGTGTGGACAGGAAGGTGGTTGAAGACTCTATGCTTTTACAAAGACGTCAAGCGCCCGCCGTATGGACCAACTGCTGAATTTCTGAATGTGACAATGCTCGGACAGTTATCTGGTGAAGAGCCAACAAGTAACGGGTGGAAGCAGAAATTCTCTGATATTGTTGAGGCGAGTATCGGCTTGGCTGGGGGTTTTACCACAGTGGCAGTGGTGGCTCCGTCCGGATCCGGGAAGACTGCAACGGTTGTTGAACTGGCAAGAAAGCACTTGTAATATATGCATTCTGCCAGTCTCCGAGAACTTTCACTTCCGATTTCTCTGATGAAAACTTTGCGCGGTTCGCAGATGAGGTGGAAGATATTGCTCGAGCCAACCCATTTAAGCAGCCAGACAATATAAGTGACGAGGGGAGGTTCTTGGCGGTCAAGCACTATAACACCGATCTAACAGCACTTATAAGTCATCGTAGCAATATTAAGTCTTTGGCGCGTCAGCTACACCTACTACTTCTTTTAAAAAAGAAGACTGAATTAACACCAGAAGAGTTTTCCTGCGATCAGATGAATGAAGAGAAAGAGACCATATGTTCGCTGGCCAACCAGTTACGCGAATATGGCCATATAACTATCAGTTCAATGCTCTTGGAAGTACGACTTCAGCTGGAACGATTTTTTTATTTGCCTGGTCAGCCAAAGCGAGGACTCGTGATCACCCTTGACGAGGCTCATAACGCTGAGAACCACATTTTGACGGGGAAGCTAATTTGAGTCTCCGCATTCAAATGGAATTCCCTCCCAAAAGACTTTTTCTTACATACAGTACTGAGGTGAATCCTACATACCTCTGCGGATCCCTTACGCCTTTACGTACAATATTATGCTCTATTTCAACGTTGGTGGTAATGGGAGCTCAGTTATCGCTTGCGGATGCAGATCATGTGTATCCAGCTGTTGCCAAGCAAAATCTCAGATTTAGGATAATCACGGGATTTGCTTTATGTGGTGAACATCAGGTAGAGGAGATGTTGAAGAAGATTATCGACACAGAGGGTTGCGTGATTCCACCCAAGAAAGCCAAGCTCGCCGGGCGGTTCAGATTTACAACATCTATCGTTGCCAAGATTGCAGCATTGCAAATAACTCGGACAGGCCTAAGCAAGATATTCATGGATGCTATCGAGCGGTCGTTAAAGGCGGCGAAAGGGGATATCAGAAGCAACGTGCAGAGATTATTGAAAGGTGTCCGTTTTAGGATAGTAACTCACTTATTCAGTCGCCTGGTCATTGTAAGCAAGGAGGTGGGCTTTGTCTCTAAAGAAATTGACATCGTGGATGCTCTGTGCCAGTTACAGGAGAAGGATGATGTATATAAAAGAATTGCGAGGAAAGCCAAAAGGGATTAGACGGGTTCTTATAGAAAGGAAACTTTGGAGAAAGGATCTTAAGATGATATGTGCGAGCTGCAAGGTTCGTGATTACTCTAATAATCAAAGCTCATGTTGTTGTACACGCATTTTGGAGCTACAATAGGATTTTATGGCACAGCGATCACTTCTAGAGGAGATTGCAGGCAAGCATGAGCAGCAAATCATTTTCTATCCAAAGTACCACTGCGAACTGAACTTCATCGAGATGTTCTGGGGTGCAAGCAAGCGCTATACTAGAGCAAACTGTGATTATACTTTCAAAGGTCTGCAAGAAACAATACCAAAGGCATTGGCTTCTGTAACTATACTTAGTATTCGAAAGTATGCAAGGAGGAGTTTCCGATACATGAACGCAAAAAGGAATAATATGTCTGGCCACGTTGCCGAGCTGCAAGTGAAAAAATATAAATCTCATAGGCGCATTCTAGCCAATTGGGATTTGAGGACAGAATAGACTACCCTTAACATCGTTATGATGTCATCTCAATTAAAGTTTTAGCCAATCATAATTTAAGATTTTTTGGTGCAATTTTTCCCTCACATAGTAAAATAGTCCATCTTTTTTCTTTATGAACTTGGAAAGAAAAAGTCATACCGATAAAAACCCATCGTAACTTTGTAGAGAATTGGCAAACGAATAACATTACGATGAGTTTCCTTGTCTAGCTTTCATGGAGAGTGAGAACATACATTTCCCTCGTGGCCTATTATTTTCCCTAAAAAAGTGTGTGACTAGGAGGAATACACTGTAGCAATTTGGCCTGACACTATTGCTGTTAGAGACAAAGACTTGAGCCTGCAATTAACCGACGTTTTATAGCCTCTAATGGCAATCATTTTTAGGTTGGTATGGGGATTCGACAACATATCTATCGAAAAAGGAGCCGGAAGGAGTAGCAAAAAACAGAGGCCAGGCACTTGGTGTTTTTTATCTTTAGGCTGGAAGAAGAGGAAATAAAAAAATAGTAAAAGTTGCTAATGCGCAAAGGAGTAGAGGCTAGTGAATGGTGGATAGAGTGCATCGTATAGCTTGATATCTCTGATTTATTTTTTCTTACTTGGTATGCAATAGACGGTTATTTTCTGCTAGTAGAAAGTACAGAGAACTGGATCTGTTCTGTCCATGAGTTGATGAAAGCTAAGAGCGTAAATTTGCCCGTTTGACGGTCCAAGGGATAAACTAAGCGAATAAGTCCAAAGAAGTATAAAGGTCTTGGTCTATGCGCCACTGGCTCGTATTCCTTAACTTTTTTTTTTTTTTTTTTTTTTTCTTTTGGAATGCATACAGATTAGTATCATGAGCAATATCGAAGGACCCCAACAACTATACTTTTGACGCTGCCCAGTATAAGGTCTAGTTATTACTGGAAGGCATACGCTTGGGACCTTGAGCGACCTCTGAAGGAACCCATCGATTACATCATGCATCAAACCTTGATGGTATCTATCATTGAGGTCTGGTTTTACCATTAATCGAGGATTGGAGATACCTACCATTGAGGTCTGATTATTTTTGGAAGGGTATAGAATGCATTTATCCAAAAATAAAAAAAAATAAAAAAATAAAAATAAAAAAAAACTTGCAATAGAAATGCTGATATATTAATATAATATCAGAGTGAAACTGAGGGTATCACTCGCATGATGCAAAGGGATGGTGGCTGGTAGCAGCATCGATCCCATATCCCAGAGCTTTCGATTGGTGAGATGATCCAGTGCGATAACTGAAGGGCATAAATTCTGCAATTACGCGCCAGACTCTGACAAGTTTGAACTTGATTTGGAACTCAATTGGCAAGGAAGGGGTCTTCGCACTCTCAGAAGTGCTCAAGACCAACAAGGTTTTGACAAATCTGAGCCTGTGGAATAACTCAATGGGGAACGAAGGAGCCCTAGCACTTTCAGAAACACTCAAGATCAATACGGTGTTGACAAGTTTGGGCTTGGGGAGTAACTTGATTGGGAAGAAAGGAGCCCTCGCACTCTCAGAGGCACTCAAGGTCAACACCGCCTTGACAGACTTGAGCTTGGGGACAACAAAGTAGGGAACAGAGGGACCATCGCATTCTCAGAGGCGCTCAAAACCAACAAGACTTTGACGAATTTGAACTTGTTTCGGAACTCAATGGGGAATGAGGGAGCTCTCGTACTTTTAGAGGTACTCAAGATCAACACCACTTTGGCAAGGTTGGAATTGAGTCATATGTCAATCGCAAAGGAAGTATACCTGGCTCTATCAGAGGCACTCAGAACCAGGCACTAAACAGGACACAGCTTTGGGTACATATACTTTACGTTATCTGTATAAAAAAAGAATAAAATAAAAATGCGCGAAATGAGACATGTGTAATTTTTTCTCCCGCTCCATTTTGTCTACATGAGTGAAAAGTTACTGCCTGCAGCCTAAGGGACCAACATACCTTTGGTGGGAAGAAATACTTCACAAGTCGCCAGGCTTCTTCCTACATCCAGAAGCTGAGTCGATCCTCCTGGGAGATCTCAGATAGGTTGGCCTTCAAGGTGATCTCTTCATGGAAGATAAGATGCTGTTGTTGTTATTGTTGTTTACTTGCAGTAATATCAACATTGTTTCCAATTTATTTACTGCCACTACGCGTTTTGTGTCGCCCATTCTCGAATCGTACATCGCCTGCGATGACGCCTGATCCTGCTGGCTTTGAATACTACTGAATTTACCCTATCGGACATAGTATAGCACTAATGACCCCTTCTTAGCTCCTTCAGGCGATAAAGGTCTTTATTTAGGATGTCATGGAGGCACAAGAGGTTTAATGAAAGTCTATATTGAACTGGCATAATAAGGAGTCAAGTTGAAATTAAACCATACACATGTATTGGCGTATATAGATGGGGGCTTTATTTACTACAAGTATGGCCAGTGCCTATATACATAGATAGATTCCTAAGTAGCAAAAAAGAAAAGTTGACTGATCGGTTACCTTGGACTCATTTTTTTGTGTGTTGGTGTATGGCACAATAAGACTAGAAGGGATTTTTACAAAATTTGCCCCGCTCTTGGTTATTTCTCGCCAATACTGTACAATTGGGTAACCTCAGCTCTGTGGTATCTGCTAGCACCGGGCTTATTGTTTGTTGGGAGATTCGCTGAAGAACTGAACTGGAAAAATAGCCTTCATCTTCATTTGATGGCTAGTCACTTTGACTTCATATCTGTCTCCAGCATAAAACACATTCTATGCAATCACGACTGTAGCATGAACATGTAAGAAGATATAGGACTTTAAGTGTTGTTATGCCAAATCTAATAAAAAGCAGAAGGTCGAATTCTTCAAGATTCACAGGCATAAATAATAATAATAATAATAATAAAAAACTGAACTCATTATATACGAGTAATATATTTCTCATGGTGAGTATATATTGTCTCTGTTTTCTTTTATTACAAAGTCATTCATTACAGGACTTATAGAAATATGCCAAGGAGGACCTTGGAGCTTCACAGGCGTAGAGATGAGCATAAAAGAAAAACTGCTTTGAAAATGTATGGATAAAAAAAATATGTATTAGGTTGTATAGTTTTTCAAATTTGTTCATTCATGTTGCAAAGAAAGAACATGACTACAAAAGGCTTTACCTAACCACATTGAACCTGCCGCACTCATGGCCCTTATGGAGCCTTCACAATTAGTATAAAAGCACTCCACTCATCAGTGTACTAGTCTAGGGCAGACATTAATGAATACTACACATTCTTGAACTCCAAATGACTGTGGCTATTTCCAATAGAGGTTATAAATAGGGATAGCAGTGAGGGGTTCCCGTGCTGATAATTCAGGTAGTTATAGTATCGATAGTACTGAATGTAACTGATAGTGCTATACCGATACTAGACATGCGATCCGTGGCTTTTCTCACAGCCACATCAGTCCAGTTCCAGTAATCTACGCATCAAGATCCTACACATCACTAAAGATTCTTGAAGTTCCACTTTCTTCTCCCATTATGTCCTAACGTATTCCAGGTGCACCTAGCAAGCCCCTGCATAAGCCTGACTTCGCCTCAACGTTTACTGACAACTCAAAATGTTATGAATTGAGCCCTTCTCAGTCTATGCCACCATCATAACACGAGAAGCTTGTGGCTAGAGTGAGGCCATCAAGTGAATGATACGTTATGTAGGCAAGCATATCACTTTTGTACTTGTTCTTTAACGCGATTGCGATGGATGCTGCTGAGCCAGAATGATGATCATATATATCAAGGCTTGCCCTTTACTGCTTGGACATGAGCTGTACAAATATGAAGCTGGTGGTCCTTTAGAAATGTGTAAAGAGAAGAACAATGACTTTTAAAAGACTGGTGGCTGTTTCTATCTAACGTAGGTCTTCAATCCTTCTTACTCTAGGCGCTTCCGGATACATTCGAGATGGGCATAGGGATAAACATGGGGCCTTTGCTTGATTCGATCAACCGATATCCCTAGCAAAGTGTTATAATTTGACTTGTGATTAAATTACTTTGTAGTTCACCGCTTAGTTGGTATCTGGATATCAACAAAAGAGCCCACAGTATCCCTCGACAATTTGATGAGTCGTTAACACTAATCCTGCGGAGACCTTGAGCAGCTCTGGCTCCTCCTCTAACGATTTGCTTCCACCTGCAAAAAGAACATCCCATCATGAGGTTGCAGCTGGCTGTAAATGTAAGGTCAAATGATAGTTAAGGAATTGACAATATTGAAGAGTGACAAACAAGAACAAACGACTTAGGGTACTATATGAACTATCTATAATACAACACACAGCTATACGTAGGAGAGACCACCCATTTAGCGCACCTGTCTTGCGACCATTTGTAATAAAGCTTTTGGCCAAAGGACCTCACTCCTACCGATTATGGCCTCAGTGGAGAACATCACTTTTTAGTTCTCTTCTGTCTAACTTTAGGCGGTCCTTACCGGAGTGACATCCCACAACGGCCTACTCCTTCGTTAGGACCCTACTTTGACTGCCACACACACTTCTAGATGTCTCTGGCACTTATATTCTCTTTGGTACTCTTTGCATCTGATTCAGCAAGCGTCCGGTCTTGCTATACAGTTTATAAGTTTCTTTAGGGTATACTGAAGAGTAGGGAACACTCGTGGTTCCCATCCTTTGATGACGGGATGATATTTCCCCATCGTATTTTCTCTTAGTCTCCCTTGGGGCTAATAAATAGAAAACCCAAATTCCCTTGGACACTTTTCTTTGATGCTCACACGTCTCTCTGTCTTATAATGCATTTGATGGCCATATTTGGTTTGCCTTTAGAGAGAGCTGCTACAAAAAGGATGAGCTTTCAATAATCCTCAGATGCTAGAGCCATTTAGCAAGCGAGGGGAGGAAGAATCGATCAAAAAAAAAAAAAAAAAAAAAAGCAGCGCTGCTACGGACGCTTAGCTGCCGTAAGTCAGCTTTTAATCCAAATCAAACTACTATCCGTAACCACTAAAGACCTCATCACTACTTCAATGATCAAACCAACCAACTAAATCAACGCCAGCCAATAATAAGCGGCATTAACAGCACCAGAGTTATTTACTTATCGATTAAAGTATTCCTCATACAGAAACCTTTAAAGCCCTGTTTTTCTTGAGTACCTCTGACAGTGCCAGAGCTCCTTCTTCCCCAATTGAGTTGCCGTACAAGTCCAAATCGGTCAGACTGGTGTTTGTCTTGAGTGCCTCTGACAGCGCCAGAGCTCCTTCTTTCCCAATTGAGTTGCCGTACAAGTTCAAATTGGTCAGACTGGAGTTTGTCTTGAGTGCCTCTGACAGTGCCAGAGCTCCTTCCTTCCCAATTGAGTTCCTCTCCAAGTTCAAATGGGTCAGACTGGCATTAGTCTTGAGTGCCTCTGACAGTGCCAGAGCTCCTTCATTCCCAATTGAGTTGTACTCCAAGTTCAAATGGGTCAGACTGGTGTTTGTCTTGAGTGCCTCTGACAGTGCCAGAGCTCCTTCTTCCCCAATAGAGTTGTAACTCAAGTCCAAATTGGTCAGACTGGAGTTTGTCTTGAGTGCCTCTGACAGTGCCAGAGCTCCTTCTTTCCCAATTGAGTTGCTCTCCAAGTTCAAAATGGTCAGACTGGAGTTTGTCTTGAGTGCCTCTGACAGTGCCAGAGCTCCTTCCTTCCCAATTGAGTTCCTCTCCAAGTTCAAAATGGTCAGACTGGTGTTTGTCTTGAGTGCCTCTGACAGTGCCAGAGCTCCTTCTTTCCCAATTGAGTTGCTCTCCAAGTTCAAATTGGTCAGACTGGAGTTTGTCTTGAGTGCCTCTGACAGTGCCAGAGCTCCTTCCTTCCCAATTGAGTTCCTCTCCAAGTCCAAATCGGTCAGACTGGAGTTTGTCTTGAGTACCTCTGCCAGTACCAGAGCTCCTTCATTCCCAATAAAGTTGTATCGTAAGTTCATATTGGTCAGACTGGTGTTTGACTTGAGTGCCTCTGACAGCGCATGAACCTCTCCTTTTCCAACTAAGCTGCCCACAAACCTAAAGTGCTTAAAGCCGTGCCACTGTTGAGCGTATCCATGAGTGCCAGACCCCCCTTCTTCCCAATTGAGTTGCTTTGCAGATCTAAAATGCTCAGACTGGAGTTTGTCTTGAGTGCCTCTGACAGTGCCAGAGCTCCTTCATCCCCAATAGAGTTGCTCATCAAGTTCAAATTGGCCAGACTGGAGTTTGTCTTGAGTGCCTCTGACAGTGCCAGAGCTCCTTCATCCCCAATTGAATTGTAACTCAAGTCCAAATTGGTCAAACTGGTGTTTGTCTTGAGTACTTTTGAAAGTGCGAGGGCCTCTTTATTCCCAATCGAGTTAGATGCTAAGTCCAAAGTGGCCAAAGCCTCGAGTGAATTTATAAGCGGTGGAAATTCACTAGCTCTCATCCTTCGAGGCCTCATCCCAATGGATAACTTGTGAAGATGTGACGATTTTACGCTTTGTAGATTGGAAAGATGTTTGGCTTCCGGAGGAAGTACAACATGAATCGTCTTCATATTGTTAAGTTCTATGATGCCTACAAGTTTTTCATGCCTTGTTGAAAGTAGTTTCCTGACTATGCTTCCTTGAGATTCTCCAAGGTCAAGTCGAAGGATCGATACACTCGATACGCTTAGTGCATTCTTCAGCGCTTCCAGATCAGTCCTGGTCCAATCCCAGTCCTTGCTGAATGTGATCTCCAACTCGTAAATATGTTTAGCTTTGGTCAAGGCTTCGAAGAACTCTCTAGCTGTGATCCTGGATTTCAGCTCAATGACCACTTTACCGAGCTGTGAGTCATATTTGCCTCCATTCATCGCCACAACATCTTCAAACGATTTCTGTTCTTTCTCTTTATACGTTGAGCGATAGTGATCGACACAAACCCATTTGACATGCCCCCTTTCGGTCGTAGTCCTGTACAAGTTGCCAAGCTGCCTGTTTTCATCATTGGTTTGAAGGAATGTGCTCAGCCGTCGGAGATCTGCTCCTTCAAGTCCCTCATAGTCATCCATTGTGTTGAAGTCATTCAAGGCTGGGTTTTCCTTTGTGAGTTCATCCAAATAGTCGATCGAATATTTAATACCGGCATCGATTAGGTTCGAGGCTGGTGTCAAAGAAGAACCTGGAGATGTTCCCATCCCCAACTTGAGTCCTTGTAATAAGATGATCATGTATTTCCCATATTTTTGAAAGAACTCTGTGCTGTTTCGGATCTCATATCCTTCATGTCTGGCAAGATGGGTTTTATTCTTCTGGCTGTTCTTGCTTGCCTTTTCAGAGCGATCCTCACATTCACATAAGAAGTGAAGGCGAACCTTGTTCCTCAAGATATTCATCGGATCCCAGTTGGTGTTGTCAACAGGCAGAATGATAAAGAGTCGAGGGATTGGATACTCGTGTAGCTCAAAGGTCTGGACAAGGATAGCATCGGCTTTCTGTTGAAGGATGGCAAGTCTGTCAAGGGTTTGATGGTGCAGTTTAATCCCCTCTTGAAGCAACACTTTAATCTCCCCTTGAAGCAACACTTTAATCTCTTTAATATCATCAGTAAGAGATGGGTTGTGAGCTTGAACCAAGTTTGATATAGGCAAAGGAGGGTTCTGAGGGACTACATTCTCAGCCTCTCTCGATGTCGGCAAATAGACAACGGCATTGCTGCTACTGTTGCTTTCGCTGTTGCCACTACTGGACTGTGATACTTCCGCAAAGACGTCCAGAATCATGCCAGGATAGGATGCAATGCGCAAAGGCTCGATCCTATTAGAAAAAAAGACGTGCCAAATTGTCAAATTGGGTTCTTTTTATTTTTCAGAGCAATTGACAAAGTCGCCATAATTATAAATAATTTACCAGGTGCCGTTATGGTCTGCAAGGAATGGAACAGGATGCCCATCAAGTTTGAATCGGAGCGCACCTGGAAACACTTGTTGAATGTCTTGCAAAGTCACACAGTACGACAAGTTGCCATTGCTTGTGGAGATGGGGGCAGTTCTGACACAAACTTCCTCAATGAGGTTGTTGTATCGGAATTGTTGGTATTGAGGTTCTGTCATTTCGGTGGTGATTCAAGGGATGATGACAAGATGAAGAAAAGAGAAAAAAGCTCTCATTTCTCAATGTTAGGAGATGCTAGTTGATTGTTTTTCAGCTTAGCCTCTTGAAGTGGCAGGGCTGGGAAAATTATGCTTGATCTTGCATGAATCCGCTGGCTGTATTTTCATCCCAGAGTGCTGTAAATTTATCCCGTCAGGATGCATTGATTGAGACCAGCAATTAATGGTTTGCCCTCCTGCTATGGTTAAAGTCTGATGATACGATTGAGAGAGGTGAGTATAGAGGTCAAGTCAAGCCATAAAAAAACGCGTCTTGAGCTATCAGTATGAACAGCACAGCCATAACAGCGCACCGCACTTGACTGATCAGTGAACCTGTGCATTTTTGCCATTTACTATCTAGTATTTTTGGATCCATTGGTATCTTTAAGGACACTGACCCCAATTAACAAAGAGGAACCAGCTTGGGTTTCACTCGAGTACCATATTGAATACACGAACGTAGTTAAGGTCATTGAACAGTACGCTCCAAGGCACACATCCCGGAAGAATCACCGTAAAGGATAACTCTCCTATATATCCGTCTGCTAAGGTATGCCATGATCGATTGTCTTGGCTTTAGCATAACTAGCCCATGCGCGAACTTTGCTATTAAAAAAAGAGAAAAAGAAAAAGGTCTAAAATAAAATTGAATGAAATTAAAAACTAGGATGGCACAATTTTTTTTTTTTTTTTTTTTTTTTTTTTCCCAATCAGAGTCCCTTGCTCAGGGCGTTGGTCGACTTGCTCAAAGATGTTTTCCAAGTGCAATCGATCTTGTAGTGTGCGCGCATATGAAGATGCAAAAGTAGCACTGGTAATCGGAAGGAAATAAAGCCAATCTTTATTCGGGGGGGAAAGGCCTGCTCTATAAAATAGTATGAGAGCTCTATTTAAGCTATTTTGGCTCTAGGATTTGGGCGAAGCGTTGTCAATTCTAGTGCGTGTAGACTCCGTTGCAGAAGACCAATGTTCCGGTATGCAGAGTTCAAGCCACCAGTACCGCCATCGTTATCAGTTGTAAGTTGCGCTGTAGCACAGTTGTACCTGGTAGCACACGGCAAGAGTGTTCCAAAAGATGTCGAGGCCCACGATTTCGGGCACAAGTCTCGGAAGAGACTGAGGATTCACTCTTTCTTAGGGAAGGACATTAAATACTAATTTGCGGTTAATTCTTGCAGACTCTGATTGAGGCGGACAAAATTCTTGATTGCAGAACATGCCATGGTGAGGGATCTCGATGATAGGGCCGACTGAAAAGAGTCGCTTGTACCCGCTTGACCTTGATATTGAGCTTGACCTTGACCTTGACCTTGGGCTGTAGTGGGGAAAATGATTTTCTTAATATATTTATTTATTTATCCCCCTTTTGAAAATCTATAGTCTATAGGTCGCTACGCTTTTCGATGCTTGATGATTGATGATTGAGGGTGATTGAGAACTGGGAGTTAAGGAGGAGGAGGAAGGCTTTACTGGCAATAGAGAAATAGTTTTGATCCGTATGCGAGTGAATTTTATTTTTTTAACCTGACAAAGACTCTATTGTACCGAATTATTATTATTATTATTATTGTTGTTGTTGTTGTTTTTTGTTTTTTTTTTTTTTCTTTGACTATATCTTATTGTTACATTATCAAGTAGTATTATTTCTGGCAGAGATGAGATCAATCTATCAGTAAATCACTTAAGAATAAAGAACAGTAGCAAGCAGTATTAAAGGGAAAAAAAAAAAAAAAAAAAAAAAAAAATAGTCTTCTTCATGCTTTTCATGCATCTTGCCTTACCTTACCTTACCTTACCTTGCCTTACCTTATCTGCTTGTGTGCTTGTGCCTGTGTTTTCAGTTGTAAAAAATTATATATATATATATATATATATATATATATATTTCTATGGTCGCGTAACAGGTTAGGTTGATTGATCAGACTGATAACGCGAGACAAGGTTATGAGTGAGCCCCGTTTAAGAAGACAAAGAGATCTGTAAAATCATTAGACGGACAGGTTTTATTTTTTCGATATTACTCCTGAGTCATCTGCTTTGCCCTGATACAGTAGTTTATTCTCTTTTTAGGATTATTTACGTGTAATAATGCTATATATGTGTATGTATATATATATCATGTTTACAAGTGTAACAATGGTATACATGTATACTGTATATATATACATATAAGAAGGTTATTTGATCAAAGAAGAAGAAGAGGGTGTCTGAGGTAAACATATCAGATCCAAGGATTGGGGAAATCATCATGATGACTTTAATATAATTTGTCTCAAATGTAATTATAAAAGCGCGGAGTGAGAACGAGAGGCGGTGTGGCCATGCAAACTTTGGCTCTTTTTGTGTTTTTGACGCTTAGCCAACAACAACAACAACAACAAAAAAAAAAATTAAAGCTCAATGGGTCATAAAGTCGGCAGGATATTTTTTTTTGGTTTCTTAATGTTTATTTAACATTATATAAATACTTTATTTTATCTTTTTTAATGTAATGTAATATAATTATAAATATATACATATATATAATAATCCTTGTTATTTTATTCGAATCAAGTAGGACGAAGAAAAAAAAAAAAAGGACCAACCAACGAGAACAAAGACTGGTAATGGAAAAATAATAAAGGTCCTGGGCCTAAAGAGGAAGGGCCATTGCTTTTCTGTCTCTTTGTCTTGTCCGAACGGACAATAGAAATATAATAGTGTTTAGTTTGGGTTGCACCAGTTCATGAATGCTATTGACATGACAACAACAAGACTAGTTCTCTACAAAAGCAAAAGGGAGATTTGTTTTGATGCTGGGAAGAGAATGTATACAGATCAGAAATAAAAAAAAAAGGGGGGAGGAGAGAATGAAAGAAAGAAAGAAGAAAAGAGATTGGATTGAACATGGATTGGATGTGTCAAGTGTCCATTGTGTGCAGCTGATTAAGTGATGTGCATGTGCAACTGTGTAAAGTGTAAAAAGGTATTAGTTGTGTTAGTATATTGGTGCTAGAGACAAGGGATGAATGAGGGGAGGGGGAGAGAAGAAGAAGTGAAGGAGAGAAAGAGAATGAGAATGAGAATGAGAATGAGAGAATAAGAGTAAGAATAAGAATGAAGATGTAACGAAAGACAAAGAGAGAGAGATTGAGAGAGATAGAGAGAGATAGAGAGAGATTGAGAGAGAAAGAGAGAGAGAGAAAGAGTAAATCACACGGCAAGCGGGATCGCTCCCTTTTTTCCCTCTCCCGCAACTGTCCCATCACAAACGTATGTTTTGTATCGTACCCTTTTTTACCTTTTTACCCTTCATATAGATGAATATTTTATTGTCGGGCTTACTTCTTCCCTTGTTGATTATTGTTGATTGTTTGTTGATGAAGTCAAGCAAGTGTCTTTTCTCTCTTTCTCTTTCTCCTCTCTCTCCTCACTCTCTCTTTCTCTTTCATTCTCTCTTGACTTTACTCCTTTTCTCTATCTCTCTTTATCTTCATTCACTCCATCGCTTTCTTTCTTTCTTTCTTTCTTTTCTTTCTTTAATACGATTGTTTATTAGTTAACTACCATTCATTACCTTATTATCTCATTACTATTTCCCTACTATACTATACGACTATACCTTTTGTATCTTTATCCTTCCCTTCTCCTCCTCCATTACTATCCTTCTCTCTCTTCTCTCTCTCTTCTCTCTCTCTCTCTCTTTTTCTCTTTTTTTTTTTTTACTTTCATCCTACATTCATTCTCTCATTCTCTCATTCTCCTCTCTCTTTCTCTCATTCACCTTTTCTTTGCAAGTCATTAAAAAAAGAAAAAAAAAGAAAAGCGCAACGTGCTCCTTTTTGTTCATTATTCTTTCATTGCTCACTGTCCTGTCCGTGCTTGTGCTTGTTAACGATCAACTGTCTATTCCCACTCTCGCCTTTTCTCTTTCTCTCCCTCTCCCTCTCCTCGCTCTGTCTTAATTCCATCCATCACATTCACCCCCCCGTTATTTTTTAATATCACGACCACGACACGACACTTGACTTGGGCATGAACTGAACATTCACCTCATCTCTCTCTCTCTTTCCTCCCCTTTCCTCTTTTTTTTTTAAACTTTTTCTTATTACCAACTTACCCTTCACTTGAATATCTCCCTGTTGCTTTGCTTGCTTGACTTCTGTCCTCAACCCTGTCCTGTATCATTGCCTCTCATGACACCCTCGGACAGGCTGCCGCACCCGCAACAGCATCCTCAGCGGCTTCACTATGCCTCCAGTCCTCCACTCCAACATCAATCCCATCCTCATCCCCAGCACCAGCACCAGCACCAGCACCAGCATCAGCACCAGCACCCACACCATTACCCTCTTCCAACACCCCATCCACATCCACATCCACATCTACATTTTCAATCCCATCCTTCTTCCCCATATCCACAAGAACCCTCTCAGCATCAATCCCTTCTACGCCACAACGACTCTTCAGACCATTATCAATCCCATCCCCATCACTCTCATCCTCACCGACAACAGTTCTTGACTCATCCTTCAATTCCTACCTCTCCATACACTGCCCCATACCCTCTATCCGAACCCCAGCGTGCCCTTCCTACTCCTTCACACCTGACAACTCCTCCTACACAACGACACCATGGCTCAGACTCTTATTTCTACCGTGACCATTCAGACAGTCGTTACTCTCCCGCAACTCAATACACTCCACAACAGCATCATGACCATCCACCCTTGTCTGCCCATCACGAACCTCCATCACGCCACCATTCCTCCACACTCCAGTACTCTGATCGCTCTCCCGATCGTTCCCTTCCCTACTACTCTCATTCACCCCATGGATCACCCTATGAACCTGATCCTCAGAGGCTCTCACCCCAAGCACGAACACTGCAGCCTCGTACTCAAGAGCACACGTGGAATCAGCAAGGGTCTTCTTCTTCATCAGTCCCCTCTTTTCAACCTGATCAGTCAATGGACCAGAATGCAGATTCGACTTGCACTCAACGACCCGATCGCCATTACGTCCTGACCAGCGTCAACTCGACTGCTTCCACATTTACACAGAGGCAACTCTCCGTCTCCACCTCGGCCAATTACTCTGCCGTTACCTCTACGTCCGCATCAGCCATGCCCTCTCCCTTATCCTCCTCACCTCTATCCACACAACGTCAACCTGCGCACGGTGACGAGCCTTCGTTCGTCCACGAGCGTCAGGGTCGAGATAACGGTACAAAAGTGCCCCAACCGAGACCAACACCTATCCGCACGAAACTGAGCAGGGACTTGAGCCGGGAGTGTCCACCCCTGTCGTTCCAGAGTAGCTCCAGTCAATCCACAGGTAGAACAGAAAGCAGAGCCTCACCCTCAACACCACGCTCCTCCATGCTCCCCTCCATGATGCCAAGTTCTGCATTTGATGAATCAAGATCCGGTCTTTTTGAACACTCAAAGAGTATCCATCCCACCCCTTTTGATCAACATCATCACCTTCTGAAACATAACCATTTTCATCAGCAGACGACCCAGAGATCCATCTACGTCTTCCCATCGCCTGTTGAGTATCGCGACTCGGGTCTTTACCGCGATGATCATGATATGGAACATTGTTCTGAGCAGGACGATGTTCGCGAACGTGAACATGAAGAGGAAGATGAGGATGAGGATGAAGATGAAGCTCAGCATGCTAGAAAAATTGCTCGACATAATCTGGCAACAGGCGCCAAGGATAGGGATAGGGATAGGGATTGTGATAAGGATAAGGATCGATCAGGAGTTTCCACTCAAAATAATGTTCATCATCCTCAACATCATAATAATAATATTAATAATAATGGCCAGTTTGTACGCCCGTCCAAAAATGGAGTGGACGAAGAAGGCGATGACGCTGAGGATGGCAGTGGCAGTGGCAGTGGCAGTGGCAGTGGCAGTGGTAGTAGCGGTAGTCGGAAGCCAAGTTTGACAAACAGTCCGCCGAGGGAAGAATCAAAGTCATTGCGGAAAATCGCCAAACCTAAAACTGCTCAAAAGGGAGGATCAGGAACAGGAACAGGGGCAGGGATAGTCTCCCGACCACCTTCATTCCAGGCGGCCCTGGAAGACGCGATTGCAGAGTATGTGTTCATCTTGCAGCCCTCAAAATTTGAGGGTATAATACCGTCGTTAAGGTTTTCTTTTCTTTTTTTTTTTTTTTTTTTTTTTTTACTAATATCATGGGACTAACATGTAAAGGTTTTCTTTTATTCTTTTTTTTTTCTTTAAAAGATTTGAGGAAGAGGGTCATGGCCAGGATGGATCTGGTGCACAATCCCTGAAGGGCCAAGGACTCGGCCATTATGCTCCACTCGTTTGTGATCTTGTGGAGAGAAGACGTGTTACCACTTATAATGATGTATGTGACTCATTCATTCTTCATTCTGAGGATATCTGATCTTTTTTTTTTTTTTTTTTCCTTTTCTTTTCGTAAACGAATGTTTTTTTTTTTTTTTTTTTTTTCTTTTCTTTTGGCAGGTTATTAATTTTTCCTTTTTTCTTCTGCTCTCCCTTTCTTTTAACCTTTCTTGTAATAATATGGTAAATAAATAGCTTGTACAAGATCTTGCGAGTAGTCAGCCGATTGAGCGCGCAGAGGGCATGACGACTCAAGAACAAGGGGTAACAAATATCCTTTTTTTTTTTAAAAAAAAAAAAAAAAAAAAAAAATTTGTGGCAGACTAATTTCGTTTTGCTGGATAGCAATCATCAATGAGAAGTTATTTTATGAGCATCAGATGACTAATCTTGAGGGATATATTTTCTTATTTCAAAAAAAAAAAAAATAAATTAATCCTGGTAGAACATCCGTCGCCGAGTCTATGACGCCTTGAATATTTTGGAGGCACTTGGTATTATCTCTATGGACAAAAAGGAAATCCATTGGATCGGGATCTTGGATTCGAAACCGATTCGGGAGGTCTCTCGCAAGGTTCAACTTGCCAATCCATCACCACCCCAGACTGTATACTCCTCTCCTAGGCTTCAACAACGTGAGCGTGATGGAGCGGATGAAAGTGAGGAACCGGAGGATGATGAGATGGAGATTGAACAATTGCAGGTAAAAGCAAAAAGCAAAAAGTAAAAGCGAAAGCTTTTTTTTTATTTGTTTTCTGTTTTTGTCAAATGGATATTTCTTATAAAACAAAACAAAACAAAAAAAAAAAAAAAAAAAAAAAAGTTGATATTTTTTCTCACCCAATGCGTGTTTTTCTTCTTCTTCTTCTGTTTATAGAAAGAGGTGGAGGCTATGAAACTTCGTAACGCTCTTGAATTGGCTCGTCTTCAAGACCAGGTCGCTCGTGTAAGTTTTTTTTTTTTTTTTTGCTCAACTAGCTACTCGTTTTTTAAGCTTTTACAAAGTTTTTTTTTTTACGATGGACGGTATGATAACCATGAACACAAAACTTTGATTTTTTGTTATTGTTGTTGTTGTTGTTGTTGTTGTTGTTGTTGTTGTTGTTGTTGTTATATACATATACACATATGCACAGCATGTCCAAGTAAATAACCTTATTGAACGTAATAAGCTCCGGGAAGAAAAAGAGTTGGAGCGACAATTACGTCGACGTCAAAGGAAACAGGAACGGAAGGAGGAGAAGCGGGCACAGGCATTATTAGGCTCTGGTGCGACTGCTCTTAATGATGGCGAATCGATGGATGTTCAGGATGATGCTGGGGAGGCGGAGGTACAGGCAAGGAAATCAGAGAGACGTCATCGACATCATCGCCATCGTTCTCCAAGGATCGATAGAGAGAAAGATGGAGAGGATGCAGTACAGGTTGATGGAGCGAATGTTGAATCGGGAGTGGAGATGATGGATGAGGAGACTGCTCGAAAGATCCGTAAACAGGAACGTAGGGAGAGACGGGAACGTAAGGAGAAACGAGCACAGAGACGACTAGAGAGAGAGTCTGCAGCATGTGGAGAGGAAAATGGAGATGTTGAGCAGATTCAGTTGCCCTTTGTGGGTGTCAAGATCCCACGGTATGCAGGACAGAGCTCCGATTCTGAAGCTAGTATATCAGTAGTGCGCCGTGTACGTGAGGAGCAGCGATCCCGAAAGAGGTAAGGCAGCTGGGAAAAATCTTGTCCATGTCATCACGCGTGATTGATTGATTTTTTTTTTTGTTTTGTTTTGTTTTGTTTTGTGTAATGTTACAGACGAAATTATTGACACGTAAGAATACGTTATTAATATAATTATATGCTATGATATGATATGACATGATATCATGATTTTAGTGGCAAGAGTAAGAAACAGGGTCAGAGCACGAATGGAGATGAGACGACCATGGTAGAGATCAAGATACCGCATCAGGAGGAGTTGAGCATCATCTCGGACACGGAGATCCTTGGGGACTTGGGACTGAACCAGGTACCACTGAATGATCTCAAGGCTATGCTTCCGGAGGAAGCATTCAACAAATTCAGTTATACCACCACTACTACTGAAAATGGCGACGTCATCGCGACAGTCCAGGGTGGATTTGAGCGCGCCATCGTATGCTCTGGTGCTAATTAATAATTTATTTTATTTTACTTTATTTTATTATATTTATTTATTTATTTATTACTGTGTATTTTTCGATTTTACTTTTTACTTTTAACTTTTAACTTTTATTTTCTTTCTTTCTTTCTTTCTTTGCCACCTTTTTTTTTTTTTTTTTTTACATTCCTTGCAATCTTTGTAACATAGTCCTTATTTATTTTTTATTTTTTTTTTTTTGCAACGATTTTTTTTTTTTTTTGTTTTTGTGTATAGTAACATCCAAAGAAAGAGAGAAATAATATTTAATATTAGCTTTATTTTTATTTTATTTTTCTTATAAAGAAAAAGAAAAAGAAAAAGAAAAAGAAAAAAGAGTAATAATAGTATTTTTAATATCAAGAGTATAGATGATGACGAACAAAAGATGAAAAAGACCTTGTTTCGTGTTGTATACCAATGGCTATTATTATTATTTAAGACCCCGCATCCATCCATGGTGTGTGGCATGGATTACATGAACATGTAGAGAAATAAGCAAGGGAAAAACAAAAGGTTAAGAATAGCCGACAAAAATTTCCCCATTAACACATCGTGCGTTTAGATTCATTCAGTTGATTCACATGATAATCTTTTGCTTTGCAAAGAGAGAGGAAAGCATCATAAAGCATAAAGTGTATAAATATATAAGCATAAGCAAAAAAAAAAGGATTACGATTTTTGATGATGCAGTTGCCCATTGGACTTTTTTATTTTTTTTTTTTTTTGCTTGCAATAGTCTAAAAAATCTAAAAAAGAAAAAAAATGCCCTAACCTCCTAACCTATCAATTGCATTGATATTGGTTTTGATGTTTTGATGTTGATGTTGATGTTAATGTTAATGTTAATGTTGTGATAATGGATGGGGGTTGGGGGGAGGATGGAGCAGCTGACATGGGTGATGCGGATTGCTACACAAAGCAACAAAAAAAAAAAAAAACTGTTTTTTTTTTCCTTCCTTTTCTTCCTTTTCTTCCTTTCTTCCCGATGCGCCGCGGGAAAAAAAAAAAAAAAAAAAAAAAGTGCAATGCTTTGCCATTATCCTATCCTTGGCGAAGGAGATAATGGAGATCAAGCTGGAAAAAAAAAAAAAAAAAAAAAAAAAAGGTAATCTCTCTTTCTTACCTCATCCCAAAAAGAAAAAAAAAAGGGGAGGAATTACTTTTTTTTTTTTTTTTTTTTTTTTGTGATGGATTGATGGATCGATTGATTTGACAGATTTTGGTTTTTGGAAAAGTGGAGTTCGTGTGGATGTGTCTTTATTTACATTGTCTCCATCTCCTAAGATGCCTAGAATGGACAATGGACAATGGACAATGGACAATGAACAATGAACAGTAAGTGTATACTAATCTGTCCCCCCCCCCTTCCCCTGTTTCTCAGATATCGGTTCTCTCCTCTGTCTCTCTCCTATCTTTCACCCATCCTCTCCTCTCTTCTATGGATGTATAATATATAACATGTAATACATTCTACAAATGTATCAAGCTCCTTTGCTTAGATCTCTTTTAAGGTCTCGCGTTTACTTTTTTTATATGCCAAAAAGAGTCCTTCTTTGGATGAAAAAAAAAGAAAAAAAAAGTTGGAGGTCAAGGCTTCAGAGTCTTGAGAGCTTATTCATTTCATGTGATCTTGACTTTGTGAGTGGAAAAAAGAAAATTTCTTTTGAGCCTTTTCTCAGTTTTTTTTTTTTTTTTTTTTTTACATGTCAATTCTTATGCAAGTCATGCATTCCTCCGGCTCTGAATCTTGGTTAGATTGTTTGATGTAACATGGGAACATTGTAACAGTAGAAGGGGACACTCACCCACTTTATGTTTTAATCTTTAAGTGTGGGGTTACAAAATGCAATGTTTGTCCATATTAGAGACAAGCAACGATTAAGAAGAAAAAAAAAAGAGAGACGTTGTGTCACAGGACAGAAGGTCAAAAAAAGGTGTAACGTGTGAGATGATTGGATACGTTGTTTATCTTGAAAGGGTCATTCGGTCGCACATTATACATCTTGAACACATTTTTTTTTTTTTTTAATTTTCATGCAAGAAAAGGTAAAGAGTTGAAGTACATAATTAAAAAAAAGTAAGACGTTAAAGAGATGTGGATTGAGACATGGGTTTCAAAACATGTTTAGGAGATGGATGGAGAGATAAAGATGGTTGAAACAGAGCAAGAAAAGTATTATATATGGATATTGGATTTGTTGATCATATATTATATAAATATTTATCTATCTATGTATTCTATTGCTATTGTGTATATATATAATAGTAAATAATAAAATAGACAATAAAATAAAAAATAAAAAAAAGTGAGCTTGATATGCACGGCAATGGTTTAGAAAGCATGGAAGTAAAGAGGATGTAGCACACGTTGCTGCAATTGCTGCTGTTATGAACAAAGGGTCCCACGTAGCATTAGGCGGAGCAGGAATAAAAATGTAAATGACGATTTTAAATAAATTCTTGTTTTTGACATGAACAAATGAATGGACTAGAGAAGTGTTGTTGTTGTTGTGATGTGTTTTGTGTACTACAAGAGCACATGCATGTTTACTTTTATACTTTTTTAGTTGCACCGCATAGAGACTAAAATATTCATAAATACATCAATCAATCAATAAAAAAAGACACTATCTCTCTCTGTCTGTCTGTCTCCATGTTGAATTGTTTGAATGCAATGCATAGCATAGAGTGTAACTGCATGGATTTATGGTAGATGGCATGGGATGGATGGATGGATGGGAGATTGATACAACAAAGAGATAAGGAAAATTACACTAAGTTGTTGTCTTTTTATTCAATTCCTACCCACCCCCCTGCCCTGTTCCCTCTCCTTCCTCTCTATCATGCGCTCTTCTTGCTGATTGATTGTGGCATATGCTCGGCCCTGGGACAGAACAAGGGACCCATCGTCTTTATCGTTTTGTCTTTATCTTTTTCTATTTCTACCCTTTCTCTTTCTCTTTCTCTTTTCTCTTTTCTCTTTTCTCTTTCTTCTCTTTCAATCTCTCTTCATTCATTCTTTCTCTCTTTCTTTCTCTCTTCCCTTTTTCCTTATTCTCTGCAACCACATCAAGTTTTATTACATACTCTCCTGTCTTTTACTTCTCCACATTGTCTTCCACATCCGTACCCTCCTCCTTTCTCTATTACTTTTTATTTTTTCTTTTCTTTTCTTTCCCTCCTTACTCTCTTCCTCGCTCATTCATTCTAAACACCCCATTCCCATTCATTCGTCCATTCATTGACAAACCTACAAAGTCGTGTGTCTGTGTGTGCTCATACATTTTGTTCTTTATCCGGGCAGACAGATTTTAATTTTCTTTTTTAGTCCGATTTACTTTATTTTGCTTATCTTTATCTGGCTCCTGACCCGACTCCGCCCCCGCTATTAACCGCGACTAAAAAACTAAAAAAAATCTTCGCTTCCGTCACGCTAAACTATATATTCTTAAGGTCATACATAATCATAAAAAAAGACCTCTTTACTTCCTATCCCTATCCCTATCCATTCCTTCATCTCTTTTCTTTTTTTCTTCTTCTTTTTCTCGTCCTTCCTCGTTTATATCTCTCTTCATTTGTTTCCTTTGTTTCTCTTTAACGCTCTCTATTACCTCATACCTCCCACACATCAGTTTTTTTTTTTCCCTTTTTTCCCTTGACATCAACAGGCTTCCGGATGACACTTTCGATTCCTCAGCCTATCCCCTCTCGTTCCTCTCATCCGGTTCATGCACATCAACGACCCCCTGTCCGTCGTTCCCAGTCCCATTCTACTTGCACAAATCCCTCCCAAAACATTAATGCCTCGACCAGATTTGGTCTCAGTCGACTCTTAACCACTTCAGACCATCGTCTTCATCAATCCGATATCGGCGATGAACTGACACTGACGAACGAGGATGATGAGGATGAGATCAACTCTGAGAACGATGACGATGACGATGATGATGATGATGAAGAACAAGATGAGGATTCTTCAGAAGTACTAGTTGATAGTGGCCATTACTCCTCAGACCTCGATCTCGCCGTCATTGCAGAGAGCCGAGGTATCCCGATCGGCAAACCAAATTTCCTGTATAGTCAGAAAAACGCCAATCATCTTTACGGCACAGCCGGAGGGAGCGTTGATAGTAAGAGCCGAATGAGTCAAGGTTCACAAAGCGCATCCTCGCGATTCCGCTACAGTCATAGTCATAGTAACAGCGATAGCCATCATAGCATCAATTTGATCTCAAACAATCTAAAGGCAACAACAGTAGGGACTAACAAAAAAAAGGATGATACCCAGTCTGACTCTTCCTTTACTCACTTTAAACAATTCCAACCACCATCACCACAACAACAGCAACAAGAAGGTTATTCCAAAAGTAGTAGACTTGTATCCCCTTCGAACAATCCATCCTCTCCCCCTTCTGCTCGTTCGCCTTCTCCTACTGCTCCCTTACCCTCGCCTTCGCTCTCCCCTGACAGCACCCACTTTCCTCAGCGGGCAACACTCCAGAGGCATGATGCTCAAATCGGTCAACTTGATCTTGCCTCTGTTCAGGGCGAATCTGAATGTAGCCATGACCATATCAGCACTAGCATCAATACCAATAATAACTCTACTAGCAATGCTAGTCCTGATATCTTGAAAAGCAACAACAACAACAACAACAACAACAACAACAACAGAAATAGTGTCAATCATAATGCAGCTCATTATACCCAACCCATCTCAATCGACACGTCCAAAGCTCGTCTGCATCAAGAAGATATCAAGGCACCAACCGGTGATGCATTACCGGCCTTGTCCAAGCTTAAACAAGCTGCATCAACCACTAGCCCTCCAAAGCCGCAGCAAAGCAGCCAATCCCCATTTGGGTTAAAAAAGGAAGAGAAACCTGCTCCTGTCTTCTCCCCCTCATTCCCTGCATCCTCTACAAACAACAGCTCAACACGTCCCTTGATGATGGCTAGCCAATCCCGGCTCAGCTCAGCCCTGCCGCCCACGCCCACGTTTCACCAACAGTTCATTACCACTCCAGAGTCTGTACTCTCCCCATCATCTCCTCGTGCCAACTCTGCTCTGGTCAATTCGCTTGAACAGCTCTCCGTATCTTGGAAAGCGCCGGAGAACACGCCGAGTTTCCCGATCAACCGCTTACATCGATCTAGAACAATCTCCACTGGTGCTCGGCCTTCTTTCCCTCCTTCATTCTCCTCCAATGGTTCTTCAAACTCGTCCGGGAGCATGAACCCTTACCAAAGCAACAATATCATGTCACCCAACACAATGGTCACATCCTCCTCCTACAGCTCCTTGCCTTACTCTCCTGCTGTGGCATTCCTTTCGAACTTTGTGGATGTAACAGCGCCCCGTATGGCGCCTGATGAGGAAGGGGAGCAAGTAGGCGATTTCATCATGGGGAAGATCATTGGACACGGTGGATTTTCTCTGGTGCGTGAGGCATTTGCAATTCATCTGGATGGATTGGTTGCTTCAGTCGCTGTCAAGATTGTCAAGGCTCAGACGGGTGCTACCGACAATGACCGGATCCAGCGAATGTTGGACAAGGAGATCGCCATTTGGAGCCGGCTCTCACACCCGAATGTGTTGCCCTTCGTGGCAGTGGAGAAGCTTCCGTCGGACACCTTCGTTTTCTGCGAACTATGCACGGGCGGAAATCTTTTGGACTACTTGACAAAGCAAGAAGCTTCTTCATACATGTCATCACGTGCCAGTGGTGGCACAGTTGGCCTGGACGAGACACATGCTCGACTGATTTTTAACCAGATTGCAGAGGCAGTCCGATACCTGCATGAGGAGAAGCGAATTGTTCACCGTGATATCAAGTTGGAGAACATTTTGCAGCACGAGGATGGAACGTGGAAGATTTGTGATTTTGGCTTGGCAGAGTATCAAAACGATGAGGCAGCATTGTACTTTGGATCGCCTCTCTCACCCACGATCTATAACCCTCGAGCCTCGTCTAATCAAAACCGTAACTGTCAACAGAGTCCCTCGAGCTTGCAAAGCCAGGATAGTAATAGCAATAACACCAATAATGATGACAGTGGCATGGATGTAGAAGTAGAGGAGGAGGATGATGTAGTTGGTGGCTCACTCGCTTATTGTTCGCCTGAGCAGCTCAGATCCCCAAAGCCCTTGCGATGCCCTTCCACGGATGTGTGGTCTCTGGGGGTGGTGCTGTATGCTTTGCTGACAGGCCGATTACCGTTCCAAGATGAATACGAGCCTCGTCTGCAGTTCCAGATCTTGAATGGTCGATATGAAGATCCTACAGAGTGTAGTGCTGAGGCCCGTGATCTGTTGAAGAACATGTTCAAAGCCAAGGCTGGTGAACGACTGAAGATTGGTCAGGTCATTGATCATCCTTGGTGCATCAACGCCACGCTGGAGGGTTCTTCTTCCTCTACAGCATCAATGACAACATCATTTGGAGGATTTGGTGGAAGTAATGGTTTTGGAGGAGGAAGCAATGGCTTTGGCGAGAGCAACAACAGCAACAATAATGGCAACCACAGTGATCATGCCAAGATGAATAACTTTTTTGCAACATTCCGGTTCTAAACGGATCTTTTTTTGTTGTTGCAATTTGTATACAAATTCTCTATTCATTTGATTTCTTTCTTTTTCGTTTTTTTCGTTTTTTCGTTTTTTCTTTGTTTTTGTTTTCGTTTTTTAATTTCAACCCTCCCTCCTCTTCCCCTCTTTAATTCGTTTACCTTTTTTTTTCTTGTAGCAATAATGTCACTCAATGTATTTATCCTTCTTCAACAAACCATTCAATTGGAATAAAAACATCTGTACTATATGAATTCTAAAATACGCATTTTCATGTCATGTCATGTCTTGTCTTATTATTATTTTTATTTTATTTTTTATTTTTTTTAAATAGTCTTGACTTGCTTTTCCAAAGCCTAGAGAGAGAGAGAGAGAGAGAGAGAGAGAGAGAGAGAGCGGAGAGGTTTATTTTTATATCGTTTGGGATATGAATAGGAAGAGGGGGGGATTGATATATGGGACGGGAGCAAAGGAACTTTTCTTTTCTTTTCTTTTCTTCTTTTCTTTGGCGGGAACGTTTCTAATTTATTGATCAGCAGCCTCAGCAGCCTCGGCAGCCTCGCGTCTCTTTCTTTCCTCTGCAGTCTTCATTCTACGAATGCAGCTATTTTAATCGAGGGGATTAAAAAAATTAAATAAAATAAAATAAAATAAAGAGAATAGAATTAAATATTAATAATCTTGACAATCAAAAAATAATAGCAATAAGTCTTTTTTTTTTTTTTTTTTTTTTTTTAACTGTTCTATCCTTCCATGACCATTAAAAAAAAAAAAAAAAAAAAAAAAAAGTCGTAATATTTTGGGACGAGTCCGCTGTAATGGTAATGTTGTCTTGTTCTTATTCCCCGTAACAAATACATTTGCAACATGTTGTTTTCAAGAGGATTTACTCTCTCTTTCATCCTGAATAAAAAAATATGGCCGATACAATACAATTTCCTCTATTCATGTAATCCACTGTTGCCCCTCTGATTGTTATTATTGTTGTTGTGTTGTTTCTTTCTCTTTTTTTTTTCTTTCTTTCTTTCTTTTTTTTTTTTTTTGTCGTAGTCGTCTTCAATATGATGTTTGTATTAAATAAAAAATAAAAAAACAGTCCCCCGTACTCATCGTATTGACATTTCTCATAGTCATGACGTTCATCCTGACACTTGAATGGTAAATAAAAAGTTTCGGAACGACACTTGTTCAAAGGAATGAGCAAATGTGCACAAGAATCTCGATAGCCCAACGGAAGACGAGCATCCTGCATTTCCTTTTGTGTTGCGGACATTATATTATTTATTTCCTTTGAGTCTTAAGAAATGGTGAAAAGAGGGGGGGTGGTGAGTAAATGAATTATTCAATGTTTCCCCTCAAAATCGCTTGGAAATAAATAGATTCTATTCTATTGGATCCCTTAATTCCAACAGACGCGTCTTTTTTCATATATATTTTTTGCCACACAAAAATGTTGTCTAGATTTCTAGATTTGTAAATGTATTGTGTGGTGTGGCGAAGCATAAATAAATTTCATCCTTTGACTTCACTTTTTGCTCGAAGGGCTCTCCACCGAGAAGAGTGAACCAATGTATTACGCGGATTCACATGAAATAAATAAAATAAGGTATAATACACGAGTAATAATTACAAATATGATAAGTTGGTGGCCAAACATTTCAGACGTAAAGTTTATGGTGTTGGCAAAAACTTTTCTTCTTTAGATTTATAACACACAACTCAGAGCACTTTGGGGTTATCAATAATAAAACGACAGCAGCTACAATAGTCTAGTCCCTGCTTAGCGCCAAATGGACGTGGCAGAAACATTCTAATTGCAGACCCTTATTTTGGGTTCAGTCAATACCACCATCTATAATATAAAATAAGATCTTGGTATATTTATACCTTCGTTATTTTAACTAAATTGCAGGAGACAAAATAGAACTCTTCATGCAGAGATAAAAGACTGGATATTTGTAGTGTTAGTGAGATGGAAGGGTGGCCGAGAGGGACAAACGCAGAGGTAGAAAGATAGAAAGCGCCTCAAAAAGCTTCAGATTCTAGTTAGCTGCTTGTTCAAAACCCATCCGTTACTTCTGTACTTTGTCAACAGAGGAACATAAAAGACGCGAAATTTTTAAGCGAAATGACTATGCTTGTTGATGATAGTTCAAGGTGTGTACGCTTCTTTTTTTTTTTTTTTTTTTTTTTTTTAAGAGTTGAGTTCTATACTTTACTATCTCGTCCATACCCTCAACCATTATGGGATGGTACTACTCGAGAGCATTTTCACCCTAACGAAGATGTTCTCGCCTCCAACCTAACGGCGTAAATTGACAGGTATGCAAAATATTCACTGTTGCCCTTGTGTAGCGAAGAAAAAAAAAAAAAAAAAAAAAAAAAAAAAAAAAGATCGACAGCAGCATCTCCATCTTGTCATCATCATCATCATTCCCTCGATCATTGCCGAGATGACATGATCTCAATACCAATAATTTCGAAAAGCCAACAATGACATCATTGAAAAAGTTTGTGTAAGAACTGCCTCTGCTTCCGGAGGTAATGACGGCAATTCATTCTACGTGACTTTACAAGACGTTCGAGACGTGTTTCCTGATGCACACCGATTCATGTCGGGGGGAGATCCCATCCCATTCCTTATAGAGCCTGATGGCAGCAGGTATCTTATTTTATTATAATGCCTTATCAAATGTTCTAGAAAAGAAAAGAAAAAAAAAATGTGAGAACTCAATTAACTGCGTCTTTTTTTTTTTTTTTTTTTTTTCCTTCCTATTTCGTTATATTAGAATTGAACCTCCACGCATTGCGTTCTACCCTGACAAGGTTCTGGATGTCATTGCAGAAGTACCACAGTCCTGCAATTGCAACAGCAACAGCAACAGTAACAGTAGCAGCAACAGCAATACTGTCGTCCTTTTGCCAACCTCAAAAGAGTCAAAAAACTTGACCTTTCAGGACCTTCTTTTGGCATTATCCAACTTTATCCAATCTTCCAGCTCATCTCTTACTGTCCGCAATAACGAGGATTTCAACTCTCACTTTGAAGAGATTAAGGAGATGCTGCTGAGGGCCGAAAATAGGGACGACAAAATGCTCCAACTGCATTTGGAGGCTAGAGAGAAGAGCGACAGGATACTCGAATTACAATTGGAGGCTAGAGAGAAGGACGACAAGATGCTTGCAATGCAGGAGGAGATGAAAAATTTGCAGGAGCAAACACTCAACAGACTTGTCATGCTTCAGCAGAAAGCTGAGGCTATCCTTGTTCAGACCTTTGAGCTACACGAGTATCCAATCCCTCGACTCTTTATCATTTTACCTGCCGACCGCTCCAATTGGGACCCAAGGGAAGTATTGAAAAACAAGTTCCGCCTTCATTTCCTATGTGAATGTGGGGATCTCTCCGTAGAGGCAAGCAAGGACAGCCAGAACCAAAGCCACATTGCTAGACATGAAGGATATGAGATCCGAAACAGCACAGAGTTCTTTCAAAAGTATGGGAAACACATGGTCATCCTTTTACAGTGCCTCAAAGTAAGGACGCCCTTGAGTACTCCTCTAGCACCAGTTCCAGATCTCAAAGATTGTATTGATTACTCACTCGACTATCTGAATGAACTCTCTAAGGAATATGCCGCCTTGAATAATATCAATACAATCGATGATTATGAACCACTTGAAGGAGCAGATCTCCGGCAACTGCATAAATTCCTTCAAACTAACGGTGAAGACAGAAAGCTTGGCAACCTGTATAGAACTAAAACCGAAAAGGGACATATCAAATGGGTTCGCATCGACCACCATCGCTCGCCATATAGAGAAAAGGAACAAAAAGCGCTCGAAAAAGTTGTGGGGATGTCACAATAGTAAATATGACCCACATCTTGGTAAAAGTGGCCCATCGAATTATGGTCCAAAATAAGCGCTGAAGAATTCTATAATGTCTTGGTCAATGCAAAACACGTATACGAGTTAGATATTACTTTTGACTGGGATTGGAGCAAGGCTGATCTTGAAGCACTTGAGGAAGCACTAAAGATGTCGAGTGTATCCATCCTTCGACTTAGAGCTCAAATGAGTGTTGCCAGGAGGTTACAGGCAACATCGCTAAATGATATACCTGTTCGTATCATAGAGTTCCGCGGAATGAAATCGATCAATATCGTGCTAGGCCCAGATCTCGTCAAGCTTCCCAATTTACCTAGTATAAAATTGCCACACCTTCATGAGCTATCCTATGAGATGAGCCTTAGAAGAATGGAAAGTAGTGATCTTCAAGTTCTTGTAGAATCACTCAAGAGCAACACAACTTTGACATATTTGGGCTTGAAGGGTAATCCAATTGGTGAGAATGGCGCCCCAGCGCTGTCAGAGGCACTCAAGATTAACACGGCTTTGACTATCTTGGACTTGTGTTCCAGTGAAATTGGGGATAAAGGAGCTCCTGTACTTTCAGAGGCACTCAAGATCAATACGACTTTGATCTGGTTGGGCTTGGAGAGTAACTCAATTGGGGATAAAAGAGCGCTTATATTATCAGAGGCGCTCAAGATCAACACGACTTTGGCCAATTTGATCTTGATTAGCAACTCAATTGGAAATGAAGGAGCTTTTGCATTCTCGGAGATGCTAAAGGCTAATACAACTTTGATCGTTTTGGATCTGGCACAACCTAATTAAGGAGGGGAGCTCTAGTATTGATTAATGCGCTCAAGGCTAGTACGACTTTGACCAGCTTGGGCTTCTGGGACACTTTCCTTATGGAGCGTCTCTCGGACGGAAATGTGGCAAATTTGGACTTGCGTTACAATCCAATTGGGAGCGAAGGGGCTCTTGTACTCTCAGAGGCAGTTAAGGCCAACACCATTTTGACCAAGTTGGAATTGAGTAGCAACCTAATTAGGAAGGAAGGAGCCTTGGCGCTGTTCGAGGCACTTAAGATCAACACACACCACTTGGACCACATTAGTGTTGGTGAGCAACTCAATTGGGGGCGAAGGAGCCCTGGCACTCTCAGAGGCACTCAAAGCCAATACGACTTTGACGGATTTGCAATTGGATTGGAGCTCAATCAGGGATGAAGGCGGCCTTGCGCTCTCAGAGGCACTCAAGGCCAACACCACTTTGGTTAGATTAGGCTTACGATCTAACTTAGTTGGAAAGGAAGGAGCTCTCGCACTCTCAGAGGCACTCAAGACCAATACCACTTTGCTTAATCTGGACTTGCTGAGTAACAAAATTGGGCATGAAGGAGCCCTTACACTCTCAGCACTAATGGTCAACACGGCCTTGACCGATTTGAACTTGGGATACAACGAAATCGGGAAGAAGGGAGCCCTCGCACTCTCAGAGGGACTCAAAACCAATACAACTTTAAGCACATTGACCTTGTGGAACAACAGAATTAGAAATGAAGGAGCCATCGCACTCTCAGAAGCACTCAAGACCGACACAGCCTTGGCTAATTTAGATCTGAGTAACAATCCAACTGGAAATGAAGGGGCCTTTGCGCTCTCGGAGGCACTTAAGGCTAATACGACTTTAACCACGTTGAACTTGGGACATAACAAAATTGGGAGTGAAGGGGCCATCGCACTCTCAGAAGCACTCAAGGTCAACACCACTTTGACCACTTTGGTCTTGCGTTACGCCTCCATTGGGAAGGAGCCCTCGCCCTCTCAGAGGCACTCAAGACCAATACGGACTTGACAGAATTGAATTTGGGGTCCAACACAATTGTAAAGAATTAGACATGATGCATAATTTAAGGACTATATTCCTTAGTTATTTGTAAGAAAGAAAAAAAAAAAAAAAAGCGCGACTTGTAACAGTAATGCAGGATGCTGAGGAGGCTCTTCCCCCCCCCCCCACCATGCATTTTGTTCACGCTTCCACGACATTTATTAGTATAAAGAGCTATTAGTAAACCGTTTTGTTAAGAGCTTTTTTTTTTATTTTTTTTTTTTTATTTTCTTTTCTAAACTAATTAAATAAAGCAATTATACTACAGGTTTACCCTGTCAAACCCAATCGAGTGAGGAAATACCGAGGAAGACGAAGGTCATCTTAAGATGTATCGGCTCTTTCTGCTAACAATAAGGCTGTTTCTAGCTTTATAGTCCCTCCATTAGGAACAAAATATACATGATAAAGAACTCACCCGTAACGCGCACGCCCACTACTGCAACATATTTTGCAAAAAGGGAAAAAGAAATAATCACCGAATGAGACATGCATAATCCTTTCCTTCGGTCCACTTGCATGCTATAGCAGATGATAAGCTGTCTGACTAGTCTGACCAGCCTGACCAGCCTGAGAATCCAACGTATCCTTGATTGGATGGAATACTGTATAAACCGCCGGATCCCGCCCTACTTCCAGAAGTTGTGTCGGCCTTCCTGGGAGATCTTGGATGGATTGACCCTTCAAGACGGGCTCTTCATGGACGGTAGCATATCGTTGCTATTGTGGTCTATTTTCAGTACTATTAATACTAATGTTATTTCACCCACGCTCTACCACTACGCGTTTTGTTGCCAGTGTGGTCGCTGTTACTACTACTATATGTAGTCGTATTCTCAGATCGTACATCATCATTGACAATACTGATCTTGGTCGTTAGCTTTCGATACCATTGTTTTTATTCCACCGGACTTTCCATTATATTAATGAATACCTTCCTTGGTGCTTCTGAACAACAAAGACCCCTCTCAAGATGCAATGGAGACACAAGGGGCGGTGGGATTTTTTAATGGATCTGCGTATACTAGGCTAGGGGCTGGCACTCGCTTGTCCATCAATACCGGCTATGAAATATGACTCTCTGACGACCTATAAAAATACGATTTGGATATTGTTGCATTTGCTATGACTAAGTTAATGACCCCTTCTTTAGCTGATACTATCTTCTTAGCTTGGACAGATTTACATAAGAGTGACAACCCGGGTTGTCAAATAGATTAATTCATCTTAATAACAGCATCTCTACGACTCTTGAAAATCTCTTGAGTTGTCAAATCGAAGCGAGCAATGGCAATATTAAATAGTTTTTCGAACGTGCCTTGCGATAAAGGCCCGACAAAAACGAGATAAGAGTCTGAATCCCTGAGCATGGTCCTATCAAACTTGCCATGTACAGTGCCTGTGAACACAACGCACAATCCACTCTTTACTCTGCTCGTCCAAGCGGCGAGGCAACCCAGAGAAGCCAGGACAGGAAGCCTACTTTTTGCTGGAGGTTCCTTGTGAAACAAAGCACTATGCTCATCTACAATGAAGAGAGCCTTTTTACCTTCTTGTTGGAGGAAGTCGTTTAATATGTAGCCAGCAATATATTCCACACTCTCATAACTTGCCATGGTGGAGAGCTCGTTTATAGCCAAGATATCCTTATTGAGATCTAGGAAGCGTTGACAAATCTTTTTTGATGCGTCCCCATCCTTCTTACATCGAGCAAGGCTCCCTGCGTCAGTGATGTAATGAACTGGCCAGCCGTGAGCATATGCCTTAGCGACAAGAAACCAGGTTATATAGGACTTTCCGACTCCCATGGGGCCAGACAAACATCTTGCAAACGCCTTAGGAAAATCTTTCATCTCTTCCCATAGCTTCTTCATCAGTTCGGTAACAAGGAAATCATCTTGATTCTCTACTCCAAAGAGCTTTGGGCGATGCCCAAGGCTTTTTCTCTTAACCTGCTCGCCAACCCTAACATTCTTCAGTGATGAGAACTCCAAGCGACTTTCCGGCTGGTATGTGGTTGTAAATAGTAACAAGCAGGGCGAGTCTAGGTTTTGACAAGGAGCTTTATTCTATGTTGTCTACCCTAAGCTGTTGCTCTAACCATGGCTATTTATATGCAATGACATGGGGCGTAGTGAGAGCGCAATGGGGGGCGTAGTAATTAACACGTTTGCATCCTTCCTTCTAAAAAAAATTTTGGTTTATGAAAAAGGAAGAATCAAAAAAAAAAAAAAAAAAAAAAAAAAAATTATAAAATTGGTGGTAACAAAAAATAGAGAAAAACAAGCCGGAGACCGTGGCTTCGCCACGGCCGGCTCTTGTCTCGTTAGAAATTCCATAAAGCGTAGTGCAACGATTGGTTTGGAAAATATTAAGCGTTACCATATATACAACGAATAGTATCTTTGCATAACTTTTTTATTGACTGGGTCTTTTTTACCATTTTAAAAGCTACAAACATAATCGACACTATATAGAAATACAATAAAGCAAAATCAGGTAAGATTATATACAGCAGTAAAATAAACAAAAAATAAAATACAAAATAAGAAAGAATATCTGGAAGATACGGCAGTAAATGAGAGGATGCTTATTTACAACGCATCCTTGGAGGCAATGTTCCGCATGTATAGCCCAGGTCTGAGATTTAGCTCAATTGCACCCATTACACCGATATATGCATCCGCCTTCAGCTTGGACTGGTATTCGCTGATGAACTGAAGCCTATCCGCCTCCAGTCTGCTGTATTGGTCGGGAGCGTACTGATGAGTCAAGCACGTATTCATCCAGATGAAATATCGCTGGTCTGTTGAGCTCAAAGGACGAATCTGCATCCTGTACATTTAAAACTCCTTTAGCTTGGCGTATTCTCGACTTTTCCTAGCTCGGCCATTGCCTCCATCCACTTCCACCTCTAATTTGCCGTCATCGTTACCTCCGTCATAACTGTCACCATGAGGCCCTGCAGAAGTTCGACCTGGCCTAGGCCATTTTTTATACTTTTTATATGTCCAGCCCTCGCCTTTTGGGTGCAAGAGGATACTGTATCACCCACGAGGTAATGGTGTTGCTGGAAACCATGTAAAAACCGTTTGTCAAATGATCAGAAAACAGATCAGGCATAATAGCAAACATTGGGATAATCATGTTCCATTTACTCAACTAAGTGCCAACACTCGGACTGTGAGTCTTCATAACTCCTCACCATTTTCTTTATTTTCTGCACGAAAAGCGAATGGCTTCAGTAACTACACTGATATGGAGCAAAAGTAATGACTCTTGACCCAATCCGTGGCGACAAACTTACCCCACGTTATGAAGGACCATACACAGCCGTAAACAAAAATCCTCATGGCTCGTATATCCTTAAAGATGGGACAGGCGCAATCTTAGCCAGAAATTAAGCCCCGTCTCAACTGAAACTTGTCCTTGATGGCTTTGAAGATACTCTTACCTACGAAATAGAAAAAATTATTGACCATCGACAAAGTGATACATCCACATGAGTATGAGTATCTTGTTAAATCGAAAAACTATTCGCATGATGACAACACATAGGAACCTGAAGAGAACTTCACTGAACGACAATGCATTACTGATTACTGGGCTGATCATCATGCATCAAATGCTACTACTGTTGGCCCTAAACGGTCTCACAGTTCTTCATCAGAATCCGCTGACTTGCAGCAGAATGTGTCACAGATATCTGATGCTCGCCAGACATCTGTCAGAAGTACCTCTCGACCCAAGTGTCGACGCACGCGTCGTTAGACTTATGACGAACGCATCATTCACAATGATACCAATAAATATCAATAATAATACCATTAACAATATCTAAAATAACAGATCTATCAATGTTTAAAAAAAAAAAAAAAAAAAAAAAAAAAAAATTTGATAACAACACTTTATTCAGCAACTGGTTTAAAGGTTCTATACACATCTAGCAACAGTGCTGCTTTTTCTTGCAAGAGCTCGCCACGAGGTGAGTCTACATCAACTGATTCCAGTTCGGTGAGAACCTTTCGGAGCTGTCGTTCTGACATTGACTCTTGACGGCTGTTTGACGTTTCCGTCACAAATTCAGTCTCCGTTACTACTGAAATGACAGCAACCTGTGCACGTTGCGAGGCTTTAGCTGACGCTTCTAACCGTTACCAGTCTGCCTCCTTGACCAGCATCAGGTTACGACGTCTCAGTTGCTTGAACAACGATGGTTCATGCACCCAGAAGATATCAAAATTGTCACGTCTTATGGGTTCTCCTGAATAAATCAAGTTTTTGTCCTCCCTCCAGGAAGAGATACTTGCGAGGTCGCACTTCATCCCCATCCTGATAGAGTGCACTCTCTGTCCGCGCCCCGAAATTGCAGAGTTCACTCTCCAGAAAGAGCTTCCTGATCTTGCTCCCATCTCTGGTGGGACGCTCCCATGGAACATAAGTGAACACTGGGTCAGCGGGTGGACCGTCTGGGGAAGGTGGGGCCTGGCGACTTGCGCTCTTGTCATTTTCCAATTCCTCACGAGCGCGTTTTTTTGCCAGCAACTTTGCTGGTGGAAGAGGAAGCAGTGTTGTTGGAGAAAGACACAATTTAAGCAATGTAAAGTGTAAGAAAATGAGATTTGAAAGCCTGTTTTGCGTTGAGAAGAGTTTGAGTGTTAACAATGTTTTAGGAATGAAGGAATGAGAAGCACAATGACCTTCAATTTATTCTCCTCATTGCTTTTCTCATTACATCTCTCCTTCATCCTGATTCGTTCCTGACATTACAAATCTTTTCCGCATGATCTGATCTTGGCTGATCTTTCAAACCAATCAACATTGCGAATTACAATCGTCCAAAAGCGTCACTGATCTTAACCAATCACTGACACTGATTCACGCATGTGTAAGAATCTAAAGTTTTTTAAAAAAAAAAAAAAAAAAAAGTTTTTTAGCCGGGCCATTATTATATTGCATACTGAAATATGCAACAGCTTTCCCTTTTATTGAGGAATGAGGCACACATTTCAGGGCACGGAAGCGAGTTGAGATAGGACGCAAAGAATGATCGCGACTGTTATGCTCTGTTTCTTGTATGTAAGTGCATAGAAACTTTTTTTTTTTTTTTTTTTTTTTTCAGGGACAAGATTTTGCTCAAATAACCGAGCATCATGAGAAAGTAGCAGTAGAAATAGTGGCAATAACGCGTCGCACAAAGACGCGATAAATCATTGACAAGAGTTTTGAATGAGCCCATGTCACCTTATAGATAGATGTACTTACCTGGTACAAGTCCCTCTACCAGAAAAATGAATAAATACCCCATGGGTGTGGTGTGTGGACCCACATCTTATTCTCACTTACTTTTCTCACTGTTTACGATCTATCTGAAAATATTTTTCAGTACCAACATGCGCGATCAACAATGCGAGAGTAATCTGGGAAAGTAATGTTCTGTGTATCCTGAGTGGTGAAGAGGATAAAGAAGTCTCTTGAGGAAGCCGCCTTTTTCCTTTCATTATTGTAGGCTCGTTGGTTGATAATCGAGTTTCCAGTAGAAAATTTGTATTGATGTACCCCGTTACTGATAGGTCTGGAGTCCAGTGATAGAAAGGCGTCGCCATAAGGTGCTGATGTGGCATTAAGAATGATATCCTTGTGCTCCCGTAAATTTATGATCTCCTTGCTGCAATTAATGGTCCAATGGCGCCTATTAAACATTGACGTCTTGGTGTCCGTTTGCGCAATGCTGTCCTATGAAATTCTGAAGCGTTTCTTGATTTCCCTGTGCCTGCACCAAAGAGAAATAGGTAGAGGGACATGTACATTTTATCATGACTTCCAGCCCCGGAAGTAGCGGAAGTGATCTCGGATCCCGTCCCGCATGGTTTCAATTAGCTCGTCACTTGCTTGATACTCCTAACCTACTCCTGCGCTGCTGACAAGTAGTCTTGGTTCAGTGCATGCCAAACCTACTCAAATAGTCCTTGAGTAACTTTTAATACTAATAATAGCTGTCTCATCAGCATTAATACGATATTGCGATACAAATTACCATTGGGAAGGCTTCGACTATTGATGGTAGGCTTGAGCGTTCTGCTAACATTCCTTCGATTTTTTTTACTGTCAGATTCAGATGAATCTGACGCAATCTCGTAATATGACCCCTCAAAAGCTCGCCATATTCTCCCATTAACCGTTCAGATGCAATTCTTTGTTGATGAAGCCCAAGGTCGTGTACAATTGTGCCTGCATTGAGTGATGTGATTTTTGTCTTGATGTCTGAGTAGTGGGACCAGAATTGATCCTCTGAATGTTGTCTGAATTTGTCAGAGTTATCTTTTAATTTACTCCTTCTTTTACTGCGAAGGACAGGAACTTCCAAAAGGTCTTCAAACATCTTGATTGCAGATTCTTTGTCTGTCAATTTGAAACGTCTCACGAAATTGGGGAAGCACACATGTTCTTGATGTGGAGTCTTGGTAGTCACCCATTTATATGGACTTTTGGTACTGTCATCTCCTATGATATCATACAAGGAAAGGGTAAGGAAATCCAATTAGAGATTATACTATTACTAATCAAATTCAAAAGTCGAAAATGTCGCCAATCAAACAGATCGATCACAAGGCGCCACTGTCGGCGTTACCATGCAAAGCTCTCTGGTGACCACCAATATCATAGCTACCCCCGCTCAGTTGAGCCGGAAGTATATCAACCGGAGCTAAGGAAGCGAAGCTACGTGCGATATAGTGTTTCAAAGCGCGATCAAGTGAATCAATTACATGCCTTAGTCTGGCCTGGGGTCTACAGTCACCTGAACAGAAATGAATTATGAACAAATAGTAATCCTCTTAGTAATAGATTAACGATTAAACAAGTCTACAAGTACTCAATAGAGAGAAAAGAGGAGGGAAAAGACAGAATCGAGAGTGAAGTGAGAGAGATATGCTGATTAAAAAACATTGCTTTCCTTGAGAATACATGTGTGATAAATCGAGGAAGAGAGATAAAGAAAAAAGTGCGAAAGAATGCAGAAGATGTGGATGGAGTTGAACACCATTGTTCCGACCCCTCCACCTTTAAAAAAAAAAAGGTGCAAAGAGAGAGAAAATAAGTTGGTTCCCGGAGAGAGTCAAAAAAATAAATAAATAAAGCGGTGTGCAGTAAGAGCAGTGGACACGACTAAAAAAGGGCGTGCAGAAGCAAGAAAAAAAAAATGCGCAGAGAGGTGTACAGAGTGAAGTAAAAAAAAGGTGCAGAGAAAATGGATGGCAATCAGACGCGTAAACGAGTCATCAGCCATCAATCAATCAATCAATCAATCAAATAAATAAAATTGACCGTAATTACTTTAATTAAACGCGAAGAGAGGGAGAAAGGCGCACAAACAAGGAATCTGAATAATAGGGGACACCTGGCAATTTACTCTGGCTTTTTGACCTCGGTAATCAAAAATGGTAACCTTCTTTTTCAGAGAAATAGTTCGGGTAATATTTCTCCTCGAACCCCCTTGGTGTTGGCAGAGGATCTCTACTCCTAAAGTGAAATAAAAAATAATAAAAAAAAGGTTGAATAAATAGGTTTCGGAACAGGAATACAGCAATTCAAAATAATATTGTTTACCAGCGATCGGCTGCATCAAGGTCTTGCCGCGAATGTTGAGCATTTAGGCAATAGCAGTATTTCCTCATCTGACGCATCTGGGACTTTGATCCACGGTATCATCGAAAACACCTCGGGGGAAAGACTGTTTTGACAGAATAGCTGAAAAGGCGCACCGAAACCAGTGCCGTTTCCCCGGCGTGCTGACAGTCCGAGTGCATCGAAGGGTTGAGAGATTCGGCAGACCGATAACAGATAACGGAGCCGTACCCTTTCTTGTTCAGGATAGGATAAGGGCCATCGACCCCAATGTTGGTAGTAGGATTGTGTTTGTGATAAAAGGGTGAGAGAAAAGCTTTCTTTTATGTCCTTTTCACTCCAATTTCTTCATGTCGTGTGATCAATAACTCATGTATTGTCCGCTCCATTTGGTCAGTGATTCTTATACTTTATTGAATAACCTTGATACATTAGGAGCCAATTACAGTATTTCCCTCGTCGCGGCGAAATATCGAGATCAGCTGCCAAAGCGGTTCGGCCATCACTTTTTGAATAGAAAATATCAGAATCGCTGACCAAACGAGATGGAGTTTATTTTTATTGCAAGCTCACAATCCAGAATCAGCCATCATCGCTGGAGTACTGATCAAACGAAGCGGACAACACATGACATGACCCATATCCCATATTGCGGACAAAAATGGTCGCAATTTTTTTTTTTTTTTTTTTTTTTTTTTTTGTAAGATCTGAGCCTTTTTCAGAGTTGAATAGAAAATAGTGAAGCGATTCTCACCGGTGGTAGCGATGCCCTGTGGATCAAATGACATGGCTTGACATAGTATAATGATAAAAAGATGACCAAATAAAGTATAGTGTCTCCCCTATAACATTAATTTACTAGAGACGTTGAGGCAAAGAGAGGTGTTTCTTTGATAACAGGAAAAAATAGCCCTTTTTCTGTTATTATTGTTTCCAATCACTGTTGATCTTCGTTTACTGTGCAGACAATCCTTTCAGACTACGTGACCACCGGCAGTGATTGACGAACTAAAAAGGAAACCAAAAAAAAATTGACGCACTGACGATGATTCGTTGTTACACCAACTGAAATAACGCCTCTCTTCATTGCCCGCGTTCCTTGATGAGATTGTCGGATGCATTCCCTTCAATGAAAATGATGAAAGATCAGTTCCAACAACTCCGAAAGGCCAACAGCGACATCATTGAAAAAGTTTGCGTCAGAATTGCACCTACTTCCAGAAGCAATGGCAGCAACTCGTCATTCTACGTGACTTTGCAAGACATTCGAAATGTGTTTCCAGATGCACATCGATTCATGTTGGATGGGAGCCTCATCCCTTTCCTAGTAGATGGCAGTGGCAACAGGTATGTTGTTTTATCGTGATACCTTTTCAATTACTCTAAAAAAAAAAAAAAAGCGAGAGACCAATCTAGCATGTCTTTTATTCTTCTATTAGAATCGATCCTCTGCGCATTGCCTTTTATCCTGACAAGGTCCTGGACGTCGTTGCAGAAGGACCAAAGCCCTGCAACATTAATAATAGCCTCAACAGCGACAGTAACAGTGGCAGCGACACCACTATCAGTTTGCCTACCTTGAAGAAGTCAGTATATCTGGCCTCTCAGGAGCTTCTTCAATCATTATCAGTCTTGATTCAATCTTTCAGCTCATCTCTTGTTACTCACGAAAATACGCAAAAAGGAATGACCAAATCTGACCTTGAGCAGATTGAAATCTTACTACTGTATGTCAAAAAGAGAGACGAAGGGATGCTTAAATTGCAATCAGAGATGCATAGCTTGCGACTGAAGGCTAAGGAGAATGATAAAGTAACTAAGCTGCAACTAGAGGTGCTCAAGCTGCGACTGGAATCCAAAGAAAAAGATGAAAAGATCATTAATTTGCAACACCAAGCTCTTAGCAGGCCCACCATCATTCAGGAGCATGCTAATCAAGCTCCCGACAGGGCTACCATCCTTCAAAAGCATGCTGAAGCTATCCTTGCCCAGAACTATGAGCTGTATGAATATCCACTTTCTCGACTATTTATCATTTTGCCCGTCGACAGCACCAAATGGGATCCAACGAATGTCTTGAGGAACAAGGTCCGCCTCTATTTTCTTTGTGAATATGGAGACCACTCCATAAAGACAAGAAAAGACAGCCACGACCAAATCCATATTGTCAAACATGAAGAATATGAGATCCAATACAGCATGGAGTTCTTCCGCAAGTATGGAAAGCACATGGTGATCCTTTTAGAGTGGCTCAAGTTGAGGATGCTCTCGCCCACTTCTCTGAGACCTATCCCAAATCTGACCAACGCCGGTATCGATAAATCGCTCGACTACATGAAAGCACTCTCTGCTGAGTATCCGGCCTTGATTAACATCAACACATTTGATGACTATGAGGTGCTTGAAGGAGCAGACCTTCGCCAGCTGGGCACATTCCTTCAAACCAGTGATAAATACAGACAAATTTGTAACTTGTACAGGACTACAACTGAAGTGGGGCATGTTAGATGGATTTGTGCCGACCACTTTCACTTGGATTATAGAGAGAAAGGGCAGAAAGCACTCTTATGTGAAATTGCTCTGAATGGAGGCAAATACAACATGCATCTTGGCAAAGCGATGGTCAAATTGGAGTCTAGTACTAGAGCTAAAGTATTCCTCAATGCTCTGGCCAATGCAAGATGTGTTTATGAGTTGGATATCACACTCAACTGGGATTGGTCCGAAGCTACCCTTGAAGCACTTGAGAGAGCATTGAAGGTGTCGGGTATATCAATCCTACGACTTGAACTTGGACTATCTCAAGAAAGCAGCAGCGGGAATGCAGTTCCAAGATCCACACGATATGAAGCACTTATTCGTATAATTGAGCTTAACAGTATGAGGGTGATTCATATTGCCCTCTCACCGGACCTCATAGAGCTCTCTCGTTTAGAGCCTAGAAGCGCATCGCACCTTCATAAGTTATCCTTTGAGATGGAACCTCAAGGAGTTGAAGCTAATGATTTTCGAGTACTTGTGAATTCACTCAAGACCAATACGACTTTGCTCGTCTTGGACTTGGAGGGCAACTCAATTGGGGATAAAGGGGCCCTGGCGCTATCAGAAGCGCTAAAGACTAACACAGCTCTGACCTCTTTGAGCTTGCGCGAGAACTCAATTGGACATAAAGGAGCTCTGGCACTCTCAAAGGCACTCAAGATTAATACCACGTTAACTACTTTGAACTTGAACTGGAACTTGATTGAGGAGAAAGGGGCTGTGGTACTGTTGGAGGCGCTCAAGAGTAACACGACTTTGGTCACTTTGGGCTTGCGTGGCAACTCGATTGGGAGGGAAGGTGCTCTAACGCTGGCAGAAGCGCTCAAGGTCAATACGGGGTTGGCTTTTTTGGACCTGCACGACAACTCACTTGAGAAGGAAGGAATTCTGGCGCTATCAGAGGCGCTCAAGACCAACAAAGTATTGACAGATTTGAATTTGGGAGGTAACGGAGTAAGGAATGAAGGAGCTCTGGCACTCTCAGAGGCGCTCAAGGTTAACACTACTTTGACCATTTTGGGCTTGAGCCAAAACCTAATTAAGAAAGAAGGAGCTCTGGCGTTTCTAGAGGCACTCAGGATTAACACAACCTTGACCAGTTTGGACTTGTGGGACAATTTAGTTGGTGAAGAAGAAAGTCTGGCACTGTCAGAGGCCCTTAAAGTGAACGCGGCTTTGGCCCTTTTTGATTGAAGGGCGTAAATCGAAAACCAAGGTGTCCTGGTACTGTTTGAAACACTTGGTTCTATTTGATCGAATGAATTATACTTTTGGCCATAGATTATTTCTCGCTGTTCCTTAAAGTAAAGTCCATCAATTTCGTAATTGCACAATCTTTTTTTATTGCAAAAAAATCAAAAATCAAAAATAAAAAAAAGATGTATAAAGGCGAAAGTAAGTTCCATGGAGGACAGATGTAAAGATTGCGCAAGTGGCTCCACTTGTGTCTCAACGTGTCGAAGTCCACCGTCAAAGGATGAGGTTTCCATGTCATGAACCGATGAAGCTGATTGTTGGGCGATAAGGTGGGGGCCCCACTGCTGGTCTAGATTGACGAGCCCAGCCTCCATTCGAGCCGTGCTTGCATCCGGTGCGATGGTGCACCTGCTGGATTGAATACCGATGGCACGTATGTGGTCCTGGGTCTCATGTCTGTTGCTAGACAATACTTCCAAATTTTGTCCGCCAGATCAATCAGAGGTTGTGAGCGAGTTCCGCCGAACCGGTTGATGTAAGCGGTGGTGGTTGTGTTGTCGATTACTAGGCTGAGCATTCTTCCTTGTGTTTGAGGAAGAGTGGCTGCGTAGTACATGGCTAGTAATTCTTTTAGATTGATGTATTGGTGAGGTATGTCTGGTGGCCATAGCCCTATCCAAGTGCGTTATCCTATGACAATCCCCCAACCTTGGCCGGAGGCGTCTGTGTACACGTCCATTTGAGCTGGCGATTGAATCCATGATGTTCCGTTCCACTCCTTGAGTTGGTTTGTCCACCAATCCAGATTGACTCGAGTTCTGTCGTCCAGTGGGATTGTCACTTCCCATGATGGCACCCCGCGCATCCATTTGGTGCTTCCAAGTGTGAAAGCTGTGTGGATGGAAACGATGTCCTTGTCTATATTGATCTCCTGAACATGGAGACTTTCTTTGATGAAAAAGTCAGCCAATCGGAAAATATCCGCAGCTTCAAGAAAAAGCGGAGGTAAAACTGCGTCTATAAAAAAAGTCATTGCTCCTCGGAAGGTCGGCACGCCTGTTACAGGTCCTATAGAAAGTGTAGCCCAAAGTGCAAATGTGTCCAATGGTCTGAACCTTTGAATAAAGAGCACATTGAACATCTTCTCTATATTAAATTACAGTCAAAAAAATAAAAAGAAAAAGAAAAATAAACAAGGTATCATGCAGCTTCTTTGATAATTGACTTCCTCGATCTACCCTTTCTACAAGCGACGCCAATAATTGATATAATGCCAGCATTTTTCCATATAAAAAAGAAGAAAAAACGGATCGCTGTCAAAGCTAGTGAGCATGCATGAAAAGAAGACACGATTGCCCTTATCGCTATTTATTCAGTGACAGGGTAAAAAATAATCCTGTCTATCAGATGTGTACAGTCACAAATATTTAATATTTACGTAATAAGAAACGGCTGGTGGCAAATGCATGTTACGTCTGGATTGACAGCGGCTGAAATGAAATATCGGTATAATAGGAGCAGATCTGTCGGCATGGCTCTCTCTACATTAGTTCTCTTTATATTACCTTGCTCACTTTTAGCTTTTATCACCCTCATTACTCTTCTCCTTCCTTCCTTTTGAAGGCCACACGACTGTATTTGATCTTCCTTTCTACTTTCACCAGCCAACTCACTTTTTTGTCTATTAATCACACCGATGATGGACAAAATTTCACTCCTTTGCATCCCTAACGGGGAGTCTACCGCATTCCCAGTGGACATAAATCCCCAGAAGACTATCAGCCACCTCAAAAAGGCAATCAAGGAGAAAAAAGACGCTTTTCAGGGTATTAATGCCTACGAACTCATCCTTCATAAGGTCTCGGTCCCTGGTGAAGGCACCACAGTCAATCTCACCAATGTTGGATCAAAGGAGTCACTCACCAGAGGATCAAGCAAGGTCTCCAAGGTATTTGGCACATCACCTCTGCCCGAGAAGACTATTCACGTCATTGTTCAGCGTCCATCAGCAGGTAAGGGATCAACTGATATGCTCTCTCTAAATTTTTTGCATGATGTTGTTGATTAACATTACTGATTATAGTGATGCCGCTTCTAATTACCTTCATGTTCCTCTTCGGGTTACCCTTCAGAGCAACCTACTCAAAAAGCAGCGCCAGGGCCGCCAAGGCTAGTGCAAGAAGCATGTAAGTTGATGGCACTATCCTTTCAAGACCGCAATCCGGTTTTGGTATGGATTTGCGGTTAATATCTTGCATTCATTGTAGTCAATAGGGAACTAGAGAATATCGAGAAGAAGGTCTTCCATGCGGACACTCCAATTTCACGTTTCCTTCATTCATACGTGAAGGGTGACATTAAGCTCCCTGACGCAGACTGTTGTGTCAAAGGCTTACCACGGGCCTGGCTCCGATCAAGATATTTCAGCCCTGAGTTACCTCAGCCTGCTCTCTATCTCATACATCCAAGAAAACCACATGAGACGATAACGACACCTCCTTCTGTAACAGCGCTAGATACGATCAGCAGGTTTCAGAATAACGACATTATCACTTTTTTCGGCGAGAGTGGATGTGGAAAGGCGAGAGCAGTCGTGGAAATGCTTGCACAGAACTGGGGGGTTCTACTTTAATGGCAGTCAGTCGGACAGAGGTTCAATGGACGTTGTTACTTTGTTCAAGTCAGCAATGAAGAGGTCGAAGCAGTACCTTTCGTCCGATAAGGTTCAGAATGGCCCCAATATCCAGGCGATTACAAACTGTTTACTTATTTCGCGTCTTATGGTTCTGCATTACTGTCTGAGTATCGGCTGCAATGATTCATTTACTTGCGAGCGTTGGATGTTGCTCCAAATGTGCCCAGGAGCCTTTAACACCGATGTATCAGATGTCTTTGACGATGTTTTCACGGCTATACTACGCGCCTATCATGACCAGAGACCGGTTATCGTTCTCATAAGCTTGGAGTACCTATTACATGGTCGGTTTACTCAGGTTAAAGGCCGATCTCCTCACTTGCCTCTAATTCTCCAACGAACAAGCTTCTCGTTGTCCTTGATGAAGCGCAAGCCCTGAATGATCATGGAAGAGAATGCTTTGTGTCGCACGCGGATTCCAGAACTCCTAGGCCGATTCTCTCACCTATTATTTATGGGCTTAGGAACATATCACGAAGTAGACAAGACTACTGCGTGGTGACATGTGGCGCAGCCATCAGTGAAGATGAGATTGAAGTATTAGGAAGCTCGAGCACTTCAAAATACTTTGGTCATATCGAATACTGAATTATGGACTTCCCAGGCTGGGAATCAGTGGGCCAGGTGGCTCTGTACATCAACAGTCTTGGAAACATGATGAACGAGGACGACAAGGTGATGCTTCATACATTAATACCAGAGGCAGCTGCCCAGGAGTTGTTTTTCAGCCTTCGAGGCCGATACCGTCCAATCATTACGACAATCGAGGATATCATCACTACCGGATCTCCATCATACTGGAAAGAAGCTATTGAAGGCCGAGTTCGATCTTTGGTAAACTATCCTAAGCAACTTCACATGCCTGGGGATATTTGCTCAGCTATCAAAAGGACGATCGACAAAGTTGCGAAGGATCCAATCAGGTTCGGGGATGCTGTCGAACTCAAGCACGTCCTCAAGCAAACTATTGTTTATCGAGCCTCTCTGGGACTGCCATGGAGCTTACAAGGAGAGAAGCCGATCTTGGTTGAGAGCGCTTTCGGCTGTCTCCGCAATGTAGCTACCAGCACGGTTTTTGGGAAGTCATTCTACACGGTTATTGATGAGCCATTTATATTCCAGGCTGCCTACAACTTTATCAAGCATGAGGACTATGACTTCTATGTGCACTTCAGGGAATAGTATCAAGACTTACAGGGTCGACAACCTGAAGAAAGGATCTTTGAGCTGCACGCACCCTTGGATCTGGTTTACGCTTTCCATAATAAACAGCTCAAGCAAGAATTATTCTCGATCCCCAAGGCTGCTAAGCATCAACCTACGCCAAAACTTAAAAGCCCTATCCCTGAATTTGAGCCTGTTGCTTTTCTCAGGCATTTGTTCAAACATAAAGCAACGATTGTCGGATGGGAAGATTATGATTGGAGGGTTCGATACATGGAGGCTCTGACTATGGGCGATTTTTTAGAGGCACACTACAAGCATAGCTCGATGTGGGGTGGCTCTGCGGTACCGCCTTTTTACTACCCAGAGTCGTCTCTTTCGGGACCGGATATAGTCTTTGTTCTACGAATTGATGATCAGCTCTACCCTGTGTTTGTCCAGACGAAGCTCTCTCAAGATATTTCTCCAGGAAAAGTAGAGGAGGCACGGTTGACGATACATGAGAGCAAACTCAAGCATCATCTTCCGAATTTGGCCTCATACTGCCCTGGCGGAAAGTACTTTGGCTTGATCTACGTTCACCCTATGGTTGTAAAAACACCTCGAGAGAGCTGGGATGATAGTCTTTGGCGTACAGAGCCCGATTGTGGAGCCGATGGCAATCAAGTCCTCAAGGATGACGACATACCATCGATGCAACTCCTTATGATTATTGATAGGAGCAATATGCAGAGTCTTCTTCCAGGAGGAGTGGTTGACTTTCTCGATAGTGTGTAAGGCATCAAGCGAGCACATGAGCAATCAGGCTCGTCTGATAGGGCGGATAAGAAACCAATGTTGGTGAAGCAACAGTAGTGAGTGTTGAAAGACATGTCAATAAACGATATATTGCAGCAATTTGTGGGAGAGCTTTGCAAGCGCTGTTTCGATGTATCCTTTTATTGAGAAGTATTGCCATCATTGCCAACATCCATGATCAACAAAGACTTCTCAGGAAAAATAGCTACTAGCGATGTTTAAAATCGATTCATGAGCCAATAACCTTTTAAAACTATCTTTAACCAATTGAATAATCACGGAACATTGAATTAGACCGAACTTTCACAATTTTCCACTATGAGTTTGTGTAGGTTATAATCTTGCTAAATAGGTTCCATACCCAGAAAGAAGCTACAAGCACTCCTTTCTGTGTACTTTTATTTCCTTTTTTTTTTTTTTTATAAAATAAAAATGTCAGTGTGCCCTTGGTCCTGGTTGCCTGCACTCACCTTGTAACGGTTTGGATAAAAGGAAATAGAAGGTAGTGTAAGTTCCGTACAAATGTGTTGTGGAATAGAACGCGCAGGTATAGTCGCCGCAGCGTTCAAAGCAAACGGAATGGAAGGAAACGAAGATGACAATTTAATCTCTAGTGGTGAACTACGTGAGCGTAACGTTGAGGCAGTAGTGTGATTAAGCCATGTCTGTTGAGACGTCGCGTTACCATCATGAGCGCAGGTCAATCCTATCTATATCTATTATTATTATTATTATTATTATTATTATTATTACTTTTGCCTTTATTTTAATTATTTCTAAACCTATGTGTGGAAAATAAGAAAAAGAGAGAGAGAGAGAGAGAGAGAGAGAGAGAGAGAGAGAGACAGAAGCTGCTATGCAAAATGAATAGTGAGTTTATGAGGAGAGAAAGAAAAAATCTTTTGGTTTTTTTGCTTTTAAGTATTGTAATGTAATGTTAATGTAAATGTAAATGTAAATGTATATAATGTAATTTTTATTTTACTTCCTGGCCTTCTTATTGGCGGCCTTGGCTTCCTTGGCCAATTGCTCCTTCTTCTTGGTCAACTTCTCGACCTCAGCAGCCTTCTTGTTCTTGCCATATTGGATCTTGTTGTACAATTTCTGTTGCTTATTGGTCATCATGATCTTGGCCAACTCCTTTGCCTCGGCTTCTTCAGCCTCTGCAGCAGTACGCTTCTTGCCAGCAGATCGTGTTACGGGTGCCACATCAGCAGCAGCAGTAACAGCCTTGGTCTTCTTGGCATTCTTCTTGTTTTCCTTGGCCTCAAACTCTGTAAAGGCAACACCTTTAGCTTCAGCCTCCAACTCCCTTTGATGGAGATCCTTATGCTAAAAGATTTGGCATTAGTCAATAATAATGAAAAAAAAAAAAAAAAAAAAAAAAAAAAAAATTAGTCCTTTTCTTTTTTTGCAAAAAAAAAAAAAAAAAAAAAAAAAAAGTCCGTGAGTATACATATTGCACATTCAGCAACATATGTTTATATATTACCTCGGTATCTTCCTCTTCTTCTTCCTCCTCTCCTTCTTCGTCTTCGTCTTCATCTTCATCCTCATCCTCCTCTTCTTCATCCTCCTCTTCTTCATCCTCCTCAGCACTCTCAATCTCCAGATCTTCGGTTTGACCTTCGAATTGATTCTGATCAGGAATGTAATCACCTTCCTTGGCCTCCACAAAGGGTGACAAATGAGGAGGCAAGGTCTTGCCGACATGATAAGGATCTGCTGCTAGGATTTTACCAGCGTTGATGGAATCATAAGCCCATTGGGGTTGAACATAATGACGGTTCAAGAACCGATGTCCCTGTGTGGGACGATCGCTAATTTGATGGGTGATTCTGTCATCATTCTCCTTAAAAGGCGAGCCCTCCCCCAGAACAGGATCCCAGCCCACATGTCCTCCACAGGCACGAAGAATAAACTCGAGTGAGTAGCGAGGGACCTCACGGGATAGGAAGATGTAACATTGACTGAAGAGAGATTGGAATTGAGTCAAATGTTGAGACGCTTTCTGAATATCGGAAAAGGTGACAGTATCGGAGGAAGACCCGTCCAGATTAGGAAGTGGTGCTGGGAATTCGTCCATGGTATCCTCGTTGTCGTTATCGTTATCATTATCGTTATTGTTTTTACTTGATGATGAATTTCCATTTGTGGTCTCATATGAGTTGGATTCTTGAATATGTGCAATCTTATTGGAGAGGGTCTTGAGACGTTTTTCTGATTCTTCCAGACGTTGTTTTTCTTCCTTGGATAATGATGATGATAATGAAGATGATGATGAAGAAATAGAAGCTTCGGGTACATTTAAAGTCTTTGCAATGTTGGCAGCCGACTGTGTGGATTCGATAATCAAGGCGTTCATTCCTGCACCGCCTTCATCCAACTTGAGATCCAATGCAGGAGGATAGACAAGGTTGACATCCGAATATAATTTAAAGTTGACGAATCCACACAGGGTTTGGTAAAACTCCAAGAATGTCAACATGACACGGAAGTCGACATCTGTTGGGACCTATTTTTGGGGTGTTATAATAAAATCAATTAAGCAAGGTAGTTGAAAAATGATTAGAATCGTTTATATATATATATATATATATATATATATATTTTTTTTTTTTTTTGCTTTTCTTTCTGTTGCTGAGAATAATACAGATAATAAACCAAGGTTCCTTAAGACATATTAAATAAAATAATAATAATAATAATAATAAATAAATAAATAAAAAACTTACATCCTGAGAAAATTGATACGGGACAAGCCAGTTGATGGTCTGACCTTTGATCTCGGCTTGATAATAGATTCCTTTGATGGACAAGAAGACCTTACGTAAACTCCTGGTGTGTAGTACATAGTGTTGGAATTCTGCTGCGAGACGTTGACAGTTCTCAATGGTCTCTGCTTTGATCTTTTCGGTTTTGGGCATGGTAGCGAATAAGAAGACCATGCAGAGAGCATCATCCAGATCACGGAGAGCATCTGTAAAAGTGGGGTAACGTTCCTTGATGATATGATCCAACGTATAGATGGGTTTGTTCTCTGCCAAGGTCTTTGCAGTGCTGTATTGACCCTTGGACATGACCTTGGCCATCTTCTTGGCAAAGGTCTTGTATTCACGGAACTTGCTCAGGATGGGTTCATGCATCAAATATTGAATATCCTTTGCATAGTAAAATGTCGCTGGAGCGGTCGAGCCCTTGTTGGCCTTCTTTTTGTTTTTAGGTTCCCGAGGATAAATTCCTTTCAAGATACAGAGACGACTTTAAAAAAAATAAAATAAAATATATAAAAAAAAAAACGCGAGTTAGGGAGATATTATCAGCTAATAGATTGTAGAAACCATGGCTACATATTAAATCCAGGGAAAAAAAAAAAAAAAAAAAAAAAAAAGTTGAGGATATGGAGAATACAAATAAGAAAAATGAGATAAATAATGACATGATAATTAAGAGGTAGAATGCAAAGAAATTATAAAATAAGTGCAAGCAATTGTTTTCCCCCTCCTTTTCCTTTCTGTCTTTTCTTTTCCTCTCTTCCCTACCGAAAATCAGCCAGAGTAACCTGAAGCTTTTTCAGAGCCTGGTTACGGGTGATATAATTGACGGCGGCTCCGGCCTTTCCCTTCTTTTGAAGCTTTCCCATGGCTAGTTGGTTATTCGGGTGTTAAGGATGAAGGGGATGTGAAGAAAAAAAAAAAAAAAAAAAAAAAAAAAGTGGAAAGGTTTTTGTAAATGGAGAGGGGGGAACACTTTGGTGTGTTTTGTCAAGGCTTTAGAAAAAAAAAAAAAAATAACAACAACAACAACAAATCTCACGTGCATGTGGCTTTAGGCAAGTAAAAAGCAGTCATTCATCGCCACCAAAATTTTTTTAATATTGCGAGAGAACATTAAATGAATTCCACGATACATTTTTTTATTAAATTGTAGAGTGTTTGGGTATACACATATTTAAAGCAACTATGAGTGGTTCTAGAAAAAATACAAAGGAGAGAGTAAAGAGTTTTTTTTTTTTTTTTTTTTCTTTCACAGCTTCTGTTCCAGCTGAATCTCTTGAAGTGTGCCTTGGTTGTGAATCTTATTCAGGACCATATCCTCTGCTTGCATATCCCTTTCATATTGTTCCTGATCTCTCAATTTCTGTGCCTTACCACCCATATACAAGACTACAAAGGGCAACAACAAAAGCGTCACAGCAGCGATCAAGATACAAGTCCAGAACATACTAGTCTCCTGATAGATCAAAGCTCCCAACAAGGGTCCAACAACCATTCCCAAAGAGAAACACATATTAAGTATTGAAAAGGCTCTAGCGAATCCATCCCCATCTCCCGTCACTCGGACCACTGCAGAGACCTCCGCCATGATTGGAGTCAAAAAGATGGCACACATACCACCGATTCCCACCAAGAATATGATCATGGCCCAAAGGGGCATTCCAGGAATTCCAAGGACTGCCACAAGAACTACACAGATCGCAATAGCGACACTGGACATGATCTTCGCACCATGTTTATCAGAGAACCAGCCCGCAACCGGTGAAATAAACGATGGGAGACTGAAGGCAAGGAAAATGATACCAATCTTGGTCTTGGACAAGCCGAATTTATCTGCAAGGAAGAGTGGCAGCACTGGCTCAAGCGCTATAAAAAAAAGAAAGAAAGAATAATAATAATAATAATAATACTCTGTTAAGTTTGATTCTCTACTTTTCAGATCCTCATGTAGGGTTGTAGAAAAAAAAACAAAAAAAAAAACACATACCAGCAATAAGAAAAGCTTGAGTGAAGCCGATAGCCAAGCTAGTGAGTAGGCGCGAATTGCTCAAAAGAGCAAGAATAGTTGTCTCCTTGGCAGCGGTAGGTGCGGAAGCAGGCGTAGAAGGGGAGGACTCCAATGAACCGACAATACCGGTTGCTGGTTGCTGCTGTTGTTGCTGTTGCTGCTGCTGCTTCTGTTGCTTCTGAAATTCTCGAATGGCTTTGACTTTGGCAGTTCTTGGTTCGATAATCAACAAACGACAGACCAGATCGATAACAATGAGGACAATACAGAAGACGTAAGGGGCTTTATCACCCACATTATCCTGAAGAAGTCCTCCAACGGGTGGTCCCACCATCAGACCCAGAGATTGACCAATCATCACTTTTCCCATCTCCTGACCCAGTTGATTAGAAGGAAAGGTATCTGAGAGTAGAGCAAGACCTAAAGTCATCATTGTACCTCCTGCTACACCAGCACAAAAGCGGGAGATCAATAATAACTGTTTTTTATATATAAATAAAATAAGAGAAACAGGGAAGAGTAAGTATCTACCCATATCAACTAATTCAATCACAATTTGCAGAGGGAGGTGTGATGCCAACAAACAGAAGAGAAAGTTCAAACTTACCCAGAAATGATCCATACCCTCCATGAAGAGAATTGTAGCAAGCAACAGTCCGACCAAACCAACGATCATTGGAGTGCGTCTGTTTGCCATTTTGTCTGAAATGATACCTGCAATGGGTGAAGAGATCAAGACTCCAACAGCAAAACAAGCAATCAAGGCACCATTGGCTGTTGATTTAAGGCCCAAACGTTCGACAATAAAGGGGGTCAAGGGCATGATGATACCATAGCAGACCATGTCGACAAAGATCGCCAGACCGACGGTGAAGGTTAAAAAGTTGTGAGAGCTTCTTAAACGGGTGAAACGACTGACTGTAGCATTATTACTATTATTATCCAAGTCTACATCCATGTCGTTTCTTGTTGTGGTTGCTGTGGTTGCTGTGTTGAGAACATTTTTATTTACAGTTGAGATCGAGGCAGAGGCAGAAGCAGATTCGTTTAGTGTTGCACATCGATCAGTCTCAGTCTGGTTCTCTAGATCGTTGGTTGAATGGGCATTTGGATTTATGGCCGTGCCATCGCCATCCTATTTAGTTTTTTGAAGGGACAAAGAAGAGAGAGAGAGAGAGAGAGAGAAAGAGGGACAGATCAAATCAGATTAAAAATTGTTTCTCAAGAATTGTCTCAGTTGTGGAATGCTGTCAAACTTACAAATTTTTGTGAGGACATAAAAGTAACACTTGATTAAATAGATAAATACAATAAAATAGTAAAATAGGGGTGGAGGGAGTGTTTCTGTTTCAGTCAAGAGAAATGAATGAAGAGAATGAATGAGAGAGAAGGAGAGGAGAATGTGTGGAATGTAGATGCGAGTGATCAGAATGAAGTCTGAATTGTTTTCGAAAGGGGAGGAAGAAAATAAAATTCTTGAGAAAATGAGAAAGCGGATGGTTCGATGGATCTTATATATTGGTTCCCCCTGGAAGGGTAAAGATTTGCGAATTGGAGTATTTGGACCTAGTGGAGGGACCAATTGCATAGTGTAACATGTGTAGAATAGAAATGAGGGTGGATCAACGTAACTCCGACGCACAAGACAATAAAGGAATAAGGGCTACATGTATAACCGGTATAAACTAGACATGGATATGGCTGTAGAACCAAGCTCTTAAGCCAATAAGCTATAAGCTGTGCTATTCTCTTTGTTTTGTTTATTCTCATTTGTAAGGGTAAGGGAGGAGATGGGGACACTGTATAATAATTAGAGTTGATCCATGGATGGACTGTTGCATGGATCGAGGGGATCGGTTCTTTATTTAGACCCGTTCCATGTCATGGCCGTAATAGGTATGCGCTACGAATTTAGTCGCGACTTGGATATCTCGAATCTAGTGTAACAGCCAATTAGATTGCCCCATTTCAGCCACACACTTGTCACTTAAAAAAAGTCCAAATGTTTAAGCTAAAAAAAAAAAAAAAAAAAGGTTATGGGATCATTACGAACATGATGATCATCAATGGCCATTGATGATGGATATCAAGAGTCGTATGTCATCATTTCTATAAAAAAAAAGCCACTAAATAAGACCATTGCTTTTTTTTTTTTCTTTTTTTTTCCTTTGATCAAAATACTCTATCTTTGCTTATTTTTGAGACCATACTTAAAAGGTAACGATTTTTACTTTTCAAAGAATCAAGCGCTCCGCTCTTTTGATGGAAGTTAAAAGCTTATTAACAAACTAGAAGTATGCATCTTCGTGTTTTTTTCGAAGTATGTCAGATGGAAAAAATAACGATCCTTTATTGGAGGGAATTTTTATGGGAAATAAGGATCCTTAATTTGTCGTAAATGACGCCTATTCATTAGAGAGTTTTCGCAACCAAGTTTACATCAAGGATTTACATCAGCTGAGAATGAACTTGAAAGAGTTTGATGTGTTTCTGAAAAATGACCATTTTTATTTTCGCCATTGGTAATATACAGAACGACTTTTCCATGTTCTTCTTAACGCTGTGACTGATTTTAAAATAAATACTTCGAATTAAAAAAAAAAAATATATTACCATGTAAAGCGTCCACATTGCACCCGTTCTCTTAAACCTCGTCAACGCTCAACAGCTTCTCGATGGAAGGGATATAAATGATGATGGTGCTGCTAACTTCCAGGTACCTCGACTCCAAAATAATCGTATCGATTTGGAAGCACTTTCTGACGCAGATTTCCGTACGATGTTCAGATTTACCGATAAAGGTGATTCAGAGTCTGATCCTGCTTCTTCAACATCATCCACAGGATCCGTCTGGGATATATCCTCAATCGACAATCTCTGAAAGGAAGGTAAGTTATGCGTCTCATTTTGTTCTGGGGGAGTATTCATTAGAGAAGAATGCTTTCTGTTGTGTGCCAGAGTTTTTTCGGTGAAAGGAATAGCAGGAGGTAAAGGCTCGTAGACACTACGGCTTTAAATGACTCTAGGCTAGAGCATTGATGACTAATAGAATAGAGATTTCTAATGTTGATAACCTCTATAGTCTAAAAAGTCGCGTCTTTTATGGTAAAAAATGATAAAAATATAGAATTGGCAATTTTTTATATTTTTTTTGGCTAAATTTAAGCAATTCTGGCTAGACGTAGAAATACGAGAAAAACGAATCTTGTTGTATTTTACAAAGCAAATTTATGACAAGGCTGGATTTCAAAAATAGAGATGCTTTTTAAGGTTTTTTTTCACTCCCCGATGTGAATTTTGATGTAAAAACGAGGTTGCGAAAACTCTCTATTTACCTAAATATACTATCATGCATTTCTTTTTTTCATTCCTAGAAACCGTATATGCATACAACACTCTTACTTTGGTTTAATAAAGCTCCCGTCTTCTTCTACGTCGTAGTTATGCGTTGTGACATTAGCTTGTCTCATTTGGAAAGCTAATGACTTTTTTGTCCATTCAGGTCATTGAATCAGTTTCACATGTGAATCGAAAATAAACCGAATCTGCTCTGATGGCGTGCAGTGGATCTGGGACGACACTCCGGGACGCCTCACTCGCAGGTCGGTGCAAGGCACTGTCAAGTTTGGGAGTGGTAACGTTAAAGTGTGGTCATGCTTCTCATGGTACGGACCTGGATACATTGCAAAGATTGACAATAATATGGACGCACAACTTTACATCAAACTACTCCAGGAGGATCTACAGATGTCGCTTGATGACTGGGGCCTAACTAAAAGCGATATCGTTTTTCAGCACGACAATGACTCGAAGCACACGGCGAAGATTGTTAGGAAGTATTTGGAGTCAGTACATCTGACAGAAGAGGAAGGTACACTTCTAGAGTGGCCAGCACAATCCCCTTACCTCAACCCTATTGAACACATGTGGGCAGAATTGGATAGGCGGCTCTCTAGGTATCCGGAGCGAGCTAAGAGCTGTGATGAACTATGGGAGCGAATATCGGTTGAATGGTACAGGATCCCAGTGGACTTCTGCCGCAAACTCATCATAGGTATCCATAAGAGACTCCAAGCTGTCAGTTATGCCCATGGTTGGAATACTACTTATTGATGTAAGGTTATGGCTCACAAAAGAATAAAGATCTTTGGCCACCGAATGGGCACATGTGAAACTGATTCAATGACCTGAATGGACAAAAAAGTCATTAGCTTTCCAAATGAGACAAGCTAATGTCACAACGCATAACTACGACGTAGAAGAAGACGGGAGCTTTATTAAACCAAAGTAAGAGTGTTGTATGCATATACGGTTTCTAGGAATGAAAAAAAGAAATGCACATGGGAATGAATTATTGAATCAGGTTTGCATGATAGTGTATAACAAATATGATCTCATTAATCACAGGTTGCTTGCCATCCCGTGCACACACCATGGGGCTAAAACGACATTTATGTCTTTAGAGTGGAGCTGTCATCCTAGCTCCCGGTAAACGTTTTGGCGCCCTGGATGATGATAATTGATAGGTCTTTCGCAAGTGGCAAGCATCCAGATGACAAACATATGAGAAAGGATAATTTCCTATGCCAGCTGTCCTGGTGATAATAATATGGTTTTGGGTCTCATCATCAGACTCTCACTGGGTTCTCCACAGGATTCTTCATCTCTATCCGTTTTACAAAACTCTTTGATAATAGTATCACAAAATCCTGCACACAAGATCGCATGATGATCACAGGAAGCTTATAAAGTTCTATATGCCCAGTAGAAGGAGGACGGATTAAACCGCTCTATCTATTCGTCTAAAAGGTAAGTGGATGATGATGGCTTCATTCATAAAGAATGAGCCATTGTAAAAATTCTCAAGGAACGGGTATAATGCTTTTTTTAAAAAAGACAAAATTTCATCCACTTGATTGGTATTCGATTTAATTCTTCAGATTCGTACCGGCTGCTCCTCCTGAATATGCAGCTTCGATGTCGATTTTTATGACACGCTGTCTTACATGTTTTAAGCATACATATGGATTCTTGACGACCGTATCTTTGGTGGTAAGAAAGTTCTGAACTTTAAAATCGCCATATACGTCTCCTGGCACCACAAATAGAGGAAAATGGTATCATCACTTCCCTTCGACTCTGATCGGTCTCCCTTCGACTCTGATCGGTCTCCCTTCGACTCTGATCGGTCTCCTTCGATCGTCTCCCTTCGACTCTGATCGGTCTCCCTTCAACTTTGATTGGTCTCCCTTCAAGCAGGGTCCAGTAATACATTCAATTATCTCCTTGAATGGTGCTTGCTTGATCGGATGCTTCTCTGATACTGTGACCTGAAATAGCTTGTTGGGTCCCAATGCAAAATCAATGCACGGAAATTTAGAATGTTCTGGTACAAACAACTTGCCAGCTGCTTGAGTGAGCCCTAATAATTCATCTGAAGTCCGGATATGCACCACTTCTGGGTTTGCTGGAAAATCAAGAAATCCTGTTTCGCCTGACTGGAGATCCCTAAAGGGAAATCTAATATCACCACATCGAAATAAGTGATGAGCATAGACTTCAAACAGTGGGCCTTTAGCTATATCCTCTTCGCTTTTGACAAGTTTCGCCAACACATCGAGCCAAGTGTCATCTTTTATTTTGTCGACAACCCTTAATTCAACCCAACGAGATGCCCACACCAGATGGAAGTTGAGGTGGTCAGAAGTGGGGACTCTATGGAGTAAACGACCACTAAATTCACTCGCTTCTTTTCCTCGTGCAAAGAGCGCTACAAGATCTGCTGGGTTCCGGAGTTTTTCAATGGCAGTTTCGACGCGGCTAAACGCAGAGTCTCTAGCACCCTTAATATCTCCTTGATTCTTGAATAGTTCTTTGGCTGGAGCCTGTAGGACCTGTCTTGGCACTCCCCCCAACTTGTAAAAAAGCTCCTCCAAAAATTCTTCATCCACTGGATGA